CTCATAGACAGAAACCAATTTTTGAGACTTTTTCATATTTTGGTTATTTGTTTTAATAACCTATTATTCAAAATTGAATATCTTTCAAACGACTTATGCGAATTTTTTGGATCATACTTTAACTGAAAGGTCTTGAAGAGTTGCATCAATTGATGTATTTTTTAACCTACATCGAATGTCGTTCATGGGGTTATTCACGAAACCAGTTTAACATGTACCAAAGAGAATTTTTCAAACGTTTTTTTTCTCTTCCGAGTTTGAGCGATGATTGTAAAGTGGCCTTTGTTTTTTTCATTCTGGATTTCACAGATATCAAAGCTACACTATACAACTATAACATGTTGAATTTTCAAAAAAATTAAGCCATTATCTTACGAGATATAAGAAAAAAACCAAAAATTCCCAAACTTTTTCCCCACAGGTTATATTGGGTTTGATATTTTTACACATTAATGATTGGCATTTTGATTATGCTAAACCTTATTTGATTTTTAACGTGTAATTTGACATGTTTAGATTTATCATTCAGAATTTTTTAAACATAAAAAGGTCAGAAATAAATTTCAACTTACGAATGAACAATTAAAGTATGAAACAATCAAGAATTGAATACAAGTTCATTTGTTTAGCAACTATTGACTCAAAAGCTGATGCTGAAAACTTGTAATCAAAAACAAAACAAATTCAAAGACTGTATTTATGTTTTATCAATTCAGTTTTCTTGCAGTCGTTTCCTGGTAAAAACTGGTTGAGATTACCCTTTGCCAAATGAATCTACATGGACTGATCTTATCATGGAAATTATGGATACTTAGAAAATGCGAATGAATGAATGAGATAATTAAACTGACAAAAAATTTAAACTGTCAATCAAAAGTTACAATCTTTGGAATCAACTCAACGGCTATGAAACATTGTTATGAAAATAAAAACAACATTCAATAAGCCTGCAACTGTCAACCATTAATTAAAATGTATCAAATAATAAGCAAGCCCTTGACTGATTAGTCAGATATTGAGTTATAATTGAATACAAAATGACCATTAAATGGGCACTTTAAATCTCTTATTGAATGTCTGAAAAAGGGTTTGAAAAAAGCGCCCTACTTTTAGCTCCAAACTAAAATTGGAATGTCAACATCAAAGATCTAACAAAGCTTTAATCTTTGGTCAACATTGACTTTAGCTGAAACAAAAGGTTAAAACATAATTGTCGAAATTGTGATTAAAGACGCAAATTGTATCAAACTGGCCCTATTGGCCACTAACCAGCTACAGTCGTTATCAAACAACAACGAGAAAAAATTATCATTAAACTTGAAGAGTCTAAAGGAAAATGGGAGTTTCTCTAATCAACTACAACCAATGTTGATAGCGATAGTGAAATTTTTTTATTGTTCATTTATAACTAATATTAATATTTTATTTCATTTTATTTTTTATTCACTGTTACTATGGTTCTGATGTCAATGCTATTAAAACTCTGTCAGCTTACGTAATGAAGAAGAAGAAAAAATAATATAAAAAAAAAGTCTCATCAGATACATAAATCTGTGAAAGGATAAATGTATAAGTATTTATTGAGTAAATGGTAAGTCACTTGTTGTTGTTGAGCTTCATCGACCACAACTTGAAGCACTTTTCACATTTGTCAACCTGAAGTAAACATTCATTTACCAGAATGAACTATTCATACAATTCAAGCCTTGCCGGTAATCAAATTGGTTACAATGGGTTACTGGAAAACACGCCAGCTGGTCCACTGGTTTGGCTTGTTTTACTTCAATGGATTGTCTCTTTACCGTTACTCGATTCATGTGAAAAGTTCAAGTTAATTGTGTCATCCATTTTTACCTCATTACTGGTCATTATTGCTGTGTCCAGGAAAACTCCTGAACAGCAAATGTACTGTCCAACAGTCGATGCTTGTAACCATTCTGAAGAGGTTAATCTAATTTTAATTTTGATACACTTTACATTAAGAGTATTTAGCACCGTTCTTTGGTCTATACTTTGGATGAGATGGACAATTGCTTGCAAATATTTCACTCTTGACCGGTCAACTTATAATCTTCAACGTTATGGACCAATTTGTTTATTTGTTTGTCTAATAGCTACGCTCATTTCAAACGGTTTGCTCACTCATGTTTCACTGTTCACAGCTGGAGTCATTTTGTTTCTATGGTTTACAACCGGCAGCTATTTTATGGGACGTCTTGTGGCTAATCCTTTCCTTTTATTGTTACCTGTTTTTATTTTGACTGGCCTAGAGTGTGTTAAAAGTTCATTGGTTTCAAGTGTCTCATCTGCTTATTCAAGTAGCAATGTTATTGAATGTTTTCTGGTTTCCCTCTCAAGTCTACTATTGGTCTGTGCGCTGGACAAGTCAAGATGTATTCAAGATTTGTTTACCAAAAGATATCCAGTCTATTGTTCCTATCAAAGGTACAATTTAATACCAATTATTAAGCAAACATTTTTGGCTTTAATTGACGACGAAATTGACCAGGATCAATCGATATTTGACGATTTCAATGTTTGTCTTAAAATATTGAAACATCACTGCGAGACTTTAACTGTTTCACTGCCATTTTATACTTCAAGTAAGTTGGTCATTTTTATCTTGTATTGCCCTTCAATTTAACCAGTTAATTTATTCATTTTACAGGTGCTCGAATCGATGTGACAATTGCTTATGCATTCATTAGAGTTTCAGATGATCTGGTTGATGATGGACGGTTAAATATGAGTCAGAGACTTGAAAATCACCAGATTGTTCTTAAATTTATGGACCAATTATTTTCATCTCGCGATGAAAAATGGACTTATGATGTTGGCCAGCCAATTGATCCAAGAAATGAACCTTCAATTGATTGGAGTTTTTACAAATCAAAGCTTCCTTACGAAGCTTACCAAGTGTTTAGAGCTTACAGTCGCACCGTTTACTATCAACCAGGTTGCCCAATGAAAGATTTGGTATCAACATACAGTATGGATCTTGAAGAGAAGCACATTGCCAATGAGAGAGAATTGATTGAATTTTCTCATTGTGCCGGAGGTGGAATCATGGCTACCTTTCACATAATTCAATTGTACAAAAGTGGATTATATCCAAATGGATTATCACCTCGAGAGCGACCACTAGTCGACACTTTCTACTCCATTGGTCAAGTAAGTATCAAATCTTAAGTGAAGAATCATTTCTCAATCATTTAATTTTTGTCTTTACAGGCAATGCAGTTGGTCAACATAGCTCGTGACATTGCTTTGGACAGCTCAACAGATGGTCGCTGTTACATACCCACAGCTTTCATGGAGAATCCTGAGAAAGAAGTTGAACTTTTAACTCGATCCAAAGATCCTTGGGCTTTAGGCCTTGAAAAATTGTCTAAATATTCAAAGTTGATTGTTGCCTTATCTTACCATTGTTGTGCCAAAGCTTCATTAACGTTAGACTTGATGCCAAGCCAAGTAAAGAAACCTTTAATGATATTCAGTGAAATTTATCGGACAATTGGATCAAAGATATTAAAACATTCAGGTTTTGAGAGGCGCATTTTTGTCCCATTGTACAGTAAAATGTGGATTGCATTAAGCTACCTTTACTTCAATAGGAAACACATTTAACCCACATTTTCATCTTGATATCATCAACACTCTACAATTTATTGTCACCATTTTTGATCAAAAAGCAAAAGTCATTGACAGTAAACCAATCAGACTCATTGTTCATATAAATTGTAATAATCTTTAATCACAATTGTGTTTTTACCTTCTCCTTTCAACACACCTGATAAACATTCCTGATAAATACAAGTTGATAAAATTGAATCAACTCACTTTTATTGTATTAATAAAGATTTGTTTTTCCAATAATATATTTCTTTTCAAATGTAAACTCGATCATTTATTAACCCTTGAGATTGTCTGAGATATGAACTATGCTAAATGTGGTTCAAAAAAACTGGTTTCAAAACATTTATCAGGAAATCAGTTTGAACTTGATGAAATTAATTCACACCAATGAGTTGATAATTCAAGGCTTAGTTAAAAATGTACAAACTTTAAATATTAAATATTGAAAATTCATATTTTTGTTTGTTTTTCACTTCCATTTGTACATGTAACTCGGCTTAAGGCTTACAGTATCAGCTGAGTGTCATTTGAATCATAATTTAATCAATTGATCTTCATTTAATCAAATGCAAGATTGATTAAAGGCTTTGAATGAGTAAATTGTGCCTGGAAAATAAAACAAGATCACCTTTTGTTTATGACCAGGAAAGGTTTGCAAATGAAGATTGAATAAACAGTTAGACTTTCCTGGAGACATTGATCATCTTTACCATAATTACTGGACTATTGATTATTGATTTCTTGAAATGGTTCAGTTTAATCATTTTTGAAAAACGTATGAAAATTAAATTGCAATAACTTTGATTTGATTTGATTCTAAAAAAGGAGGAAAAACAATAAACCACTTGAGCTTTATTGCATTCATTTGAAAATGTTTCCTTGTTGGTGTTTATTTCATTTAATTTAATCACATATTTAATTTTTAATATTTTATTGGGACAGTTAATTGCTTCATTTGCATTTTAGTATGATCAATATGCGTTCAAGTGATTAATTTATTAAGTCACAGCAAATGTCGCCAATGATGCTTGTTACTATTTCACATTACATTATGTTTGTAAAGTTATTACATGTACATTACATTATTGCTATAATTTTATTGATGAGTCCTTTATGATGAATGGCCATTAATTAGTGATAAAACTTGTTATTGATGTTTAAATGATAAATGTTGAGCTAACTAGAAACTTGTTTTTCAAAGCATCTCCAGGCAGGCTTAACATTATCAGTTGTTCCATCAGATTTGCAAGCATTTCATCAAACGATTAGTCTTATCACTTGTATTGAAAGCTTACAAGCAAGTTAAACATTCAAGATCAGATTAACTAATTTCAACACCGTTATGATCAATTGAATGATTGCAATAAAATTAAAGTATAAATGTAATCATTTTTATTGTAAAAAAGTGTCACCAAAAAATCATTTAAGAAAACGGTTCACAATTGTTGAGGTTGAAAATGAGTAATGTGGAGATGCTGAGTTGTCCTGTGTTTTCATTTCACTTTATTTAACATCATTATTATTATCTTCGTTATATCAAGAGTTACTGACAAGAAGGGGATTCTCCATGATCTTTTTCAACTTTAGGCGCCAATGACAAGAGCTGAGCACAATACTAACGAGACTCCAGCACCAGGTTGAGTTGAAGCACCAACAAAGTAAACATTGAAAACCGTGCCCACCTTTGTTGAGGTCTTAAGTAAAGTAAATTGATTAAACTGTGAGAGATCCCCAAAATGGTTCTTCCCCAACAACTGAATTTGTTTTACCATGAATCTGGTGCTTCTGTTTCATTTTTGTAAGGATATCTTTGACAAAATCTTTTATTTTCAACCTTTCTTCCAGTCTTGCGATTACCTTTTTCTTAACCATTGAAACCTTTTCCTCAAATCATCTTTTACACCTTGTTGACTGGCCATTTCTCCGATGGGAACAATAACGGACAGTGCGTCCTTACCACCAGGAGCCATATTTGGATCCATGCGATTGGCAAAGTGAATAAAAAACGCTGGTTCGTCTGGGATTTTCCTATTAACGTTTATATCCACAGTTTTCATTTTTCTCGTAAATGGTAGTATGGAATTTCTTTTTATCCAATTTAGCGACTAATGTAAGTCCAACAGCACCGCTGACGATTATAATCTTTTTGGGACCCATTTTAGGATCTACAGCTATAAACGAGTACAAAATTTCATCAATTAATGTTGATCATAAATACCGTAAAACATTGACTACTTGAAATATTTTGATTCTGACCACAAAAATAAAAGATTTGTTACCAAATTTTCATTGTTGTCTTGAACTTGTGTTGAATGATCAGTTAACTGTTTTTGTCTGAATTTAAAATGGAAAATCATCTCGTTTTATATCGACCGATCAATGGGAGTAAACACAGACTGTGGAACAATTTTGATCCAGTTTGTTGTTATATCAGAGCTAAGAGAGCGAAATTATATTAAATTACAATTCCAGTTCAAGATTCAATTTTTTTTATTTTATTCTATGAAAGCAGTTTCTGCGTTTTAAATGTTCTCATGTTAATGGGCTAGTTTCAAGATTTGCTCGAACCCCTTTGATTATTCACCTTATACTTTATTCGGTTAAATCCTTTTTGTTAAATGTTTGGCACTTTAAATGTTATCTTGATTAGAATGAGCATTCAGCCATTATGAATAAGGTTGAACAACAGTTTTTTATTAAATAGTCGATTCAACAAATACAAATTAAAATGAAACATTAAACCTGAACCAGAAAAATTCAAGATTCTAACCATTTCTAAGCAATCAATTGATTCCTATTAGGAGCTTAATAATGGATCCGTTAGTAACTTTTATTAGCATCGTAAAATTGAGTGCTAAAAGCTGTTTGTATGATTAAGACACACTCAATGCACACATTAATATTTGCATGTTTATCGATTGGCAAACAAGTTAAAAGTATTGATACATTGATGCAAATCACTAATTAGTTAATTTGGTCACTAATTGATACTCTCTTTCATGTGTTCATATGTGAACAAGGTGATTGTAGTTAGACATTCGTACAGAAAAAAAAAAGATTAATGGTACGTTAATGATCGTTGATTATATGGGTTCTAGCTTTGATTGTTCAATATTTAGGTTCTTAAAGTGCAAGATTTTATTGATCAATTGTATAAAATTTTTCATTAAACTATTTAACAAGTTCGTTATTAATACTTTACATTGGCAAGCTTCATTTGTCTCATTTCATATGCAAATGTCTGATGATAAACGAAAGATAAAGTAACATTTCTTGATTTGTTCAACCTCTATTCTCTTTAATACAATATAAGCTCGAAAAAATTGTACCATATCGGGTACCTTGTGAGTATAACTGAAATCAATCCTTTCGATATAGTCTGATCTGATCACTACACTAAATTGATTTTCAACATTGAAAGTTGCAAATGAACAAAAGAAGCTTAAGCTTATTTGTTTTTTACCGTTATTAATTATTCGTGTTTTGCTGGTCTAAACTGTATTTCAATTTCAGTCTATTAAGCTGAAAATGTAACTCAAATTATGAATCACGTTAATTGATTTTAACATGTCATTCAAACAAATTTGATTTTTTTCGCGACATTGTTGGCCCTTTGGATAATACTTTTACTTGGTTTCTGGGTAAGTAGAAAAATATCACCAAAAAATATATGTAAAAAACTTTGACTGTTGTGGTTTGAAATATGATGAGAGGATGAAACTTTTCATTGGAAACGAAGCTTTGACTTGGCGAGATCGGCTTCAATTTTAGGGACCAACGAAAGAGCTGAGCACATAACTAGTGGAACTCCAGCACCAGGTTGAGTTGAAGCACCAACAAAGTAAACATTTGAAAACTCTGAACACCTTTGTTGAGGTCGAAAGTAAAGTAAATTGGTTAAACTGTGAGAGATCCCTAAAATGGTTCCTCCCCAACAATTGAATTTGTTTTGCCACGAATCTGGTGTTTCTGGTTGTATGTCTGTAACAATCTTGCTGGCGAAATCCTTTATTCCCAATTTATGTTCCAATTTTGCAATTACCTTTTTCTTCACTTTTTCAACCTTTTTCTCGAAACCGCCTCGTAAACCGGCCATTTCTCCGATGGGAACAATAACGGTCAGTGCGTCCTTACCATCAGGAGCCAAATCTGGATCCATGCGATTGGCAATGTGAATGAAAATTGATGGATCATCAGGAATTGTCTTCTTGTCGTGAATATCTTCAAACAGTTTTCTGTAGTCGGAAGGTATAAATATATTGTGACTTTTGAGTCCCTTAATTCTGGAATCCATTCCCCAGAAAAAAGTAATCGTTGATGGAACATGGTCTTTTTTGGTCAATTCAACTGCATATTTAGTTGGCGGTAGAAGAGCATTATAAGTGTAAGTTAAATCAGCATTGGAAACAACAATATCACATGAGACAATAGTGCCATCGTCCAGTTTAACACCAGTTGCTTTATTACTTCTGTCTATTAAAATCTTGTCAACTCCTTTATTTTTTTGTATCTTCACTCCATTCTTAATGGCAATCGCTTCCAAAGCATCAACGATGCTCACCATTCCTTTTTGAGGATATTTAAGGCCTGACGCTATTTCATAAGCAACCAAAATACTGAATAGAGATGAACCAGTGTATGGTGATATTCTGGGTCAGAGAAAATTCAACAAAAGATTAAGAAAAGATCAAAAGACTGTTACAATTAATGTTAATGTTGAAAAATGATTCTTACCCAAAATAAAGAGATTGCAAGGTTAGAGCTTGGCAGACTAAGTCGTTTTTAAAATACCGGTTAACACTGCTATGCATTGAATACATGAGTGCTGTCCATAAGATCTTGATATTAGTGATTAGATTCGCAATGCAGAACCAAAGCATTTGCCAAATAGTATCATAAGTTCGATAGAAAACATTTTCGGTAACAAATTTCTCGATGCATTTACATTCATTGCAAAAATTATCCAACTTTTCTCTGGCATTACCACATGGTTCGATCCTCTCAATTTCTTGAGCTAAACGTGTCCTGTCGTTTGAGTATTCAAATTTATCATTCTCGAAAAAGACTTGATGATGATCTTCATGTTCAATCAACTTAACATGGTCATCCATAGATTCACCAAGCTCTCTAAAGGTTCTCTTGTAAATGTCGTCAAACAAATACAAAATAGCTCCTTGTTCAAAGGCATATCCATCTTGATGAACTCGCGAACATCGACCTCCACAGTCAGAGTTTTTCTCGTAAATGGTAACATCGAAATCCTTTTGAGCCAGTTTAGCACCCAATGTCAGTCCACCAACTCCACCACCAATGATTGTTACCTTCTTAGAGCCACCGAGTCTTCTAGACTTAATATTCATGGCTTATAGCTGTCAACGAGTTAAAGTTATATCAATTAATTATGCAACACATTTGCATTCATTGATACTTACCACGAAATTTGATGTCATCTATTTACAGATTTGTCCTTAACTTGTGTTGAACGATCGGACAATTGGTTTCGTCTGAATTTAATATGGTTAATCATTTCGTTTTATATGGTCTGATCAATGGGAGTTAACATAGACTAGTTGGACAATTTTGGACAATCCGGTTTGTTGCTATATGGGAACTGGGAGAGTGAATGAATAAATTATAATTGAAGTTCAAGATTTAATTTTTTATTTCCATTTAATGAGTTTATTAATAAAATCATCATCGTTCTGATGGTTGTCTAGTTTAACTATCAACCCTGAGCTCATTGCTTGATTCCGTTTAATTATCCATTTTTTCATCAAAATCATTCTCGTCTAGCAATGTTACTTTTATCATGATTGACAAGACCATTCATCCGTTATGAATATACCCAAGTTATTAGTTATTAAATGATCGAGTGAACAAATGCAGAATGAAATTAATCGTGATACATAAACTAGCAATTCAAGAAATCACAAGGTTTAATAGTTTTTAAGTCATCAACTGATTCTCGTAAGCAGTTTAAAAGTGCATTGGAAGTTTTATTAAGATCGTAAAGTTTGATTGCTTCGTCGTTGTTTGAATATTATTTTATTGTAATACAGTCAATTCATATTGTAAGTGTTCAAGACTTAAGATGGAAACTATCGTCAAAATAAAAAAGACGGAAAATCCTTAGCTTGGAACATTGAAAGATCGAGATGAGTAAACCTTTTTTTAAAAGTAATACATTCAAAAGTTGATCAAAGTTTAGTATTATTCAATTTCGTTGATTCTTCACAGACAATTCTTCATTCTTCCAAGTCGAGTTGTTCAAGAATCAATATTTCTTTCTCGATTCTATCTCAATGAGATGTTACTTGACTATTCACATCTTATTATGAATGGTTACAAGAAACTCGAAGGCATTACTTATTACTTATTGTTAATATTTATGTTGAAAAGTTTATATTAATATCAAGCCTTTATTAGGTTTGTTACTAAAAAGACACAACCAACACAATTGTCACATTTATGCACTTTGCACAAAGGCTGAAAGACAAATGGAGAAAAACGGGTAAAAATTAGTTTCTTTCGAATTTGGACTCATGTTGGTTGGTAGGGACATGAAAATGGATCCATCTGTGCGATTTAAAAGTTTCACTGATCAATATTTTTCGAGAAAATCGAGTTTAAAGTTGAAACTTCGATTGCTTTTTGTTCAGCGATGGAAGTAGATTTTTTCGTGGTATTCATTCCACTGATGTAACTTTTGATGAACGACCAGAAAATGTATTCATTTTGAGAAATAGAACTTTTCTTTTTCTGTAAAACAGATTAGTTCGATTTTTAGTTAAACTGGCCGCATTCTATGACCGTAAGAGTTAACGAGCTTAAACTTATTATTTCGGCATGAAAATTGTCTGTTAACATCATGAATTGAATAATTCTATCAATTCATCAACAGTTCTCTTGATTTTGGCCATTGGCCTTAAAACTTTGAGCCTCGATATTTCGAGAGTGGCATCTCTTACATTTATCATTCTTTCACAAAACATTAGATTTCATCATGGACTATAACATTATCAGACTGAACACCGAATAAAATCTGAGCTAATCCATTCAATAATGAAGGTTTTTCTAATGTATAAGTTTTAGGTTTAGCTTTATAAACCGAGTCTCAAGTATGACAACATAAATATTAAAATGCTATAACTTTTACTGTAGAATCTTGAATGGTTTAATATTTCAGCATATTATAGACCATAATGCAATCTAATGTTTGACCAACAATAACGATTGTAGAAGATACCGATCCCGACATACTGACGCTCAAAGTTTTTAGGTTAATGGCCAAAATTAGACGAACGATAGATGAATTGTAAAAATTATTTAATCCATAATGTGTACAAACAATTTTTATCGACGCATAATAGGTTTCAGCTCATTAACTCTCACGGTAACAGAATGCAGTCGGTTTAACTAAAAATCGAACTTGATCTGTTTTACAGAAACAGAAAATGTTATTTCTCAAAATAAGACCATTTTCTGGTTGGTTATCAAAAGATACATGATTGCAATGAGCTTTCAAGAATATATCTGGTTCCATAGCTGAATAAAAGGCAATCGAAGTTTAAACTTTGCCCTCGATTCCCTTAAAAATGGTTCATCGGATCAATTATTCAATAGCACCAATGGATTTAGTTTTTATGTCCTTACAAACGCACCAAGTCTCAACTCACAACTCAAATGTTTGAGCCTTTGGCATCAATCTTTGCATTTGATTTGTAAGTTAAACCAGAAAATTAGTTTATTTACCAAGAAATGGGTTGAGATGAGTTTGTTATGTTAAATAAGTTGTTGCTCGCATATTTACAACCCAAAAATCATGACCCAAATGCGCTAATGGAAAGTTATTAAATTGAATTGAGTTAGTAATTAGTTAAGAATTAAATTGGTGAAAGAATGGTGATTGTGGATGATGCCATTCTCGAAATATCGAGGCAGAAAGTTTTAAGTCCAATGTCCAAAATCAAGAGAACTATTGAAAAATTGAAAGAAGTATTCAATCTATGATTTGAAGCAACAATTTTTATCGACGAATATCAAGTTTAAGCTCTTTAACATAGACGGTCACAGAAAGCGGTCGGTTTAACTGAAAATCGAACTTATCTGCTTTACAGAAAACATAAAATTTTATTTCCAAAAATAAGTAGCTTTTCTGGTTGGTCATCAAAAGTTAAATCAGTGAAATTAGTTTCATTGAAAAATCTGCTTCCGTAATTGTACAATAAGTTTTCGAATTTTTAACTTCGAATCCGATTTACTTCGTAACTGTCGATCAGAGAAATCTTTAAATCGCACAAATTGACTCAGTTTTTATGCCTTCATAAACTAACAGAATCTAAATTTGAAAGAAATTAATTTTTACCCGTTTTTGTCCATTTGGTTTTAGGTATTTGTGTAAATTTTGCATGAATGTGACAATTTTGTTGTCTTTTAGTAACAACCCTAATAACTCATTTGTTTTTTGATGGTTTACCAAACTATCAGTATTAATTATTTGTGTTTTGTTGAGGCTTTTTTGATTGTTAAGATTTTAATAGAAAGAAATATGCTGCAAATTTAAATGCTAACTAATGTTTATTAAAAGCGTTAATATCAATTTGACTACAATTTTTGTTTGCAGATTGTCTTGTCGTTTCATGGAATCATAGGTTTCATTTATCATGCTACAAATATGTCATTTACATCATGTTTGATGCTCGTGATGTTGTGAGCTTTGCAGACAAATTACATGAGCGAAATAAATGTTGAGAAATGAGTCTTCAAATCCGTTTGTTGTACTGGTTATTGGGTTAAAGTCAAGATGCTATCGTCAATACTATTCCTGAGTAAGTAAAAAATGGCACCAAAAAATAGGCATAAAAACGTTTGGGCTGGAAAACAGTAATATGATGAGGAGATGATGAGTTGTCTTGTGGTTTCATTGGCAGTCGATGGCAGGAGTCTTTTGAGCGGAATGGTCTGCTACAATTTTAGGGACCAACGAAAGAGCTGAGCACATAACTAGTGGGACTCCAGCACCAGGTTGAGTTGAAGCACCAACAAAGTAAAGATTGTCAAATTCTGCACACTTTTGATTAGGTCTGAAGCATGCTAAATTTTGTAGACAATGAGAAATTCCTAAAATGCTTCCTCCCCAACTATTGTATTTATCTTGCCACGTATCTGGTGTTTCTGTTTTAATGTTTGTAACAATCTTACTGGCGAAATCCTTTATTCCCAATTTATCTTCCAGTTTTTTAATTACTTTTTTCTTAACCATTTCAACCTTATCATCGAAACCACCTTGTACACCGGCCATTTCTCCGATGGGAACAATAACGGTCAGTGCGTCCATATCCTTAGGACGACCCATACAATCCTTAGGACCCATACCTGGATCCATGCGATTGGCAATGTGAATGAAAAATGATGGATCATCAGGAATTGTCTTCTTGTCGTGAATATCCTCAAACAGCTTTTTATAATCGGAAGGTATGAATATATTGTGACTTTTGAGTCCTTCAATTTTGGAATCCATTCCCCAGAAAAAGGTAATTGTTGATGGAACATGGTCTTTCTTGCTCAATTCAACTGCATATTTAGTTGGTGGCAGAAGTTTATTATAAGTATAAGTTAAATCAGCGTTGGAAATAACAATATCAGATAAGACAATGGTTTTATCGGCCAGTTTAACACCAATTGCTCTAGCACTTCTGTTGATTAAAATCTTGCGAACACTTTGGTTTTTTATTATTTTCACTCCATTTTCTTCGGCAATATTTTCCAAAGCAGTCACAATGCTCGCCATTCCCATTTCAGGATATCTAAGGCCTGACGCTATTTCATAAGCAACCAAAATGCTGAATAAAGATGAACCAGTATATGGTGATATTCTGTATCAGAGAAAATCAATAAAAGTTCAAGAAAAGATCAAAAGACCGTTACAATAGATGTTATTTATACGGGGTGTTAGAAAATTAACTAGACCTGTTTGAATGATAATAACTTCGAAATTGCTGGGCCATTTTTTTTATTTTTGGTATCATTAGAAAGCTGAAAGTCTAACTTAAAAAATTCGGTTCATTTCAAAAAGGAAAATTCTAAGCCGAACTACCAATCCCAGACGATGCAAAAAAATTGGGAAAATTTTAGGTGAAATTTGAAGAAATTTTGGTTAATTTTATTATGGGGTATTATGTTATTAATATTAATAATGTTGAAAATGATTCTTACCCAAAGTAAAGAGATTGAAAGGTCAGAGCTTGGCAGACTTTGTCAGTTTTAAAGTATTTGTTGACACTATTGTGCATTGTATAACTCCTGGCTGCCCATAAAATCTTCAAATTAGTCATCAAACCAGTCCACACATTAGGAATGAAATCATTGAAGAGATTAGCGTAAAAGTTAGTGAATAATGCAGGGTAGATACCGTTGAAGAAATTCATAATCCAGAACCAAAGCATTTGCCAAACATTATCATAAGTTTGATAGAAAATGTTTTCGGTAACAAACTTTTCGATGGCTTTACTTTCAGCGCAAAAATTTTGCAGTTTTTCCTTAGCATCACCGCACGGCTCGATCAGTTCAATTTCTCGAGCTAAACATTCTATGTCTTTTGAGTAATTAAATTTCCCGTCTTCGAAAAAGACTTGATGATGATCTTTATTGTCAATAAACTTAACACGCTTTTCCAGATCCTCGCCAAGCTCTTTAAAGTTTCTCTTGTAAATATCGTCAAACAAATACAAGATAGCTCCTTGTTCAAAGGTAAATGCATCTTTGTAAATTCGCGAACATCGACCTCCGCAGTAATTGTTTTTTTCGTAAACGGTGACATCGAAATCATTTTGAGCCAGTTTAGTAGCGGCTGTCAGTCCACCAACTCCACCGCCGATGATTATTACCTTCTTCTTAGTCATGATCAATAGCTGTCTACGAATGTAAAGATATAATTAAAGGTGTTTATATTTGAAATGATCGGTACTTACCTCGGAATTTATCAATGACCACAAAATTTGTCACCAAATTTGTCAGATTTGTCTTGGACTTGTGTTGAACAATCAGACAATAACTTTCGTCTGAATTTAAAATGGCCAATCATTTCTCTTTATATGGACTAATCAATGGGAGTTAACACAGATTAGTTGGACAATTTTGGATAATCCGGTTTTTATTTATATTCAATGCAAACATCTTCAACGTTCTGACCGTTCTCATGTTAATGTTTAACTATCAACTCTAATCTCGAGTTGCTTTCATTGCTTCACTCCGTTTAATTAACCATCATTTTTTCATCAAAATCATTCTCGTTATGCTCGTTTAGCAATATAACGTTTATCATGATTGACATGAGCACTCATCCGTTATCAATATAACTGCGATATATTCAACAGTTTTTGGGTTATTAAATGGTCGAATGAACAGATGCAGATTGAAATTAAACTTGATACATAAAGAAATTCAATAAAATCACAAGCTTTAATCATTTTTAAGTAATCAACTGATTCTTTTGAGCAGTTTAACAAATTAGCTGGAAAGTTGCAAGAAATTAGTGCTTTGGAAATTTGATTAAGATCGTAAAATTTGATTGCTTGGTTGTTGTTTGAATACTATTTTATTGTAATACAGTTGATACAAATTGAAAAGATTCAAATCACAAAATAAAAAAATTGAAAAATCTTTAGCTTTTGCCAGATTGAATGATCGATATCGAGATCAAAAAAACCTTGCCTTAAAAATTAATTAAAAGGAGACCAAGTTCAGTAATATTTAATTTCGCAACTATCCACAGATTTTGAGTTGTTCAAGATTCCATTTTTCTTTCTATCGATTCTATTTCAATAAGAAGCTACCTGGCTATTTACACAATCTTAGTAAAAATGGCTAAGAGAAACTCGAAATCCTTGTTTCTTTTGTTGAATAGTTTAAATCCATTATTTTGCTAAGACCCATATTGGACAAATAGAGAGTTAAAACTAATTAAAACTTATATCAAATAAAAGCCAAGGAAATTCCCTTAAATTAAGTCTAATTTTGTGCAAATCTGTCTAGACGTTGAGCCACGTTGAAAGATTCAAAAATTTACTGTCAAACTTTACCAGTCATACCTTATTTAACATAACTAAAGCCTTTATTAGGTAAACCCAAAGGCCTTTGTGCGTTTTCCGTAATTTATTTCATTTAAATAATTATTCAATACAGTAAAATATATTCAGTTTCCATTTTCAGTATAAGTCTCAATACGAATGGCTAAGAGAAAACTCGAAGTCCGTTGTTTCTTTTGCTGATAAGTTCGCAAAACCTGTGAAAAATCTGCTTTTTCTAGATCGTCTTTTGGAATTGAGGATTTTAATTTTCTATGGTTGATTTGATCTTCTATGATCACTCTAATGTTTGATTGATGTTTAACCAATGGCTTTATATTTTAAATCTTTTTTCAAAAAAATCAAGGGATTTCTGTTTAACTGAAGTCAATCCTTTCGATTAAATCCTATCTGAATAACACAACACTAAATTGTCTTTCAACATTGCAAATGAACAAAAATAGCTCGAAGCTCATTTGTTTTCTATCGTTATTAATTAATGATGTTTTGCTGATCTAAACTGTATTTTAATTTCAGTCATTTTAAATGGAAAATGAAATGAAAATTCAAATGTAACTCAAATTATGACTCACGTAAATTGATTTGAACATTTGGTTCAGACAAATTGATTTCATATTTTTTCGCGATATTGTTGACCATTTGGATAATACTTTTACTTGGTTTCTATTTTGATTGTTAAAATTTTCATGAAAAGAAATTTGTTTTAAATTTAAACCTTGACTAGTATTTATTAAACGCGTTATTATTTAATTGACCACACTTTTAGTAGATTGTTTTGTGCTCGATTTCATCGAATCAGAGGTTTCATTTATCATGCTACAAATATGCAACATGACACTAACAATTTTGACGATAATTTGAGTAACGTGGCTGATGTTCATGATTAGTCATGATAAACACTCATTGGTAACATGATTAGTTTGATTTAGATGTTTTGATTATTTTGAATCCAAAGAAGTATTCACTTCATTTAAGGTTCTTTTTTCAATGAAGGATTGTTTTTAATCGAATCTTTCGAAGAGCGAAAGATTACTCCACTTATGTTTACTACCAGCTGTCTTGAAAGCAGAATCATATTTTCTTCTTCATATTAAATTTGGTTTTAAGAGCATGTTGGTGATGGATGATGATTATGAGCTTTTTTTTGTTTGCGTAAACCGTCTCCACCGAAAGCATATTTAGCTTGTTAGAAAGAGGTTCACATTTTTATTTGGTTTCAAGTGTGTTGTTGGTTGGTGCTGATAGATTCAAATAATTGCTCTAGTGAAGAAAAGAAGAAATAAAGAATTTTGACATTTTTATACTCTCATGGGGCATACAGATTCAATCAAAAGTTGGCAAAACCGGGAGGTGGTTGTTTCTGACGAATCACTGGCATGGTCCTAAACCCTTGGTGAGATCTAGCCATGGGATGTTGACAATTCTGTAGACCATTTGCGATTGAGAAAGGGTTTGCGTGGGTTGGGTGAATCTGATGTTGTGTTGGATGCTGGTGATGCTGAGAGTTTTGCTGGAACCAAGGCTATAATAGATAAGAGAAAAAAAGACATCAGTAAGCATAATAAAACAAATTTGAAAATATTGAAACAAAAAATTATGGTTAAAAGCTTTGTTTATCTTATTTTAGGATTGAACTATTCCATCTGTTAGTCTATTTTAGGAAAACACGAACATGGTTCATGTAAATAGAAAATTAAAATGAATATAAACTCGAAATGGGACAAAACCTGAATCAATAAAAGTAACAATAATTCTAAAAATATGAGATGAGATATAACGAATTTATATAGAGAGCTAACATTTTCACACTCAATGATTTAATGATAACTCACCGTTATTTGAGAAGGTACATGAACAAACGGAATTTGTTGTTGTTGTTGTTGTTGTTGCTGCTGCTGCTGCTGCTGTTGCTGGTGGTGGTGGTGATGATGTTGAGGTTGCGTCTGGGCGGGAGGCTTGAAGTAGTTAGAGGCTGACGCGGAGCTTCCTGCAAAAGTTATATTGACATTGGGGAGAAGAGCTTTCAAAGAGTTACGCCAAGAAATGTGTTCTTGTGTAAGCTGATCTTCTCTCATACTAGATCGAGATGCTAAAGAAGGAGCCGGAGGAACAGGATAATTGATAGACTGAGAAAAACCGGTGGACACTGGAATTGATTGACTCATCCCTAAACACGATACACTATCCTCATATGAATGATTTCTGATTAAGTCTTCTAATCCATTTGTGGATATAGTTATTGGGTCAAAGTCAAGGCCATCATCGTCAATACTAGTTCCTGGTGAATTTGGAGGCATCGATTCATCACCCGGTGATTTACAACGGTTTTCTTTTCCGGATCCTTCATCTTCCTCTTGTTCTTCTTCCTCTTGAGAGGAAATATGAGGATGAGGTAATGAAATGCCTGATGAACAGGTTGAAAAGCTGGTACTACTATCACTACTAATTCCGATTATTTCGTCGATTGAGTGAACATGGTTACCACAATCACCTCTGTTGATGTTAAAGTTTCCATTTTCACCTTCATTGGAACAATTTGATTCATAAGAACCGAGTTCGTCTCCGACATAATTACATAAATCATTAGATTCACCATCATAGTCAACTGTTCCTTGTTTGTTATGGTCCCGTGGTAATGCTGAATACCTTTGGTTATTACTATTCAGCGCACCATTCATATTGGCGTTTTTCCTACTTAAATATTGATTTATTAATTTCTTTTCATATTCCGTATGTTTCCCTTGTTGCATTTCTTCTTTTGTGAATGATGCCTCAGGGTCCGCCAATTCGTGTAGGTACATACCTAAAAAGATTTAAAACAAAACAGAAATGAATTATTAAAGAAAACCAGTCGAAAAAAAGAATAAAAAAAGTTGAATTATCTTACATTCAGGTAATTTGGGACACTGCATGTTCTTTAACCAATGAGTACAATATTTTGTCGTTCCTAAGCTCGCCCGTAAGGTTAAATTAGCACCTTTCTTAGAGCCTTTAACATCTTTCAAACCGTTAATTATAATTTGATTATTTCCATTGCATTGGTTACTCTGATTTAATGTCTGAATAGCTTTGATAGCATCCTCAGGCCTTGAATAGGTAACGTAAACAGAATTAACCAAACTGTTACCATTGCTACCAATAACTAATTTATGAATCTTTCCAAACTTGCTGAATTCCCTCCTATTTAATTAAGAAAAGGAAAGAGTTAAATAATATTAGATATTTCACCATTAATACAATAGAGTGAAAGAATTGAAGGTTAGGTCACAGATATCACCATGCTCAAGAATACAGCAGAAAAGGAAGTCAAATTGAATCAATAGCAATATCATTTTAAGCAAAATAAACAAAAAATAAATCTTAGTGATTAAACAGATTGATTTTGTTGCGAGCTATCTGCAGCTTTTTTCATAGAGACGATGTTAGAGATTTCTATGACAGTTTCTGGTTGAATATACTATCGATGAAGCTTGAAAGCTGAAGTATAGATGTCAACATTTTCTCCTGATCTTATTTCAATATAAGTTTCACTAAACATAATATATCCAAAGCTTTTTAAGCTTGAAGACGAGAGACATGAGATATATGTGACGAAATATATTAATGGGAATTCTGGAATACCTCAAATCGTCTTGAGATAATCTTGATGGTATACCAATAACGAAGACTAAATTCTTTTGCACGACCCGTAAACCAGCCAAATTTTTTTCTTCCTTCTTTACCACATTCACCGTTTTCTTGGTATCTGGTTGTTGGTTCAGTTTTTGTTTATTTGCTTGTTTCTTTTTCTTTTTCTTGTTCTTCACCAATTCTGACATAGCTTCAATTGTTAAATTAGAATTAAATCCAACTGGTGACTCCGGATATTCTTGTCTACAGGCTGGACACAGTCCCCTGCCACTCTTTCCAGTTTCAATGTTATCCTCTTCATTGGCTAAACGATGCCAACAAAATCTACAGATTTGATAGCCACATGGGCAAGGAAAAAAGTCAATATCATCGGCCTCAATCGGTTCCAAACACAAAGGACACTAAGTGAAGAAAAGATAAAAGGGAAATGAATGTTAAAATAAAAATCAGAGAAATTTATCCCATTGTTTACACTTTTCTGTTGGACAAAAAATATCTCACCTGTAAATCATCCATTTATAATTGTTGATATATTAATTAGAAATAAGGATCAAATAATTGTTGAATTGGGGAACAAAACACGACTCAAATATTTCACTTGGTGTACAGTCAAATGGTTGCTGTATTGTATGTTTTTGTTGTGTTGGTTTTTTAGTGAAAAAGCCTTGGTGTGATTACAGATCCAATTGAGAAGAAAAGCAATGATTTATAAACAAAAAACAAGCTTGATATCTTATTACTTATATCTTTATACTATTGTCTTAAATGTTAATTGTAGTATAAATGTATCTAATTATAATTAATTTTAAAGAATAGAAGATTAAATTTAATAATAATAATAATGAAAAATCAAAACACAAAAACCTGAAAGCTTGGAATTAGACAGCAGTTTCGACAGAGAACAAGAGAGTCATATGTAGTCAAAAGAGAGAAAGACTGAGTGAGTCAGTAGACAGTGAAGATAGACACATGAAGAGAAGACAAATTAGGAAGAAAAAGGAGAACAGTTTATTCAATTTTTCAATTTGTTGCAAGAATTGAATCAAGAATGCAAGAAAAATGTGAATTTCTTCAACAATTAAACGATTTCAATTCTATTGCATCAGATATTCACAAAACCATACTTTTTAACACAAGATAGATATTGTAACTAAATGAGCAATTCAATTTTTTAGCTTTTGAGTCTTTGTTTTATATTATGCCTGACATCATCAGCCTATCAATAATTTTATCAACAATAGATTAATTAACAATTTTGATTAGATTTAAATTGTCCTTATCATACTTAAATATTTCAGCTTAACCTGATATCTTTTACGTAATAAAACCAATGATCAACGTTTGTTATTGACTTTCAGTTTTTTTTGGTCATCAAGTCTCCTGTTTATCAGTTAAATCCTTGAAATTAATTTTCAACTGAACCGTAAGCTCAAGCTTAAATCCATTTCAAACAAATAAATTCCAATAATTGAAACGTGTTTGGCTTAATATAGCAATGATGGTTAATTTAACATTTGCGTATTATTTATCAATATTCAGTGAATATTATTCACACTATTTTAGTCAAATTAGCTGAGAAGCTATTTTCACTATAATTCGTATAAATAGCCTTGATGAACATTTAGCTTCATGGTTTAATTAAAAATTCAAGAAATGAATTGATTTTTATGATGCTATTTGAATGATGAAATTTACTCAAGTCACTCTAATCTTATAAACAATCAATAACATATATGGAGCAACAATCTAGTTTGATAACTTCCATTTTTGTATGGTTTTCGTTACCTTCGATGTGATTTTGATTTTAAAATTCAAGTTCAAATGACGATTTCCTTCCTAATTTTTAATTCTCAATGCAAAAATTTATTAAGATTTGATCATGGTTTGAAAAATTTGAAACTTTTTTTGTTGAATATGAATATTCGTCGTTTATTTGAGATGAATGAATGATTGTGAATGACATGCAGTTCAACTACAAAGCTATGTTGACAGGTGATCGTCTTCGTCTGATTTTAAATCTAACTTATTGAGCTGGGTACAGATGAGATCGTTTTCAGTACTATAGCTTTCAACCTCCTGTGCGAGAGCAGTAGTGAGTGTACTGGTATCTAATTTATAATTTAATACTGTTCGCAATGCCATAGAGCGCAAAGTTCTGTTCGGATCAATAACGAATAGATCATTCATCTCCATTAAATGATGTGCTTCAGAGTCAGTGGCTTGGGGCAATGGGCAACTTCCTCCGAAAATGTAGATAAACGAGTTTACAGCAAGACAACAATGTCGACGTCGAGCACAAGGAGGATCCTGCCCGATAGTATTTACAGGGGCCCATGAATAGGTTTTAGGATCAAAGACATTAAAGTCGTTGTAATGTTCATCGGTAATATCATTGTAACCACCAAAGACCACCATTTTGTTGTCAATTACTACAGCTGAATGGCTCCTTCTGCCGACTGGCTTGTATCCTTCGATAACTGGTAGACACCAGCTCATCAACTGGAGGTCTAATTCCAATATCTTATTATCGTAATATGGGCCATTGTATGACCGTCCACCAAAAAGATAAATTTTATCATTTATAACCACAGAGGTTAAAAAATCTCTCCTGAGTATATCAGAAGTCAGCTGATATACAACTTGCCATGTACAAGTTTTTAACTCAAAACGGAAAACAGTATCAGAAAATTCTTGACTCTCTTCCTCAAACCCTCCGAAAATGTACATAAATCCTTCAAATATGCAAGCAGAATGACCATCACGAGCTCCTGATAAAGAAGAAGATTAATTAGAGTGATTAATAGATCATAAAGATTGGTTGAAAACAAAATGCATACCAGGAATCGGTCCTTTAACTTTCGGGGCTGACCACTTTCGCGTTTTTGTATCAAAAAGAAATAGTTTATTGCATGCAGCTTCCTCCCTTCGACCACCCCACAGATAAATAATGTTATCGCACGCTACTGCACTATGGCCATATCTTCTGAACGGAACATTAGCAGAGTTGCCTGAAACACGAACAAAAATAAAATAACAAGAAAGTCAATAAAATATCAAATACAATGAAATGAATGAAAAATTGTAATATTGTAATATTGCGATATAACAATAGATTCAGAATTAAAATTAAAAAACAAACCTGAATCAGAGTATGCGAGCTCTTTCCATCTTAAAGTGACCATATTAAGAATGTAAACATCAATGGGCCTCTCAACGTTGTATTTCTCGAGGCCAATATACCCACCGAAACTATAGATGAGTCCATTGACAACGACAGAAGCATGGTTGACACGCTTGAGCCCACCTTCTAGTCTAGATAAAATCAACATCACAATAATATATTTAAATCACAGAAAAATAAAACAATTAACGTGTGAACAGTCTTAAAATTAACAATGATTAATACAAAAATCTTGTTATACAATTTATACCAGAAACCAAAACAAAACAACAAAGATTTCTAACAAGTCAAGTAAGTAAGTCAAGGGGACGCCACAAGTAATGTTGAAAAATTTCAATCTGACATTGGCGAGAAAAGCTTTCAAAGAGTAACTCCAAGAAATGTGTTCTTGTTTTCTGTTCTCATACCAGATCAAGATGCTAAAGAAGGAGCCGGGAGACCATGATAATTCCAGGATAATTCCAGGATTATTGATAGGCTGAGAGAAACAGGTGGACTCTGGAATTGATTGACTCATCCCTAAACACGATACACTATCCTCATATGAATGATTTCTGATTAAGTCTTCTAATCAATTTGTGGATATAGTTATTGGGTCAAAGTCAAGGTACTTATTCCTGATGAATTTGGAGACATCGATTCATGACCCGGTGACTGCCTGATGAACAGGCTGAAAAGCTGGTACTACTATCACTACTAATTATTTCGTCGATTGAGTGAACATGGTTACCACAATCACCTCTGTTGATGTTAAAGTTTCCATTTTCACCTTCATTGGAAAAATTTGATTCATAAGAACCGAGTTCGTCTCCGACATAATTACATAAATCATCAGATTTACCATCATAGTCAACTGTTCCTTGTTTGTTATGATTATGGATAACTATTATTTTATTATTGTATTAGAGCTGTTTGTAGATTGAAGCTTGAGGCACTTCTCAATACAACAATTGTCTTCGATGCGAAAATTTTATTTGTTTTGAATAAATATTCGTCGTTTATTTATGATGAATTAATGATAGTGAATGACATGAAGTACAAAATTATACAGAGTTATTTTTACGGGGGTCTTTTTGCATGCATTGCTAAATCTAACACCTCGACCTGGGTACATGCGAGTCTGTTATCAGTACGATAGCATTCAACCTCTCGTCTTAGAGCAGGAGGAAGTCTTCTAGTGTCTAAATCATGATCTATTACAGCTTGTAATGACATAGAGCGCAAGCTTCTTTCCGTATCAATAACGTATAAATCATCGAGTTCCATTAAATAATGTTCTAGAGCACCTGCGGCTTCTGGCGCTGGGCAACTTCCTCCGAAAATATATAGATATGAATTGACGGCAACACAGCAATGTCTGCGCCGAGCAGTTGGCCTTGTATCCCCACTAACAGCCACTGGCTCCCATTGGCGTTTCTCAGGATCAAAAATATGAAAATCATTTAAATGTTCATTGACAACGTCATTGTAACCACCGAAGATCATCATTTTATTGTTAACCACTACAGCTGTATGACTCCTTCTACCACACGGTTTGTATCCTGAAACTTCTGTTTTAGTTAACCTCATCCTATCGGTATCTAGTTCCATGATTTCACTGTCATAAAACGGGCACGGATATGTGCGGCCACCAAAAAGGTAAATTATATCGTCAATTGCCACACATGACATGAAATCTTTCTTGAGTAAGTCAGAACTGAGAAGATATAAATGTTGCCATGTACGAGTTCTAAACTCAAAACGGTAAACAGTATCAGCAAATTCGCGTCTCTCTTCCTCAAACCCTCCGATAATGTACATAAATCCTCCAGATGTGCAAGCAGAATGGCCATCACGGGCCACTGATAAAGATAAATTGATTACGATAATTAATAAGATCATTAAGACTGCAGGAAACAAAATGCATACCAGGAATCTCTCCTTTAACTTCATTGGCTAACCAAGAGCGCGTGTTTGTATCAAACATGAACATTTTATTGCACAGGACTTTATTTTTTCCACCACCCCACAGATAAATAATGTCGTCTTGTGCAACTACAGTATGACCATATCTTATACACGGAACATTTGCAGGATTTCCTGTAAGAACAAAAAAAATAAATATTAATTTAATATTAAAGTTAATAAAATGATATGTAAAATAATTAAACAACTTACCTCCATCAGAGGGTCGAATCTCTTCCCATCTTAATGTGTTCATGTCTAGAGTGTAGACATCGATGGGTCGGTCAAAGGAATAGTCCTCGGTACCGGCGAATCCACCGAATGAATAAATGTGTTCATTCACAGCAACAGCAGCGTGATTGACTCGTTTGAGTCCACCTTCAATTCTGGTTAAAACTATCATGATGAATTTAACGAGAGATAGAGACAACTAAAGGAAACTGAAACCTAACTGTTTTTTGTTTTATTTATACAACGATTTCTGTGGCACGAGATGACATAAGCAATGGTGAAATGAGATCAATAAAATTTGGTAAAGTCAGGTTTAAAAACTCTTAAAAGTCTTTGAGCAATCAAACCAAAGAGTAGGATAACGTTACTTTATTCTTTGAATCAAACACTAGTTAAAAAAAGAGTTGGACACTATGGTTACAATTTTTTGCCAATTTACATCCCTTTTTAAAATTTCAAAAGCAACACAAAAAAGTCCGTTGAAAAGTAATCAGAGGGGAAAAAACTCATTTTTAGACTGTTAAGCAAGATTGAAAATGAAATTGTCTGCTCGACAAATAGTGAATAAAGTTACTAAAAGACACAAACTGGCAAAAATTGGTAAAATTCAATTTCTTTCAAATTTAGAGTCTGTCGATTTGTAGAGACATGGAAATGAATCCATCTAACTAAAGTTATCTACGGTATTAGATGACGTTCAGGAGGAGAAAGAGATGAATAAATGTCTTGCCCAAAATCAAGACTTATGGTCTCAAAAGTTGAAGCAAACTGAACAAGATTTAAAAACTGCTATTGAAAAGAAAGATACAGAAATCCAGGAACTGAAGGAACAAGTCAGAGATCTTATGTTCTTCTTTGAGGCGTCTAACAAATTGAAAGATGTCAAAGAAGCGACCCAAGAAGAAATCGAAGAAGGACAAATTGTTATGGGCTCATCATCCACGGCTTCAGCTTCTTCCTCCAAGCAAAAACATCGTTCTCGAAGACGGTAATTAGGAGTTTACATCATCATTTAAAATGAGGAAGCCAAGCAATTTACATATAAGGTATTCAAACCAAAGACGAATTTGATAAAAAAGCATTTTGCATTACAATCCAATCTCCGAATACTTATTCAAAATATAATTATGATTTAATGTTGTATTTACTAAAGTTCAATTTGATTATTGAAAAATATTTAAAGTACATTTGAAATACAGTGAGTGACAAAACTTGTAATGATTAACTTCACTACATTATATTACGATGAAATTATTGTTTCTCATCTAAACGAAAATTCGAGCTTGTTGCATTATTAAATCAATTTAATTTTTTTGTTACCATTGACTTCAAGCTCTCATCCGTACTCAAAATACGAAATTAATAATTGATTGATTTAAAAGTAAATCTGATTATCGACAATCAATAATAACCTAAAAATATGGCCAATTGTCTCACAAAATTGACCAAAATATTGAATGTGTTACAACAACTATCAGTTTTGTTATTATTTATAATTATTATTATACGTTTATTGAGCATTGAGCTGGGTACATTGGAGTTTGTTATCAGTACGATAGCTTTCAACCTCTCGTCTTAGAGTAGGAGGAAGTCTTCTAGTGTCTAAATCATTTTTTAATACAACTTGTAATGCCATAGAGCACAAACTTCTGTCCGTATCAATAACGAATAGATCATCCAGCTCCATTAACTGATCTGCTTGATCTTTTCTGGTTTTTGGCTCTGGGCATCTTCCTCCGAAAAGGTAGAGAAACGAGTTTACAGCAACACAACAATTTCCCTGTCGAGCACGGGGAGGCTCCTGTCCGATAGTATTTACAGATGTCCATGAATAGGTTTTAGGATCAAAGACATTAAAGTCGTCGTAATGTTCATAAGTAATGTCGTTGTAACCACCGAAGATCATCATCTTGTTGTTAATCACTACAGCTGAATGGTTACTTCTAGCGTACGGCTTGTATCCGGCAATTGCTAGTTTAGATAAGGTCATCTTCTCAGTATCCAGTTCCATAATATCATTGTCATAAAACGGACACCTCAATGAGCGGCCACCAAAAAGGAAAATTTTATTGTCAATTGTCACACATGTCATGAAATGTTTTGCCAGTAAGTAAGAATTTAGCTGATTTAAATGTTGCCATGTACAAGTTTTAAATTCAAAACGGAAAACAGTATTGGCAAATTGATGTCTCTCTTCCTCAAACCCTCCGAAAACGTACATAAATCCTCCAGATGTACATGCAGTGTGATCCATTCGAGCTCCTGATAAAGAAGAAGATTATTCAAATTAATTAATAAAATCATTAAGGAAACAAAATTCTTACCTGGAATCGTCCCTGTAACTTCATTGGCTAACCAAGAGCGCCTGTTTGTATCAAACATGAAAATTTTGTTGCATGGAACATAGTCTCGGCAACCACCCCACAGATAAATAATGTCGTCTTGTGCAACTACAGAATGACCATATCTTATACACGGAACATTTGCAGGATCTCCTGTAAAAACAAAAAAGTAAATATTAAGTTAATAAAATGATATGTAAAATAATTTGAACAACTTACCTCCATCAGAGTATTGGATCTCTTCCCATCTTAATGTGTGCATGTCAAGGGTGTAGACAACAATTGGTCGCTCGTAGGAATAGTCATCGGTACCGGCCAATCCACCGAATGAATAAATGTGTCCATTCACAGCGACAACAGCATGATTGACTCGTTTGAGTCCACCTTCAATTCTGGCTACAACGAGCATGATGAGTTTAGCGAGAGAGAACTCTAAAGTAAATGAAGGCCAAACCATGTTTTGTTGGTCTATTTATACAGAGAAACGCAAGAAATGTGCTTCTCGGTTAGTCACTAATCTTTTTAGCCCTCGAGCAAATAAAAACTGATCAAAGAGTAGGCGACTATGGTTTCGCCAATTTTTAAGCCTTTTTAACATTCTAGACAAGCAACAGGAAAAAGTCCGTTGAAAAGTAATCAGTGGGTAAAACTCATTTTATCTCATAAACTTGAATTTTAATCGTGAATGCTTATGCAAAAAACTTCAGGAATCAGTTTAAAATGAAAATCTGAGTGAAACTAATTCTATCAAGCAAGATTGAAAATAATGAAATTGTCTACTCGACTAACAGTGAGAATAAGGTTTGTTACTAAAAGACACAATTAACACAATTGTCACATTTATACACAAATTGAAACAAATGGGCAAAAACGGGTAAAAATGAATTTCTTTCAAATTTAGTTTCTGTTGGTTTGTAGAGACTTAAAACCTGAGTCCATTGCCCAATCAATAGATTTCATTGTGGGCTATAAAATTATATGACTGAATATCGAAGAAAATTCGAGCCAATTCATCCCATTGTTCAAAATAGTCGCATGTTCTTGTTGGCCATCAGGATTTACATCATTCAAATGAGTTTCATGGAAAATCTGCTTCCATAATACAAAAAAGCGATCCAAGTTTGAAGATGAAGATCCAAGATCAAACTCAATTTGAGTAAAAATGTGACAATTGTGTTGATTGTGTCTTTTAATAACAACCTAATACTTTCAATACTTAAATAATATTTCAATATTTGATCGACCAATACCAATATTATCAATCAATACTTCATGAAAGTATTGTCCATCTCCAACGACAATCATAAATAGTAATCATTAATAAAGATTTAGATCCATGTTTACTCTAACATTCAAGGAAACTTTTGGTTAATCAATTTCAATCAATAGTATTTTATTATATCTAACAAAGTCTCGATTTCTAAATCTGTTTGTGTCAAAAAATTTGGATTATTTTGATTCACTTTCACTGCTGATATAAAAATATCGAAAAATTTATTTTTCCGTTTTCTGTATTTACTTTTCTGTTTCAATGGCCAGTATTAACGTTATGATGAATTTACTCTGATTAGACCAACATTATTTAATTATCTTTTCACCAGTCAACCATGGACAATTTAATGATCAACTTCCGAATGACATTCCTCTCTTTTTCTGGTTGTTTTACCCATAAATACCTATTTTTAACCAGAAAAAAGCAAAGCAAAGAAACAATCTTTAAACGATTTAGAGCCAAGATTGAAATGTAGACTCAATAAAAGTTGGTTAATATCTTATTAACTGATGATGGATCGATGTTTAATATGATCAATCAAATTACGGAGTAAATGGTGTTGATTTTTCATGATGATGGAAGTTGATGATGTACAAGGAAAGAGTTGATCAGAATGTGTTTCCTTTGCTGGTGTTAATTTGATTGTTTCCAAATCTAATCCAGTCAATTTGATTATTTAATCACCAAATGGACATTCATTTATTCAATTGTTTCTTTTTGTCATTCAAAGTTCCCATTTACAGTGAAATTTTGACGGTGTTGACCTAAAGATAATTTGAATATTGAAGGATCACAATGGGCATTAAATTCAAACCTTGGCTTGTCTCAATAAGCTCAACAAATTCAGCATTCATTGATTGTCATTACAATTGAAGGTGGTTTTCACTGAAAATTTCAGCTAAATTGGGTGTCAGTATAATGTGAATGTTGCCATTCCTATGATTTGAATTACACTCAAAAATAGACTTTTTGTTTACGGTCAATAGGCTGTCCAAATTGTCTTTCATTTTGATCTGAATCTTTTTCATCTCAATAACAATTAAAATTATTGTTGACTAATGTAATTTAGTGACAATTATCTGGTATATTATCTTATTAATATTATTATCTTATTATCTTATTAATATTAAAAGGACTTGATCATTAACATTGAATTGTCTAGCCGAAAGATATCGATGAAGTTATGAATTATTTGTATTCACAAACGACAGTCATCTTTAACCATTAATACAAGATACAATGAACTTTCATAAATATACAATTTAACTGAGCAAATTGGAATCGGATAGCGAAAGATAAAAAATATTCATTGATGCAAAATAGAAAAGAAACAAAAATTGAAAAGTCAATTCTGATAACCAGGAAAAATGTAAAAAAAGCGCTTGAAGGGAACCTGAAAAATTGTCAAATGTTATCATTAATTTCCGATTTAACCAAAGTAATCAATTTTCTAGTGGTTTTTGAACATCTTTTAACTTTTGATTGAATCAGGTCGATGATTCAGTTTGATTATTTGATTATTGTTATTCATATTGAAAGTGAAACTTGAAAATAATAATTCTAGATCATTTCTGGTTATAAATAGTTACCAGACAACCTTGTTTACATTTTGTTTCTGGTTGTTTCATTGAAACGCTAAAATAAATCAGGCCTTAAAGCGATAGGCCAAAAGAAGAGGAAGCTTTTTACCGTTTAAACATTTCTTGTTAAATTGGGTCTAAATTGTAAGCCAATTCAGTCAATATTAAGATTGTAATACAATTCAAATGTGTAATTATAAACTGGTGCACTAATGAGTACAGCTAAATCCATTGAATTTCAGTGATATGCAAGTAATTTCATTACAGTAGCCAATATAGCTTATTGAATAATCACTTGAATAATTGATAACATCTTGAATTGAGTGATAGTTGAAACTATTATAGTCCATTATAATGATAAGTATTGGTTAAAAGATGAATATATAATAATATCAAACTCGCAAAATACTCATTTGATAATTAGATTTCTGTTAAATTTTGACCATTCATAAGTATTATTTGAAGCTATTCAATCATTGTGTGAATAATTGCATTGAGAAAATCTTGAAACATGTATTTCTAATTGATGAAGTAAATTTTTTAATATTGAGTAAAAGTAATTATGTTATCGGTTGTGCAGTTTAATTTACCATTTTTGTGTAAACGATCTGTGAAATCAGAACAATTTAACAATATCAAACGAAATATATTTAACAAAATTTTAATCATCATTAATCAGTCATTGATGGTCATTAATCAGTCAAAGTTGATGTCTGTCTTTTTGCATGTTTGAAACAAAAAAACAAACTGCTTACATTTTTATCTGAAATTAAACATGAACCCAATGCCTTTAAGCAGCGTCTTGCTTCCCGTGACAGATTAGATTGTTTCAATGATTCACTCTAATCCACAAATAACAGCAAATAAATATTGTGAACATTTAAACATGATAAAATACATTCCGGATCGGAAAAGAGTTGAATATATTTAGTCAAAAACTGGCTTGTAATCAATCTTCTTGGGGTAATCTTCATCTTTGGATAGGCTTTTGTTTCACTTTCACTTTCTTTGTAGAGATTCGTGACTTATCAGCTTCAGGGTGATATCTCGAGCTCTTCGGTGATTGAAAGACCAACAAAAGTCACTAGCAAGGATAAGCGCCAGAAAAATGTACAATTTATCACCAGCTTCAAGCATTACCATGTTGATTGTCATCACTTTAGAGTAAGAAAATTTTCCTCCAAAATTCTGGTAAACTGGCTAAATGGCTTTCGATTTTGGGTTGAAACAGGAAATTTCCAGGACAATTGACCAGACAAAACATCCAAATTGAGCCGTCATAATTGTTACCTACATGATTAAAAATGTGTACATTAATAAATGATTGAAATTATAATTTTATCGTGGTATCTATGTTTAACCAGAATGAATCTTACTTTCCATTATCATTCATCATAAACATCATCTCGTTACTTTACCGACTTGTATTTTTCAACTTTCAACTGAATAACATTATTATTATTACCATTCCAAATCACAATACTAATTAACAGCTGTCAGAGAATAAGTATGCATTGGTTAGGGATGATAATACCGGTAATAACAATCAACTTGTCAGGCAAGTTGTTGGAGTTTATAACAACTCAAGAGACTTGATTTTAATAACTGATTAATCTGGATGATCAGAAATCGATCAACACTCGAAGCTAACCCATTCGATTAGTCAGGATTGACAAAATTAATTGATCAGTTTTCAGATCAAATTGAAATCAAGTTACTTTAATATCACTCAACTGTTCACGGTCTTCCCTTAGATTTACATTTTACTTGTAAAACAGCAAACATTTACCTTAAAGGCAGATGAATATTTACTTTTATTAGAATCACCATTCCTTAATATTGGTCAAGTTGATGAAATTATAAATCTATCCTCTTTCTGCTTCATCGATATCATCGTTTGATTAATTTAATTAATCAGAAAAGGTCGAAATAAGGAAGAAGTGGAAAATAAAAAGAAACAAAATGAATGGCAAAATGTAAACATGTTCAACAATCAGTGAAATAATTCATGAAAGTTGTAGGTTTTCATGAAGAAGATATATCATGTATTAAAATAAAGTAAAAATAGTTACCTGTTTTTGTCATCATCTCTTCCTTATCTCCATCATTTCAACCTAACAAACTGTTAGATTGTCTTGACCCTCAGGTCCACTATCAATTTCAATCATTGATACATTTAACTTATAAAGAACAATTTAAAACCTAAAGTCACACATACAATAGCATAAGGTTACCATTTGAACGTTGAAAAGTATACCAGGAGTTTCAAGATTGTGGCCAGATTAACTAATGTTGATCATGGAAAATTTTCAATTGATTTAGATTAGATAAAAATTTAAATAAAACAAGTTGACAATTCAGCAAATTAGCAATAGAAATAAATTTAATTAAAACCAAACCAAATAAAAACGGTAAAGTTTAACGGATAATAATTTCAAAAGCGTTACCAAGTCAACTAACTTATCCAAACCGTTGATGTTTAAAATTAGAAAGTTAAAACCGCTCAATTTGAATACAAATTAATCTTCATTATTCACGCTAATTAGCAATTATCATCATTTGTTTTCCTTGTAATTCATATTAATTGATCAACTCTACTAATTAAATTAATAAACAAAATATTCATTCGATAGTTGAAGAAATGAAAAAGACTTTGAATGTTATAAAATCATTAAAACTGGTTTAATTTAAATTTGATCAATCTTTGACTCAAATTGATTCAATAAAATCAAAAAAGGTTAATTTTTTGCTTTGATGAACTGATTAATTGACGGTAATAGCCATTCTCAATTTAACAGTGAACTTGAATGACAATCTGATTGAAAAGCTTAACATGATTAAACTGAAGGTAACCTTTAACCATTTTAATCTCATCATATTACAATCAAATGAAGAGTTTAATACAGGTTAGTTAATCTCTTCAGCTGATTCAGTCTTTAGCTATATGATTAGCTTAACCATTTTTCATGTAAATTGTATTTATCTAGATTAAATTGAAATGTAAAAGTGAAAACATTTCAATTGATTTCTGGTAATCTTGACAAATTGAAAGTTCACAGCCTTTAAACCTAAATTTTACCTAATTTTTGGTTGATTGTAAGATTAAAGATTCAATAATAATAAGCTGTAGCTAATGTTAATAAGAGTTCATTATTCAACTATTTTAACAAGACAACCTTCAAATTGAAATAATTTTCAATAATTGAACTGATTGTAGCATGTTTTGTGATATTATTTTTGATAACCATGAAGATGTTAACTCATTAACATGGTTAAACCAATATTTTAAAAGGTCAACGCAATTTAATTTTGTTTTAATCAACGGAAGCTTTTACTTCATTTACTTGGCTATTTAATTAAAAAATTGTAACACAATGTTTGTATAACAGCAACAGTCATTTGCTGAACTTCAATTTTCACAGCAAAGTGTTTTTGCCACCTTGTAATGCATACAAACATCACAATTTAAAGTGATTGAGGACGAAGACTTTATTAATCGTTAACCTTGTAGGTTTCCAGTAAATCAGTGTGTTTAATCAATTGTCTCATCCATGATTAGGTTGATCAATTGAACTTCAGAGTTTAAAAGTAAAAGCAGTTTTTTTCTGGCAAAATTATAGTCCATCTAAAGCGAGAAGACCAAGACTAACACTTGAAATGATATGTTTTAAATGAGATCCATCATTTGGGATAATTTGCACTACAATCTATAATTTTGTAGCTTCATTTTTGACAAATAATGATTAAAGTTGTGTTCTAATTAACAGTTTTAATCATTGTTTTATCCCTAGTCAAGTTAGTTTCAATACAAGATGAGATGATGATATAAATAGATACAGTGCAAAAATGTTCAACTCAACTATTATTACTGATTTAATAACTGTAGGTTTGTTTTCAAGGAGCCTTTTGTTCTGATTGTGTAATTTATGATTGATTATTGAGTAAACTTACCAATTCAAAATATATATTAAGCCACAATTGTGTTGGTTTAGGTTAATTAGTTGAACCATTTTGTGGTCTCTAATTGAAACACTGCAAATTAAGTTTGATGTTCATCAATTTGTCTTGATCCTGTTGTATTAAAGTCATGTTGTATTGTAGCACAGACATTATGTAATTGTAAATGTTGCTTTGATTAAAATCATAAGCAAAATAATTACTAAATAGGTCAGTTGATTAACAAAAACAGAGTACAAATTGTACTTCAAATAATTTAATAAACAGCTTTTTCCACAACGCAATTATGCAGCAACCCCTTGTGATCAGCTGTATTTCCATGTTGATTTTGAACCACATTTTTGCCTTTCAATTGTATTCATTGTTTTTTGTTTTTGATTAAGCTTAAATTTTATAATTAATTTATTTTTCTATCTATTTGGTGGTTCCTTATCTTGATCTTGGTTGCTTTCACTTTCCTTACTGTAATTTATTAGCTGAAAAATTGATCAATCAAGATGGATGTTCCTGATAATTTGAAAAATCAATTGAATGTGTTCAGGAGTAAAATGTCTTCTCTTAAAAGTGATTGTCAAGCTTTATTGCATAAATATGATTCTATTCGAGAAAATATTGATGGAAACGCTTTGGAGGAAGCTTCACTCGATCTAGCAGCTGCCTTTACAATCAACTCATTGTTTTGGAGTAAGTATTAAACATTTTTTTCTGCCTTATATTTTTGTGTTCACTCTTTTCACAATGTGCTTCAATACTTTCTCTGATTTTCGTTTTGTTTCTTTTACCATAACCATTATGTGATTAAGTAGTTAGATTAGTAGAACTTGCTATTAGTATTAGTTATTATGATGATACGTTATTGGTTGAATTGGTTGAAAGTAATTGTTTTGCCATATATTAAGCTGAACCTACTTTGACGTCGATTTATTTTTCTTGTTATTCCATTCAACAATCGCTGAATGTACGATGCGAGAATTAGCTGTTAGTTAATAGCTTAATTAACAGCTTATCAAATTGGTCTTAACCATTTTGAATGTACCTTTATTTTTCTTCTCCTGCTATTGTAAGGCAATATTTTCCCATTATTTTTCTTTATAAAATGTCCAATTAACTTATCATTTTACTTTTCATCTAGTTTATTTGACATGTAAAGGATTGGATACTAAAAATCACGATCTGAAACTTGAGATTAATCGTATTAAACTAGCCAACATGAGATTAAAAAAGCTGAAAGATTCAGCTAAAGCTCCTAAACTTGATGTACCAGCAGCACAAAGATTTATAAGGCATTCCCTATTTGATCCGAAGGATGAAGTTTCTGAGCGTACTGGTAAAGTTTCTTATGATTATGATGGCGATGATGACGATAATAACAAGAGAAAAAGAAAGCGATTAGAAGAGGAAGTTGGAGACGTAAAGATGGAGCAAGATGATGATCATAATGAAGAAAGTGAAGACGATGAAGATGATGAAGATAAAGTTGAAACTAATGAAGATAAGACCAGTCTTGTTAATGAAGGAAACAAGGGTGGACTCAATGTACGAAAAAGAGGAAAAAGAGGCAAAAGAGGAGGTGGCTCGGAACAGGAGGAGAAACCAGCTGATGGGTCCACTATAGCTGACCACAAGGGTAAAAGAAGACGAAATACAGCAAAAGAATTTTTTATCAACAAAAAAGACAAGAACCGGGGTCGAAGAAACACAAGAAGGAGATGAATTTTGCTATAAAGATGTATGTCGAAGGAGGATGGAAAAATCGGAAAATGATGAGGGTGAGAAGCAGATAAAGAGGATGATAGGAAGAGCAAAAGATCCGCCGACTTGATGATAAATGTTTATACACTTTCATCAGGCCTTATATAAAAACGAAATTCATTTAATTCATTTCACTTTCTCTTTACAATCAAGTGTTAACACAAGTGTTTACGAATTGACGTAAACCACCAATAAACTTCGAGAGTCTCTATTTCCTGGTGCCAATTTCGTTCCATCAGTGATCAAACCTCATTGGCCTACTGACCAGCACCAACATCAACACCAAGGCATATTTTTCGTTGCAATTTCATTCTTTGGGCCTCTATTAGGACTTACATTTTTATATCATTGACTTTTCATCACTCTCAGCGAATCAACATTTTGTGCAATTGTAATTGTTCCGGTTAATTTTGATTTTCCTCGACGTCTGTTGATATCTCCATTGATCAACATTTTCAATCATGAAACTGGTATGTAAACACATTTGATTTACCCTGTTACCTTTTTGTCTCTTCTTGAAAAATTAAATCACTCTAATTTGTCATTCTCGTATCTTTTGATTCTAACTATATTAACCAACTGCAAAATAAATGGTATAGCCACAATTTCATACCAATTAATGTGCAATCAAAATAATGATCATATTTTCAGTTTCATCTTTCATCTCCACCTTGTTATTTGTCGTAAATTAAACCTCAAACTGCAACCTGTCTCATTAATTTAATCATAAAAGTCATGTTCATTTGATTCTGTAGATTTAAACCGGTCGATCTAAACTTGCTTTGAATTATAATTGTAACTAAACATCAATTTAATGACCTCTCTACTCTACTCTCAAGTGCAAAATAGTTAAATTTGGAGTTAATTTTATTTCACTCTTTTTAACTTTAAAATGGTGAAACGTTAAACCACAGAATTTTAATTTAGTAGTGAATTACTTGAATCTCAATAGGAGATGATTACAGTTGTCTGTAGTTTATTTATGGAGATTCATCATTTATTTAGATGCAACTCGAAACAATAGAGTCAATTAATGAAAAATATTAACATTTGTTGTGCTAAAATTACCGACAAGTCGGGTCCATTAAAAATTGTAATCAAATTGTCAGACATTTTGAAAAGTAACAAAATTTTCACCAAAAAAGTGTTTCAAATTTTTCAATTTACCTCCATTTAAATGACAATCAGCTCTTAATCATATTATTTTTATATCATTTCGTGATTGCGTATAATGTTGATAATTATACTTTAAATATTAGCTTTAATCATTCGCTATTGTGCCACTAGCAAAACTATATTATCAAGTATTAAGCTATCCTCAAATTAAGCCAATCCAAGCAAATATTTTATATAAATACTTTTATATATAAATACATCATAATCCAAATTGTATCGATTGATTTTCCCTTTCTCATTCATCTTTCCTCCCCATCATCATCATCTAAATCATCAACAATATTTTTTCCTCTTCCTCATCTTTTCATCTTTAAAAATTCGCCTTGAGCTGAAATTGTACGCTTTAAATAATACAATTTAGTTATGACAAAAAATTCACTTCATTATTAGCTTTATTGACCAATAATAGTGCAAAATGACCTACAAAAAGACTAATCTCATTATTTATGGACATTGATATACCTTTGACTCATGGCTATCATTTAGATCAACCTCTAAACCAACTATCATTGTAAAAGGCAACCTCAGCAGGTAACTTGTAGCCGTAAAAAACTGTACACAATCTTACACGCAAAATGGCCTGTAAACAAACCACATAAACAAGGTTAACTATATTAGGTGAAGCTTATTTAATCATTAAACATCGTCTATTACAGCCTATTTAAGGTTTGATTAATCAATCAATTTTCAACAATAAAATGACATTCATTGTGTTAATAGATTTCTGTTGATAGTTCAATTGTAAAAAATAAATATTGAAACACCGAATGCTAAATGAATTTGTTAGTTGATTTATTTTTTGCATGACAATTACCATTCAAAATGCAACTTGTATAATTAATAGATTTTGTTACAATTAATGGCTATGATAATAATTGTATTTATGATTAATTGCTTTTTTGTATCAAAAATTAATCAAATTCAATCTTAGCGCTTCTTTTGTCACATGGTTTTTTAACAGCCATTCATAATTGACCGTTACTCTAATTTAAATTGGCAGATATTTTCAACTCCATTTTCATGTTTATTAATCAATCCTTTATCAGTCTGATTTACCTTTCAATTATTTTAATATTATAACTGTAATCTATATTCTGTTAATCATCAAAATCATCAGTTTTACTCGCCTTACGGCATTACATTTCAACTTAACAAGTGTGACTTGAATATGTGAACCAAGAAAAGGTTTAGCGGTAAAACAAGCCTAACATGCATTTTATGTGATTATCCAAAAGTTTGATGATCATTGATCAATTTAATCATCAAGTTAGTGATTAATTTTTGGTGAAAAGGGTATTTTTAATAATACATACATAATGTAATACTTTGGTTGTTAACGTGCTTTTTTGATTATCATTATTTGATCACAATTGTGAACACTTGTTCCATGCTGTTGCTACCCATCTTATAGACAATATTTTGCTTACATTTTTATTTGGTTATCTGATTTTTTTGGCTAAAAATAATAGTTTTATATTATAATGGCGAATAAAAAGAGCTGCAAATATTTGTTGGCTGTTCATGATTTGTTAAATCAATCTGAATCTGTCTCATCTTGATAAGTGAAACATGTTGTTGATCATCACTCATCTTTAAATCATCATTTCATTTCAAAATCACACTTTACTTATTGTTATATTGAACTCTATTCACAAATGACAACACCAAGCTCCACTTTTATTAATCAACTAACCATTATTATTATTCATTGTACTGTAAATTGTAACCAGTACTGGCCAAATTGTGGCATAAATTGTCTTAAATAGGATCAAAAAATTGATATTGAGGTAGCAAAAATGCTCAAAGCTGTTGGATCACCAAAAAAGCAAGATGTAAAGTGATGAAAATGAATAAACTCACCCTTTAGACTGAAGATTATAGCTTATTCTTAACCTTGCTTGTTAATCAGTTAATCAGCCAATTAAATGTTCTAAATTTAATTAATTGAATAAACTCAGACGATCGGTAAATACACTTGAAAATGTTACCCAATAATTGAATAATTTCATCTTTAATCACTCGCCATCATCATCAACATGAAACTTGTTTTCTCACCATTTCTCAACCTTTTCTGAAAATGATTCCTTCCAACTGTGAAGTGATTGAAGTGAATTGACGATTTCAAAATTAGACTTGAAATCTGTAGCTCCATAATCAATCATCAACTCAACCAGAGGTGAAAGTGATTAGTGAATTGAATCTAAAATACGGAAGTTGATTGATTACTTGTCCAATTGTTAACAAATTATCATCATTATCCTTGTCCCATTTCACCAGTCAATATTTTTGTCCAATTGATGGTTTTAAGATGAGTTAAGATGATGACTTTGAAGAGGAGGAAAATAGATAAACAGTTTTAATTTAATCATCAGCAATCCTCCTCTTCACTTACAGATGACAACAATCAACGACATCCGATGACAATAGCAACAACCATTAATAAGTTTGCTTATTATGGGTTGTTTCACTGTAAAAATAAATGTTACAGCTTTAAATATTTCATTTTTTTATATTGTTTTCACTCTGCAATACTTGAAATATGATGGAAAAGGATTGTTCAATCAATGGTTCTTACGATTCTGATGATTCTGATGTTATTGTCGATGATGATGATTAAGATGGCCTACTATACTAACCACTTGATTAAGGTTTTACAAAAATTTCCGCCAATATTAACTGAATTAGATCAATTGTTGTTTGACCAGAAATTGAAAAGACAAGCAATACTTTCCCATTGATTGTCATTGTTATTGTCCATTGATAATGATTTTAATCATTGATGATGATTTGCCAATGATTAGGCAACAGTTCAGAGTTTAGCTTTTCGCAAAAATTAAATTGATAAACCTTTTACTACCAACAATTTCAATTGATTGACCGGATGAATACAACTTGTTTTCACTATTTGATTCCCTTTTATTTCAATTAGGTTGCATTTGTTGATGATTGAGATGATTATGAGAACCTGAAAGGTTACAATTGTTGTTACCAAACATTTTCATGTTAACACAATTTCCTGTTCATTATTCACAATTATTAACTATCAGACTGATTGTCCATGTTTCAATCCATGATTACAATTAAGTCTCAATTTTTTGCACTCTTGTCCACCTCAAAGATTAGACTCAAGTATGGATAAGTTTAATACGATTTTGGGTATCAATTTAACTCAATTTATCGAAGCTGTTTTGTTAATTAAATCAGCTTTCATTGATTCCATTGCAGGTTATTGAGATTAAAATCGATCCACATTTAAATCATTTGAATGGACGTTTTATTGGAAATTGTTGTCTGCATAATTTACAGATCATAAACTAATCAATCAAATGTATATTATTACCATTTTCAATCAGATATATCTATTCATATTGATATTTTTGTATCAAAAGATCTTAAATTGTAAAAAGCAATTGATTGTAAAATTATAGCCCAAGCTATTTCAGTAACAAAACACCTTTAAATTAGTGTAACAATCATCATTTAAGATCGACCTTTTATTAATAAATTGGGCAGTTTTTCATTTCTCATCATTACCCTGTTTTAATGAACCATTGAAATCAATATTATGACCGATTTATTTGTTAATTATCGTGATAATCTAATTTTGCCCTTTTTCTCGTTTGAAAATCCCTCTTCTTTTTTTAATGGAAAGACGAATGTTAGTGATCCCAGCTGATAGCTTAATGATGATCAGTTACGACTTTTACATTGTTATTTTATTATAATATCATCAATTATAATCATTCATTTTCGTTAATTGTTATTATTTAAATTCAATTATTCTCTTGAATGTCTACATCTAAATAATCGTGATTTACAGAATTGTGTTTGACGTTATATCTACTATAAATATCAATACAATGTGCGTTGTCTGTTTTAAGCAGTCACTCTTGGGGTCATTAAACCGTCCTTCAATGTGTTCATCTTAATCTTCACCATTACCTTTATCATTTTCATGATAATCATCATCATCACCTTCCGTTTAATTTTAATCCAAACGATCATGTTTATTATAAATATAAAATCTTGAGGTAATTATAATGTTGATCACTTTAAGTTAAAATTGTTCACTTTTTTGGATATTTTCAATTTTAATTTTGTTTTGTTTTTACTTTGTTTTTTTTTGTGTTTTGCTCATTCCAAATGTTCACATTTTCCCCTTGATTTACAACTTGATTTATAATTATCATTATACAAATATACAAAGAAGATAACAATCTAATTCTCTATAAAGTGTTTCCATCAATTTCATTTCGTTTTCTATTCTTTTCGCTTTCTTCGTTTTCTTTATCAACACCAGTTTCACCATTCAATAATAGTTGATGATTTTGATCAGTGTCTTGGATTAAAAATACTGTGAATTGATGATTATGCTGTTTTCACTCAAAATAAAACTTTATTTGATGAAACCTGAGGCTAAATAATACTAATTTACTTGATTGGTTTATCGAAGTTCATTTCTTTTTATAAAATGTTTCCTTTCATAACGCATTAAGATATTGGCTTCTTTTCAATACAATTTTGTCTTAATCCTTTTATACCTAACGACTCATATCTGCTATGTTAACAAATTAGCTTCCGTTTCTTAATTTTTGATCTGTTGTTGGCAGGCTAGTCAACCTTTTCAATCCAATTTCATGTAATCATTGTATTCAATTGTTTCGGACATTTACAACACACATTCACATATTGATCTGGTTTCTGAACCAGTTTCGGTATAATCATTAAAAATTATTGATAAACTCAGTTTAATAATGTTTTCACTTTGATTCAAAATAAATACAAACATCATTTCCCATTACTCGAGTAATCTCTACAATAGCTGTATTATTCATGTTGTTGATTAAACAAAATATGTTTAATCTGTTTATTACGAGTTTCTTAAACATTTTTCCAGGCAAATCGATTTGATTGAGTTGATTACTTTTCAAATTGCTTTCGATGATGAATGCCGTTACCAACTAACTTGACCACTATTGCCCTTTCTCATTATTATTACATTTTATTTAATTTTATGTTGATTTTAATAATATGATTAAAGTTTATATTTAACTCAATTTCTAATCAATGCTTTTTCTCATCTTTTATCATTATTATTGTAGGGAGTGGTTTTCGTGATTGCCTTAGCATGCAAATTGGCGTCATGTGAAGTTTATTATGATCAGTCTGGTTATGGTTATGGTGTTAACCCAAAACCATCAGGTTCTCCTGATGATGAAACTTTGTCCTCGGTAAACGTACCCTCAAAAGAGCCTATTAATTCTCAGGAATCCAAGCCTAAAGCTTACCTGGTCCGACTGAAGCCTAAAGATGATCTGGAATCAAGTGCAATTCCTAATAAAAAATCAAAGTTTCTTCTGCTTCTTCGATTACCTGAAGATCACGAAGAAACTCAAGCTACTTCTTTAACTTCAGAAGTTCAGCAGAAAGATGAATCAGGTTATCAACAACCGGATATCCCTACTCAAGATAATTTTGCACCTTCTTTAATTCAAACACCTTACTCGTCCTTTGAAAATCAAAAAGACGAATCTGGTCAATATCAACAACAACCTGAACCTCAACAGTATCAACAACAACCACAATATCAGCAGCAACAACAACAAGAGGAAGCTGTTGTACCTCAACAAAATGATTCTGGTTATCTTCAACCATTGCAAACCGATGGATATGGTCAATCACAAAGCAATGAACAAGCTCAACAAAAGGATGAAACCTACATTCAGCAACAACCCCAACCTCAGCCTCAACAGCAACAGCAACAACAACAACAACAACAACAATATGATGTCACTGAAGATTTTGATAAACAAGCCAAAGATGATTCAGGTTATCAACAACAGTCATATTCACAACAGCAAGATTCTGGGTATGGATCTGTTTCTGCTGCATTCCCTTCTCAGACAACTTCAGCATTTAAGAATGGTTTCAGTCCTTTACCTAACTACGAACGTCCACTAGTACAACAACAAATGCCTGCTGTAGATTCAGTCAAAGGATTAAGAAATAACTTTTTCCGAGCTCCTGTTCTCCAAGACACACAAAAAATCACCAACACTTATGGCTCAAACGATTTCCAATCACGAGAAACTGAATCATTTGGAGGTCAACTCGAACAAGTAAAAAGTCCTGCTACCAAATCTCAACCAGCATCTCAATCCACTTATGGATTCGATTCCGGAACCAAAACTTCAACTTACTCAGAAGCTAACCGAGAAGCTAACCGAGATGCCACCAAAGGTTCTTTCCAACCTTCATTTTATCCTTCGTCCGATTCAAGTCGTAAATCAGCTACACCAACAGTTCATAGCTCTTATCCAAGCCAACAATCTCCCATGAAAAGTCCAGCTCAAGTTTATGCACAACAACAACAACAGCAACAACAGCAAAAACAACAACAGGAAATTGAACCAGCCAGGAAGACTATTACTAGTCCTGTAAAAGACTTCTATGGCCAGTCAGCTCAACCCGAGTCTAATTCTTACGGTAGCCAACAAGGATTTTCATCAGAATATGGATCCAATGAAGAATCCGTAAAATCTGCTTCTCCAGTTAAAGACTCATCTAACTATGGAATTAAACAAGAAGGAATTAAAACTCCTCCTAAACAATCATATGAAAATGTCCAATCAAGTCCTATTGTGAATGATTATTCAAATACTTTCAACAACCCACAATCTTTCTCTCAAGCACCAATTTCTTCCTCATTCACACCTAGCTTGGGCTATGGAGTTCAGCAACAGTTGCAAGAACAACCACAGCAACAGGTTAAGCAAGACGATTACAATCAAGCTGTCCAAAATAATGAAGATTTGCAAGAGAAAGATGAACAATCTGAATATTCCCCAGAACAACAAGAAAATGAAGAGCCAGAGAAGAAAATGCCCGCTCTTTTAGTCCCAGTTCCTCCTGAATTAAGCCCTTATGCTCCAAGCGATAATCAAAAAAAGGAAAATTACGATTCACAACAACAACAACAACAAACATATGATTCACAACAGAAAAGTGAGTCTGATTTCCAACAATCAACTGGATCATTAGGAAATGATGAATCAAATTACAATGCACCAGTCAAAGGTCAAGCCCCTATTTCAAACTATGAACAATCTACACAAACTGTCCAAACTGATTCATACGGCCAACACCCATCATCTGTTGGACAAAAATCACCATCGCTACGATTCCCAACCAAATCTTCAATCAAAACTCAGCAGCCTATTCAATCTTCATCTGGTTATAATTCTGGCGTATCTTCTTCATCTGTTAAAGGAGGACGAGCTCCACAACAATCAAGCTACAATAATGATTATTCCAGTGGATTCCAGGCTGCACCAAAAGATACTAAATCTGCAAAACCATCTCCAAGCTTAGACAACTCCTACTCTTCTGCAACCAAAGGTGGACAAACTTCTGATGAAGGTTTTTCAAACGAACAAAAAACCTCTGTAAAAGGATCAAATCAGCCAACCAAAGGTAATGCTGTACAGTCAAGTTATTCCGCTGCTCTTCAACCTCCAGTTAAAGCTGCCCGAGCTTTCCAACAATCAGCTGGATATTCGTCAGAAGTCAAGTCAACCAAAGGTGTCTCAGAATCTTATTCTAAACCATCACAAAGTCCAGTTGAATCTAACTTTAATGATTATCAAGCAACTCCTGTACAACAACAATCTCAACCTGAGCAACCCCAACAACAAAAGCAGACTCAAGCTGATTTAGGATACAATTTACGAGCACCAACTAAAGGAGGACGAGCTCAATCACAACAATCAAATACAGAGTCTAGTTACTCATCAAACTCTCAAAGTTCATTCAATTCCGATTACCAATCTTCATCTGTCAAAGGAGGTGCTACTTCACAGCAACAAAATTCCTATCCTCTTGGATTTTCTTCTGCGTTTTCATCTTCCCCTGCTCAACAAACCTCTGGTTATGGATCATCTTTTTACCAAAGCTTACCTAGTGGTGTCAAAGGGAGCCAAAATAGTCAAATCCAACAACAACAAAGTGATGCTGAATCACTACCAAATCAAACCTCACAACCAGCATTTGCTTCATTTTCTGCATCTGTAAAAGGGTCTGCTCCAGTAGCACCACAGACTCAACAAAATTTTGATGATAGTTACTCTTCAGGATTCCAAGCTCCAATTTCTTCATCAGCACCTGTTCAACAGACTCAATCTGACCGAGGATACAGTTCTGTACCTCAATCATCAGGAGTAAAAGGTGGTCAACAAGTTGCAAGCTCTTACGAACAATCTCCTCTGCCAAATGTTTCAGGAACTAAATCAAGTTTAAATCAACCAAAAGCCCCACTTACTATTCCAAATTATCGAACAAAAGCAGGCAGATCTCAATTAAGCTCAACTAAATCATCAAAGACCGCACCTTCTAATCAAAAGTCACCAATCTCATCTTATCCATCTTTCCCTATTTCCCAACAAACCCAACAAACCCAACCAGAACAGCAGCAAGATACCAAAGGTGCTGTTAAACCACAACCACAACCAAATACAAAAACTGCACTAAAAAATCCATCAACATCTTATTTACCAGCTTTGTCACCACCCAGTGCAACTAAATCGACATATTCTGCTCCACCGCAATCAAAATCACCACAACAGGATTCATCTTACTTTCCGTTACCAGTAAATTCACAACAGCAACTTCAGTCACCTAAAAACGCACCTTTAACTCGAGGTTTACCTCCTCCACCAGCATTGGTTGCTCGATCTCGACCATCCCAAAGCTTTAATTTCCCATCCTCACAATCACAGGTCCAACCATCATCCGAATCCTACCCATCATACTCTGCTAGTTCAAACACTCCAGTATTTGATGACGAAGAAGATGCAATGTCAATAACTGCTGATGATATGGGTGCTTATGGGTTACGAACAAATTCACCTTATGATGCTACAGCAGCTTCTGCAACAAGTCATCTAAGAGCCGTTGAACAACCCCAAGGATCTGGAAGAGTCGTTCTTTTACTTTTTAATAAAGAACATCCTCATTCTCAAGCATCTCGAATGTCTTTGAGTCCTGATTCTCGAGGCATTTATTAAATATAATCATTTATCTCATTTATTCCTATCCATCTCACCTCTACTTCATCAACACAATCTCACGTATCTCATCTACAGAACCAATTTAAATTCTCATCATAATTCTCATCATTCTAGGTCTCATTTCATAACAAACATCTTATTCGTTGATAATTTAAATGTCAGCGAATTTATTATTTTTGCTTTGCTTTCTTTGAAAAAGCCACTCTTCAAATCACTTTTTTGTATTTTTTCCACCATCTTTTGCTATGACACCATTAAAATGGAAACATTTTTGTTAAGAATCGTCGGTTGCGTCTTAATTTTTATAAGGTTGAATCAATCAATTTGAATTTATCCTAATTTTTTACTAAATAAAAAAACCAGACTGTAGTACTAAATAGTCGCGTAAAATAGTAAAAAGAGTCAATTAAGGCAATGAAATTAGTTGTAGACAATTGAAATTATTATTACGGGTGAGATTTTTTGAACACATTTGTCACAAAAAAAACAATTTTCTCATGAACTTGAACTTAAATAATTGTTCTGTACAATTGGAAGAATAAGATGACAATTTTCAATTTGATTGGAAGATTTGAAGAATTAAATTTACAGAAAAATGTAATAAACAACAGAATTTTGAAAATATTCAATATTTGATCAATAATTGATAATACACCGTATTTTGCCGGATTACCATATTCTGATTCTTTTAGCTCTTTGCATCATCAAAATGAATTAATAATGGTTGTATTAGTAATTGCATTTAAATCACAGCAGAAAGTTGACGTTTGTGGAATGAAATGATTATTGGATGTCCTGAATGTTCTTCCCGAAGTTTAAGATCATATTTACACTGACAAAGACAGGAAAAACTATGAAAATATGTATACATCTGTACAATGGAAGTATGAGGATGACAATATGGAACACATCAATGGGCAAACAATGAAATGTTATTTAACAAAATTTGAGACTGTGTTGTTATTGAACTTGAATTGATTTTCTTGAGCACAAAGTACGGAAGCTGGATTTTGAAAGGATGGCCCAAGAAGGTAATCAAGTAGGTAAGCTGCAGCGGACCCAGTTGTAAGACCCAATGAGTAGGAAAGAGTCATCAGGTTTCCAGTAAGCTCTTTCAATTTATAACTAACTTTTGATGGAGCAAGTATCATAGGTAATGATCCAACGATACCATTTGTAAATCCAAGGAGTGATGAGAAAAATAATGGCCAAATGATTGACCGAAAAAAAGGTGCTGATCGTGGAGCAGCACATAGGGCCAAACATGGGATGAGGAGGAAACGTATGGAAGAGATGATTATGAGATGAATAGGTTTGAGATAGTAAGCAAAGGATGCCACAATTTTACCAATAAAATCGGTTAGATTAAAAGTTGCCATCAATATCACTGGCATCCATGTTTCGAGAGAGCAATTTATTATTTCAGATTCAATTCCGGGAAAAAGTGATAGAGTTACTAAATAGGCCATACAAATGGAAACCATGTAAGGCCAAATTAATTGGCTGATTTTGAAGCGTACTTGGATTCCAGTGATTAAACGTTTACGCCATGCTTTCCAATTGTAACTATTGCAGCATGAATGATGATGAAAATTAAACAAACCAGAAGAAGTTTCTTTGAATGTAACTGATGAGAGTGTTGGTGGGGTAACTTCAAGTTTGGTATCATCATCAATAATTTCTTCAATCAAATCACCATCCGAGTTCCAACTGATTGGATCACTGAGATCATTTAATCCTGATTTCCATTTTTTTCTATCACTAAAAGTTGAGAGGACACTCTTTTTTGAAATGGAAGCCGGTGTTGTATTGACAGAAGTTGTCGACGTTTTTGCTTCTCGTTTCCAAGATGGTTCAGGTAACACAGGTGGAACATAATTTGCCAAGTCTTCTTCATCAATACCAAAGGGCATATCAAATTCAGTTGAATCTGAATGTGCAACCCAACGCTTTTTATTGTAATCACCATCAGACATTATTGGCGATCCTAACGGAACCAAAGAGGTTGGGCCAAGAATTGATCGTTCGGTTATACTTCTTTGGTCGGTTTCTAAATAGTCAACCAATGATAATCCTTCAGAGTGACCACGATGGCCTCCTTCAATCAAATCTTTTGTTCTTTCTGATTCCACCTCTAATATATTAGATCTTTTATGAGCTTCTTTTGATTTCGACCGTGTTTTAGAGCAAAGAGTGAGATAATATCGAACAAATGCGGTCTTTTGTAGATAATTATGTATAAAAATGCAACAACCAATCAGTACAATAGATAGACCAAAAAATAAGAGAGTATTTACGCGTTCATCAGAAAATACGAGCTTTGTTACAATACGATTTATTGATACAATCAGTCCAGCTGCCGATTCTCCTGTCATAACTGCCTGAGTATAACGAGTGGGTAACATCGAAGTGTAACCATAAAAAGAAGACTGTTGAATTGTGCATCCAAAGGCTATGACACCGACAGCAGAAAGAATCAATGAGTATGCCGTGGCTTGGGTGAAGGGGCAAAAGGCGATTTCAAAAGTTGCAACCGCTGTGAGTGTTCCAAATGAAAGAATGTAACCGAAATTGATTCGCCAAAAGAGTGGTACAAGTTCAACCAAAAGATTGTTAATGCAAACCGCTAAACAAGCAGAAAGAATATAAACAAATGAAATGTCAAACATAATTGGTGTTCCCGGAAAATGATCTTGAAAATAGTCAACAGCAATTACAAAAGAATTGTAAGGAAGAAGAAAACCCACACCGGCCAGTAATAAGCCGAAATAAACTCCATTATAAACATCGACAGGAGGTGAGGAGCACGGGGATGAAGATGGGTAAGCTCTTGTTCCATCAATGTTAGAGGTAATGTTTGTATCGGTGGGATAAGAGTGTTGATGATTTCCATTTAGGAAAGCTGATGATGAAGATAGAGTTTGATGATCAGAAGATGATAATAGATGATAACATAATCTTGGACCAGGGGATGACTGTAAGCAAGCTTCATCATCTGCTGTATCTTCTTCTGAAATGATATTCTTTAATCGAGGTTTGTCTGTACGCCTTGAAGGTCCAGAGGAACCGTCAACTGATGGTGAAGAAGTCACAGAGGCTGGTAATGTTTGTTTTCTTGATTTTCGCATGTAACGGAACTTTGGTGCTTTCCATTTACCTTTTGCGAGTAACAGGTGCCCACAACTCATTTTCACTGTTTTAATGTGATAAATAAAACTAGTTTATGGCTAAATTGTTCATCTTGATGACCAAATAATAAATTCAAATCTATCTTCTTCTCAAGTGGCTTCTATGATTACTTTTGGTTGATGATAAAAACAATAATAATGATAACGGCTGACGTTGCACAATTGTATTATAACCATTGTCACAGTTAAATTTGACAATCATCATTGTGTCATTATAAGCATAAACATAAACAAAAACGATGTGTTTACCTCCTCATCATATTCTCACTCATTATGTTAACTACAGTATAATTCAAAAAAATTGACAGTCTTACGTTCAATTGGGATTTTCGATCAGACGATGAATTGAAACCAAAATTTTTTTGGCGCATTTCACAGATCAGATCATAGGGAATTAATAGACATATAGATTGTGATGCACAATTTCATAATTGGCCATTTATTCAATTTTAATTGAAATCATAATTTCTAAAAAACTACATAGAAATATCATTAGATTTCATAACTTTCCTCATCAATTCAATGACAACTAGAAGCCATTCGGCTGTTGGCGCTGATGTAGTTCATACAAAATATTGATTCTAATGAATTTTTGTCCAGAAAACGTCATAAAACTGATTAAATGAGTTTCAAATTATTTGGACAATTGTTGACTGAGGGACGATCAATTGATTGACTGTCAGTTTTTTTGAATTATACTGTATATCTGGTAAGGTAAGGTACAGTATATGATGTTGATTCACAAAAAAAAGATACCAATTAAATATTTAACCGATGTGAACAGTTTACAATGAGATTAAAAAATAGAGCATCATATTCAAGGCACTGGTTTGCCAATGGTATTTGTGTTTTGTACCAATTGGTAAAGATGTCGATTAAAATTGATGATGATGATGACACCGATGTTTAGTTTATGGCGATGATGATGGCGATGAAACTAGTAGAAAAAGTGATGAACTAAACAAGTATAACAATGATTAAAATAATATTGACTCCCGATTGTTGACCTTGGACTCGTTTTAAACCATTATTATTCACATTACAACTGGTAAACTTGACCTGATAAACAGAGATGGAAGTATCAAGCATGCGGATGAGGTTACCATAGATTTGAGCAAATTATCGATTTTTTGTTGTCAACTGTTACACCTTAAGTTCACTCAATGGTTACAGTGAAGACAGTAACGTGTGCTGAAAAGAGAGGGAGAGAAAGGAGTTGGAAAGAAAAAATTATAATGATGACAATGGTTTGATGAAAGCTGAATAGAGAGAAGAACGAGGAAGAATGAAACTATTAGTAAATAGAAATACATTAATCACAATTTGAAAAGGCAACCTTGATAAGCCCTAGACTAAGAGTTCCCTTCTCAGGTTAGTTCTTTGTCTCATGATGAAATCACTTAGATTGATTACCATTACTTTGAGTGAATCTTTTTTGGTCTCTTAAGAGTTTTCCTCTTTAGGTAAACAATTTTACTCTGGTTTCCCTCTTTTTTTGTCACTATTCATTACAAGAAAAAATCTAAATCATTTGGTTGACTCTAAATTTATCAATTTCACTCTCCAATTAACTGTTGATTTAGGTTATTAATAATTAAACTACTTACCCATTAAGTTGATGACCAGTAAAACATGGTTAATTAAATTATTTTATGGTGATTTGGCACGAAATCACAAATTAATTTATAGTGTTTACATAACAATTTTAGAATAGCTTTTTGCTTTATTTGTCTTAAATCAAAGATGGAAGCAAAGAAGATTTGCCAAGACAAAGCTGGATGACACAAAGTTTATAACAATTTTACCAGCTTCTTTGTTGATCAAGTAAGGTAAGGATTGAAATATTGCTGTTTACATTGTCTAGTCTGCTGATGATTCATGAGTTCATGTGTTTTATAAAACAAAATTCAACATTGAAACCTTGTTTTTTTTTGTTTTTCAGCTTTTGTTTTTATATTTAATGTATCACTGTTTAACCAGAATGTGAATAAATTGGTTTGCTGTCTCTTCACTTTTCTATTTACCTATCAAACCGTGAGGGTTACTAGTCAATTAGAAGCAAGAGTTTTACTTGATTGATGAGCCCTGCTCTACATAACATGTTTCTGCCTGCTTGTTCATCATCATCATCGTCATTGTCATCGTCATCACCATTACCATTATTTTCCTCCTCTCAACATTACGGATGAAACGGATGGCTGCTCGGTTTTGCAAACCTAATAATATCCATTTGTTGCTTACCTTAAACTCAACTTTTTGTTTCTAAGGTGTTAACTATTAGTAAGCTACAAAATTTCACTCATTTCTCTTCCTTTCCTCTTCCATTGATTTCCCTTCTTCTCCCTCGCATATGTTTATGCATATTTATTATCATTCATTTAGATTTTTATTCTCAAACACTATTTTTTCCAATCAGTTTCCACCTAAATGAAAAGCGAGAAATTGGAAGCTCGGTAAAAAGCAAGAAGACAGAGAAGATGAAATACAACCAAATATTAAAGGAAAGGATGATTATCATGGCGATAAAGAAAATACAGAAATGGATCAATAGCGTGTTATAAGCCTAAGGACAGGTGGAGAGGCTTCCATGTCCTTGAGGTCATCATCATCATTTCCCTCACTCCCACTTTAATCCTCAAAGCAATTTTATTTCAACTCACTAATGTACCATAGGGAGACTGGGAGTGAAAATTTACTTTCATCAACCCAAAAAAAATGAAAAAGAGAGAGAGATTAGGCCAAACTCCCTAAACTCCAAATTTACCTTTATCTCTACACTCTTTATTCCTCTAGTTGGTCCATCAACATTGACCTGTCCATTTCAATCAACACATTTCATTATTGTTTGGTTTCTTAGTTTGCCTCTTCTACCCAATCTCCATCCTCTTTCTCATCATCATCATCATCTTCTTCTTCTTCTTGTTTTTAATACAAACCTGAAAGTTCCCAAATCGTGTATTTCTATTATCGATTTCTTTCTTCATCTCTACCTTTCCATTGAAAAATTATTTACCTGGTTTTATCTTTACCTTACCTCTTCTCACTCTTACCCAAATGTTTACCTCTTATTTGCTCAATAACGGTTTCTTTTGTTGTAAGTTTGCTTTTATTATCCGGCTGTTGTTCATTATTCATCACATTACAGTTATATACTTCAATCAGCAACACTGATTAATTAATACGGTACAACCATCATGATAACATTTCATAACCCTGTTGGCTTGAATCATTAAACCTTGGACCTGATTATTCACCTGGACTCTCTACTTATCTCTGTGGTCTTAATCTTGCCTACTGTGTATGGATCAGTTTAAAGTCTCAATAATTGTGATTATAACTTTATTTCCTTTCTATTATCGCCATGTGACTTCAGGTAAGTCAACAATTTGTTACCTTTGGTTAGATTGATTGTTAACAGTTTTGTGTACCTTTGTTACTCAACTCAAGTAAACAATCAAATTACAATTTACCAGTTTATGCAGATGATACCAATCAATAAAAATATTGACCATCAAACAAAAATCTTCATTAATTGCAGGTCATCAAATTGAGCTTATATCTGCTACCTCGATTTATCCATGCTTAGATACTTATGATATTCTGGTCAATGTTGGTTCAGGCTTAACAGGACATCCATCATCATCAGCTAATTTGTCATCTTCTCATGACCAAATGATTGAACTGATCCGAGTTTACTCAACCAATGATCCAAGCTTACACCTTCGCCAATACTATTATCTTAAAGAATTCAAAGTTCCTTTCAACAGGTTGATAAAGATCAGCTGTACCTTCTTTAATCCTGAAACCAAATATTATTGCTTCTCATATGTTTCAATGCACAAGATAAACTCGTCAATTGCTTTATGGACTCAACCTGAATGTAAATTTACTCTGGATAACCTTAAACCTTCTCATGGTTCCTATGAATCTCACCATATCAAAGATGTCTCGTCTAACGTAAGCCAAGCTTTCAACTCTGAGGTTAACATCAAGACCAACAACAGTACAACTACAAATGGACAATATCAATTCGCAATCCTCTCAAATCATGGACCTTCATACAGATTTACATCAGCTGCTCATGAAACATCAAATGATTATAAGAAAAGTGACCTTACCAAGAGACCAACTTCACTGACAATTTCATATCTACCATTGAAATTGGTTAAATGTCGCTGCAGCCATTTAATTGCATATCATTTGCACAAACCCGAATTAGGTACCAATATTACAGTGAACCAGTTAAATCATTCATCATCATTTCTCTTGGAGATATTTCCTTGCTCCAAATCTGATACTCTGTGTAATAATTCAACTCAACCATTGGTAAAATCAATTTTCCCGTCAGCTGATTCTGAGCCATTATGCTTGGTTAACTTGACTCGATCTCGGATTAAATTGTCTTTACAAATTGTTAAATCTCTTTCCTGTGATACAATATCATCATCAGCACCAAGACATGCTCAACCATTTAATCAACAATCTCAATTACCAATAATACGTGATGGACTGTTTGCTATTGATCCTCAATTAGAGGTGACAAGTGAATCAACAAATACTCACCAATTAGAATCATCATTTCTCAGAATTGAAACTCCAACTAATCGATACTACCTAATCCATGTAACTCTGATTGATTCAACAGATGTTGGCTCTGGAAATTTTTTTACCTCTTTTATCGCATTCTTTAGCTCTTTTCAACTCATCTGGCTTGCATTGATTGCTTTAACCAGTTTCATAGTAATTTCAATTTTAATCTTTCTCTGTATATACCTGATAGTACCTATTCATCGTAAACTGAAAGTTCAAATTCTTCTACTTGATGATTTAGCCAATACATCGACATCTTTTGTTGATGCCTCATCATTGGAACAGTTTGACTTCGATGAATCTGGTTCACTTGAAATGGATTACTATGACTATGAGATGCATTCAACCACCAAAGGCTCAACTGAAAAACTATCCAAATCATCTGATTCTGTGATTAAATAGTCAAATTAAATCAACTGTATCAGTTAATCTAGTCTAAGTTGACAGTTACTTTCAGTTACATCTACTGGAAACATTCTGCCATTTTCAATTTAATTGTGCATTTAATTTCCTTTGATTCACTAAACGATCTTGACACTTTTTTTTCTCTATCAAGGTTTTCCTGATTTTAGTTCAACTTCATCAATCAATGTAAATACAATCAAGTTAATTTAACCTTGATTATAATTAATTTAATGTAAACATTTACCGAGTAATTTAATCTAGTTTCATCAGAGACTCTGCTATAAAATAACCTTAAATATTTGTAAAGATAATGTTATAATTCCATACGCATGAGAGTAATTTGATTTTAATTATTATATAAAATATTTTGAAACAAAGTGATAAACTGTGATCAAGTGTGCTTTTAAATGTACATTTTAACATTTAAAACACACCAAGAAGTACCAATAAATAAAAACTGAATCAAACACCAATCGCTATTCCAATATTTACAAAGCATCTATGGCTGTATGAGATCACCTTATATTGCATTGATTGAATTATTTGCTTTCCTTTAGACGAATCGGGAATAATTATCAGAAATGTGAAATAATCAAGAATTGATTGAATCAAGATTAAAAGTAATTCAACCCATGGTCGAGTAAATGTCAATGTAAAGTATTGCTAACCTTGGCTTTCATTTGACTTCACAGAAGACTGATTTCAATGAGTTAATTAGGCTTATTTTTATTGCAATCAGCATGAAACAAATTTATCTATTCATAGATGGTGGGTTAAGGTGGAGATGAACAATTAAAGTTATTAGATCGAGAAATAATTAAATAGATTAAAGTTCATGTGGATGTTAAAATGGTTAGCCAGTAAAGAGTATTGAAGAGTAGGAAAGTCAATGGATAGATGAAACGTAGACTAACATCAATTTTTTCTGAATAATCATTGATGGTTAATTTGCTATCTACATAATCACATGAAGGGTCAAATGACTGAATTTTGTAGTCAATGGAATCCTTGTGATTAATATCCAATTTGGTGCCATTTGATATACATGACTGGTTGCCATATGATGAGACTCTGTTCAGCAAACTGTTTTCAACCCGGCTTAACCTTTTAGACTGAAAAGTGATTCAATTAATCATCTATATTTAAATAGGTAGAGTCGTCTATGACTTAGCTAACTGAATAGATTACCTTTGTTTGATCGATTTGCATCTGTTTAGCCAGTTCTTTGGTATGGCGGTTGATAACAATGATTAGTGTTGTTACGATGATTGTTGAGAAGACAAAAAGCATACAAGATACCATCCAAACATCTAAGGCCTGAAAGAGTAAGAAAACTGGTTAATTGATTACTGAAGTTAATTACATCAATCACAGGTTAATACCTTACATTTATGTATGAAACTTGAGGTAGACGAGACTTTAAGCCAGAAAATTGCGTGATTAACGCTAATTGGGTTGTAACACCAAGAGTGATTCGACCGGCGACAATATCATTTCCCATCCACAATGAACAATAACTTATGATCATCAAGATGATTGTTGGAAGATAAATTTGAATTACATGGTAAGATATTATTCGGATAAAGGTTAAATCAACAATTAGCCAGGTGAATAAAGCTGTAAATTTAATTGAATTAAATTATTAATATTGGTAATTAGTGCCACCCCTATAAGTTTGAGTAATGTTAGTCAAGAAGCTATTGAAGTTGAGTGAAGAAAAGCTCTTCTCGTGGTTACGTTAGGGTTAATTTTGTTAAAATCTTGCAATATTGAATTATCTATAATGGGAAAGTTAAATGATTGCAATAAAATGTTTTAATCATGCATAAATACCCATTTTACCTTGATCGTGAACAGTTGCATTCATCTGGAAATAATTCATTTTTAAAGAATGCTGAAGAAGCGGAACTTTAGTTTCAACAATAACACCCTTAGGAAGCCATGAGTAAACCATTTGATAAGCTGGATATGAGCCTGAAAAAAAGGAAAATGTCAAAATTAAAAATTGAAAGGTATATGGTTCAATAATAGAAATAAATTGCTGATGATACTTTAAAAAAGATGAGTATTTACGTGAACCATTTGATTAAAATAACAAAAAGCTCAACTCAGAAAATTTTAGTTTTCTGTTGATGTTGAATTTTTGATCATGCTTGATTGATCTGTAACAATTATCATATAGTTACCAGATCTGATTGATACACGACAGACTTGCTTATCAACTGGAAACCAGCGAAAATTCATTGGACAAGGAATCAAAGCAGATAATCTAGACAATGAGAAGGCAAAATAAAAAGCCGGTCAATAAAATTTATTCAATATCTTTTAAACTAACCTCAGAGAGTAGGTAAATGAACATTTATTCAATCCGTCAAATTGTACAATCAAGCTTTTGAATCCATCGTCAAATGTTGTGGGTCCAACTTGTTTGGCATTATAAAAAAAGGCATCTGGAAGCCAAATGTTTGTTAAATCTTTACCTTTCAATACCATTGGGTTATTGTTGGTTTCAACCTTTTCCTTGCTGTAAATAAATACAGAATAAAAAAATAGACAACTCTTTGGTTACATTTGAGTGAAAAACGAGAAAATTAAAGGATAATAACCTCTGGATCGATTGATAAATTGATTGACAATGAACATTAGTTAAAGTCCACTTCTGGGTGAGGTAAAACTCCAATCTGAAATCCTATTAAAACAAACAATTCAATTGAAGCACAATTTAAAGTTTATTTGAAGCTTTCGGAATACAAAAATTGTACCTGAAATTGTCAACCGATAGTAACCCCATCTTCCATCAATTAATATAACAATTAGATTTATTAATCGACAATTATTACTATTGATTTACTAACAATTATAATAAACTTCGGCATCCTAATTAGAATGACATCATGAGTCAGATTCTAAAGATATTAGGTGAATAAGGTCATCAGACGCAATGTGACCAAATGGTATTTGAATGTTGCGCCTTTGTTTTTATAAAAATTGGCGGACAATTTCAGGTACTCGATGATTAGTTAAAATAAACATTACCATTGTTATTGGATTAAGTGAATTTATATCTTCAATGATCATGTTAACAGAGATGTTTAATGGACGATCTTTGAATAAATGAATAGGCAGTTAATTTTGGAAAGCTTGTCAATAAACTTACCCTGATTTTCAACAGGAAAACCAACTACTGACCATCCTGGCTTGAAAACCATGTAAACAACAGTTAAGATGTTGAAAGGATTGTTCATAAGTAAGTATTTTAAAATCATTTTCCCATTTTCATATTGTACTTTATCCTAAAGTTATTCAGTTAACCAATTTAATAACACACAACTGATAGTTGTTATAACAACATGTTGTAACATGTATTCAATATTTCGGTCAATTTTGTGAGACAATTGGCCATATTTTTAGGTTATTATTGATTGTCAATAATCAGAGTTACTTTTAGATCAATTTACTAATATTAACCTCTTCTTTAGTACAATGTAATCATATGTTAAACTTAAGATTGCATAATTATGTGTTTGTTAATGATTAGCGTTCCAGTTAAATTGTTTCAGCTACAAAATCGAGTGAAGAGGTGAAAATCAAGCTCATTCAACTTTTAATGATATATGTTCAGATGAATTTTTGTCAACAAAAAATGGTAACAGTTTACAAAAAAGAGCAGAAAAGTTATCAGCAAATCAATAATTGTATAACAACATGATATTACCAATATAACGATATCACAATTTTCATTTAGTCTTCCTTATTGTCTTCACTCAAATTTTGACGGATTACGGTTGAGCTCAAAAGTTGTGTCGCGAGCTGATCTAATTACCATTGATTATAAAAGTGAATCTCGTGTGGTGAAAAATGGAGTCCTTCAAATTCATGATTAATCAGGTAAGAAACCATTTTATGCTTATAAATCATACTAGAGCAATGTAAATTAATTATGCAAGTTGAAGCGATTGTAAACATTATTCTAACGTTGAAATGATTGGACAAAAAATTTCGATTTTTAAAGCTTAATATTCTTGTAATTTCAAGCTAATACAATTTTAATAAATTATCTAGATAAACGTTAATCCAGAATAGTTAAGGTTTGTATAAAACTATCGAGTAGCTTTTGCCAGAAGACTGGTTACACTGATATTGAATTCAATTATAAACAATGGGACAAAATTATTGTGATTAAGCTACAATAAAACTAAACCAGGACAATTAAGCTACAGTGTCTATTTCAAGGACTCATAATCAGCGTTTAGCGACAATTATTCTAATTGCTGTTCATTTATTTAATTGTCAATTAATCTTTTCTTTCTCTGGTCTTTTCATAAACAGCTCTTCATGAAATAACAACACACCAATAAAACTGTTGAACCATTTAAACCTTGGTCTTGACTGCCAACGAGTCTCGTCTCAATTTGATTATCTGATGTATATTCCTAGTTATGATCAATATCATATTGACCTTTTTATGGACGATATTGTGTCTAGTTAACAATGGATTATCAATGCCGTCAAGAGTAAGCAACAGGTCAACAATAAAGGCCAATCAACTACACCTAAGTGAAAGTTTATCATTAAATTATTGTGATGAGCCAATATGTTATAAAAATGATGATGGTCAAGATCTTGGTTGCTTTGATCCTTGGCCATTGACAGTTTATGGGTCCATTGATTTATACAGTGTCTGTCCACAAGATCCGTCTTCTATTGGAACAACATTCAACATCTATCATTCATCAAAACCAGAACAGATGACCCATTCATTGGATTCAATTAATTCATCTGACAAGATTGTCTTCTTTATTCCTGGTTATAAAAATGTTTACAATGACAGTCGTTTCATTGCCCTGAAAGATGAACTTTTATCGGTTGTCAATGTTGTTATCCTGGTTGACTTTGCCAATGGAGCTGATCCAGGAATCGTTTCCAGAGTTACTGATTTTTATAATTTTCATCAAGCAGCAGCTAATACACAGATTGTTGGACGTCAGATTGCAGTGTTGTTGAAAAATTTGAAACTTAAACGAGACATTGACTATGATAATGTTCATCTGATTTGCTTCAGTCTCGGTACTCAGGTTGCTCATTTTATGGGTTCATACGCTTTGACTAGATTTGGATTCCAAGTAGGAAGAATCACAAGTGAGTTTAGATTATTTTTCAATGCTTGAGGCAAAAGTGAATCTAAAGTATTTTTCAATATTTTCACAGGTCTGGATCCTCCTGGAATACTGATTTTTGCTCCTGGTAAACGCCTTAATCCATCCGATGCTGCATTTGTTGATGTTATTCATACAACATCTTTTAAGGCTCCTTGGGATTTCAATAAAGCCGGTTCAGGCAAAGTTGGATCATCTTTACAACTTGGTCATGTTGACTTTTATCCTAATGGTGGAGGCGTGAATGATCTTGATCAACCTGGATGTTCAGGGATTGATTGGTGTTCACATGCATTTTCAATCGCTTTAATGAGAGCTTCAATTAATAAATGTTTCTTCCAAGCAGTTCAATGTAGCTCAATATATGCCAATGGTCAGTGCAAAAGAGAGTTGAAAGATAGTAGACTTGGTTACTGGAGCAATAAATATCCAGGTCGAGGTCGTTATTATTTAAATACCTCTCATAATCCTTTGATAAATTGTTAATTTTTTAATTTTCGTCTCGTGTTAATTGTTCAACTGTACTCCATTGAAGTTATTGTGAAACTAATCAGAACTCTTTTGATTTTTCCTCCTTTATTCGCATGTTTTTCTATCAACCAAAATGTCAATAAAAATCTAAAAAACCCGTTGGGTTAGATTGATATTGTTACATGAATCGAGTTGAAAACGAAAAAGATTCAGATCAAAATGAAAATTAAAGACACTTTGGACAGCCTTTTCAACGGACTTTTTTCTTTTGCTTTTCTAAAATGTTAAAAGGGCTTAAGAATTGGCGAAGCCATAGTCGCCTACTCTTTAATCAGTTTTTATTTGTCGTCTTCGATTATTGGTATATCGATTGTAATTATCAGTAACTGGAGGGGATTGACCGACTTTCAAAGCATTGATATCATTAATCAAAAGTTCCAAGATTTTCTCTTACGAGCAATTTTGTCAGTTTTATCTGCTCTCTGCTAATCAACATTTCAAACTTGTTTTATGTTTCTCAAATCATTCTCCAATACTAATGACATCGTAAAAGTTTTTATACATTCATGTTGCCTTTCCCAACTTTGGTGACATTTTCTCAAATATGTAATTTAAATTTTTTTCATCTGTCATGGTTGCATTCACTTCTTCACATAAAACAAACTTCTCATAAACCTAAATTTGGATCGTCTCAAATCTTCTCAGCAACCTTTTCAAGTTTATTTTTATCACAAAAATCTTCTACGAATAATTTTTTAATTTCTTTTTATTTGCAGATGTTGCAATTCTCGAGTTAAACCAATCGGCCGCCGGGCCTATCAACATTCAAAGTTAGGGTTTACAGTGAATACGTGCGTGTCATGTGTTTTTTAATAGGCTTAAATGGTGTGCGTTAAGTCATCGTTGAGTACGTTGAGTCCTCGTTGAGGGCATTATAACAATATGTCTTGCGTCTCTCTGTATAAATAGAGCAAAAAACATAATTAGCTGTCATTTCCTTTCAGTTTTCTTTTATCAAACTCATCATGCTCGTTGTAACCAGAATTAGAGGTGGACTAAAACGAGTCAATCATGCTGCTGTCGCTGTTAACGAACTCATCTACTCTTTCGGTGGATTCGCTTTTACCGAGGACAATATCTCTATACGACCTATCGATGTGCATACGCTTAACATGAACACATTAAGATGGGAACAGGTCCAATACTCTGATGGAGGTAAGTTGTTGCGTTATTTTATATATCATTTTATTAACTTTAATATTAACTTAATATTTCTTAACTTATTATATATTTTTTTGCTTTTTTCAGCAGATCCTGCAAATGTTCCATTTATGAGATATGGTCATTCTGTAAGTGCACAAGACGACATTATTTATCTGTGGGGTGGTCGAAGGGATAGAGTCAAATGCAATAAATGTTCAGATTTGATACAAATACGCGAAAGTGGTCAGCACTTAAAGTTAAAGGAACAATTCCTCGTAAGTATTTTGTTCCCTACCGATCTTAATGGTCTTATTAATTTGAATAATCTTCGTGATAATTCTTTAACAGAAGCTCGAGGGGTCACGCTGCTTGCATTTGTGCAGGATACATGTATATCTTAGGGGGTATGAGGAAGCTACGAAAAAATATTGTGATAGAGTTTTTCGTTTAAACCTGGAATCTTTTACATGGCAAGCGTTATAGAGTTCTGTGGGGTGGTTACCGAGACAATGTTTCATGCAACGAAATGTTCATGTTTTATAACACACGCACTCTTGCTCCGCCATGAAGTTACAGGAACGATTCTTAGTAAGTATTTTGTTTCTTACAGTCTATTTTAGTTCATTAATTTGGATAATTTTTGTAACAATTCTTCATCAGGAGCTCGAGGTGGTCCCGCTGCTTTTATTTGTGCAGGACATATCCTAGGAGGGTATGAGGAAGCTACAAAAAAATATTGTGATAAAGTTTTTCGTTTTAACCTGAAAACTCTTACAGGGACGATTCCTGTTATATATATTGTTTTCTCCCAATCTTTATGATCTATTAAATATATTAAAACACTAACTAATTTTCCTAATAGTTTGATACACATACCGACAAAAGTTAGCACCTAAAGTTAAAGGGACGATTCCTAGTAAGCATTTCGTTTCTAACAATCTATATGATCTCATTAATTTGAATAATCTTCTTAAATACGAGCTCGCGGTGGTCAAGCTGCATGCATAAGCGAAGACTTTATGTACATTTTAGGAGGGTTTGAGGAAGAGAGACAAGAATTTGCTGATACTGTTTTCCGTTTTGGTAAGGTTGTACGAAAGTCTGCCATCTTTTTTTGCAACAAGCCGCAGCTTGTTTGACCTAAGAAGAAGCTTTAGTAGCTGAGGTCTAAAAATGTAAAGCGGCATCTATGGAACAATCAAGTCTCTGAAAATTAATAATTAATAATTAATAATAATAGTTAATTAACTCCGATCGTGTCCGTAATTGGCCTACATTCACTTACATGTATAATGTTGCTCTCGCATCTATGAAATTATTGCCAAAGCAACCGTGCCAATCATACCTGAGGGATTTTGATGTGCGATGCGCAATCGATAGGACCAACCTTCCATATAAACAGAATGAATTTCCTTTTTCTGTAAATTGGTTGGTTCCTTAGATTTTTGGGTTTGAAGTTGTAGCATTTTTCATTTAATAAAAATGAAAATTGACTAGCTGTGGTGGCGCCCGGTTTAAGGCAATTGCTAGGGTTTATGGTTGGCTCGAATCTCGTTTGGGGCAATTATAATGAAAATTTTTCTTTTCTTTCTTTCTTGCTTATTGATTTCGATTTTTAATTGTTTTAATTGATTCCAGGGACGATAAATTTAATAGGTAAAGATAAATGTCGGTGGTGAATAGAAAAAATTCGCGATTTCATCGATATCTCTCTAAACGCTGGACAGTTCAATGGAATGAGCAAGTCCTTTTAGGTAAACTTGTACTCAAGCACCAGATAATTGTCACTAAATTACATTAGTCAAAAATGATTTTAATGATGCTATTGAGCTGAAAATGAAAATGAAAGACAATTTGGACAGCCTATTGACCGTAAACAAAAAGTCTATTTTTGAGTGTAATTCAAATCATAGGAATGGCAACATTTACATCTATTCACATTATACTGACACCCAATTTAGCTGAAATTTTCAGTGAAAACCACCTTCAATTGTAATGACAATCAATGAATGCTGAATTTCTTGAGCTTATTGAGACAAGACAAGGTTTGCATTTAATGCCCATTGTGATCCTTCAGTATTTAAATTATCTTTAGGTCAACACTGTCAAAAATTTCACTGTAAATGGGAACTTTGAATGACGAAAAGAAACAATTGAATAAATGAATAAATGAATGTCCATTTGGTGATTAAATAATCAAATTGACTGGGATTAGATTTGGAAACAATCAAATTAACACCAGCAACGGAAACACATTCTGATCAACTCTTTCCTTGTACATCATCAACTCCATCATCATGAAAAATCAACACCATTTACTCCGTAATTTGATTGATCATATTAAACATCGATCCATCATCAGTTAATAAGATATTAACCAACTTTTATTGAGTCTACATTTCAATCTTGGCTCTAAATCGTTTAAAGATTGTTTCTTTGCTTTGCTTTTTTCTGGTTAAAAATAGGTATTTATGGGTAAAACAACCAGAAAAAGAGAGGAATGTCATTCGGAAGTTGATCATTAAATTGTCCATGGTTGACTGATGAAAAGATAATTAAATAATGTTGGTCTAATCAGAGTAAATTCATCATAATACTGGCCATTGAAACAGAAAAGTAAATACAGAAACGGAAAAATGAATTTTTCGATATTTTTATATCAGCAGTGAAAGTGAATCAAAATAATCCAGATTTTTTGACACAAATAGATTTAAAAATCGAGACTTTGTTAGATAAAATAAAATATCATATTTATTTGTCCCAATCAACTCAGGTAAAAGCGTCAGAAACATGAAGGCTGAAAGAGCCAAATTTTACGCTTGCACATGCAAACAACTTATCCAAAACGCTCATCTTCATTTCAAGTTCTTCTTCGTTTCACTGCAACATTGAGTTCCAACATCCCAGTTAAGGAAACTATTGCAGAGTCTTCATCTTAAAATTATAAATTAATTGTGTTAACACAATTAACGCAATTAAAAATGCAAAGAAATTTCTTTGCATATTATAAAATCTCAATATAAACAACAGGTGACTATTGGTACATGAAATTGATGCACCAAAAGTTTCCTTAAATGGATGTTAGAGTATACATGGATCTAAATCTTTATTAATGATAGCTATTTATGATTGTCGCTGGAGATGGACAATACTTTCATGAAGTATTGATTGATAATATTGGTATTGGTCGATCAAATATTGAAATATTATTTAAGTATTGAAAGTATTAGGTTGTTATTAAAAGACACAATCAACACAATTGTCACATTTTTACTCAAATTGAGTTTGAAATTGAAACTTGGATCGCTTTTTTGCATTATGGAAGCAGATTTTTAGTGAAACTCATTTAACGATGTAAATCCTGATGGCCAACAAGAAAATGCGATTATTTTGAACAATGGGATGAATTGGCTCGAATTTTCTTCGGTATTCAGTCATTTAATGTTATAGTCCACAATGAAATTTATTGATTGGTCAATGGACTCAGGTTTTATGTTTCTAAAAACTAACAGAAACTAAATTTGAAAGAAATTCATTTTTACCCGTTTTTGCCCATTTGTTTCAATTTGTGTATAAATGTGACAATTGTGTTAATTGTGTCTTTTATTAACAAACCTTATTCTCACTATTTTTCGAGTAGACAATTTCATTATTTTCAATCGCGCTTATTAGAATCAGTTTCACTCAGATTTTCATTTTAAACTGATTTCTGAAGTTTTTTGATAAGCTTTTACGATTAGAATTCAGCTAATTTAAATGAGATAAAATGAGTATTTCCCACTGATTAATTTTCAACGGACTTTTTCCTGTTGCTTGTCTAAAATGTTAAATATGCTTAAAAATTGGCGAAACCATAGTCGCCTACTCTTTAATCAGTTTTTATTTGCTCGAGGGCTAAAAAGATTAGTGAAATATGACTAGTGAAGTGATTAGTGACACACATTTCTTGCGTTCCTCTGCATAAATAGATCAACAAAACATGGTTTGGCTGTCATTTTACTTCAGTGTTTTCTTCTGTCAAACTCATCATGCTCGTTGTAACCAGAATTGGAGGTGGACTCAAACGAGTCAATCATGCTGCTGTCGCTGTTGACGAACTCATCTACTCTTTCGGTGGATTCGCTTTTACCGAGGACAATATCTCTATGCGACCTATCGATGTGCATACACTCAACATGAACACATTAAGATGGGAACAGATCAGCTACTCTGATGGAGGTAAGTTGTTTGATTATTTTGCATACCATTTTATTAACTTTAATATTAACTTGATGTTTACTTTTTTGCTTTTTACAGGAGATCCTACAAATGTTCCGTTTATAAGATATGGTCATTCTGTTGTTGCACAAGACGACATTATTTATCTGTGGGGTGGTCGAAGGGATAGAGTGCAGTGTAATAAGATGTTCACGTTTGATACAAACACGCGACAGTGGTCAGCACCTAAAGTTAAAGGAACAATTCCTAGTGAGTATTTTGTTTCTAAAAATCTATTTGATCTCGTTAATTTGATTTAATCTTTATGATAATTCTTTATCAGGAGCTCGAGGTGGTCACGCTGCTTGCATTTGTGCAGGACATATGTATATCCTAGGAGGTTATGAGGAAGCCACCAAAAAATATTGTGACACGGTTTTCCGTTTTGAACTGAAAACTTTTACATGGCAAGCCGTATATCAACTGACTTCTGGATTGCTCAAAAAAGTTTACATGTCATGTGTGGCAATTGACAATAAAATCTACCTTTTTGGTGGCCGCTCATACTCGTGCCCGTTTCGTGACAGTGATATTATGGAACTAGACACCGAGAAGATGACCTTATCTACACCAAAAGTTTCAGGATACAAGCCGTGTTGTAGAAGGAGCCATTCAGCTGTAGTAATTGACAACAAAATGGTGGTCTTTGGTGGTTACAATGACATTACCGATGAATATCACAACGACTTTAATGTCTTTGATCCTAAAACCTATTCATGGACCCCTTTAAATACTATCGGACAGGAGCCTCCCCGTGCTCGACGGGGAAATTGTTGTGTTGCTGTAAACTCGTTTCTCTACCTTTTCGGAGGAAGTAGCCCAGAGCCAAAAACCAGAGAAGACCAAGCAGCTTCGTTAATGGAGCTGGATGATCTATTCGTTATTGATACGAACAGAAGCTTGCGCTCTATGTCATTACAAGTTGTATTAAAAAATGATTTAGACACTAGAAGACTTCCTCCTACTCTAAGACGAGAGGTTGAAAGCTATCGTACTGATAACAAACTCCAATGTACCCAGCTCAATGCTCAATAAACGTATAATAATAATTATAAATAATAACACGCAACTGATAGTTGTTGTAACACATTCAATATTTCGTTCAATTTTGTGAGACAATTGGCCATAGTTTTAGGTTATTATTGTATGGTTGATAATCAGAGTTACTTTTAAATCAATCAATTATTAATTTCGTATTTTGAGTACGGATGAGAGCTTGAAGTCAATGGTAACAAAAAAATTTAATTGATTTAATAATGCAACAAGCTCGAATTTTCGTTTAGATGAGAAACAATAATTTCATCGTAATATAATGTAGAGAAGTTAATCATTACAAGTTTTGTCACTCACTGTATTCAAATGTACTTTAAATATTTTTCAATAATCAAATTGAACTTTAGTAAATACAACATTAAATCATAATTATATTTTGAATAAGTATTCGGAGATTGGATTGTAATGCAAAATGCTTTTTTATCAAATTCGTCTTTGGTTTGAATACCTTATATGTAAATTGCTTGGCTTCCTCATTTTAAATGATCATGTAAACTCCTAATTATCGTCTTCGAGAACGATGTTTTTGCTTGGAGGAAGAAGCTGAAGCCGTGGATGATGAGCCCATAACAATTTGTCCTTCTTCGATTTCTTCTTGGGTCGCTTCTTTGACATCTTTCAATTTGTTAGACGCCTCAAAGAAGAACATAAGATCTCTGACTTGTTCCTTCAGTTCCTGGATTTCTGTATCTTTCTTTTCAATAGCAGTTTTTAAATCTTGTTCAGTTTGCTTCAACTTTTGAGACCATAAGTCTTGATTTTGGGCAAGACATTTATTCATCTCTTTCTCCTCCTGAACGTCATGTAATACTTTAGATAGTCGAGAAGTCAACTGTCCAACTTTCTTTTCTAGAGTTTGTTTATCCCTTAACAAACGTTGATTTTCAATTTCAAGATGATCTTTTTCTTCTAATATCACTTTATTTTTTTCGATAACATCCTTAATTCTTTCCTCGGCCTCACTTTCAATTCGACAAATGGTCTCTTCAAAATAATGTCGCTGAGTTTCTAATTGATTGGTCAATAAATATGTGTATTCTAATTGCACTGAGTCAATTTTATCTTCAGTATGATTGTCATATTCAACTGCAACTGGTTTACCATCGGATTTATTTTGAAGCAATCGATGAACATAATTATCTCCAGCGTAATCCCAAACACGATTATCCATACCGAGCTCAAGAGCATAAGTATGTTGAGTTTCCCGATAATGGGATTTAGCATGGCCTTCAACGTAACGACCACAGCCAATGTGTCCACAAATTAAACAAATCCATAAAGATTCTTGGGACGCACATTCAAAACATCTGTTTTCAGGGACACTTTCGGGAGTTTGACAGTAACGACAAACTGGACAGCTTGTATCACCCCATTTATCAAGACAACCAGAATGAAATGAGTGATTACACAGAATAGTCAAAACTCCTTCCACGGATTCATCCATTCGTTCAAGACAAACAGGACAAGTTGGTAGTTCGGTATGACCAACAACTGGCAAATAGCCATCATCAGCTTCTTTGATGGTCTCAACTTTAGCAACATATACAAGATGACACATCTCGGGTTCAATTGAATTGAACTGCACTCCATTGAAGTTATTGTAAAATTCATCGGAACTCTTTTGATTTTGAAATTTTATCAAAGCCATATATTGATTGGGCTTATTATTGCGAACTATTCTAATATGTTCAATATTGCCATTAACAGGTCCAGTGAACTGAAGAAGATCATGGATAGTCATTGAAGTAGGAACTGATAATATGCAGACCATTTCACTTCTTTCAGCTTCCTCACCAAGGTTTGTTCGTGCATTTTCTTTGTAAATATGTAGGATACCTTTTGTTGTCTCGACATAATGATTACCACTGTAAAAGTGAATCTGTTTCATGGGATTTTTGAATCTATCTTTTACTCTAGTCTCTACAGGAGCACACGCTCCAGAGGCCGATCTCAAACTTCCACTAGATTCTTCTATACCACCACAAGCTCCAGAATCTTCTGGTGATGACTCTTTACTGCTAGTTGATGCAAGTCTATTCATTGGACCGTGAACTAAACCAGCACTGGTACCTTCAGTCAACTTACAATCAGCATTTATGTCAATCGTTTCAATCTCAATATCAGTCATCTCTCGGAAACCACGATGTTTCTGTTTAATTTTACTATTATTTTTGCGAGGGTTTAAACTTTTACGTCCCTCTAATCCAGTATTATTATCTGCTTGAGCCATTACTTTGGGTGCTATGATGATAGAAAAAGAATTACATGGTCAAATAAAGATACAGTTATTGAGGCAAACCAAAACAAAACATGGATAAAATTACCTGTATAATGTATAGATGGTATTAATGGATAAGCATCGTCAATTTCCAATCTAATAAAAACTAGATGAATAGACATAATTAGAAATGTATCAACATTATGACAAAATTGTTGACACTAGCATTTATAAACAAAAGGTAGAAAGTAAACTAAAATGCTCACAATAAATATCCAACTGTCAGTTATTGCGATTTATCGATTAAACTATCGATACAATTTTTAAATTTTGATTTCTAATTGTAACAATTGTTATATTATTCTGCTCGATGTTACCTAATTTTGATTGATTAATTAACCATAAGCAACCTCTTAATTTTGCGGCTCTAGATTAAAAATGTATTTCATATTCCTCAAAGAAACAGCATCAGTAAATTTTCATTTCAAGTACAAGTGAGTCTTTTAATCAACTTTAAGATTATTGCGGATATTTAACATACATTCAATGCTGGACCCCATTCTAGATCATAATTTTTACTGCTACGACTAACTTGTCAAATTGTCGTTGTTACTTGCATAGAAGTATGGCAAACTGTCCATTTCTTGGGAAGTTTTCGGACCGATGGAACGTAAATCTGTTATTTATTTTCAAACTTAATGAAAGGAATTGTTTGAATTTATATTTATTCATTCAAGTTGATGGGTATAACTGATTTTCAATTTTGCTTGACTTTGGTTAGCTTGAAGTTATTAGATTTTTAAAAAAAAATGTCATAATCCAATTATTAAACTGGTCTATTCACTATTCAAATCACGGTCATTGGGTCTTGATTTGAAGGTTTATTTGTTTATAAAGGTCATTAAGACTTTTTCGGATGTGTTTTTTATCAACTTTAATGCAAAGTTTGCTTTGAAAAAAGATGGACAATCAGAAATAATAAATGTAAATATCATTGAGAGATGAAAATGATCAATGAAACTTTGCATTCATAATATGAATTGATATAATAATCTTCTGTCTTAAATTGAACCCTTAATTGTGACTTTCCTTTTGCGATCAAAATCTTGCAGTCTATTAATTTACCTAGATAAACTATAAGCTCAAACAAAAACTGTTGAAACAGTCTTTATCCTTCAACCAGGAAAAAGGCTATAAAACTCACGAAGATGATCACATTATGTACATGTATTGGTGAGAAAGAAAAATAGGAAGAGAAAGTGAAATCTACTCTTCCAACGTATTTTGCTTCTTGTAAACAAACATGAGTCACAAATGTAATTTAATGCTTGTTATTTTCATTTTTCCTGTGAATTTTACACTCGTTAACTTAACTTTTGATGTTAGATAATTAACTATTACCATTTCCATCATCAGAAAAACCAGAATCATTGGGATAAATCTTTCTCAAATATATTTGTTTCCTCTATTTTCTAGCAATGGGCAAGTTTTTTTGTCTTCCTTTGTTTGCTATTATTTTTGGTGCCATTGGTTTCATTGGATTTTTCCTTTTCCCACCAATTACCAGAAAGATTCTTAATCAGGTAAGATAGATTTTGTGAATTTACAACTTTGGTGTTTACCGATTCTACTATTTTTGATTTCAGAAACTCGTGCTAAGCAATGGATCAGCTCTGTTTACTTTTTGGAAAGATATGCCTTTGCCTATGTTTCAGAAATTTTATTTTTACAATATAACCAATCCATCTGAAGTGGAAAAAAATGGTGTCAAACCTAATCTAGTTGAACTTGGACCTTTTACTTATCATCTCAAAACTCACAATACCCCAGTCATCAACCCAAATGGTACTATAAGCTTTTACCGGAATCGAACCTGGATTTTTGATAAAGAAGCTTCTGTTATGGATGAGAATATTACTATCTATACCATCAATGTTCCTCTTGTGATAGCTTTAAGTTGGATTGAAAAAGTGCCATTTCCTATGGTTAAATTGATCGAAAAAATTTTAACTTCCCTTGATCATGGTTTCATTATCGAAAAAAGCATCAAAGAATTGACTTTTCTCGGTTATCCTGATATGTTAATGAAGTTAGGCTCCATAGTTGCTCCTAAAGCTACAGCTGGCTATAATGGCAAATTTGCTTATTTTCACCATAAAAACGATTCTAGTGATTATTTGTATACAATTTATTCCGGAGTTAATGATATCAGCAAGATTAACCTACTGACTCGTATTAATGGCCAGGATAAGCTTGGTATCTGGGCTGATGAACCAGGAGAAAATCAAGATTGCAACCGGTTTAATGATAGTACCCTGGGAGAAATATTTCCTGCAATGAGGAATAGCCCGACTCAAACTATCAAGTTATTTACTTCAGACTTGTCTCGTACTCTCTCTTTCACCTATCAAAAAAGTCACTTTGCTTTCAAAAGACTTGAAACATGGAAATACTTGTTTGCAAATCACAATTTTGCTAGTCCTTCAATTTATCCTTCAAATAAGTGTTACAGCAGCTTGATGGCTAGCTACTCTTTTGACGGATCCAATGGAACCTTGCCTTCTGGAGTTTTTGATGCATCCTTACCTAATAATGGATTTCCAATTTTATTATCTTTACCTCATTTCCTTGGGGCAGATCCTTATTATTTAACCAAGGTAAACGGGTTATCACCAAATGATACTAAACATTCTGCCTGGTTTGAAATTGAACCAACTTCTGGTGCCACAGCAGCAACCGCTATTCGTCTCCAATTAAACATCGGAATAACTCGATCACATTTATTCAAAAGAAGTCATAAAATGCCAAACATAGTTTTCCCTACTTTTTGGATGGAAATCAGTTTTTCTTTAAGTCCTGATTATGTTGATCTACTCATATTGATAAACACGATTTTATCGCTCGTGCCTACATTGATTTTAGCAATAGGTGTTGGCTTAGCTGGCTTAATCCTATTTATTGCCTCTCTCCAATTGATTATTCCTAGGACGAGAATCGAAATCAATAGCTGTCTGAACATATTAACTTGTCATCTTTATAAAATTACAAAGGTACTTTATCACATTACCAAATTATTGCCTGATATTCAACTTAATCTTTTTTATTTTTCTTCAAACTTTAGGATGATGAACAAACGATACTTGATCCCGAGGAAATGAATGATGATCACAATGAAGTTATGATTCACACCAATTAGTGCGATCTGGTCGTTGTTTTTGTTTCTGGAAAATAATAGCGAAACTATCTGTGATAAATAGTTTGATCTTAGCTGGACTTAGCAATTTGAAATGCACATAGTCCAGAAATTATGAAAAGTCACATAATTCAACATTTTTATTCAAAATTAATCTCATTTTGTTCTAGTGACTTGAAAATTGCGTCTAATCACTTTACTATAATCATTTTTATCCTACACCAAAGTATTCACCAACTAATCTTTTATTTCACCTTGTTCATTGAAAACTTCACTAAATTGTGTGCCTAAGCATTTTCTAATAAATATTTATTCACTTTATTTTTTCGATCACATCTTTCAATTCGACAAACACTCTCTTCAAAGTAATGCCACTGAGCTTCTAATTGATTAATATGTGTATACTAATTGTACTCACCAATTTTATCTGCATTTTCAACTGCAATTGGTTTAATAGATAATTTTAAGAAAAACAAAGTAACTAAAGTTTACTAAAATGTTCGTAATAAATATCCAATTGTCAGTTATTGCGATTTATCGATTAAACTATCGATACAATTTTTTAATTTTGATTTCTAATTGCATCAACTGGTGTATTGTTATACTTGATGTTATTTAATTTTGATCGGATTATTAACATTAAGCAGCTTCTGAATTTTTTGATCAGTATCCAGATTTTTCAGGATCTATACTAAAAAATGTATTTCATATTCCTCAAAGAAATAACATCAGTGAATTTTCAATTAAAGTACAAGTGAGTCTTTTAATCAACTTTAAAATTATTGCGAATATTTAACATACATTCAATATTATTTTTCTTTTTATTTAGGATCACCAAGTGCTGGATCCCATTCTAGATCATAATTTTTACCATTACGAGAAACTTTGACCTTAGAGTAACCGTAACTTCTTCGCCATGGATTTCTTAACTTAGGGCAAGGTAAGAGTTTAACTATTACATAGAGAAAAACAACCATTATCATAGAAATGGTTATAATTAATAAAACTGTACCAATAATGGTAAATTCATGGTTGAAAAGGAAAGAACATTTAAACTGATCAGATGTCATATTAAAAATCTGAAAATCTTTTAAATAGGTTGGATGTTTGCAGACTAAATTTGGCTTGAGATGATCTCTGATCTGCACTTGAATTATCCAATCAAGGTGACAGTCACAGTTCCAAGGATTCCCTGTTAAATCAATCTCATAAAGCTTATCCCAATCCAACAGTTTGCCGGACATTGTTGTTACAGAATTATGTCGAAAAATGAATGTCTGTAATTGAACTGGCTTGTCAGTAGTATTGTCATAGAAAGCTTTTGGATCCACAAAACGCAAATTGTCATTGTTACTTGCATAAAAGTATGCTAAATTATCCATTCCTTGGAAAGATTGCGGACCGATGGAACGCAAATCCGGTTGATCATCCAATCTTAAGACATTGACACTGGACAGTTTCTTGAATGCTGGATATCGAAGTCGAACAAATTTGTTTCTGCTCAAGTCTAGTCTATACAATCTCGGAATTCCGGCCAATGCTTCAGTTGGTACTTTTTTAAAATCATTTCCAGATAAACAAAGCAACCGAAGGTTCAAATTATATCTAAACAGTTGATCGGGTAATTCCGATAGTTGGTTATCACCTAAATCCAATTCCTCCAAAGCAAGCAGATGTTCAAATGTATCGTCCTGTATAATGTGGAAGTTATTATTCCTCAAGGATAATTTTTTAACCTTTTGAAGTTTGCTGAAAATTTCTGGGCCAATGATGCTGTTTGGATGAGACAATGACATTAGGATGTATCTTTTTTTTTATTATTGTCTCAAAATACTTACCTAAATCCATTGAAGCTCAAATCAAGTGATTGTAGATTTGTCATGCTGCTGAACGTTTCCGAGTCAAATGTCCATAAACTATTGTGCGATAGATCAACCTTTTCAACGGCACTCAAGTTTGCGAAAACATTTTCTGTTATAGAGTTGAGCTTATTGGTCGAAAAATCAATTTCTATTATATTGTGATTGTCATAAAATGGATTGTAAAGTTCCTCTATCTTGTTGTGGGCAAATTTGATGGCATTCCCGCTATTAAATACCAATGGAATATCAATTTTGTCGATGTCTTTTGATGAACAGTCCGGAGCTTCATTCTCGCTGGTACAACTCCATTTCTTAAAGAAGGAAAACGTTTGGTCGGCTTGATTTGAAATATCATCACCTATAAATTTATCTTCAGATAGCACAGGATTACTTGTAAAGATAATTACCATGAATAAAAGATGTAGATGGCAATGCATTTTGATGGAGTAACCGATTCTGTTCCTTGTCGCTTTATTTACCTATCACATTAGTATTCAACTAAGATTCACCTTTTCAGAAATCTTGCGACTTCTGTGTATCTTTTACACTTTGTGTTAAAAAAGTTACTTAAATTGTGAAAAGCAAAATGGCGAATGGTTATTAAAATAGCTGATGCCTATTCATTGATAGTGAAAAAAGTTTACTCTCAATTCAAGTGTCTTTTACAATCTTATCAATTAGCCAAAGGTAGACTTAGAAATAAGAAAGATAATTATCAAGATTACCTTTCAAATTGTTGCTCTGATTTACAATTACAAAGCTGTCATACTTCAAGTGAATGCGTTTTATGTAAACATTTTATGTGCAAGAAAATGTAAAACTTACTGTAAATTATTTTCACATTAATTGCTTATGAAATAAATGAAGTGATCTAAGCAAAGGCTGTATTTTATTTAGCGATATTCAAGTGTCATTTTCGTTCTCATTCATATGAAAGCTCAAAATTTCGTCCATTTAAATATTAAGTATTGTTTACCATTTGAAGATAATTGGTTTCTTGTCATAGCAGAATAACAAGCTAGTTGTTTCAGGAGGCGTCAGAATCAAAATGGATTGTCGTTAAAGTGTTAAAAACATCGAAGTGTATGAAACTAGTTATCTGTTTGTGTTCCCATATTACTGTTTGGTGGATTCAAGAAGATGTCGACCTTTCTTTCCAGATCTTCCTGTCTACTCGTATGAAAGTTTATTTGATCTTCGACTCGTCTTTTCTCTTCTTCAGATTCTGCTGCTTCCAGTTTCTGCCGGAGACCCTCAATCAGCTCTTTGCATTTCGAGACTCGTCTTTGAAGCTTTTCAGCTTTTTTCTGAAAAACCGCCCGCTTATTAGGATCATTACTGGGTCTGTCAAGAATCCTTGCAAGGCGCGCTCGTTTACGAGCATTAGCTTTTTGTGCGTGTGTCAAGCGTGGTCGGCTCTGTATCAAGAAAAAAAGTCAACTATCAGTTTCAAATAAGATTGAACAAAGATCTGAATTGGTCAAATTGTGTACTTACAGGTCCAGGTGCGTCTGCCATTAAGGATTGATTTGATTATCGGTGGATAAAATTTTCTGCAAGAAAAAATATTTTCCATTTTGTACTTAGTTTTTTAAACATTGAATGCATGAAATTATGATAATGTAATAAGGATTAATGATCAAACACAGCTATGGATGAAACAAAATAAGGATGACTAGAGAAATACAGATTATTTGTTGAAAAAAATACTTACTTTAAAAAGTGGACGGAATAGAATCAGATTAAATCAAATTTCAATCAAAATATGACACTTTCATTAAACAAGATGTAAGGTCTTTTCATAAATATGTAACAATTTTCAACTAAAGTTAACAGATACTGGGCATTCTTTGACCACACATTGATAAAGTAGCAGGAAAATTATTTTTTAAAGTTGAAAGTTAATTGTCATTGGTCATTTAAGAGCACAGCTGGCGTAATTTTTTCATATTCAAATTCAATTGATTGACAATCAACGGTGATTTTCTGGAAATAATCTTTTCAATTGCGATTGCGAGCTGGAAATAATTAGCTCATCACAAATAATCAAAGATTAATGTATAAGATACTGCAGTGAAGAGGTACAGAGAACCTGAAGGGACAATGCCCACTGGAGGGCACCACAGAAAAATTTTGATCAAATTGAATGGGAAAACTATTTTTAATTTTTTTTACAAAAAAATGAAAGATTAAAATTAAAGGTAAATCACAGTGATGATGCGACAACTAGCGCTTGAGGTGGGCATTGTCCTTTACTAACATCAGTACCTCTCAATTGCTGTATCTTATGCTTTAATCTTTGCAAATAATCATAATTTTTATTGATTGCAGTCAACAACTGTTTATTATTGGACAGTAAATTATCTTTTTAGCAAAAATGTTGCTTCTCAAATTGAGTCAAATTGAGCTTCAATCCATCAATAGTCCTGATTACTGTTCAAAAATTACTGTGTAAAAATTCAAACATTCAAGCAAATTGACTCGGATAAATGACTGATACTATCAGGCTGATAATTGAATTGAATTTTATGGTAATTAAAAGTAAACCTCTACAATAAACAACAATGACAGATGGACTTAACACAATTCACAACACGATTCACTTAATGTACAAATGACGATATTTACCACAGGTAACCAAGGAGTCTCTACTGACTACCGTAATCAAATACGCCTGTGAGCTTCAACATCTGTGAAATGATTGCTCGATAATCTTTGACAATAATCCATAGTATTTAAATTAATCTTTTCTTTTAAGACCATTTCAGTCCATCGATTCTCAAGACTACACGAGCAATTCTCATCTTCTGCATGTAATCATGACTCTCATTGAATTCTGTGGCTGTGCTTTAATAGCTTTTGGTCCTCCCATGACAATGTTTTGCTTGACAGTGGCCAATAATCCAATTTATATTATCATAATGATCTCATCGTAAGTTAATTATTTTCTTATTTTACTCTTGTACTAAATTATTCTTGATTTACCTTACAGCTGTTTCTTTTGGTTATGTGCGCTCTTGACGTCCTCCTTTTTGTGGGCTATTGTTGTACCCCTGAAAGAAACGCTCGCGTTTGGTGTGATTTTTTCTGTTTTGATTCAAGAAATATTCCGATACTTATTTTACTACATTCTCAAGTAAGTTTTTTTATAAATTATGAATGTTTGTTAATTTCTTTTCAATTTTTGATTGCAGAAAAGCTCAAACTGGACTGCAAAAAGTCTCTGAAGTTGGAAATAAAGGATCAATCCAATCAATTAGATGGCTATCATTGTCTTATGGTAATTAAAACAGACTTCATGTTTTGCCCATTTTTTCTCTTAATTTAAACTAATCTGAAACTTTATCTCTTATAGTCTCTGGTTTTGGTTTTGGCATCATGAGTGGTGCTTTTTCTCTTGTTAATGTGCTTGCTGATGCTACCGGTCCAGGAACAGTGGGTCTTTATGGCGATTCACCTAAATTTTTCATATCATCAGCGTTCATTACTTTAACTTTTATTTTACTACACACATTCTGGGGAATCATATTCTTTGATTCATGCGATAAAGGATGTAAATATAGAATTGCCTATGTAATTCTTTCTCATCTAACTGTATCATCACTGGTAAATTGATTATTTCCTTCTCTTGATATTTTCTCGGGAATTTATTTACATTAGGATAACTCGATAACTTGATAGAATTTTGTTTTCGACGGATTAGGGTGCAATTGAACGACACTTGTCCTGTTTTCCCTTTATAATAGTTAGGTTAAAATCATCAAAATTCAAGAAAATCAATCGTTACCCTATTGTATTTAATCTTTAAGATTTTCACAAATAATTTGATTACTAACACTTTTTATTCTTTATTCACAGACTTTTTTCAATCAGCTTCAATTCTACTTGGCCTCATTGATTCCTTGTTACCTGATAACAATAATTACCGGCGTAATTGCTTATCAATGTTCTGGTGGTACACTTAAATCATTGAAAGAGTGTTTGCCTTTCTCTTTGGGGTGAAAGAATTTAACTCTATGTAAATTAATTGCCTAGTCGACCCAGGCAGAAGCGCCTGGAACACGAGCGGGACAATTCTGATTTTGTTTTATGCTCGTTCACATAAAAATAATAAAAATGCGACCAGAAACGCTTACCACAAGTAAACATCAACCATTCAATTTTTCATGAATTTTGAAAAAAGTGCTAATGAAAATTAAAATTCATTCGAAGTGAGTAAATAGCAAATAGATGCCAATAGATGTTAACCAAAGGAAGTTTCAAAAATACCCAATTTTGGTCATGGTTAGGTTATAAAACGGATTAAACGGATTAAAGTGAATTCTTTTTTAAAACATAGTTGGCATTTTGCTGCAATTTAAGAGCTTTAAACATTCATAACAAAAATCCAAGCCAAGAACGATTGTTATTAGTATAAGGTCCCTTTTAACTCACATGTTTTTTGTCGGATTTAAAAAATTTGATATTTACTCTTTCGTATGAAGCTCATACTATCAATTAATTAACTAAACAATTTAAATTTGTTATTTTTATCTTATTTTTTGTTGATTAATATTTATTAACCATGAAAGTTAAAGTTATTTCACGAAGTGCACAAGATTATATGCGTGAAACTAACAAAGATATCCACAAAAGTAAGTTTTAATATAAAAGTCATACATCATATTTACTAAATTTTATTTGTTATCTTTTTATAGTTCAAAGAAATCTCGACCCTAAACTTCACCCTCTTCAATTACCCAGAGAATATAAAAGAGCTTTGAATGCTGTAAAGTTGGATAAAATATTCGCCAAACCGTTTCTATTCTCTCTTTCTGGACACATTGATCCAGTTGAACGTCTTCTTAAACATCCAACAAGCCTATCTACACTTATCTCAGGTTCATTTGATGGTCAAATCAAAGTATGGGATCTTATGAAGAAAAGTTGTGTTCGGACAATACAAGCTCATAGTGGTGCTGTTTGTGATTTGTGTATGCCAAATCATGGTGGATATTTTTTCTCTTGTGGTGATACTAATGTAATTAAAAGATGGAGTCTGAGTGAAGACGACTCAGGTGATCAGCCACTCAACTCAATTGTGGCTAAAACTAATATTGTTGGAATGGATCATCATAGAAAGAAGTCTATTTTAGTTACTTGCGGAGAAGCCGTTGATTTATGGGATGAATCTAGACCATCACCACTCAAAACTTATAAATCTAATTTTGATACATCTTATAGAGTTAAATTTAACCCCATTGAAGTTAACATCTTCGCTTCTACTGCAAATGATAGAAGTATCACATTGTTTGACACTCGACAAAATGAACATTTAAGAAAAGTCATTCTTGCCATGAGAACTAATAATGTTGCATGGAACCCAATGGAAGGATACCACTTCACCGCTGCTAATGAAGATCACAAGTAAGTGTAAAAATGCTCTTTAATTTACTTTATTATTTTCAAATTATTAATGACATGTATTTTTTCAGTTTATACACATTTGACATGAGAAATCTGAGTGAACCTCTCAAAGCACATTTGGACCATATCGGAGCTGTCATTGATGTTGATTATTCACCCACTGGAAAAGAATTTGTTAGTGGAAGTTATGACAAAACCTTAAGGATATTTAAAGAGGACAGCATTCATAGCCGTGAAATATATTATACTAAACGTATGCAACGTTTAACAAGTGTTATTTGGACCTCTGATGCCAAGTATATACTATGTGGCTCTGATGAAATGGACATTAGAGCTTGGAAAGCCAACGCTTCAGAGAAGCTAGGCCCTAAAGCTTTAAGAGAAGAGCTCAACTTTAGATACCAAGAAAAATTAAAGGAAACATTTGCTAATCATCCAGAAATCAAAAGAATCGCCAGACATCGTCATGTTCCTAAACATGTTTATCACGGAAAGAAGGAAAAGGACGCTATGGTTAATGCAATTAAAAGAAAAGAAGCTAACAGACGTGCTCATTCTAAACCTGGAACTGTACCTGTAACGAGTGTCAAAACTCGTGCAATTGTGAAAGAACTGGAATAAATCTTTTATTTTCTAAATAAATTATAGAACTTATTAAATGAAGATTGCAAAGTGTGTCTTAATTTATTCATCAGAAATAACGAGGATTTTTTAATCCATTACAGTTGGTGATGATCGACATTTTTGAGAGGATAAAATTTTTAACTGGGATTTAGATTGTCAATTGAATCAGTGTCCGGTTATTAGTATTGTCTATTTTGAATTTTTAAACTTCAAATTGTTGATAGCATATTATAAAATTTTGTTGATAATTGTAGCAGATGGATTGAACTTTGTTGTTGAATACTCTATCTGTTTCCGCAAAAATATTGAATGAGGATTGATGCTTATTTTATATTAATGATGATGAGAAATATGATTAAGTTGTTTATGATGAGGATGATTTATTTTGGCTTGTTTAGTTTCATCACAGTATAGTTATCACATTAATCAATTGATTAATATTAAATTGTTCTTAAATTAGTTGGTCAAGCCTTTTATCGTTTTGCTTTAGCTTTAGCATCATTAACTAATTGTGTAATAGTTTCTAAAACAAAATCATAATTAGTGTTACCTAATTCACGCTCACTCTTCATGAAATCAGGATGCTCTTTAAAATCGTCATAGCTTTCATCAAATACATCAGGTAATTTGTGCTTGTAGGATTCACCTTTAATCATATCGGCCAGCTTTTCAGCAATCATAATTATCGGTGCATTAGTGTTACCAGAAACAATAGTGGGCATAACAGAGCCATCAGCTACTCTTAAACCAGAAACACCTAAAACACGAAGTGAAGGATCAACCACGGTTCTTGGATCACGAGGATCACCCATCCGACAAGTACCAACAGGATGATAAAGTGTTGACGTATAAGTACGAGCAACACAGGCCAGATATTCATCAGACCACATGGTATAAATTTCACAACCAGGAAAAACGGTTTGGAATACATTTGAACCTAAAGCACGGAAAGCTGGAGCTAATCCGACAGCAATAGATATTTTCATGGCATCAACCATGGAGGCAATATCATCTGGATGGGTTAAATAACGAGGATTAATGATTGGCGGATCATATGGACTTGCAGACCGAAGATGAACATAGCCAACTGATTTAGGACGCAACATAACTGGATACATTGAAACAGTATCATATGGGAGATACGGACGGTAAACTGAGTCCCACATTTCTCGGGTAAACCCTTGAACTCGACGTAAAACGGTTCCATCATCTGAAGTGGGACTTCCAGAGATCATATGAATCTCAAAATCAGGCCAATCATCAGAAAAATTGGTATATTTAGTTTTAATGAATCCAAGGCCCTCAACACCTCCAAGAACAGTAAATGGTCCTAAGATTAAACAAAAATGTAACACAAGAGTTAAAAATGGAAAAATAAATTGTTAAATTTCTAGTTCAAAATTTAATGACCAACTAACCTTTTCCATGAACAAAGTAATCAATTATATTTTTGATATTTCCAATTCGTCTTTGGACCAACGACACTTCCTCAGTAATAGTGAAATGAATTCCTCCTGGATAGATATGATCCTGTAAATTTTCACCAACAGGTAAATCAGAAATAACAGGAATACCCAAAGTTTCCAATTGTTCTTTGGCTCCAACACCGGAAAGCATAAGTAGTTGAGGTGAATTAACCGAACCAGCGGATAAAATAATCTCTCTTCGAGCATAGACAACATGGGTAAGGGTAAAACGATCAAATTGAACACCAATGGCTCGCTTTTGTTGGTTGAACAATATTTTAGTGGCATAAGAGAAAGGTAGAATGTGTAAATTACTTCGATCCTTAATGGGTTGAAGGAAGGCTTTTGAAGTTGAGCAACGAGCACCTCTACGAATGGTTCCTTGAGGAATCATGAAACCTGCTTGAATTGGACCATTGATGTCGACATTGGGATAACCTAAATGGCGACCAGCTTTCGGGAAAGCATAAGCAAGGGCCGAAGGATCTGGCGGTTGAGAAACGGTCAAATAGCCTCCTGATGAATGGTAACCTGTTAAGTAAAAAATTGACATTAATTAAGATTGCGTCAAATTATTCACAAATTGTCAGTTAAATATCAATTTATCAAAAAGGAGTCAATCGAGTCCATTATTTTCACAGAAAATTTGTTTACTCAATCGGTGGACAGTCGAACCGGATCGAATGACTCTTTCGGTTAACATAATGAAACAATTTCAACAGTACATTAAGTTAATCTCATTGAACCATTTAAAGTTGACTTGAATTTCAGGCAACATGATTAACTATTCTTTAAGAAGCACTGAATTGGACTGAAGCTAATCAAATTTATGAGAAACAAAAAGAAATGAAAATTTTGCTTCAAAAAAACTGTAACCAATACATAAGCTATTCTGAAAGTTACAATATTTTCAATCATTCACCTCAATCAAGCAGCTTAATTGATTACTATTGACCATGGGAACAGGTAATATTATTGGATAAAATTATACTTTAAAGATTTGGCTCTTGTTTGATAATTTGAGCAATTTTTGGTGAAATTATTCAGGAAACAAAGACGATGTTAATGTTGCTTTTTAAAGGGAAAGTCAAAGGAAAAGGAGTTTGAAGAGAACGGAAAAAAGTGTAAGAAAGTGAGTAAAAGTACTGTAAGGGCCTTGCCAGAAGAAAAAAGTTCGGAAGTATTAAGTGAAAGTGACCTTCGGTGAGACTGATAATGAATGCTAAATGTTCATTTATAAGTAAACTACTAAGCTCACACGCTCTCGTTCATGTCTACTTATTTTACACCATTTAATTACAACAAATTAGTGCTTCCAAGTAAACCAGAATGTTGTATGTTGTATGTAATAATCATATGGATCGATAATTGTTTTTAACACCATGGTCACTCTTTTTGTATAACACTGTCAACTGACCGTTTGCCAGAAAATCCGGATCCTGGTTATCTTCTGATTTGAGGAAATAAGGGAAAACCTCTTTCCAAGACCATCCTTTCGCCCCTAATTTGGCCCATCGATCATAATCTCGTCTATTTCCACGAACGTAAAGCATATAATTAAGAACCGATGAACCTCCTAAAACTCGTCCTCGAGGCCATCGACTTCTTCTGTTGATTAGTCCATAACATGAAGCTTCTTGTGGTTCACTTTGATATGCCCAGTCGATTGGAGTCATTTGTAGGGTTGCTGCTGCAACCGGAATGTCGCTGAGTACACTCTCGGATCCACCAGCTTCTAGGAGTAAAACCTTCCATGATGGATTCTCAGAGAGACGATTAGCTAGAACAGCTCCAGCTGAGCCACCTCCAACTGCAGGATCAAGCGAAACAGAACAACAATTAAAATTATTGAATCGACTTAATAACTGAGGTTATTTAATTTTTATCAGTAAAATTCAAGTACATCACAAACGACAAACAATACTTACTCAACTTACCGGTTTGTTAAAATAGATTTAAAATACTAATTCGTCATTTCTTGAAGTTTTAACCTCGCAGCATAACTTAAAAACACACTTACATGTTACTTATCAGATTTGTTCACCTCACAACTAAACTCGATGATATAAAAAATGTTAATTCAAAAAATATGGATCACAGAATCAACACGCACAATAAACTAAGCATACAATGAAATGATGTCTCAATAAAAAGACTTGGTTAAGAACGAATGATTTTAGGCTTCAATCTGATTGAAATCAAAATGAAATAAACTTTAATTTAGACTCAACAATAAACGCAAAAGTAAATGACTTAATATTGAAAAACTGGCTAATAAGCATTGGTTAATTATCTGGTAAAACTAAACAGCTTTGCGTTGATACTTTGACCATTGACCAGATTTAAAAATCCATACAATTATATCTTTGTTGAGTTACCAGAAGTTATCCCAACCAGATAATTGACCATTTAATATTTATTAGATGAAATCAACTCTCAGCTTCGTTTTGAAAGGTTAACAAATTTCATATCGAAGATTTTTCTCAACTTCAGTTTGCCAAAGAGCATCAACAATTAATAAATTGCTTACCAATTATGTAATCATATTCCACATCCCATTTGTTTCGATTGATAGATAAATTGTCATCAGCTACTCTTAACCAGAATAGCGTTAAAATAGGAATTAAAGATGGTAAAATGGGTGAAGCCCCGGTCATTACGACGTAACTTTCACCATTAGTGGGTTAGTTTGGCTCCTAATGAAGATTATAAAAGTTGATTGTTCACTTTTAATATATTTCGGGTGAAGATTGACATTTGAATTAATAACCAGAAAGAGCACTTCAAGTAAAATTAGGGTTGCAATAAGATTCACCAAACACAATCACAAAGGTAAAAATGGATAAAGATGGCAAATGTTGGCTTCTTTTGACCTGCGAAACACAAGAAGCACAGAAACAAAGTATTTAATGTTGGTTACCTTGTCCTGATCTTTTCAGGCCCACTTGCTGTTAGGTAAACGACAACATCGACTGTACACTTACACAAGTATTACTGTTGACTGATTAAATGTTCAACTGGTTACATACAATGGAGTCGACCTTAAGTTTCGCAAAATCAACCGAGCCTGACTCAGAAAGGGAAAAGAAATAGAAGATTGAAGAAAAAAGAGAAAATGTAAAATGTTGTAAAAAGAGAGCAAAAAAATCAAGGGAATGGTTAATAACAAGAAATGTACAAGTTAAATTGTTATAAATGTGTAAATGAATATACAGTTAATTTAGCCGAGCAAATCGTTATACTTAAATGATCAACATCTAAAACTAAAGTGAGATCAAACTGATTCTCGGATTACAATAAAAATCATTTCTCTTAACCTGTTGCCACAATTTTTTACAATTTAGGAGACACTTTGTTTGCTTTTGCGGTGTTTTTTCACAGGTTAACACCTTTTCTTACCTCTTCATCCTCCTCCAGGAAAATCATAAACACCCCACCAACAGCTTCTCATAGGTAACTTTGAATAAGCAAATTACAGAATCAGAACGTGATTTAGGTAATGTACGTTAAATTTGGCATTGATGAACATCAATCTCTTCTAAGGTCAGCCAATACTTCCCTTAACCTGATCTTAAATACAATCAATGTTCATGCTGATTGTATTGACAATTTGCTCATAATCAGATCGCTTATTAGCTCTAGTTTCACTTCTTTTAGAGATCAATCATAAGATGTACTTATTTTAAGAAATAAAGTTTTCGTTTTATTGTTAAACAGATCACTTCGATTTCTAGTTAAACGTGTCGCATTTTGTGACCGAAAGATTTAGAAAGATGAAACTTATAATCTGTTTATAAAAACTAATAGCACACATCATGGATTGATTAATTTTTGCAATTTCTCTACAGTTCTCTTGATTTTGGCCATTGGCCATAAAACTTTGAGCTTCTATATTTCGAGAATGGTAACATCTACAATGGCCATTCTTTCACCAATTTGATTTCCTACTAATAAATAACTCAATTACAATTTATAAATTTTCGTTAGAGCATTTGGTTCATGGTTTTTGGGTTTCAAATGTACCAGCAACAACTTATAAACAAAACAAACTCATCTAAACCCATTTCTTGTTGAATAAACCAATTTTGTGGTTTCATTTGCATTTTCTGGCAAAATGAAATGTAAAAAGTATCGCTAAAGGCTTGAACATTGCAGTAAAGAGTTGAGACTTGGTATTATTGTAGAAACATAGAAACTGAATCCATTGGTGCTATTAAATAGTTGAATCGATAAACCATTTTCGAGGAAATCGAGTTCGAAGTTGAAACTTCCATCGCTTTTTCTTCAGCTATGGAAGCAGATTTTTACATGAAACTTATTTTAACGATGAAACTTTTGATGAACAACCAGGAAATGTACTTATTTTGATCAATAAAGTTTTCTTTTTTCTTTGAAGCAGATCAAGTCCATTTTCAGTTAAACTTGTCGCATTTTGTGAGCGAAACAATTAGACAGCTGAAACTACTGATACTCAAATAAAAATTAATAGCACACATCATGGCTTAAACACTTTTTGCGATTTCTCTACAGTTATCTTGATTTTGACCATTGGCCTTAAAACTTTGAGCCTCGATATTTCGTGATTGGGACCCTCTAGAATCATTATTCTTCCGCCAATCAATAGATTTTATCATTGGCTGTTATTGTATAAACTTTAGTTCCAACAAAAAAGCCATAACACTACTTTTGATGTTAGATTACTTTTGATGTTAGATTTGAGACTTTTACTCATAATGATAAATCGTTTCTCAAACCCAAATAGAAATAAATCCGCAGAAACCGGTGAAAATCAATATTTTTGTCTCTTTTTATTTGTTGAGATATAAAAACTGAGCCTATTTGCGCGATTTAAAAGTTTCTATGATCAATGGTTTTGAAGAAAATCGAGTTCAAAGTTGAAAATTCGATCGTTGTTTGTACAATTATGGAAGTAGATTTTTTCATGATACTCATTGTATTGATGATACCTTTGCTTGCCAACCAGAAAATGCACCTATTTTGAGAAAAAACATCTTCGTTTTCTGTTAAACAGATCAAGTTCGATTTGAAATTAAACGTGTCGCATTTTGTGACCGAAAGATTTAGAAAGATGAAACTTAGTATTTGTCGGTAAAAATCAATGGTACACATCATGTGATGCTTATTTTTCGCAATTTCTTTACAGGTCTCTTGATTTTGGCCATTTACCTAAAAACTTTGCCCTCGATTTCCTCGAATATGGTTCATCGGTTCAATTATTAAATAGCACCAATGGATTTAGTTTCCATTTTTCTACAATAATACCAAGTCTCAACTCTTTACTGCAATGTTCGAGCCTTTAGCGATACTTCTTACATTTCATTTTGCTAGAAAATCAAGTTTAACCAGAAAATTGGTTTATTTAACAAGAAATAGGTTTAGATGAGTTTGTTTTGTTTATAAGTTGTTGCTGGTACATTTGAAACCCAAAAATCATGAACCAAATGCTCTAACGAAAATTTATAAATTTGAATTGAGTTATTTATTAGTAGGGAATCAAATTGGTGAAAGAATGGCCATTGTAGATGTTACCATTCTCGAAGTATCGGGGCTCAAAGTTTTAAGGCCAATGGCCAAAATCAAGAGAACTGTAGAGAAATTGCGGAAAGTAATCAACCCATGATGTGTGCTATTAATTTTAATAAACAGATAATACGTTTCATCTTTCTAAATCTTTCGGTCACAAAATGCGACACGTTTAACTAAAAATCGAACTTGATCTGTTTAACAGAAAACGAAAACTTTATTTCTTAAAATAAGTACATCTTATGATTGATCATCAAAAGTATCATCAGTGTAATGAGTATTATGAAAAAATCTACTTCCATAATTGTACAAACAACGATCGAAGTTTCAACTTTGAACTCGATTTTCTTCAAAACCTTTGACCATAAAAACTTTTAAATCGCACAAATGGATTTAGTTTTTATGTCTCTACAAATCAACAGAGTCTAAATTTGGAAGAAATGCACTTTTACCCTTTTTCGCCCACTTGTGCTAATGAGTATAACAAACTTGTTCACAAATTTAACAATTGTGTCTTTTTAGCAACAAATTTGCCTAATAATTATGAAAACTAAGACAATAGACACAATAGATCAATGGCCAAACCATTTTACATGATGAAAAAGGTTACTACAATTTAATCGATATAATAATCAAGGAAATAAACATTTTCACTATTAATAAACCATTCTTAAAGTCATAAAATTTGGTAGCAATGAGGAAGGTTAACCATTAAAGGTATGATCTTGAACAAAAATGGTACCAAAAATAACAACCTTTCATTATGACTTTTGTCTCTCACCTTTATCATGACTAAATGTTAAAAATTATATTTTAATCGCTCAATGAATCTTTAAATTGGCCAAAATATCCTTACATTCAACTAAATATTTTTCCGTTCATAATCAGATTCTTTAATTTCATATAAATCATCCCATATACATCTTGAAATTTTGATTGATGAAAGTAAAGACGAAGATCATTCGCAATATTTAAATTGTAAATAATTTGATGTTTATTACCGAATTAATTGTTTTAAGAAAAATTTCGTTTGTCAAACTGAGTGGACAATTGCTGACAATACATTTGGACTAACACTAAATTAATATTGTATGTTAGTCTCTGGTCTTAATATATGGCTAACAATCAAAATATACAATTTACTAGATTGCTGTTCTCGGTCCGTTTAACAATTTATACAAGATTGAAATAACCTTTTCTGGATTAGCCTTGGTTTAAAATACGCTTCGTTTGGCTTACATTTTATACATCTAAATCCGATATAATTTCAACAGGATGAACACCTTTTTGTTTGACTTTTTTCTCGAGTAGCCATTTTCCCCTTCGAATCTTCTCAAACTGTAATTTATCTGTTCTGGACATGACCCTGGGTGGAAATACATTCATATATCTATTGAACTTTCCTAATTTTATTTCTTTCGCAATAACGGGAAACTAAACTCTCACCAAACTGGACAAGCTTCACGGCCATGGTTCACTCAATAGAGCCAAAAAATCCAAGGCTTGATATTAATATTATTTTTTGATGCAATTTGAAGCTCTTTGATTTGTTTGCTTCGACAGAGGAGTTTAGTTTTAAATCAAAGTTTTTTGTTTGTTTTAACGGTGGGTTTAAAGATGCAGGGAAACAGTCAAGGTCTGATTAATATACCATCAAAATTTCATAAAAGTTGAAAATAATTCAAGTGGAAATGCTAAACTGAATGGCAAATGAAGTAAACATTGAAACAGAGTCATGTAATTCCCAAATGCTTTCATTGCCTTCAAAGCAAACCGTTTCCGACACTTACATTATTCTTTGTCTTGGTTTGTATTTAAATCCATCTAGAGTGCAAACTAAATCAAATTAAATTAATAAAAAGCTATTTTAATATTCGTCATTCATTTTTCATTGTCGATAACACTGCAAGTTTTATTGAGTTTCAATTGTCTACTAGAAAGGTTTTTAGGCTTTTATTTATGAATCCTTCCGTAAGTCCGATTTAAGCTAATTTCTGGACACAAAGTGGATCAAAAATAAATAGTGATTTGATCATCTAACCATTATTCAACCCTTTTCCATAGTTTTCCGATGTTACCGATTTCTTTTGCGTTTCTGTCCTCTGAGTGAGACATCATCATGTTCAACCTTGTTTTGCCTGTGAAGAATCATAACTCGATCTATTTGAGAATCATTTCAATGATTATAAGGAAGTCCGCTTGCGTCCGATTCTGAAATTCGTTTACCACTACTGGTTATCTGGACGAAAAAAAAATATTTATGTTATTCCAAGCTGATGAAAATTGTGAATTAACCAGATTTTTTTATTGATACATGAGTTGCTATATTTTTTGTGTATTTCTAGAAATTAAAAGGTAGAAAGGTTTTGCCTAAATGGTTTCAAAGTCAAATGATAGAGAAAAAAATCCAAGGCTTGATTTCGAGTGAACTATTGATAGGATTTTTTGATGGGGTTTTGATTTCTTTGGATTTGATATTTTAGTGGAACAGAGAACGATTAAAGCGCAATCAACAATAATGTGTGTTTGTTTAAATTGTAGATTTAAGGATGCAGGGAAACTCTCAAGGCCTGATCAATACACCAACAAAATTTGGCGAAAGTTTGTAATTCAAGTGGAAATACAAGTCTGAATAGTAAATGAAGTAACCATCCGTACAGAATCATGTAATTCCCGAATAGTTTCTTTGTGCTTCTGTTTACAATTATAGTGGGTTCGATTCGTTATTATCAATGTAATATATTCATAAGGTTTTTGTTCGTTTCGAGTGACATTCCTTCTCGTACTTTTCCTTTGTGTTTAGTAACTTTCAAGGTCTGGTTCAAGAATATTTCCCTAGTCAGTAACTATGTTATAACAAGATTCGCATGAAAAATGTCAATGCACTAATTAGACTAGGAGATAATTTATGAAATATATTTAAATTACAGCACAATCTTTCGAAATATATTTACTCGAATTCATATTCGTATGGATAAATTCAATATCATGAATTGAAGTCATGATCAGAAGTAACTTCAATAATTATTAAAAGTTGAACATTGTAAAGGAAGAGATTTGCCTTGTCCGTGATCAACCATGAACCATAAACAATCATGTCTAACTTTATGAGTCCGTTCTGATGTCTGGTTCAAAAGCTTTTCGATCTTAGTGAACGTAGATAATTACTTCCAACGATTTTGGTCGCAATCATTGTAAACAATTTTCCATTCTTTGGTTTTATCATTTGAACAGGAAGATCTCTATACGTTCAAAAATGAATATTAATTCTTGATGATTTGTTTGGGGAAATAAATCAACAGGAATTGCTGTGATTGGGTTGAAATGACCTCCAAGAACGTTATCAGCGGGTCTAAATGCTTTCGATAAGTGAACAAAATTTGAAATAGCATTTATACTATCAGGTTTACTCGATAAATAGGCTATTTGTTTAACTGGTTCAAATTCACGTAAAAGATTAAGAATTGAATTTTTCAAGCCACCTCTTTTTGGTTTAGTAATTACAACAACGTTTTTTTCTGAAATCAATTTCTTGAATAGTTCAGGTAAAACATCTAATATGTATCCTTGGAAAAATTGGCAATTCGATATACCGTTTTCCTGAGCATTTCGATAAGCTCTATCAATAGTTGCAAGTGAAGGGTCGATACCATAAATCTTTTTAACTTTTGATGCGATTCGACAATTGAGCTTCCAATCCAAAATTGACCAAAGGAGCAACTTGACTATTTATAGCATGGAGACCGTAGTTTATAAGTTTAGAACTTTGATTACGATGAGACATGGCAATTCAAAAATAAATAAACTAATAATCAATAAAAGGCACCGAGATCAAAAATCGATTTCATGCATATGAGAAAATAAACAAAACACGCTTTTACAGTTTAACATGAGATCGAAAGATGGCGATATCAACTTCAGGATTTAAAGTTTGAACCATTAATTCATTTAAAAATCCAATCTATTAACGATTTAACTTGTATATTGTCGATTTTTGTCTGATACTCTGCAAATATTCCGAATGTCTAGGAGTATTAAATTTGGAATAATCCTGCTTATTCAAGTTTATTTTGTGAAGAATTCATTGGTCTTTAATTATAACGTGGTTTCATTACAAGCTTTATTGAATGACAAAAGCTAATTTCATCAAGGAATGTTTCACCTCCCATGAAAGTTTTGTGTTCATCTCTCCGATTCCATCAAGAAATCTATCTGACTCTTTTCCTATTAATTTGACTTTTCTTGCTTTCAGCTTTGTTTTATTATAAATATTTGTTAATAAATAAATGTCTAGTTGATAAAATGAGTTCTGCTTCTGTTGCTCAACCATGTAATCCACCATAATCTGACCAGAGGAAGGTGTCATAACATTGACATGACCGTGTGGGGCAATAACCCCAGTTACATATATATATCCGTATACTTCATTATATTATAATTAACTAAATTTAAATTTAATTCCCTTAAAAACATTTTTGTTAACGAATCCAATTAAACTGGTAGTTAACTCCATCTGTGATGTTTAAAAATTACTACCAAATCACCTGTCAGATGGTTGGTTAAAATAAACCTGGTTAACGTAATAGATTTTGTTATCTTCAACATTTTGTCACAACTGTTGACATCGACCAGCTATCTGCAACAGTAAATCATCATTAGTAAATCATAAATTGTAATTCATTAACATAACCATCATCATCATCAAAGTAAATATGTGATAAAATGGTAATTAATTGTAGATATAATTATATTCGGCTGCTTCAACGCCTGTTTTTCACTGGTAAAATTAGATTCATTCTAATTCTAATACTTATAGGATTTGTTTTAATTTATTTAGTAAAAGCTTTTCAAAATGAAGACACATCGAATCATTTCAGTAAGTCAATTTTTCCTTATTTATAACATGGAACAGTTATCCTCAATCATTTTCTCTTATCTATTTTCTTCATTCAGATCTTAATAGTTTTGAATTTGAAGATTTATCATCTTCATCGCCTGAAAACCAAAATTATGCAGTATTAATTGACGCTGGGTCGAGCGGCAGTCGTGTTCATTTGTACACTTGGCCACCACAATCAAGTGATGGTCGACGATTGTTAAGGATAAAAATGATGAAAGACAAATTAGGTAAAGATTTGTACAAAAAGATTACTCCAGGACTATCATCGTTTTCAGTTAATCCTCAAGATGCCTATAATTATATTTATCCATTACTGGAGTTTGCCAATAATAATGTTCCGTCATTTAAACATAAGGAAACACCTTTGTACATATTTGCTACTGCCGGGATGAGATTATTATCTAAAGAATCACAGGATGCCATTTTAACTAATTTAAGAAATCGTATCAAGTCTAACAGTAGTTTCTCATTCAATCCTGCCAATGTTCAAGTGATTTCTGGTAAAGAAGAAGGAATTTATTCCTGGATTTCTGTTAACTACTTGCTTGGACGATTTGATCACTCTATGACCTCTGGAGTCGCCAAATCTTTAGTGGCTATTAATCTTGGTAATGGTATAACTACTCGCCCAAGAACTGTTGGGATGCTTGAAATGGGTGGAGCATCTGTTCAAATAGCATTTGAAATCACGTCCAAATATGAATTAGAGGAAATTCGACGTCGAAGAGGTGTTAAAAGTCAAGAAGAAATGAAGGATGTTCTTGCTCAATTTAATCTTGGATGTTATTCACATGATAGTGATCACAGTTACCTTTTATATGTTACAACTTACCTTGGATTAGGTGCCAATGTTGCTAAAGATTCATATTTAAATTATATATTAGATCAACAGCTCAAGTACAACAAAGAACCAATCGTCAATAATTTTAAAAGTCTGAGCAATACAACAAATCAAAGTTATAATAATCTTCCGTCGTCAATCGGAGCAGAAGCTGTAAGAATAAATGAACCAACACCTCAACCTTTAATCACTTTAAAAGATCCGTGCTTGTGTAAAAATTGTCCATTAAATCGAACAGTTACCAGTTTAAATGGATCGCAATACAATCTGAGTCTTATAGGAACCGGTGTTTTTGAACACTGTGAGGCAAATTTGCGCAACTTGATTGCACCAAAGTATGAAATAAATCCAGTTTGTCCGGTTAAAAACACAACATGTCCTTTAAAACAGCTTTCAGAGACTAGAGTTTCTTTTGCTGATTCAGAATTTTTTGGTTTCTCCGAACTTTGGTATTCGATGGAAGACGTTCTAGGGGTTGGTGGCAAATACAATTATTTTAATTTCAAAAAAGCAGCAATCGATTATTGTTCCACCGACTATATTCTTTTAAAAGAAAGATTTTCCAAAAATCTTTATCCCAATGCTGACTCAAATCGTTTGTATGACCAATGTTTTAAAGCAGCATGGATAGCAACATTACTCCATGATGGTTTTAAAATGCCTAAAAGCTTTAAAAATTATCAATCAGCTTTATCAATTAATAATAATCAAGTTCAATGGACTCTGGGTGCTCTTCTTTACCGTATCGGAATTATGTCACCTTCTAATGCAAAAGAGATTCAATCACATCCTGCTGTTGTTCCTGATTTATCAACTTTCCACAATTTATTGTTCCTCTTTTGTATGACTCTTGTCTTGGCTATTATTGTGATCTACTTGAAACATCTTAATTACATGATAAATACTTCTGGTAAACTGAGTGAAATGTCAATCAAAACCGATCTTTTACGTAAGGTAAGACCTTCAGACACAATTATATTGATTGATCGCAATGAATAGATCAATCATGATAATTGACAAAAAATAAATGCAAAAAATTATCTAAAACGACTGTCGTTGAATGACTGTTAATTGTTTTATTCACACCTATCAATCATACGCGGAAATTTAACGGTAAATAACTTAATCGTTTTTATGAATTTCCATTTGGTTGACCAATTTATTTAATTGGTTAACTTTTACTGATAATGTTTACGCGATTGTTCCTGTTTGAACTTTCTAAGTTCTATTTCACAATTACGGGAAACTAAACTCTCACTAAACTGGACAAGCTTCACGGCCATGGTTCACTCAATAAAACCAAAAAATCTGAGGTTCAATATTAATTACGATGTGATTTGAAGCTCTTTGATTTATTTGCTTCGACAAAGGAGTTTTAGTTTTAAATCAAAGTTTTTTGTCTGTTTTAACGGCGGGCTTAAAGATGTAGGGAAACAGTCAAGGTCTGATTGATATACCATCAAAATTTCATAAAAGTTTACAATAATTCAATATAAATAATAATAATAAATTTAAGGTAATATTATCTAGATTCATGCATCCGATTCTGAAATAGATTACCACTACTGGTTTATCTTCACGAAAAAAAGAAATATTTATGTTAAAATAATAACAAGTTGGATATGAAAATGTGAATTAATCAGGTTTTTTTATTAATACGAAAGTAGCTATATTTTTGTGTATTTTCAGAATATTTTATAAAGGTTCAACTCTTTACATCAATGTAATATATTTCCATAGTCAGTAATTATGTTTAACAAGATTTGCATTAAAAATTTAAATGCACTAATTAGACTAGTAGATAATTTATGAAATAAAAATTTAAATTACAGCACAAAATATATTTCATCGTTTGAAGTTGAAAATTGTAAAGGAAGAGATTTGCCTTGTCCGTGATCAACCATGAACCATAAAAAATCATGTTTAACTTTATGAGTCCGTTCTGATGTCTGGTTCAAAAGCTTTTCGATATTAGTGAACATAAATAATTACTTCCAACGATTTTGTTCGCAATCATTGTAAACAATTTTCCATTCTTTGGTTTTATCATTTGAACAGAAAGATCTCTATACGCTCAAAAATGAATATTAATTCTTGGTGATTTGTTTGGGGAAATAAATCAACAGGAATTGCTGTGATTGGGTTGAAATGACCTCCAAGAACGTTATCAGCGGGTCTAAATGCTTTCGATAAGTAGACAAAATTTGAAATAGCATTTATACTATCAGGTTTACTCGATAAATAGGCTATTTGTTTAACTGGTTCAAATTCACGTAAAAGATTAAGAATTGAATTTTTCAAGCCACCTCTTTTTGGTTTAGTAATTACAACAACGTTTTTTTCTGAAATCAATTTCTTGAATAGTTCAGGTAAAACATCTAATATGTAGCCTTGGAAAAATTGGCAATTCGATATTCCGTTTTCCTGAGCATTTCGATAAGCTCTATCAATAGTTGAAAGTGAAGGGTCGATACCATAAATCTTTTTAACTCTTGAAGCGATTGGAATAATTGCAGTTCCTATTTCACAATTAAGATCAATCACAACTGTATCTTTATCAATCTTTAACTTTTCAAACAAGCTATTATAGAGTACTTCGGTTCCACTAGTATTCACTTGAAAAAATGAATCTGGCGAAACATGAAATTTATAGCCCAAAAGTGTTTCACAGATTGTTTCATTGCCTAGTAATAGCTGGAAAGGAGCTATAACACTACTGCACCTTTCTTTCGGACAAGCCTGCAGAAAAGAAAGAAAGAGAATAAATAAATCATCACAAAAATTGAACATTATTACGATAAGAATTAATAAAATTTTACCTGAAAGTATAACGAAGAAAGAGATAATTCATCGGCGACAGGTTTGAAAAAATCTAATAAACGAGATTTTTCGATTTTCAGCTCATTCGGTGTTAATATCTTAGGATGCAAAACACAGGTTGCCATTAATTGGTTTTCTTGGTTGCTCCGAACTATCAAACGTCTCCAATTACCAGTGGGTTTATCGAAATAAGTACAGATTCCTAACGGTGATACCGATTGAATGTATTCTTGAAACTTCTTTGCTAATTTTTTATGACTATCTTTTGTAGATATTGACAGATCAGGTTCAATACAATGAGTCGTCGACTTGCTTAAGGAATTAGAAAGAAATCCAACTAATGGAGTTTTACCATCATCACCTGGCCAAATGGAGAATTCATCTTTGTTACGATATCCAGTGATTAGTGGAGCTGCTCTTATTTCTTCTAATTCACAAGGTAAACCATCAGGACGTAATTTTAGTTCACTATTAACACTGGCTAACTTTTTACCAACTACTGCAAGAATACTTTTGATAATTGATTGTTTTTTTGACAATTGAGCTTCATAGCTTAAATTTACCAAAGGAGCAACTTGACTATTTATAGCATGGAGACCGTAGTTTATAAGTTTAGAACTTTGAGTACGATGAGACATGGCAATTCAAAAATAAATAAACTAATAATCAATAAAAGGCACCGAGAACAGAATCAAACTCATCAATATGAGAAAATAAACAAAAATAAACAAAAACACGCTTTTTACAGTTCAACATGAGATCGAAAGATGGCGATATCAACTTCAGGATTTAAAGTTTAAGCCATTAATTCAGTTAAAATTCAATCAATCAACAAATTAAACTTATATATTGTCGATTTTGTCTGAAACTCTTTAAATATTTCGAGTGTTTCTGAGAATTAAATTTGAAATAATCCTGCTTATTCAACTTTACTTGGTGAAAAATTCATTGGTCTTTAACGATAACCGGGTTTTATTGCAAGTTAGATTGATTGACTCAAAGCAAGTTTCATTAAAAATCTCTGAAAATTTTTTCATGAAAATGATATATCCAAATGAGATAATCTGAAACAAAATTTGTCACAATATTGATCGAATAAAACTGATTAAAATTGTCATGAGCTTAAAAATTAAATAACTTCAAGAAATTCAAACTGTGCGCTCCTTTTGGTTTCTATTGACAAATCGGTTCATCTCAATGAAAGTGCAGTTTTGTGTTCATCTCTCCGATTCCATCAAGAAATTTACCTGACTTTTTCTATTAATTTCAACGATAATTTGATTCAACTTTGCTTATTAAGCTCCGAACGGTTTACTGATTGAACACAGATTGTTGGAAATTAATGGACAAAATGTCGTCGGTCTTAAAGATAAAACCATTCGACAAATCATCGAAGAACTTAAAGGTGTTATCACCCTAACCATTTTGCCTTCAATAACTTTCAATCACATGTTTAAAAGGTATTGTATAGAAAAACATGCATCAATAACTTGAGTATTTTCAGTCAAACTGCGTCATTCCATGTAAATTAATGTATATCGATTTGTTCAAACTTCATTAATTTTTTCTCTTTTCTTTTTCTATAAAATAAATCTAGTTGATAAAATGAGTGCTGCTGCTGTTGCTCAACCATCTAATCCACCACAATCTGACCAGAGGGAAAGGATCATAACTGATTATAGGAAGAAACCCCAGAACCTAGGAATTTTTTTGGCATCTTTTTGCTTTTGCAGAAAGAAATTGGTTTGAAGTAAACGTGGTCAATCCTGCCCCTGCTTATTCTTTTCAAAACGGACTTTGCTTTCGTTTTCATTTGGTTACTTAATATCAAGACGCATTTTCATTTTTACATATTTATAATGGATGATAATCATAGCAATTATCTTAAAGATCAAAGGTCTCAATCAACCTGCTCGCCTATGGGATTGTCACCTTTAAATCTTAATCGTGACCATCGCCATCGTAGTAGTTTACCTAATGCTTTGCTTGTACCAGGCTATCAAATTTTGTCTCCCTCCAATGGCCAAGAATCACCATCACCTTCATCAACTTCATCTCCATCTCCATCTTCATCTATCCGTGACGGTCTTAATCGGACTTCTGTTATCAGCTACAGTGGAACACATGGACTTTCCTCTTCATCTCCTCTTTCATCATTCCATCAATCAACAGTCAAATTTTTACCCGTCTCATCGCCAAGTCCATCATTCAATTCATCGTCATCATCATCACTTCAACGTCCAGTTTCTAGCTCGTCATTGATGGGCAATTCTCCTATCAATGAACAACTTTTAAATCGTCGAGGGCCGATCTCAACTTTAGGCATTGGTTTTGGCCGTCGACACTCTGTGAATGTAGTGTCATCTGAAATTTCAAATGATGTTGAAATGCCAGAAACAGGAGAAATCCGAGCCTTAACTCAATTATCTAGTGGAATTGGCCCGAACACTATTTCAAATTCTCGACGAAGTCCATCAGTTGATTTAGGTAAATTTAAATCTGTTCAATCAACTCGTAATAATGATAACCTTAGTCAAGCTTCTCTACTGCTAAGCTTGGCCAATTCAAATCACCTTTATCAAACCGCAATTAAACAGTTCACCGATTGTGAAGATGTTGGAAGTGATCAAAAAACTCTTAATATGCAAATTAAATCTATATCAGCCAATGATCAGCCATCAAAAACTGATAAAAGTGAGAATATTAATCAAAAATCTGTGATATCCCCATCAACCTCCATAGAATCTGAAATGGACTCTGTTATGGACGACGAGATGGAATCTCTTCGGGTATCAATCCTAAATTCTAATGTTACTAATAATAGTAATTTCTCACACTCAACTTCAGTTCAATCAGTTTCTTCTTTTGCTAGTCGAAAAAAGCGAGGCTCGTTGAATGAATCCGGCCTTGCTGTATCCAATTTGCAGTCTAATAACATATCAAACGATCAACTTCCTTCTCGATCTTTGCAAGATCTCAGATCAAATGGTAAAGGTTATTTTGTTTTATCCTATCATTTTTTATTTTAATGCCTATATCATTTCGATTAACGATTTTTTCACACCTTTTTTAGCTGCTTCATCAGCATCTTTTGCATCATCAGCTTCAGATGAGTCTAATACAAGTGATTTTGCATCTCCATCAACTCCTCGTCGGCAAGACTCCGGTGAAAGTAATTCAACAAATTCTAATCAAGCTGTTGTGCCAAATACCAATCAAATCCAATCGATTAATGCTAATATTACCTCGAGTGAAACAATTTTATCTTCTGATTTCCCAGGGATTGGGTTAAATCCCAGTTTCAGTAGACAACAATTATTATCCAGTCCTTGTCCAATATGTGGTGATCGAATCTCCGGTTTTCATTATGGTTTATTTTCTTGTGAATCTTGTAAAGGTTTTTTCAAAAGAACAGTGCAAAACAAAAAAAATTATGTCTGTTTAAGAGGGGCTAATTGTCCGATCTCCATAAATACAAGAAAAAAATGTCCCGCTTGCAGATTTGAAAAATGTCTTCGAATGGGTATGAAACTGGAAGCCATCAGAGAAGATAGAACTCGTGGTGGACGAAGTACTTATCAATGTACTTATACTCTTTCACCAACAACTATGAATCCAGGCTATGGATTTGTTAACTCTAATCTTAATCAAGTCCTCCACACTGATCATCCAATAGGAATCCATCAAGTGAACCAACCCGGAAACATATCAAATCAAAAATCAGGCTCCTACAACCATGATCCAGGAGGAGGAACTTATTATCCTACAAAGTGGATATCGAAGTCAGATGGGTCAAAGCCTATTAATTCAGATTCTCCTGTTAATTTTAAAATAGCAAGAAACGATGGTGGAAATGTCGAAAACGTTAAACTTATGCCTTCTGAATCAGCAACTAGCTCTGCTTCTTCTCCTGCTATTCCTCCCAAGATAAGTGGAATGCTAAAGGAAATTCTTGATGCTGAACATCTGTGGCACAGAACACAAAATGAGAATAAAACTATCAATAGTGCTGACCAAATTTCTCATTCTAATGAAGAAAATGGAGCTCATAAAGAGGACATTGAAAATGATTTTTGTAACATAGCGGATCGTCATTTGTATAAACTTGTTAAATGGTGTAAAAGTTTGCCTTTGTTCCAAGAAATTTCAATTGATGATAGAGTTGCTTTATTGCATAACTCGTGGGTTGAACTTCTTCTATTAAGCTGTTGTTACCGTTCAATTTCAACACAAGGATCTATTAAAATATCATCCGATCGTAGTGTTTCAGTTGAAGAAGCTCGATCTCTAGGAATTAATAACGTAATTGAAAGAATGATCAATCTTGCTGACCATTTGAGACGACTTCATGTCGATGAATGTGAATATGTTTGCCTTAAAGTTATTATCTTAATGACGTCAGGTAAAGTTAAATCAATTTGAATCCAACATTACAAATAGTAATTTTAATTTCTCACTCTTTATTTTTCAGATGCAAGTGGCCTTCAAGAGGTTGACAAAGTCGACAAGTTACAAAAACAAATCGTGGAAGCTCTTCAAACTTACACGTCTGCTAATTATCCTCAGTACCCTTCTAAATTCGGTGAATTGCTTTTACGATTACCCGAATTAGAAAGAGTCTGTCAAGTTGCCCGGGAAACTTTAGCTGTTAAACAAGCTGAAAAAGACGTTACCGCTTTCAACGTATTGATGGAATTATTTCGTGATGACTATTGAATAGTTTAGTAAATCTTGTCCAAAAATAAGACTAATAGATTTTTCTATTGTGAGAACCAACAAGTTTTGGCACCAACTCACAAGAACTGCTACTCAATTGTTAATGACTTTATTGTCCCAAGGATTACCAAATCAGTTATCAAATGACCAAAGAGAGCTGTAAGAGTAATGAACTTCAAGTCAAAAGAAGTAAATGCTTAAAAATCAGGATTCAACTTCAATATGGGTATTAAATTGTCACAGCTTTGACTTCATTTTGCTGAAAATTAAAAACTAGTCATTTTTCGCACAATGAACAAGCTCTGAAATTGATACCTTAGTCCCAGTTATGAACTATCATTGTTATTTCTTTATACCGTTCTAATCATTATTATTATATTTAATATTAGCTGTTTGTTATATATTATAAGTTTTAGATTGCTTTTATCATTTATTAACCACCTTTATTTCATATTTTAGCTTTTAAAAAATTGCTTTGTAAATTCTTTCGTTGTAGTACCTTAAACTTGACTTTTTTTGTATCATATGTTTTGCTTCTTTTTTATTGGTAAAATTGTTAGTCAACTAATTAGCTCAAAATCAAAACCTATCATTTATCAATCAAAACAAGACATAAAGCCAAACGCATTGCGACCACTTGATGAAACCATCAAAATTTAATAAAATTTTAAAATAATGAAAATAATTTGAAATGCTAAACTGAATGGCAAATGAAGTAAACATTAAAACAAGATCATGTAATTCCCAAATGTTTCCATTCTTTTCGTAAGTCTGATTTAATCTAATTTCTGAAACAAAGTGGATCAAAAATAAATAGTGATTGATCATTGAACCATTATTCAATCTTGTTCCATAGTTTTCCAATGTTACCAATATATTTGGTATTTCCGTCCTCTGAGTGAAGTAATCATCATGTTCAGCCTTATTTTGCATGTGAAGAATCATAACTCGATCTATCTTCTAGTCAGTTACTATGTTATATTAAGATTCGCATGAAAATGTTAATTTAAATTACAGCAGAATCTTTTATAATTGTTTTTTGACAATTGAGCTTCAAATTTCCATATGAGAAAATAAACAAAATCACGCTTTTTACAGTAGTGTTGCAACAATATCATCGATACAATAAATAATAATGCTAACTGAATGGCAAATGAAGTAACATTAAAACAAGATCATGTAATTCCCAAATGTTTCCATTCCTTTCGTAAGTCTGATTCAATCTAATTTCTGAACACAAAGTGCATCAAAAATAAATAGTGAATTGATCATTGAACCATTATTCAATCTTGCTCCATAGTTTTTCAATGTTACCGATATATTTGGTATTTGAGTGAGTATTCCTCTGAGTGAAGTAATCATCATGTTCAGCCTTATTTTGCATGTGAAGAATCATAACTCGATCTATCTTCTAGTCAGTTACTATGTTATATTAAGATTCGCATGAAAATGTCAATTTAAATTACAGCAGAATCTTTTAATAATTGTTTTTTGACAATTGACTTCAGAGCTTAAATTTCCATAAGAGAAAATAAACGCAAACAAGCTTTTTACAGTTTAACATGAAATCGAAAGATGGCGATATCAACTTAAGGATTTAAAGTTTGGACCATTAATTAAGTTACAATTCAATCTACATTGTATTAACAATTCAACTTATATATTATTGATTTTGTCTGAAACTCTTTAAGTATTGGAGTGTTTCTGAGAATTAAATTTGAAATAATCCTGCTCATTCAAATTTGCGTAAAATTCATTGGTCTTTAACTATAACCGGGCTTTATTGCAAGTTAAATTGATTGACGCAAAGCAAGTTTCATTAAGAATCTATGAAAATTTTTCCATGAAAATGATATATCCAAATGAGATAATCTGAAACAAAATTTATCACGATATTGATCGAATAAAACTGATTGAAATTGTCATAAACTTAAAAATTAAATAACTTCAAGAAATTCAAACTGTGCGCTTCTTTTGGTTTCTATTGACAAACCGGTTCACCTCAATGAAAGTGCAGTTTTGTGTTCATCTTTCCGATTCCATCAAGAAATTTTCTGAATCTTTTTCTATTAATTTGAATGTTAATTTGATTCAACTTAGTTTTAATAAATCTAGTTGATAAAATGAGTGCTGCTGCTGTTGCTCAACCATCTAATCCACCACAATCTGACCAGAGGGAAAGGATCATAACAGAATATAGGAAGAAAATCCAGGAACATCAAGAATATGAGGCTCGGCTCAAACAAGGTATTTATTACTATCTAAGAATCGTTCGAATCAATCTAATAATCTTTATTTTTCTGTTTCTTTTTCATTTTATGCAGTCCGAGAAGAGCTCAAAGAGGTCAATAAACAGTTTCAAAAAAGTGAAGCTGATTTGAAAGCTTTACAAAGTGTCGGACAAATTGTTGGTGAAGTCCTCAAACAATTGACTGATGACAATTGTAAGTGTTTTGATTAAAAGCTCCTTCGTTAATGTTGGCATTTAAATCTTACATAAGTCATGCCTGTCAGAAAATTTCTGGTTCGTGATTTGTATATCCAAGTCTTCTAATTCTATCTCTAACCCATTATTTTGAACAGTCATTGTTAAAGCCACCAATGGGCCCAGATATGTTGTTGGCTGTAGGCGTCAGCTTGACAAAACTAAACTCAAATCTGGTACCAGAGTAGCTCTTGATATGACAACTCTGACCATTATGAGATATCTGCCTCGCGAAGTTGATCCTCTAGTATACAATATGTCACATGAAAGTCCTGGTGATGTCAATTATGCAAGCATTGGTGGATTAGCTGAACAAATCAGAGAGCTAAGAGAAGTTATCGAATTACCTTTATTGAGTCCGGAACTTTTTGAAAGAGTGGGTATCACACCTCCTAAAGGTTGTCTTCTCTATGGTCCTCCTGGTACTGGTAAAACTCTTTTGGCTCGAGCTGTAGCTTCACAAATCGAAGCGAATTTCCTCAAAGTGGTGTCATCTGCAATTGTTGATAAATACATTGGGGAAAGTGCTAGACTTATTCGGGAAATGTTCAACTATTCTAGAGATCACCAACCTTGTGTAATTTTCATGGATGAAATTGATGCTATTGGAGGTAGAAGATTTAGTGAAGGTACCTCAGCTGACAGAGAAATTCAAAGAACTTTAATGGAACTATTAAACCAAATGGATGGTTTTGATGCCTTAGGTCAAGTTAAAATCATCATGGCCACTAATCGGCCTGATACTTTAGATCCTGCTCTTCTTCGTCCCGGTCGTTTGGATCGTAAAATTGAAATACCTCTTCCAAATGAACAAGGTCGATTGGAAATTATGAAAATTCATGCTCGTCCAATTGCTAAACATGGTGAAATTGATTGGGAAGCTATTGTAAAAATGTCAGATGGTTTTAACGGTGCTGACTTGAGAAATATTTGTACCGAAGCTGGTCTCTTCGCAATCAGAGCCGAAAGAGAATATGTCATCGAAGAAGATTTCTTGAAAGCAGTCCGTAAAATATCAGATAATAAGAAACTTGAAACAAAATTGGATTATAAGCCTGTCTAATGAGTATAAACCTTTTTTATGTACTAACAAAAAATTTAAAAAGTAATAGTAAACTTTTTGCTAAAAAATTGTCTTTTTCGGTCAAAATATTTCAAACAATTTATAATCAATTCAATTTTCGCACTTTGATATCACAATTATTCTTCAAGATAGCCGGTTCTTAGGATGCTTAACAAGACATTTCAAAGTTGCACCACTGTACACTTCAAGCAGATTTATTCAATTACTAGCAAAACTTTAACAATTGAAATCTGATTTAATCTAGACAATATAATTGTCAATGATGAAGTAAATTGTGAGGTAAAGAGTTGAATGATACTTGTTAAGGTATTGCACATGCGAAGTCTCAATCCTTTGCTTTTCCATTGTTGCAATAGTGAGTCATTCCATTTGATGCGGAAATTTAATTCAGTATGAGTTTCATATTTCTTCAGTAATCAGGTTAAATAATTTGACCAGTTAAATATTAAACTATAATATTAATTAACAGTATCTTATTGATACCGTTATTTCATAATCCTAACATTTAACCAACCAAAAGCCTTTCACAATGTCTATTCAATATTGTCCCATAAAGGTGGTTTGCTAATTTTGTCACAAACTGGTGGTTTGCTGATTGTTTTACACCATAAATTGCAAAATTATCTAACTTTTGATCACAGTTGATTTCAAAATTAATGTCATTCGCAGGTAAGGTAACGTTTAAATAGGTGTTTAAATTTATTTCCTTAAAAGATTTACAAGATGATTACTTTGATTTGTATAATAACTATTTAAAGGTTGTATTAACAACTGATCACACATAATGGCTGAAAAAAATATTGTAAACGGTTGTGTATGAACAAGTGCAAGTGTAAATAAAACTTGAACAACTGTATCCACAGCTGACCTGGTCAAACAGACCTGGCACAAAAAAAAGGAAAGATTGGTCAAAAACAAAACTTGTTACCCAGGGACTCAAATATACATGTCTAGATGAGAAATACCAGACAGAGGAAAAGCAAAAGACCTAGAAGACGATAAAGACGATGAAAACGATGAAGACGATGCAGGAGAAGAAGACAGATTTGTTTACTTAGTTGGCTGGTGAGGCTGATAAAAAGATGATTATGATTATTGTAATGATAAGAACGACAATATTGATGATCCAAACTGTTTGTTGTTTACCTTCTTGTTTGTTCCTTGTTTTCACATTTATCTGATCCTCTTTCAATGTTAATACATCTACCTGTAAACAAATAAACAAACAGTAAGAAAGGTTTGTGAGGCAAAGAGGCAAAAAAAGTACATAATTGAAAGTAAAGGAGCAGGGAAACCCCGTTATATTAATGAGGTAAAGTAGAGTTGACAGAAAAGGTTAAAAAAAGGTCGCCGGGCACAGGTCCTTGGAAGTTGAAGAGAGAGAAAGAGAGAGAGAGAGCAAGAGAGACAGAAAGAGAGGTCACTAGCTATAGCCTTAGGGTAAAAGAGTGAGAAATGATGAAAAGAAAGAGAAAAGGAGAAAGTATTGAGGCAGAGAGACTGTGAGGTCCGAAAGGTTGGCCTGAAAATTTGAAGAGATGAAGCCGCTATTTTTATTTCTATGAATACATAAGCAAGAAGAAGAAGCAAGCTCCAAGTTGACTAAATTGTTTACATTTTTTCCTCTTCTTCTTCTTCTTCTTTTTGATCTTTCTTCTTCTTCTTGTTGTGCAGGGAAACAAAATTCTGGTTCCACATTTTAATCTATCAATCTGTGAGAAAATTTTGGAGACTTTGTGATCATTTGAATTCTTCTTTGCAAAAAGCGAAAGATGAAAGAAGCGTAGACACATGGACTAACAAGTATTACAACGGCAAATCTACCTGCAAGTAGACACATTATATGGTGTTATGCTGATAACCAGTTAAAGCAATAGCATTGACTATTCAAATTGTCATCCTAACCTGTCTTTAATAACTCAGTGGCCGTTAATTGACCTGAATCAAAAGAGACTAGTCAATTTTTTGTTCAAGTACTTCATCGTTTCAAAGGTTGGTAAACTTGCCTTTTGATTGACCAGTCTGCTTTGATAAGTTGTTTGCTGATTAAGTTTACTGATGATCATGATGGGAAGTAGAATTGAATCTCAAGGTTTAATCTTTACCCTGGTTATATTACATCTCCAATCAATTAGAATGATAATCTTTGATAACACAAAAGAGAAAAAATGTTTTCACAAGATTAGCTAATGAAAAATAGCGCAAGTTTCAGCTTACCTCATTCACTCCTTTGTTGGTGTATTACTGTTGCTGTTGTTTGCCTTATTGTTATCGGTATTGGTATTGCTATTGTTATTATTATTTTGTTGTTGTTGTTGTTAACGTTAGCGTTATTATTTCTTAACATTTGTGTAAATTATTTTACCTCATACTGTGAGACAAACCTGATTAACATTATAACAAGCAAACGAGTAACAATGAAGACAACAAGTTTTTAAGATATAATCTATCAAACGCATCAATATACTATTGCTTCAAATGCTAGTTAACCTAAACATTTTGATGGATATTTATGGTTTTAAATTTTCTCTCTTTTTTTCCTTCTTCATCGGCTTCTTTGCCGACTCAACTCGCCAGCTCAATCCGAGTTCATTATTGTTTGCTCGCAAATGATGATGAAAATGATGATGATGATGATGATGATGGCGATGGTGATGATGTTAGTGTTGATGGTATTCCTTTTTCGTCTCTTTTTCTTCATCTTCGCAATTTTTACTTTGAGTCTGGACATAACCAGCAATTATTTTCTTGGCCCGTTTACACTTTACCCTGACTTTAAAATAGGATTACTTTACTTAACTTATTAGTTTAACAAGTCATAACTTGTTGAGCCTTGTTATTATTATTGTTGATGATGATGGCTCTGATTTTGTTTTGCTTACTCCTTCTTTATATGTGTTGTGTGTGTGTGTGAGAACCAGCAACAAGAATCAACAAAATAATCTGCCGAATCGAAAATTGAAATCCAATGAGTTACAAGGCTTTTGACCTTTTCAATCTTTGGTCAGCTCTTTAACAAGTCCAAATTTTCCGGTTTCTTCCTTTAATTAGTATCATTGGTGAGCCCAATTTACTGGAATAACAATTTAGGCGGTGAATTCCAGGCATACATATATCCATAATAATTTGCAAGTGCTAATTGCTTAATGCAAAGAGCAACAAATAATGTCTTAATCGTTAAATGTTAATAAAACATTTAATCATGCTTTCCAATTATTCTCATTAATAATACTTATTGACATCGAACTTGTAATTTTTAAGCTTATTTTGGTTCCTCTTTAATTCAGGGGAATCAAAATGCATGAAAATATGAAATAATTACAAACTTTATAAAAAAAATTATTCTTAATTTTTTCTGTTTCTTTATTGGAACAGGATGATGAAAACAAGAGAGTGAGAGAGAGAGACACAGAAAATAATGATAAATTTTGTGTGAAAATTTGTTCATGATTAATTAATCAAAATGAAAGCACAATTATTGCACAGTTAACATAAGCAAAAGTTAAATAGATAACCATGAATGTTTACATATATTAATAAGTTGTTTTGCTATATCTTTTGTTGTTGCATGTATATTTATATTTATAAAGGGTTATAATCAAGATTTGTTGCTAGTAAAGTCTTATCGTTATATCATCTGTAAAAAATTTACAGTAAGAATATATATAAATATAGTTATAAACATATATTCTCTTTATCGTATCAAGTTTTGCTGTTCAGCAGGCAAATTTGCAAAATGGTGGCAATAAATGGATAGGTCTTAAAGTGAATTTGAAACAATGAAAGGCACTAATCATGATTATAATAAGAGAAGTAAAAAGAAAGGTGATGATTTGCAAAAGTTAGCGAGTAGATTAAGGAAGTAGCAAAAGTAAATGCCAATAACTAAGATTAAAATAGATTTCTATAATCACTGGGCACTTATTCCCTTTCAATCAACCTTTGTGAACTTATTCTTAATTGTCGAAAAGCATCGGTGGCGACGAAATCAATGCTTTTGTAAACAGTTGACTGTGAGCCACTTAAATTGGAAGCTCCGATAAGATCCTTTGAATGGGTTAATGATGACTTGAAGGAATCAGAGGAATTTGATGAACGTGGTCGAGATGAATCTTTATCACTACTTTCTTGTAAATCAAGGTCCAAATATGTTACATTAGGAGACTCGCTATGAGATTTCCTTGGCATGGTAAATGCTCGACGAGACTGGATTGAATAGAAATTGTAAAAAAGTTGAAAAGAAAAAGAAAAGAGAAAAAAGAGAAAAATGAGTTGAAGGACGAATGATAATAGTAACAATAATGATAATTGTTGTTACGTTGAATATTGCAAGCAATATTATTATGTTTCAAGGACAAACCTGATCGTCAGTAGATGAGTTTCTCTTGTGGAAATTGGATGAGTAGCTAATAATGTCTTCATCTGAATTCGATGCGTCCCGGGTATGAAGTTGAAATTGTCGTCCTCTTGATGGAACCCTTGGTGGTGTATCATTTAAGTTTCTAAGAGGTAAAAAGAAGCGAAATTAAAAATTAGAAATGACAGTCAAGCGTTAAAAAATTTCAAGTTGTGACTAATTAACCTTAATGGTCGAAAATAGCATTTCTGTGAAAAAAACATACCTTGTTGGTTTGACAGTAGGCTGATGATGTTTGAAATGAGCTGGAGGAGGTGAAAGGGTAAAAGTTGGACTGGTTGGAGAAGAATTGGCATCTGAGTCAGATCCTTTTCGTCTTGGTTTAAGATCTCGATTTACTGCAGGGGGAGTAAGACTTTTGGAAAGGGATCCATTGGACGAAAGTGAGTCAAAGGCTGAATTAGGAGTTAAAGGGGATCGGTCAGAGGTTTCCGAGTCAAATGTAATATGGTTATCATCTAAACAGGTTGGCAAAGTTCCCTTATAGTCGTAAGTGAAAACGGGAGGTTTACTTAAATGGCCTGGAGGAGCATTTGTATACGAATGGCTATTACCCTTACCAGCTCGGTTTCCAGGAGCTGGAATTGGTTTTCTCAAACTGCTAAATACTGGCTCTGATTTCGGAAAATCATAAACATCATCGAGAGTTAAAGGCTGTGGTACTGGGCTATTCAATATGCTATTGTTATTAATGTTGAGGGTACTTGTAGAAGAGATGGTGGGATTAAATTGGGTTGGTGTGATTAAATCGCATTGATTATCAAGTGGTAATGACGGTGAATGATCACCACTAGTGAAATAATTATTAGTCCCTGGAAGCGAGGAACAATTTTCTGATGCACTTCGACTATTAAATTTGGTAGGTTTTGGTGGCCTTGGCGGGGGTTCAGGTATTCTTATTCCATTAGAATTAGGAGATGTTGACGAGTTGTTTATGGCTGATTTGCTTGTAGGTAAAGCTACTTTAGTAAAGACACTTGTACGAGGTACATCATAATTGGCAGTAGTTTCTTCCAGTTTACTGGTCATCTGGTGTTGTTGTTGTTGCTGTTGCTGGTGGTGATGATGTACTCCAGGACTATTAGGTAACTGTTTATACCCAGGCCCATGATTGTGGTAACCTGAGTGCGGATGAGGAGGAGGAAGCTGATGATTACTGTTAGGATAGCCTTTAAGGGTAAGAGGTTTACCAGTATAACATTCTGATATAGGGATGTAGTGATGCATGTGGACAAAAATAGTTGATTACGAGATAATTCAGACGAGTGAAAACAAATGAAAGAAAGAGAAGAAAACAGAAGAAAACAATTTAAGCACAGATTAAGGCAAAAATGGCATCTAAAAAATGGGGAGCGTTTAAGAATTAAACGAAAGAATCAAAACTGATGATAATAATGAGAATGATGATGAAAATGAAAAAGAAATTTAAGAGTACTTAGAGAAGTTACGTTTATTTTACATTTTAGTCTGTGCGCAACATAGAAGAGAAAGAGAGAGAAGAGAGAGAGAGAGAAGATGATGATGAGCGAGAGAGAGAGAGAGAGAAGAATTAAATGGTCGGATCGCTCAGCTACATGTATAGCTCAACTTAAAGCCCCAATCATCCAGGCTCACAACTTGGCTCAACCAGACCTCCCATTTTTACGTTTTCAAACGCCATCTACAAATTGCAATAAGGTTCACAATTTTCCGAGATGAAACATAATTCCAGTCTATTTCATCATTAATCACCAACACTTGCTATTCTGTCTTCCTTATTTCCTCTCTACACTCATTATCTTACAATAATCATCCTCTCATCAACAGGTTTACAGGGTAAATCTAAAAGGATAACTAATAATATGAATCCTTTTAAGGTCTTTTCCAGTTCAATATTAACGGTTACAATTAGTTTCCATTGCACCTTTAAATGCTTCCTTTGCCACTTAACCAACAAGCAAATCCGATATTGTCTAGTGGTTAGGATATCTGGCTTTCACCCAGAAGGCCCGGGTTCGATTCCCGGTATCGGAGATTACTTTTTTGCTTTTCATGCATTTCAGTGGTGCTTTTTTGTTGTGTGTTGCTGAAAGGATGATGAGATGAAATTTATTTTATATCAAATTATGTGTGAGATGAGGATGAAGGTGAAGATGATGTTGAGAGGATGTATGTGGCTGGGATGAAAGGTAAAGAGAGTAAGTATGAGGCTTTAGTCAAGAAACATGGGGGGTAAGAAAGGTCGGCTTAGGAGGGAGAAAGAGATTGGGAAAGGGAAAGATGTGAGACTGATAATCGACTTCGGTGTGGGCCTCACTCACTCTCTTTCCTTTCTTTCTTTTTCTCTCTTTTTTTCTGGTCAGAATCCGGGTTTAAATTGTTTGCCAATGGAAAGTTGAGTCAAATCATCTTTCATTTTTGAGGATATTCAAGATATTGTTAGGCCATTTAGTTGACCTGGAATGAAGAGTGAGATAGAGAGAGAGAGAAGATGATGAGAAAAAAGAAAAGTAAAGAAAATGATAGATCCGAATGAATATCGAGCAAGAGTAGACTATGATTAACTTACTAGGTTTGGTTAAGCTTTTGGTATTAATTTGTGAAACAGCTTCATCTACCTTTTCACATTTCATTTTATAATTGATTCTCTAATTTCCAACCTTTGCATATCATAGGGTTTATGTTACAAAATTAATATATCAAATGAGGTAATCTTTGATTTTATGGTAAAGGTATTTTGCCATAATTGTTCAGGTTACCTTCAATGCATATCAAGCTTTGAACAATTGAATTTGAAACCTCTCAGTTGTTCATCAGGTTTTACTTTTTTGCCTTTTTGCCTTTCCTAGTCTCATCCATGTTGGTCCTTTTTTTCAACAATTTACTTGTTAAACTTTTAACCTAACCATACAATTTAGATTGCCTTAAATTGCACTTCTAATTAGATTCAGTAAAGTTTGTTGATATTCCTAGAAACGCCTATGTGAAGTTACAATGGTTGAATTAACCTGATATTACCAGAAGATGTAAACAATAAGCTATTATAAACACAACGAAGGGAAAGATTTATGGTGAAAAATTGAATTTTCATAGTAATTACTGACAATTTTAAAATTACCAATTAGTGCAAGTGTTTACTTTGACAATCAGAAGGACAAATGAATAATTAAAATCAAGTTGTTGGCTTTTTTGGTGTAACTTAATTGGGTTTTAATACGCATTAAAAGATTAAAGGTAACCAAGTCCATTTCAAGATGCTTTTCCTATCTTTCCAATCCTTCCAGATGCAGTAACTGGTGGCTTTCAAGCTGAAGTCATTTGGGCCTAATTGCTTTCAATTTGAACAAAACAAGTAAAGTACCAGGTTATTGCCATCTTGAATCAACTGGTGGTTGGACATTTCCCTGGAATCTCGCAGGTTGCAGCCATCACGAACAGGGAAAATTATCTTTTGAGATCAAACCAGTTCAGTAATCATCTGTTGAGCTGCAAAAAAATGTTAACAAAAATTCCCGGGACCAGGAATATTTTGGCACCTAAATGTTTACCTACCATTGTGTTTACCAACTTACCAGCCGGTTGAGATTAGGCAAACATTATACTAAAAAGCAACTGAAAACAAAGCAAATTCTTGCCTTGAAATTATTTAACCGTTCAGCATGAAATGGAAGAAACATTGATGTGAATTGAGTTAATTGATTTGAAAGAATGACAATCAGTGACTAATTAAATTGAGAAAAGTAGAGTAATAAAATAATTGAAGTAAACTATTTGATAAACTTGAATCTGATCTCTATCAGCTATGAGAATGATATTTAAAAATGAAATTGAACTTCAGTTGCACAAATAAAATTGAAAAATGCAATTTGAGCCTAAAATAATCGCCAGGTGTCACTAGCCTTAAATCAAGCGAAATTTCATTTTTGGTCAAAATCACGAAATGAAATGCAAATCACCAAAATTAATTTAGAGACAAGGTAAAAGTCACTGAATAGTTTCAGCTCTTTTCAAAGTCAACAAGCCAAATAGATCTGCTGAATGGTATTGAATTTGCACAGAAACAAATAAAGTAAAAAGAGGTGAAAATTTCGTTCTTAAGTATGAAGGTTTCATTTATTCAACCTTAAAAAGCATTCCTGTAATCAACATGAAAAGTCTAACTTTAAGTGAATGTGATTTACAATTGATGAACTTGCATAGATCTCATCTGTAATGCAAGTTATACATGGAAAGGATTGTTTTGTGATAGTCAAATGTTGCTCGTCGTTCAGAAATGGTTGCTTATTGTGTTTCATTGATTTGTACAAATACTGGGAAAACCCATTGAAAAATCTTAAACTGAACTCTAATTGATTGATCGATTGAATGACAGACGATTTCATGACACAAATTGGATGCCAAGAAACTAACTTACAGTGAAAGATTAGAACAGATCAAGATTGATTTCTGTCCAGCTGAATTTACTATTCAATTTTATTTGAAAACAAATAATATTGCATTTAGCGTTTTACATTCAATTGGCATTGGATTCCAAATTCAAAATGAAGTGATCTTGTAAAAGTGAAAAAATCACGCTAAAAATTTCCAGAATATTATTTAAACATCAATTCATGATAGTATCTGATTTAATTGAATAGTCCATCAATATGAAAAGACAAAATTTAGAGAGTTTTATGTTTAGCCTTGGTAGGTTGAAAACAAAGATACAATCGCTTTTGCAAAAACCCTTACAATTCAACATTTTAAACTTCCATAAGCAATTAAGATCATTGAATGTTGAAGGACTCATGACTATTTATTGAAATCAGAGTTTAAAATTTGTCTAGACTTCAATTTGCATTGGGTTTACTAGGAAAGAAGAGGAAAAAATAAGAAAATGAAAAGGGAAAAGAAATTTTAAGACTGGGTAAAGTGAAATTATTCAAAGTGTATTTCACAGTCAATTTACACTGAAAATACCCAAAATTTGATTGAAAAAATTAACCATGAAAATAAAAGGTCGAGCAGAGTTAGGTCTAGTTTTGCTTCATCTGAATGGATAACAACCGATTCCTTCATTGTCAGGCTGTTCAAGAGTTCATCTTCTTTTCAATTCCCCTTTTACTCAGCTTGGCTACAGAGCTATTTAATCAATTTAAATGTTGTGTAAATTGTGGACAACTCTCTGTACTGTTTACTAATATTGAGATGATTAACAATTCAAAATTACAATACATTATTTGACATATTAACAGTATATTTGTCGATTCATTGCTAAACAAAAATAAATAATTTTCTGTGAAATGTCAACCTTATTCATCATTCAGTGATGCGTTTCTTCCCATTATGAATTTGGCCTTTGAATATGAATTGACTGTTTTTGAGGGTAACGAAGGGGCTCTTAACAGTGGCGTAATTTAACCTGATTAAATTTACCTAATTTACAACAGATTAGGTTTGCATCTGGTTAATAGGACTTTAAAACATCCTGTATTCAGCTTTGGCAAAATCTTCTTGAAATCAATCTCCAAAAGTTTTCGATCAGATTCAAATCAGACGAATAGACTGTCCACTAGTCTACACAATTTGATTGTGAACATTCAAGGAATGCGAATGTTGGGGAATTATTATTTCATGATTTTACTGGAAATCTAATAATTTTCAGCATAAGAATTCAAATAATTTCAAAGATTTATAAAATTAATATAATCTAGAGAATCCTTTGATCAAAGCTCCGTTCAAAGAAAAAGCGCCCAAAGCAGTAAATTTCCATCATCAAATGTTTCGCTCAGGGAACAGCTTCTTACCATTTTGAATATCGTTCCAATAACAGGTTAAACTACATTGTATCTAGTTTGTATAAATTAAAAATACATAAAAATTACAGAGAGCCACTAATCTGATCATAATCATTATGATTATGCCTTTTTCAGTAGATTCAAACTCTGTCTCACACAATCTTGGTTTTGATTCCATACTGGAATTCATCGTGAGTCTTCGCTAGTTCTATTGATTGTTGTGCTAGGAAATAAAAACTAGGTTTGTCTCAAAGTTTGTGAGCATGAATTACCATCAGCGAAGACTTGAAAGCTTTTTTCATTCATAGAGTACAACCAGATTGATGGAACGAACCGTAATTACTATCTTAATTCACAGAATATTACAAATTTTTAGACCGATTAATTTTCTGGGGAGATTATTCAAGTTACCAAACGGCGTAGTGTATTTGGTAGTTTATTACAGACACTTGTCTAATTAAATTCACCGCTTTTCAATCGTCTTCCTTCTCCTAGCTGATTCTTTTGTAAAAAACATGAGACTTGTGAAGATTAAGACAGGTAGCCTAGAAACTGTTGGATCAGAATATCTCTTGCCATTGGATCCTTGAATCAGCCCTAGTATTGTGAAAAGTTGCAACTTGTATGAATAATGAATTTAAATTAATATACAATGTAGCGTCAATTTAACTGGTAAATTAATGGATCTTCAATTTTATTCCAGATTGAGAAACAAAAAAATAGGAAATTGAGCAATGAATCCGAGACGAAGCACGATATTTCAATGGACTTCATTGATGTTGATCAAGGAAGGCATTAACACTTGCCAGTGCTTTCTCATAGCACTCTTCGAAACCCTTGTCATCCGAATCATACCAGGGATCATGGATAATTGTCTTTCCTTTTGGATGATAATCTCCGAGTAATCCAATTTCAGCTTTACCATCAGCTGGGGCTATTCGTTTTATATTACTAAGATTTGACTTATCCATACCAAAGATGAAATCAAACTTCCGATAATCATCAGCAGTTAGTCGTCTAGTTTTATGTTTGTAAACAATGCCATGACGTTTAATACAAGCTGATGCTCGTGGGTCAGGATCTGAACCAATGTGTTCACTTGACGTAGCTGCTGAGTCCACAAACCATTTATCCTCTAATCCACGTTCCTTGATAACATGTTGAAAGACTGCTTCAGCAATTGGGGATCTACAGATATTACCAAGGCAAACCATCAAAACACCTCGTTTGGCCATTATTTCAAATAATTTTTAGAATGTAAACAATAAAAAATTACTAAACAGTTAATTCAATTTGATGATATAATTTTATAACAAAACAAGAGATTTCTAGAGATTTGTGCAGGTAAACTAAGAACTAATGGATCAAATATCTTTTAAAATTGGATCCGTGAATTTATGTAACGAGTAGTTTTTCGCCTTGAAAAATTGTTAAAAGCTTGACAGAATTATCGAGCTATTTAACGAACATTTTATTAAAAAACAAACTTCAAAATATTAACTAATTTCAAGATTAATTCACGAATAAATTAAGGCTAGTTTAAATCATCTCATTTGTATCACATTTAATGTAAAATTTCATCTTCGGTGCGATTGAATTCCCCAAGTAGCGTAATCTGCTTTTCTAATATTATCATCTTTGTCAGCTACTGTTTTGATAAATTGGTAGTAAACTTCCAGCATGAAACTGAAGTTATTGTGAAAATAGTAACGAATATTTTGACTTTTATGAATAGCCATGAAAGAGCAAAATGTGGATAGCGTTGAAAAAGCGGTATACTTCATCAAAAAACGCATATTTTTTCTTGGGTTGGACCAAAATATACTCTTAGGTTTCCTTTGTAACATTCCGTTGACCAGCGTCTATAAAATAAATAGAAAACAATAGAATGTAAGAAATAATGATTTAAGTGACAATTTTCAATAAAATTACAAATATCGAGTGTTGATGTTTACTTTGTCATTGGAAAGCACAAGTGCATGTAAGTGAAATTATTTTAAAATACCTTGACTTTGTCCAGTAATTACGAAGAAAGATTAGCTTTGAATGACAGTTTTAAAACTGTAACAATTTTTATAATAAATGGAAGAGAATCAACGACAATTGAATTAGTTGAAATTAGTCACTATTAAAAAATCAACAAATTACAAACAGAAATGTTGTACAATACGTTTTTTCAACACAAGACGGCGTTATAGAGTTGTTTGTTTACAGTGAAGGTTGTTAGGGGAAACTTATTCAATCTTTGCTAAAAAATAAATTTTTGATTGATTAAACTTGTTCAAAATACTCTGAGTATCAAACCGTTTTGAAAAATTTATCTATCAAAAGAGCAATTGGACATTCCAGTCATTAGCCAGTCATGAATGTAAGTATCGAATTAGATGGTATTTTTCGTTTTGTTATATATGTCATTAATGTATTAATGCCTTTTTCTCTACTCTTAGGCAGAAATCGAGGAGACTCTTAAACGTATTGAAAGCACTCATAAGTCTGTAATGGGTGTTATTGTTACCAATGAAGAGGGAAACATTATCAAATCAACTTTGTCCGAAAATAAAGAATCTTCTCAAAGTTATGCAAACATTATCTCAGATATAGTTGAGAAAGCAAGGATGGCTCTTAAGGATAAAGAATATATGAATGATGAGCTGACTTTTCTCAAGATTAGGACCAAAAGAATTGAGTTCATCGTTGTTCCTGGTAGGTTAAATGATTATCATTATGATAAATTGTCATAGAAAATATCTATATATGGATAGATATAATACTCAGTTTTCATCTCGATTATTTGTTTGCCATTTTCTTGATAATTTAAGATTCTTGATAATTGATCACTGATTAACAATCTTAGATTAGATAGGCAAGAAATATGATTTTTGATTGCTACTTCAATCAAATCAAGATAAAAAACCATGTTTATAATCATTTTTATCATATCACAATTTTATTTATTTGATTCTTGATATCTAATAACGTTTCCTTCTTTTGATTTTCTTTCAATACAGACAAAGACTTCATCTTGATAACATTATTAAATCCTACTATGGAGTCAACAGCTTAGATCGTTTCGTCTTTAATGGAAAAAATAATGTTAAATATTAAAGGGTTGCGCAAGGATTTGTTTTACTTTTTCATTGGCCTCAATAAAGAAATTCACTAACAATTTAAACTCTTAAAACCTTGTAATCAAAACATTTGTAAAGATTAAAGGTCATCAATGTGCGGAGTCACCATCTTGTATCCTAACGAATTTTTCATAATGGTCCTCGTCCATCAACCTGGAAAACTCTTCTTCACTTGGTATTTCCATCTTGTAAATCCAACCCTCATCATATGGAGATGAGTTGAGTAAATCTATGAGAGTGAAAAACAGTAAAATGGAATCAATAAAAATCATGCTTTAATCACAATACCAATCAATAGTACTCACGTGGTTCGGATTCTAGTTTTTCGTTAACTTCAACAATTTTTCCAGAGATTGGTGAATAGATGTCATTTGCTGATTTAGTACTCTCCACACAACCGACTTCATCTAGTCAGAGAAAGAGATTGAATTATATTTCATTTCAAAAAGACAAGTGTACGAATGGTTTCATGGACAAATATCTTATATTCGCGATATAATTCTAAGGATATGTTTGTGGAAAAAAATCATCTCAGTTGTGATATTGTAAACTACGGAAAAAAGTTAAATTAACAAGGAAGACTTGACTTGAAAGCCTCTCTAAAATCGCTCATTATTCAGCAATGGTTAGATATAAATGAATTACAATTAAGAACAAATACTCACCATCTTTTTCAACCTCACGGTTAACTTCTGGCAGCTCTACGAAAACGATGTCACCCAATAGTTTCTGAGCATAATTAGAAATGCCAACTGTCGCGATGTTATCTTTAATCGTTACCCATTCATGTTTATCATGGTATCTTCGCTCTGTTCATGGTAAATACAGTACATTTTGGAAAAGAAAAGAAAGTTAATGAAGTTGAAATCGTATTACAAGTTTAAACAGTATACATACCAGAAAATAGATTTGCAGTTAAGCTTAAGCATCTTAATTGTTGTGATTGGATTGCAAAATTGGCAGGAGAAAGACCCTTGGACTCAAAATTAGACCATGTTGGTGTAGAGAGTAATTTTAAAGCAGTTTTATAACCCCGAGGAGTTAAAATTTTAGTTAAATTCGTCACTAGCATATTAAATTTAATTAATTATTTAAAATACAATGTTTATTGAAAACAAAAATCAAAGTTGTTAACTGAGATTAATCCGTGAACTGTTTCTTAAAATGCAGCCTATGGTAGCAATGTTGCTGTCTGATCATCGATAGAGGAGACTCATGAGCTGTAATCATATGTCTTGTGCTACCAGCAATTGACTATATAATGAATCACTATCTATGCTACTCTATTAAGCCTTTAAACAAATGATTTTTTTAAATTATCATGATTATTCTTTCATTTAATTCAGTTTTAAATGAGCCAAGCGTTAACTATTAAATAATAATCATCATAACCATCCATCCAATTCACCATATAGACGAATCTCAAGGTAACCTTGGTTCAACTTTTGCTCTTTTGGTATGATATTCAATGTAATATGTGATACAATTCCATACTAACCTTTATGTTTACTTCTTGCTCCTCGAATTATTGTTTAAACCATTTATAAAATTGTGATCCATTTTTCTTTATTCTGATCTTTACAGGATTAACCATTTCTTCATCCATTCAACAATTTTTTCCTTCGATCGTTTTTTTTGTGGTTTGAAAATGGTGGGATTAAGCCTTTAAAAATAACATGAACATCAAACCAAGTCGATAGACGGCTTACAAACCTTGTAATTTAATGTAAATATTGTGATGGTTGAAGATATTCACTTGTGTTTTTCATCAGAACTTATCGTAAATGTGCCATTTTAATAACACAATTAAGACCCATAGATCAAAATCTCGCAGTGCAACCTTGACTTATGACTTAAATCAATAGTTTCGTTGATTGGATTTTCCTCTTCTCTCTTCTACACAGTAAACAATCAACTAATTGGTACATTTCCTGCCAACATGAGAGTTTCAATGCTTGTCAGATTATTCAAGCCGCGGCGTATTTCATCAACCACTGTCAACTCGAAAAATTTACGTACTTGGAGCGGAGGAAATGTAAATTTGTTGTTTCTCCCCAATTTCGGCTTTACGAAATTCAATCAAAAAAGTAACTTCTCATCCAAGCAGGAATCTTATTTTTCCGCTATTGGAGGAGAATCGGATGACCCTCCGCCAGAATTAACTCCAGAACAGGTTATTAATTAAATCATTAGAAACCAATTCTCGTGCATCTAATCTAAATTTATACTTTTTCTTGTATTTTCGTAGGTTACAAACATACTCACTATGAATGAGGTGAAATTTTTCTCTTCAGGACGAATCAAAACAATCGAATGTAACCAATTAGCTGCAAATAATCCTACCGAGGATCGCCTCAGAGTGTCCAAATTAAATTTAAAAGAGTTCAATTCATCATCTGATAATAGTTCAGCGCAAGAAGCAACAATATTTGCTGTGTTTGATGGCCATGGAGGAAGACTGTGTGCAGATATAATTACCAAACGTCTTTTCAGTTACATAGCTTTAGCCTTGTGCTCAGATCCAGTAAATGTGGCCAGTGATGCACAAAATTTGGACAAAATTGTGGAAGACTTACAAATGATTCCAAACGTCACTAAAAGTTTGAATCTTTCTTATGGACCATTAGCCTGTGAACGAATTAATGGAGTTACAAAGGAAAGAACCAAATATTATCTAGAGAAATATGCTCAGAAACTTAAAGAAACTTCCTTCCAGTCAATCGAAGATAAATTGGTTGATGCTTTCTTGCAATGTGATCAAGATTTATCTGATGAAATTGAACATGGCTTAGAGAATCCTATTTCAAATGTTCTCATTCATTACTACCTTTCCATGGCTGTCAGTGGCTGCTGCGTAACTTTACTTATGGTCCATGGTGACGATTGCTATATTGCATCCACAGGTAATCCTTTTTATAAAATCATTACTATATCTAAATTGATTTCTTTATATATTTCTCTCTCTCTCTCCCAGGTGATTGTAAGGCAGTCCTAGGATTTCGTGAAGCTGGACCTGCTAACTATCAAGTTACTAAATCAATTGACTTGACAAATGAACACAATAGTGATAATGCAGCTGAAACAAAGAGATTACTTTCTTCTCATCCATCCAATGAAAAGAAAACTATTATAAGAAATGATAGACTTTTATCTCATCTCATGCCTTTTCGAGCTTTTGGTGATTTTTGTTATAAATGGGAGATTGATAAAATTAAAAAAGCTGGTTTAACTAAAGCTTTTGGACTTCATATAATACCTCCAAATTATCTGACTCCACCCTATCTTACGGCAAAACCTGAAGTTTCCAAGATCTCTTTGTCAAGTAAAACAGACGCAACTATTGGAGATAGATTCATTGTGATTGCAACGGATGGACTTTGGGAACAATATGGCTCTAGTCGTTGTTTAATTAAACAATTATTCCGACACCATTTTAGATTAAGTTCAAGTTTTTCATCTTCTAATGAAAATTTATCTGTGCCAAAAAAAGTTGACTCCTATCAAAGTTATCAACACGAAGAGGTATCCAAGAAAATAGTTCAACATGCTCAATCAAAAAAAGCTAGTTGTGATGATGAACAACCCAAGGAAGATGAAGATTTTATTGATATCAACAGTTCAACGCATTTAATCCGAGTTGCCTTAGGAACACCTCCATTGCCGAACATGGTCCAAGACGATGATTTGGTTCCATATCAATTGCAACACAAAAGATTATCTACTTTTTTGACATTACCGCCTCACTTAGTACGTAACTTTAGAGATGATATTACTGTTATTGTTTTGAAATTAGATTGACTTAGAGAAAAAACATTTTGTTTTATCAAAAAAGAATCAACCAATGAATTGAAATAATTTGCAAATGAGATCTGGAAATCAACCAAATCTAACCAGGTGAAAATAATAAATAATTTGTAAATCTTGTTATTATCTAGGATAAAAAAATCCAATTTAAATTGCTCAAACATTTACTGAATTTTATCGAATCGTGCTCTAGTCTAGTTTTATTCATGTTTTTTTTAAAAATTCAAATGTCAATTTTAAAATCTATAAATCTAAATTTTGAAACCTTTTCTAATATTTTAAGTCTTTTAAGATTACGGGTTGAACTCAAAACTGTTGAATATTTTTTGGTTTTTTTTTCAATTTGTATTTTGATTTATTTCCATGAGAATTTAGATCAAGAAAATGAAACTCACAAATTTACTTATTAACATACATATTTAAGTTTAAGTAAATCGTTTTTCAGACTTGATTAGCTATTCTAAGCCTTTGACTACATTGTACATTGTATTTTGAATTTAGCTTTTTTGTTTCATCTGTTTTGAGGTGGAGCCTCAGACTTTTTTCTGTTGCTATTGAAATTTTAAAAAGGCTTAAAAATTGGTGAAAAAGGTCGCCAACATAGTGACCTACTCTTTCTTTTATCTAGTCTTTGTTTGCTCAAAGGCTTAAAGGGTCGTGAAACCGGACTTTACCAAACATTATTCCTCCATTTTATCATTGCTTTTGGCGTGCGTGAAGCAGACAACTCTGTGTATAAATAAAGACAGAAACACAGTTTGGTTATCAGTCTCTCTGTTTATTTGTCTCCATCTCTCGTTAAACTCATCATGATAGTTTTATCCAAAATTGCAGGTGGACTCAAACGAGTCAATCATGCTGCTGTTGCTGTAGATGGACACATCTACTGTTTCGGTGGCTATTTAGGTACCGAGGATTATAGTGAAGAGCGACCCATCGATGTCCACACATTGGACATGACAACATTAAAATGGGAACAGCTCGAATACTACGATGGAGGTAAGAAATTTGAATATCAATATAACTTCATTTCAATAAATAATTATTATCTTTTTTGTTTTTTTTCAGGAAACCCGGCTAATGTTCCATTTATCAGATATGGTCATTCTGTAGTGGCACACAACAACATTATTTATCTGTGGGGTGGTCGCCGAGGCGATGTAGCATGCAACAAAATTTTTATGTTTGATACAAATACACGCTCTTGGTTAGCCAATGAAGTTACAGGAACGATTCCAGGTAAATATTTTGTTTCCTACCAATCTTAATGATTTTATCGATGATTGTAATTCATTTATCCTCTCTATTAGGAGTTCGAGATGGTCATGCTGCTTGCATAGCTGGAGGATTCATGTATATTTTCGGCGGTTTTGAGGAAGCGAGACAAGAATTCTCTGATACAGTTTTCCGTTTTGAGTTGGAAACTCTTACTTGGACAGCTCTTCCAGAGCTCACTTCCAACCTACTGAAAAAAGATTACCTCACATGTGTGGAAATAAACAATAGAATTTATCTTTTTGGTGGCCGCTCATACTCGTGTCCTTTTTATGACAGTAATACCTTGGAACTAGACCTCACGATGATGACTTGGTCGACTCCAGATGTAGTTGGATTCAAGCCACTTGGCAGAAGGAGCCATACAGCTGTAGTTGTCAAGAACAAAATGATAATATTCGGTGGCTACAATGACATTACTGACGAGCATTATGATGATATTGCTGTCTTCGATCCCAAAACCTACGAATGGGAGCCGATTACTATTCGTGGTGGGGGTCCAACTGCTCGGCGCCGACACTGTTGTGTTGCCGTCAACTCGTTTCTCTACATTTTCGGAGGAAGTTGCCCATTGCCAGATGCCACTGACGCTGATGTACACAAGCTAATGGAATTGGATGATTTATATGTCATCGACACCAACGAAAGCTTGCGATCCATGTCTTTACAAGTGATATTGGATCACCAATTAAGCACACGTACACTTACTACTGCACTTGCACGAGAAGTGCAATTTTATAGATCAGAAAACGAACTCAGCAGCCAGCTCGATAAGCTGAATGTTGATGATCATTAATCCAATTGAGCCTAATTTTCAATTTCTGTTAAAAATTTAATACTTTTCTAACTTAAATTTAATAAATAATTTGGTCTTGAGTTTTATTGCGTTTTTTTTAATTCAAGTTCAACTTTTGCTCTTTTGGTAAATCTAATGTAATATGTTGTGATGATGATGTTCATCATCTGATAATAGTTCAGCGCAAGAAGCAACAATATTTGCTGTGTTTGATGGCCATTCTCACTCACCCAATGAAAAGAAATGCTTTAGATTTTTTCGATATTTATTTCGATTTATTTCCATGAGAATCTAGATTAAGAGAAGAAAACTGAAAATTTACTTACACACAAATCTAGGTTTAAGTAGACCGTTTTTAGACTTGATTGGTTGCTTTAAGCATTTGACCATTTTGAATTTAGCTTCACTGTTTCATCTGTTTTGAGATGGAGCCTTTTCAACGGACTTTTTCTGTTGCTTTTTAAAAAGGCTTAAAAATTGGTGAAAAAGTCGGAACCAAAGTGTTTTAATCTTGCTTTTAACTAGTTTGCATTTGCACAAAGACCTGAAAGGGTAGTGAAACCGGACTCAACCAAAACTTATTGCTCACTGCTAATTACTTAAAGGCAATAAGCTTTGCTTATTACTTATTACACCTTTCCCATGCTGATTTTGTTTCCAGTGGAAGAAGAAAATTAAAAATGTGTAAAGAAATAGGAGAAAAGAGCTTTTTTTTTGCTTTTTATTTTTATGTTTTGGTTACTATTGCCGTCTCACCACCTCCAGCCTGATGACCACCATCAACATGACCAGCTTTCACCATCTTTATCCACCGATTTCTCATCGTGTGCGACAATTAACCCGTGAACAAGTTGCACTAGCTGGATTGTAATTACAGTTGGCTGAGCAAAGATATCTGGCAGCACAATCACCACCACTTCGTCCATGTTTACTAGCTTCAAATTCATCTCTTTCTTCATCAAAATCATGACAAGCACCAACTGCTTCAACTGCATTCAAAGCTCGAGCGGCTTGACCGCAATTGTAAATAGCATTGTAATTAGCCAAACAGTGAAAGTACCTGTAGGGTTAAAAAGCAAGAAGACCAAACCAATCAAAGTATTATTAATATTTGCATCATAACGACATCATCTTCAAGATTGATCTTGATCTTTTCACATAAAAAGTTGATCATTATGATAAGATGATGATGCTACCAATTTAAACAACCTTTACTATTAGTAGCAACATTTAACTAATCAATAATTTTTCAATAATAATTCAATAATAATGTGATTATAATATTACTCTGTATCATTGCTCTTTATTGCTCTTTAAAATTCATTTTCTAGGTGAGTGTCGATAGTAATCAGCAATAATCATTATAATAGTCATTATAATAATAATTACAATATCAGAACATGTCTTTAAGTGAATGTTTGTTTGTTTTGTATCTTTAAGATGAGAGGTAAAAGTTTTACCCTTTTTCGCTATCAGGTAATTATGACAACTATTTGTTGATATATTTGTTGTATTAATGTTCACTTGTTTTACTTACAGATGGCAATTTTTACACGAAGTTGAACGCATTGTAGCAAAGACGGCAACCATTTCACGGCCAGCACAACGAACTTCAGTTTCACGATCTGATTTGGGTCCAAGTTTACGTTTAAAACAATCGGCGATCCTTTTCCAATCAGTTGCAACGGGTGATGATGTTTCTTCGATATTTTCACCATTGACCATCATTGGCTCTGAAAGAGCAGCACTTGAAACATAATCAACAATTGACCAGTAAAGTCCAATAAGAAAGATATAACGCCAGATCATGATTTATGAGGTAGTTGAAGATTTAACACACAGATTTACAGACTAACTGAAACAATGATTGATGAAAGAAAAGGGCTGACAACAATCAAAAGATAACCAAGATCCAAAGAGGGCAAAGAAAAGGGCAAATCAAGTGAAAGTTGATTCAAATGATGATAAATGGTAATTGATTAACAAAGGATAAACTGTTGCTAATAGTTAACCATTTGCTTGGTTGTGACCCTAACGGCGTAGTAACTGTTTATGAAACACCTCTGTTAATGATTATTGGATACTTGTGATTAGTTTATTCAGCAATTATGTCTTTTTGTGATTAAAATTCAACTTACGATTGATTAAGTAGAGAAAAAAAGTTACCAAGTAAAATGATTATTGGGAGGAGAAAAGACAAAGATGAAAATGATGATCACATTAAAACCCTACATTTCCTTCTTTAGACCTTTACCTTGCCAAAAAGGTATGTTAACTATTTGTGTGAAAATTAGCTGATTGTAGAGTTTCACCAAAATTGTAATTTCCTGATCAATCATTTTACCATTTCAAAGTTGAATATTAATTAGCGGTGGGAATTTCTTGAGAATCCTTTTAATGATATTATAGTTTCTCAGTCCTTTCAGCATTTTCATTTTTACTGAGAAACTGGTGTTTACCAAAATGCCATTCAATTTTGTGTTGATCTCGGATAAAATTGATTTTACCTCATTGATTGTAACCATTTAAAGGTTGCTGATTACCATTTCTTTCCTTTACATTGATATTGTTTTTGATAAAGAAACAGACGGATTTGGTCTAAAAATTGTCTTTCTCTATTACTCTTTGCTAACAAGGTATTATCTTCGTTGTCATTAGCAGCTTGAGGAGAGGTAATCTTTTTCACTGTAAAGATTAACGCCAAGGACATAAAATGAAAACCTGTTCAGATGAACATTTTTCCACTTTTTTAAATTGGTTGAAAATTTTATTCAATAATCATGTCTTCACGATTATACTTGATCAATGATGTCCCAACTGCTGTCCGCCATAATCTAGAAGGAATTGTCAGAGTCAACAATCACCTTGTCATTCATAAATCGTCCAACATTGTTGTTCGTAAAGACTTTCGTGAATCAGTTTTGGACAGAGCAAAAGTGTCTTTAATTTCAGGTGGAGGATCGGGCCATGAGCCATCGCATGCTGGTTTTGTTGGCAGTGGATTATTGACAGCTTCAGTTTCGGGTAACATCTTTGCCTCACCAACAGCTGCTGAAGTACTCAGAACCATTAAACTGATAAATCTTAAAAATTGTTCCGCTGGAACCTTGTTAATTGTTCCCAACTATACTGGTGATCGTTTACATTTTGGTTCAGCAAAGGAAAGAGCCGTTCTAGAAGGTTACAATGTTGATCTTTTTATATTTGGTGATGATTGTGTTTTCGGATCCAAGACCGGTCGAGTTGGTAAAAGAGGATTAGCTGGAGTATTTTTTATCCATAAAATTGCTGGAGCTTTAGCTGAAGATGGTGTTTCTCTTAAAGCTATCAAACAGTCGGTTGAATTGGCAGCTCCTCGTATAGCATCAATCTCAATCTCTCTGGGTCCATGTAATGTACCCGGAGTTGGTCCATCATTTGTTATGCCACCCGGTCAGCTTGAAGTTGGCCTAGGAATTCACGGTGAACGAGGTTCTAAACGGATTGCTTATATTCCTGCTGGACAAGCTGTTTCTTTATTGATTGATCACCTGACAAGTGAAGAGGTTGGCTTGAAAAAGTATTTCTCTAACAATGGATCAACACGAATCGTTATCCTGTTCAATGATAATGGTGGAATGACGACCATGGAAATGAATGTAATCATGAGAGAAGCAATTTCTCAGTTTACTTCAAGAGGATTTACCATTGAAAGAACCTACTCGGGTCGTTATGTGACATCTTTCGATATGATTGGTGTTTGTCTTAGCATTATGGTCGTCGATGATGATTTACTCAAGCTTTTAGACGCTCCCTGTTCCAGTGTAATAATATCACAAGAAAGTAGTTTACCGAGAGGAATCAACAGTGAACCAATTCTGGATGATGATGAGGACGATTCAGTGCGAGAAAGAATGGCATTAAATTATGATAAAATAGATCGGTTAATAGCATATGAATCTATTTTCATTAAATGTTTATCAAGTGCCTGTCAAACTCTTATTGATAATGAGAGTTATCTCAACAGACTTGACTCTGAAACTGGTGATTCAGACTGTGGGTCAACTTTAGCATCAGGAGCTCGAACCTTGCTAGAAGCTATTGAATCGGGCAACTTAAAGTCCTCATTCCTTCAACTGTCTCATATCATTGAAAAGTGTATGGGTGGAACTAGTGGTGCGCTATTCAGTCTATTTTTCACTGGAGCTTCAAAATCAGTGGCAACTCAGCTTTCAAACAATTCAGGTCGTTTAAACATTCAAAGTTGGACTGAAATAATATCCCAATCAATCAACAACATGACTCAATATAGCTATGCAAGACCTGGTGACAGGACAATGGTTGATCCTCTCAATTCACTTGTTAAAGCTTTCAGTTCGTATTCTGATTCGGAAAACAATATTTCCACCTTTTTGGCTCATGTTTTACTTAAAGTTGAAAGTGATGCTCAATCGACTGCATCAATGGAAGCTAAAATTGGTCGAGCCTCTTATGCACCTAAACTATCCAATAGTGGACCAGATCCTGGTGCTTGGGCAATTTACTTGATTGTTAAAGCTATTTTTGATACTTACCTGGAATCCACGCAACAATGAAAATCTTTTATTTACAAAATTACTAAACATAAATATATAATCAAATGTCTTGTCTGATAAAATTGAAAGACACTTTAATTTTTATATTGAGAGGGAAATTGTCAATAAATTGGTTTCAGAGCTGATCCAAGGAAATTTATTGATCTGATTGACTCTAACTGAGAAGCTGTCGCAATTGTCATGAGATGTCGATAATGGTTGAAAGCTATTGGCATTATCATCAATGAATGTTACTTTCTTGACACAAAAAACACAATCAATACCAAAAATGATCAGTAAAAAGCATTTTTTGAAAACACTTGTTTGAAATGTTTGTAAAGCTTATTGTCAAATGAATGCTCAGATGAATTTCAATAAATTAAATTGATAAATTTTATGGTGTATGCAATAGAAGAAAAAAGTCACCCAAAAGTCAGGCTTTGTGATTTTATTGCCTTGTTTTGTCAGCCTTTCGCTGATTGGTTTCAATTTTAATCATAAAAAATCAATGATTCTTTTCATAGCACAATTATCTCATCATTAACTCACAATTGGCTTAGTTTTTACCCCCTTAAGTATTATTGAATTCAATGAAGCAAAGCTTCCAAAAACAACCTCCGATTGTAGCCTTAAATACTTGGGTCAATTCAATTCATGAAAAGTTATTTTATATCCTCAACATTGATATGAAACTTGCAAAGAGTTTGACTTATCATTTGATACTTATTTTGGTATTTTATCAAAATTTATATTCAATAGTTGATCTTTTATTATTGTTAAGTTAACTGTGTTTCCATCAAAAACCAGTGTTGAAACATAATTTGAATTCAAATTGAACATACAATTGAACTGTTAGAAGGACTTGTCCATTGGTCAAAGGCTGTAAGGTCAATCTCCTTTTTGTATATTTGCCAGTCCATTGGTATTGTTCAATTCAAAATAAAGGAAATATATTTTCTCATACATTAAATGGTGATTGTGATCAATTGAAGAGCAATTTAATAGAAATAAAATTTTCTTGACATTTAAATTTACTAACCAACCAAAGCAAAGCCAAATTGAACTAGCCAAAGTCACAATGCTACAAAGTTAATTGTGATTAACAAATAACAAAGAGTTGTAAAAGCTAGTTTCCTGACTTTGACAACAATCAAAAATTATCATTTTTCTTATTATTATATTTTCGCTCCAAATGCTCATGTTACATTAACCTTAGCAATGTTAAATCAAACCCAAGTTTAACATTCAAAAGCTAAAGTTATATCGTTAATGATTAAACATTGAAAATCCAGCCATTTTAATAAACAAATAGTCATTAAATTGTAAACAATAACACTGATTGATACATTACCGAGACAGAAGCAACAATTTATTAACCACAAGTTGACCTTTATTTGCATCTTATCCTGACCTCCAGACCATCAGCTTTTTTCATCTCATCTTGAACCAGAATTGACTTTCTTTGAAAACCCAAAACCAAACCAAAAAAAACAAGGTTAACAATTTGATTTTGAAGAGCTTTGAATAACATCTTTTATCATCGGATCTGCTCTTTTGGGTACTTTCCTTAACCAGTTAAAGGTGCTGATAGTTGGTGGTTGCTTGTGTTCACCCAAACAAATCGACACCGGAATTGCTTTAGTAACAATTTGAAAGCAACCCTGACATCTAATTACTTCATCATCAACTCTTTTCTTACTTTTTTTTCTAGTTTTTCCACAAAATTACGCCCAATCTTCTTTAAGATCATCTTTTTTCTCATCCATGAAACTTTCCTTCCAAGTTATTATCTAATAATGACTAAACCATTTCAATCATTAGTCTCATCTTTATTATTATTATTGTTTGTATCTTCATCTTTTGCTTCCACCTTTTCCTTCTCATCTCCATCTCCAGCATCACCATTTACCTGATCATGAGCGTCATCTTTAACATAACCTCTTGTCTCCTCACACCATTAGTCTTGAAGAACTGACAATTATCATATCAATTTCAAGAAGTTAAACTTGAATTTGCTTTTCTCATCTTCTTTCAGGTTTCTTCATCAACTCTTCACTTGGCTGATATTGAGCCCTAATCAAATTAAATAGTTTGCTGTCATAATCATTATCATCCCTAATTGCTTGTTAAAAGACGATTTTGTTGGAAAACGAAATGAGAAAAAAAAACATTTACAACATTCAGTAAATAACAATAAATACACAAGTTGACTCGTGCACGAATAATATGTATCATTCATTAAATCCTTTATCCTTTTACTAACCGTGTCATCTTCACCTTACTTTGCATCATGATTCATGATCACCTTTTGCTGGAAGAAAATCAGAAGATCACAAGGGAGCGAGTGAGCATTAAATGGGAGATGAAGACGAGCAACAGCAACTGGTAGTCAAAGTTTACTTGATTATTCCTAAAAACGGTTAATTTTGTTTTCTTGTTGTTGTCAACAAATTGTAATTTTATTGTCAAATTGTCTATATTTTTTCCTGTGTAATTCAATTTAAAGTGAATCCTTTGTTAATGGCATCATCTTTACCAGCCTTTTCATCATCGAAAACATCATGTTGAAATCAAATCTTGAAAAAATTATTGTGTTTAATGTTTTACTCAATGTTAATCTGGTAATTTGTTTACCCAAATCACATTTCTCATCTTATCCGAGAATCAAAGATTTTGGTGATGATGATGAACATCCAATTATTATATCTTCAGCTCATCAACAATTGTATCATAATGAGCCGTTTCAATTTAAAAGATTGTCAACAACCACAAAGCAACCCTTTCTTTCAAGATTACCAGTCATGGCCAGTGATAACTATCAAGATGATAAAAACGTTAAAACTCATTCATGGGTAAATGTTTCAGTTTTACCATTAACATCAAGACCTTTAATCATAACAGGACCAAGTACGAGTTCAACAACGACCACAACCACGACAACATCAACACCAAGACCAGTACCAAGACCAACACCGAGATCAACAACAACAACAACTACAACTACCACTACTTCAACAACGACCACAACACCTTCACCATCACTAGTGAGCTCAACAACACAGTCAACAGTAAATAAATTATCAAAACCTACAAAAGGTGTTGTTAGAAGTGAACTTGATTTAAATACTTCGTCATCTCAAAGTAATGCATCAATAGCTCACCCTTTAGCTAATCAAGTGGACGGGCCATCAGCATCATCATTTATCCAACCATTAACCCTTCTTATTATGTCATATCTTGCAAATAAAAAAATAAATTCCCTTCCAATCGATCGTTATTCGCATGGATTTCCACCTCCACCGATAATCAACTCATCATTTTATGACACCTCAAATCGCAATCAAAATGATACGGAGACAGAATCTCGAACCATTGCTTCTTGGTTTGGTGGACTTGCCCGGCGTCTTAAGAGACCCAAGCATCCCAATAGACGTGATCATACAGTTGGTCCTGGTCGAGGTTCAATTCCAATTCCTTACGAAACTGCACCAATTTCATTGGCATCACTTCATGGTCCCTCATTGGCACCGATAGGTCGACCTCTTTCTGGTTCATCGTCTGATCAAATAATGCTTCCTGGTCTACTTCCTCAACCAGAAGGTTTCCCAGGACCTTTTAATCCTGAAAACTCGGTTCTTTTACCTCCTGATATCATGGAAAATTCTGGTATAAAATATTGGCTTGATTTCATTGAAAAGGGTGGAACCACGGACGATCTTACACCTGCACATTTAAATGGTTCACCAGCTCCATTACCACCTCAGCTTTCATCAGCCCATTCCACTCCTCCTCTGGGACATCAAACTATTTTTGAAGCTGCTGGATCTGATCATGATGAGGTTGATTTTAATAATGCAATTAAACGCAGATTTAAAAGACCTCCAGCTCAAGCCAAGCCGGACGGTAATCGTCAAAACACAAGATACAGACCGAATCAACATCGACCTTCCAATGGTGCTTCAAATGGAAATGGCAATAGCAATGGAAATGGCAATGGTAATCAAATTGATTCACACATTCAGAAACATAGTTATGGTGAGACAAGTGATTCCTATGATGGAACTGATAGAACTGGAAACAGCAATTCTCTTCATTTTCACGACTCAGATCGTCACAAGCAAAATGAAATGTCCCCTCGGTGTGACAAATTTACAGATCACATTTGTGTGGATGACTTTGAGTATCCAGAACAAGCAATCGTGGATGAAATATATAAAAGAAGAGATATATTTGAATTAATGTATTCAGAAGTCAAAGGTAATATTCCACTTGTTGACGGAATTCCAAGAGATGTTGAAGAATCTTATAGTTATGAAACCGATGAGACAAACGATGATACAGATGAAAATGATGATTCTCCTGGAGACAGAAATGATGTTTCTAATGATGAAAGAGCCGATCCCATGTATTCAGCAGCTAATTCAGATTCATTTACCAAATCAGCCGTGGGAAGACAAGGGTTAAGACCAGGAGTTTCCAATAAAGGAAATAGCAACAGCCAAAATGGGAATGGAGCGTCCAAAGATGCTTCTCATGGAGGTTATATTTGCCCATCTGAAGTACTTTATGGTAGACCTAAACTCGCTCGTAATGTCAAGGGTGATTGGAAGGTAATTGTTAATGCAGCTGAATTCACTCAAACCGTGCGAATGGAAAAATGCCTTCGACCCAATCAACGATGTAACTATGTATCCAACATTGGCATTGTTTCTCGATGTGCTCAAGTCCACTCTTTCCATAGACTAATGGTTTTCGAGAAGGGTAAAGGTTTTTACATTGATACCTTCCAAATACCAACTGCATGTTCATGTCATATTAGACGAACTGGTGGTCCAACTGGACCTTCACCCATGTCAGATTTACTGGGATTAAACGAGTCACCAGGATCTGGAGGATCTAATGGAGTTGGTTCAAATGGCAACGGAGGAGGTCAAGGCAATGGAAACGGAATGTCTTCTATGGGTAAAAGTCCAACTCCGTTACAATTGAGCAATGCTCTTTGGTCTATTCTTGGTTCTGGCACTGGTTCTGGTTCACCACCAAATAACGGGCAGTCACTTTCTGGAAATCCATTTTCAGTTATTGACAACATCAATTCGGTGAACAATGATTTGTTGAAAGCTCAATTGTCAGTTTTGTCTAGCATTAAAAACTATCCTTCACTGACTGGATCCATTTCACCTGAAAGTGTTCTGCAACAATTAACTTCCCAATCAGATGCAATACAAAACATTCAAGGTTTAACAAATGCTTTTAATCAAAACTCAGGTTTTCCATCAATGAATGGGAAACAGCCTGATTCAGGTGGCCACAATGATCAAGTTGAATATCTATTGCCAGGAATGATGTATGCTGAAGAACCCTTATCATTTCAAGAGCATTCCGATAATTTGGGCGGACGTTTACACAGTTCACATTCAACGGGATCATTTAGTAGAGGATCATCGCCAACCTCATCTTCACACTCACTCTCCTCATCTGGACCTGGAACAGGGGAAATATCAACAGGTGGGGCACCGTTAGTTCAAGTAATTCATGTTCCTGTCTCATCACATCCACTCTCACCTCAACTTCAACGTCATCATGGACCAACAACAACAAATTTACAATTTCCAGTCTATAACAAGCCCTCAGCAACTTCCAATGATCTTCCTACGTTAACTGCATATGCTTCAGCTAGTAAATCATCTGCTGATGCTTTAAAGGCCGAACGGAAACCATCAGCGTATTTCTCATCTTTAACCGATACTGATAGGAATAAAGTTATGGTTAATCGAGCTTCAGAGAATAATAATAACAATAATGAAAATAAAACAAATGCTACATCAACTTATGACTCTGCTGTGTTAACCAGCACTCCTAAAGTAGCGATTGCCGGTGCATCTAACTCTCATGCAATTCATCCACAAGAAACATCAACACCATTTGATAAAAACAACCCCACCAATGAACCTACAGCTATTAATGAAAATGATGGCAAGAACAGTAACAACAATAATAATGATAAAAGTGATTCAACGGGTAAAACATTAGCTAATTCCATGGCTGATGGTAAAGTTAATTTCTCGTATCATCCAATATTGGAATACATAATGCCTTCTCAATCATCATCCTAGAAGACTCAAACTAATTAAGATTCTCATTTTACATTCACTTTGCAATCTTTTCAAGAAACTTTATCAATGAAAAGTGTATATTTATTGAAATAATTAACTTTATTAACCTTTTATAATCAATGAGTAGTTTAACTGATTCTTTCAAATTTTGAATTTTGATTGCTACAAATGCTAATAAACATTGTAAATATTTAAAAATGAGCATAAAAACGGTTTATTCTCACTAACAAATTTAAGTCGGAATTTCGGGCAAATACAGTGAGATCCCAGATAATGAGAGTCCCACATAATGAGATAAATTTATCAACCACCCCTCATTTCTGAAAAGTTAATTTAATTTGAATTTCAGCAAATTTCATTTTGGTTTCTTTAATTATCAATTGATTTGATTCGAATTTCTTTCGTAAATTATTAATCAAAAAACTCCCAAAATCATCTTAAACTACCATTTAAAATAAAATTCGATCTATTAAGGAAGATTGAAACTCATGAAATTAGCTGCCCGATGAATAGTGAAAATAAGCTATTCCACAGTACTCTCATTATCTGGGATCTCACTGTATTTGTTCTGTTAATTTCACCAAATGTTGAAACAAAAAGTCTAGAAGCTACAAAAATCAACTTAATAAGTTTACATTTGTACTCCACATCAATTTATTAGCATAATAAAAGTTTACATAGACGAGCAAATCATGACCATATCGAATAATGATAACCTTTGAGCTTCATTTTCACATCAACTTTAATCAAAATTACGAAGAAAGAAGTTTATTTCAGAAGTTCATTTTTCAGTTCAGTTCATATATAATTTCAATGATAGATGGCACAGCTGTAAGTAACAGTAATTTGACCACCGATGGCGTCTTAAACAAACATGTGAAAGAATCTTTTAGAAAGATTGTGAGGACAAAATCAGATCTATTATTTCATCAATTGATAATAACTATTTCTGGAAAATTAACTTGTCTGAGACAAGTTGTCTCATGTTGCATCATTATTCAACTTGTTATCGCCCGTCTTATTATAGGGTTTCAATCATTTTCTTCATTCAAAGAGACTCACTTGCCAGTAATTTTTGAAAAGACCATAACTTTAAGTAATTCATTGATTTCGATAGTTCAATTAGGATTAACCAGTTCATTTGTTTCAACAGATAACATAAGTAGTTAACAGTGGTTTGTATAATTAAATCAACTGGATGGAAACGAATCAAGGATAACATCAACAGCAACAACAACTCAACAACTTAAACAATATTGTCTATGGAAATGAAAACAGCCATGATTTTTTGAATCATTTGGTGGCTAAAAGTAGAACCAAATTCAAAACAATAATATCAAGAAATAATATTTTAAGGTAAGTTGACCTTTCCCTGATGTTCTGAAAGTTTTGTGATTAGATTAAGGTTAATTTTTCATGTGTTTATATCTTTGTCATAATCCGACATTGTTTGTTTTGCAGATTAAGACCAAACCAACCAAACCGGTGTAATTAGCTCAAGAAAGGCTTTCAACTTGGACCTTAAGCATTGTTTGTTTTGCAGATTCAGACCAAACCGGTGTAATTAGCTCAAGAAAGGCTTTCAACTTGGACCTTAAGCATTGTTTGTTTTGCAGATTCAGACCAAACCGGTGTAATTAGCTCAAGAAAGGCTTTCAACTTGGACCTTAAGCATTGTTTGTTTTGCAGATTCAGACCAAACCTATTGCTCCCATTTTATCATTGCTTGTGGTGTGCGTGTCACAGAAATCTCTGTATAAATAGAGAAGAAAAACTCAGTTGGTTATCAGTCTCTCTGTTCAGTTGTCTCTATCTCTCGTCAAACTCACCATGCTGGTTTTATCCAAAATTGGAGGTGGACTCAAACGAGTCAATCATGCTGCTGTTGCTGTAGATGGTCACATCTATTGTTTCGGTGGATATTTAGGTACCGAGGATTATAGCGACGAGCGACCCATCGATGTTTATGCTCTTAATATGACCACTTTAAGATGGGAAGAAATCGAGTACTCTGATGGAGGTAAGATATTGAGTTATCGTTATGTACTCATTTTATTATTAACTTAATGTTTTGTTTTTGTTTTTACAGGAGATCCTGCAAATGTTCCGTTTATTAGATATGGTCATTCTGTAGTTGCACAAGATAATATTATTTATCTGTGGGGTGGTCGCAGAAAGGATATTACCTGCAACAAACTTTTTATGTTTGATACAGACAAGCGCTCGTGGTTAGCCACTGAAGTGAAAGGGTCGATTCCAGGTAATAATTTGTTTTCTACCAACTTTGCTGATTTTATTGGTAATTGTAATTCATTTATCTGCTCTATTAGGTGTTCGAGATGGTCACACTGCTTGCATACATGATGGATTCATGTACATCTTTGGAGGATTTGAGGAAGGGAGACAAGAATTCTCTGATGCAGTTTTCCGCTTCGAGTTGGATTCTTGTACTTGGACTGCTCTTCCAGAGCTTACTTCAAACTTACTCAAAAAAGATTATCCGTCATGTGTGGTAATAAACAATCGAATTTATTTTTTTGGTGGCCGCTCATACTCGTGCCCGTTTTATGACAGTAATATCTTGGAACTAGACCTCACGATGATGACTTTGTCGACTGTAGATGTAGTTGGATTCAAGCCACTTGGCAGAAGGAGCCATTCAGCTGTAGTGGTTAACAACAAGATGATAATATTCGGTGGTTACAATGATATTACCGATGAGCATTTTAATGATTTTGCTGTCTTCGATCCCAAGACTTACGAATGGGAATCGGTAATAGTTCGCGGTGGGTCACCAACTCCCCGGCGCAAACATTGCTGTGTCGCTGTAAATTCATACCTCTACATTTTCGGAGGAAGTTGCCCAGTTCCACAAGCCCCTGATGCTGAAGCACATAGTTTAATGGAGCTGGATGATCTATACGTTATTGATACAAGCCAAAGCTTGCGCTCTATGTCATTACAAGTGATATTGGACCAAGATTTAGACACTAACAATCTAACTACTGCTCTTCAACGGGAGATTGAAAGCTACCGTACCGAGAACGATCTCAACTGTACTCAGCTCAATAAGTTGAGTTTAAAATCAGACGAATCGTCAACTTAGCTTTGTAGTTGAACTGCATGTCATTTGTAATCATTAATTCATCAAAAATAAAGACGAATATTTATATTCAACAAAATTTTTCAAACTCTTCGGTTTCAATAAATATACAAAAAGGGCACAAAATTAAGTTCATTTGCACAATGAAAAAATTTCTCCGATCGATTTTTTTCACAAAATTGGGTTCAAAATCTCCTTTTGTACAGTTGAGGTCCCAGAGAAGTCAAAGATCATCTTTTTTCTCATCCATGAAACTTTCCTTCCAAGTTATTATCTAATAATGACTAAACCATTTCAATCATTAGTCTCATCTTTATTATTATTATTGTTTGTATCTTCATCTTCTGCTTCCACCTTTTCCTTCTCATCTCCATCTCCATCTCCATCTCCAGCATCACCATTCACCTCATCACCACTGTCATCTCCAATTATTAAATCATTAAATCTCATTACACATTCTTAATTCATTCTTTATTATAATCGACGAGTTCCCTTCTTACATGAACTTTAATCAAAAGTGAAGAAAGGAGTTTATTGCGGAAAGTTCATTCAAAAGTTAAATAAAATTTAAACGATAGATGGCACAACTGAAATAACAGTAATTGTTCATCAACTTTTGAATGATGGAGCTGAACTCCATCATTTTCAAAACTACTAACTGTCTTTTACCTTCGTTAATTTTATTTAATGTTAGTTCACTCTTCGTTTCAATTAGTTTCATATCTGACTTTATCATCATCACTAGCTACTAATCTCAACCGATGAATCCGAGTGTAATATAGTAAAGTCTCTCGGATTCTCGATTGGGGTTTTGTAGTTAGTGATGACCCTAAACATCTTGATAATTGTTTATTTTTCTCCTAACTTTTCACTTAGCAAACCATGGATGCACAAGAGGTGAGTATTTCTCCAGGTACTGATGAGTTGAGTTGATTAGTACCTGGAAAATTAACTCACCTCTTGTTGTATCATTATTCAACTTGTTATCACCCGTTATCTCATTTGGTTATAATATTTGGTTCCCAATCGTTTTCTTCATTCAAAATGACTCGGTAATTTTTGAAATGATCATAACTTTAAATAATTTATTGATAGTTCAATTAGGATTAACCAGTTCATTTGTTTCAACAGATAACATAAGAAGTTAACAGTGGTTTTAATAATTAAATCAACTGGATGGAAACGAATCAAGGATAACATCAACAGCAACAACAACTCAACAACTTAAACAATATTGTCTATGGAAATGAAACAGCCATGATTTTTTGAATCATTTGGTGGCTAAAAGTAAAATAAAATTCAACAAAAAATAACATCAACCGGAGAAATAATATTTTAAGGTAAGTTGACCTTTCCGTATGTTCTTGAAAGTTTTGTGATTAGATTAAGGTTAATTTTTCATGTGTTTTGTATCTTTGTCAGATTCCAATTTAAAGATGTGAAATTTGAGAAGTATTTGATGTGGCTTGATGATTTTAAAGGCAAGAAATTGGCTCTTTAGCTCTTTTCTTTAAAGAATAGAGTTGAAGAGAAAAGCGCAGTTGATTATGAGCTGGTGATGATGATATTAACTTATTTATATCGATACTTTTGACTAATTACTTATTATATCTAGACTTAACTCCACTTGAATTTCCTTTAGGTAAGATTTTGCCCTAGAACAATCAACGAAAAAGCGGAAGTAAATTATGGTTCATGAGGTCAGTCTGAGAGAGTTAACCATCCTATCTGATGAACCATAAATGAATAAGGTCTGATGAAAGTGACTTTGTAGTTGATTACATTGATTCCTCAATCTTGATCATCTCGAGAATACCATCTTGCATCTCCTTGACAGCCTGGTATTCAGTCAATCCTAATCGTCTCTTGTTTGAAATGTCATAAACACCACCTTCAGATTCAGTGTGTTCACCTCGAGTACCTCGAACTTGTAAATTGAATTTAGCTGCAATCTCATCAAGCTTCTTCTTGTCAGCAGCAAGTTTAGGTAAAGCGATGTGAACACTTGCTCTAATTGTGGTTCCAAGATTAGTTGGACAGAAGGTTAAGTAGCCAACTCGGTCATCTCTGCTGAATGGCATATTTGACTCAATAGTCTTGACACCCTGTAAAAGAACAAAAATTCACTGAGTTAATCTAATTAAGCCAACAGATGAATAATCAAATTATATTTTTTTATCTCATGATCAATGTAAAGATACACTGGTAATTAAATTACTGAAAATGACTTGTTCATGAAATTTAATGGAAATTACTCGGTTAACTGGAAAAGGGGTGAGCCCAATTTAAGTTTAATTAACTTACTCTGATGAGTCTATCAAAGATGGTTTTAAGATCAGCTCCTTTTTGCATACTGATGATGCGAAGATGATCCTCTTCATTAACCCAAACCAAGAAACTCTTAGCATCATTATGGAAAATACCTCTTCCGCTTGGCCAATATCGACAGGCGTTAGCTGCTTGCAAGAATCTGTGTAATTTAAGACAAGCAAACAAACAAAAAAGTGATTATTACCATTGCCAATTAAATTGTTGAAATTTAATCATTCTTACCTATCTCCTTCCTTGAAAAGGAAATGATCATCAATAAGCTGTTGCTGGGTCTCTTTGCCCATACCAGTTAATGGGTAGTAGGTTCCTTTAAGATCACCTTCCATTCCTTTTAAGATTGAGCTAACTTTTGCTTCCATTTCTTTGTATTGCTAATTAATAAAGCAAACATTATGTTAAATTAAATAGTTAACTAATTAAATTTATTAAAGCTTCAATTTTAGTAAACACATTTTGTAAAACTATAATGTTTGGGGTTATAACATAGATTCACATTTTCCCGCGACATGACGTAATTGTAACTTAACCCTTAACATAAACCTAGAAACTGTAGTCACAAAGAGATTGAGGAAAATAGCTTTCTTTTTACACTTTGATCAAATTGCTTTTTTAAATCAACCGTTACCAAACAGTTTTTTGTTTCTGTTGCCAATGCTATTTAATGTTTTCAATTATTTTCATCGTAAATTTTAATGTTTCCCTGGTCCTCTATCAAAGTGTAAGTACATTTATATTTTCTGGTTTGTTTGGAAATTTGATTAATTCAATGTTTCATGTTTCTCATACTTACAGCCTCAGTAAGACAAGGATTGAAAGGGTAACCCTGAAGGCTACGACCACATCGAACTCGAGTTGAAACAACATATTTGCCTGCAGGATCTAAATCAACCAAAGTATTAATATCACCCCAATCAGATGCTGGATGTTTGTCAGTTGGTTTGAATCCACCATGGTAATCCTCAATGATTGGATCGAATAATTCCTTGAAAAGAGTGTAAGACTCGGCATCTGGAGCATAGATACCAATTCCACTGTCCAAATTTTCAACTCCTACAGGAACAAAGATTAAGATTGAAATGAGATTATTGTTAATACGAGTGTAAAAATCATGTGAAAGACAGGATCAAGTATCGAGTAACATTCTGATGAATCTTAGCTACTCCATTTACATTAGTAAACAAGTGTCATGTCTAAACATCTCTCATGCTGTGAGAATCGATGAGATTCAATCAAACTGTAGCTCATCCTTCTAAATATTTGACACGAACAAAACATCAAATCTCTTTCAGTTTAGATCATGTATAAGATCATGTTATAGATTGATTCAGATGAGATTTCCCCTTAGATTTTGAAAAATTGCTTTACCAGCGACTTGCTTGAATTTTTCCTCGCTTTGGTCTTTCATTCTCGGTTTTCAATGAATCACTTCTGATTACAGAATTTTAAATTTCAAACAATGCTTGTAAACTGTGTGAAAGACCAAACTGTAATTTGTTTAGTATCATTAAATGTTTATAGATATTCCTAGATAACTATTTACTTTGATACAACAGTTTCATTGCTGGTTATAAGCTTCTGTTATAATCACTTTGAAATACCAATCATCCGCTATTAGTTGAATGTAATTAATGGCATAACTGAAGTTATATCATTAATTATCTATTATCACTGTGAAATGCATTTTTCAATGAATAAATGAAAGAGGTAAAATAATGTTTCAATATGATTATGTAATGGCTGACAAAATTTTTCATATCAGAATCATCTTACCAAAGTTAAAACCCATTTTACCATCTCAGGTAAAGGCTGTTTGTTTACTTTAGGTTTAATTTGTTGAATAAAAAAATTAATCACACAAAAAGTAATTACAAAATTCACAGCCAACCATTAATCATTGAATATCATTTACTGTTAATCAATATTATTGATTATCTATTTTCCTTTTTTGTTTCTGTTCATTTCATTTCCTAATCCATAATATTTTACATTTTCACAATAATCAACTCTAATTAATTTGTTATTCTCTCTGTTCTCAGCTACAATTTGTGGATACATATTTCATGGCTTCAGTAATATTTGGTTTTGCTGCCTGTTTCAGTCTTCCATGGAAATCAAACAAAGATATCAGATTCAACCATAATGCAAGCTAAAAGCAATTTACCTGTTTTAAAAAGCTATATTTCATTTTGGATTAAACGAAAGGAGATGGAATATGAAACTGTTCAACAAAACGGATGTTAAATGATCAATGGTGCAAAAATTTGAACCAATGCTGCTGCTATCGTTGAGTGATTGATATTAATTTTGATATTAAGTCTACGACTAAAGGATTGCAAATATAAACTGATAAGAGATGATGATGGATCATGAAAGGTGAGAGTGAAACACAATGATCATTATGGAAAGCAAACTCAATCTTTTTTCTCTTATTTGGTTACAGGAAAATTGGTCTAAGGGTCAAATCAAGGTTAAATGGAGGTACATTTAAATTACCTGATTGAATAATATCAAGTAAGGTTGCTCCCATGGCAGTTTTCCTGGTCTTTAGAGCATCAAAAACTTCTTTGGTGAGATATTTTTTAAGAAGGGATTTACAATCCTTAGCATCTTGAAGTTTCTTGAAACCAGCTTCAAGCTTCTCAAGGGTAGCTGCGTCGACCATGTTGCTGTATTCATATTAATTGGACATCAGTTGAATGGAAAGCAGAAAAAAGATTGAAAAAGAAGACCAAAAAATATTAGATTAAGTTTACATTTTTGTTTTTGTATAATTGCAGAGTTCATAAAGATCATGCTGATAAACATGTAGGATAGGGAAACATCAGAAGAAACACAATTTAGCACAGTATTCAGTATTTCAATATTCAAGAGCTTAAATATTGATTTGTTGAGTGAATAAAAGGTTATAAAAGCAGGAAAGCAAAAATGGCGTAAATGAAAAATTTAAATTTTGACAGGTTTTGTTTTTTTCTGCAAAAATTCAGAAAATTTCTAGCTTCAAGTTAACTTTTCATTTGCCTGATTAGAGCAATGTTTAGTTAAATACAAGTAAAGTTTATATCGAACCTGATAATTGAACTGTTGTTGGTGTTGATGAGAATAGGTTGTAAAGGTTTTGTTTAATGAACAACAATTGAAACAAGATGTTAATGAACAAGAAGAAGCTCTGTTTGAGTTGTTTAGTTCAAGTTACTTGTTTGAAATAATTGTAACTAATAGGTCAGAGACAAGTTCGATCTGAGAATTTACTTCGAGATTATCTCAATTTTGCGCATGTTAACTAATTTAATATCTTTCGTTACAGAATCAAGACGATGAAGAAGAAGACAGAGTTTGGCGCAAGAGAGGACAAGGGAAGAAGAAAGGAGAGGCCCAACCTCTGACGATAAGGTAAAATTTTCTGGCAACAGAATCATCATCACTTTGGTTAAGGTTTGGATGATGGAAAAGAAAGAGATGAAAATAAGAAGGAAAGAATTGAAATCGTATTTGAAACCCTTCATCAATTTACTGTAAAAAAAGACTTGGGTTGATGAGGATAATAATTACTGTACAATACAATTTCCTCCCTGTGATTCTGATTTGTTATTCAAATAACCTCCCAGAGTAGCAACAATGTCTGCCAAAACAAGTCTTTTTTTGTCTTGTCAACTGTTAATTGTAAATTATAACATTTCATGAAGACAGTTGATTATCTTTCTCTCTTTCTCTTTCTTTCTCAGTTTCTATACCTTATTCATTGTATGATTGCTTCAATTTTTGATGCTTTACCATTTCACTTTCAATTATCTTTGTCTACATCGATTTATGAGTTTCAAATATTGATATTTCCACTAATTCTGATCTTTTCTTGTTTTAAAGGTTCAAGGTTCCCTTTTTTGACTTATTCAAGCTTCTTCATTTGCTAATCTCTATCTGTATTCGAGTTCATGGCCAGAACCTTGAAATGATGGAAGACAAGTAGAAAGAGTTAACAGAAAGGATTCATTGCATGAAACGCATCGCATTTTTGGCTTCTTCACTTTTCATCTTTTGAACACACAAAACATGGATTCCTTTCTCTATCTTATTTATACGTCCTCTGTTGAAGGATTTTATCGATCATTTGTCTTCATCTTCATCATCTTCTTTCACCATCATTTCACTGGTTCCAGCCATTCTTGCCAGTGGTTCATTTTGTCACCTGAAAGGTCTCAGACAGTTTCTCAAAATTCTGGAAAGGATTACTTCAAGCAAAAACATATTTAGAAATTTAGAAACTCTGAATATGTTTTGTATTTAATGGTAACAAATGAAATTGATAGTTATTAGATGACTAAAGTGTCACACTGAATCTTACATCTCATGAATATGGTAATAAATTTTAACATTTGAAAACATTAGACTTGATTACAATGTGTTATTATAATCTATTTATATTGACAAATACATTGCCACAGTAATGTCACCACTTTTTTTACTGGTTAATCAACTAATTAAATCTAATTGTACTTACAGGCTATCTGGCAGCTGCCTTGGCATTAAAGGCTTAACCAATGCTTCGATTGATTGCATCTTGGTTACCACTAATGTGTATGTTCAATAGTTCAATAAAGAGGATAAATTGCGGTTTGCTTCAACTTTTAATTAATTACCAACTCAACCTGTTGTTCACTGGTTCAAAATAGATTCCTATCATTTAATAACAATAACAGCTTATTGCCCAATCTTAATTATCCTTTCAATTTATGCATTTGAAGGGTTTTAATATCTTTAAATTAAACACATTTGTGAGCATATTAGTTGATCACATGTAATTTCATCAGAGTGGTTAAGATACACTTTGATGAAATTTTTATATAATGTTCAAGTTTCCTAATCTGCCAGATTGAATACGATTTTACAAGAATTATTGAATTTAGGTTTCTACTATTGAATACTGTGTGGAAAGTATCTTTTAAATGATCAATTTAAATGGATCAATACCTTTCATTGAAAATTACCAGCTCATTCAATCATATTCAATTCATCAATGACTAAATTGGTTGCAATTTTGACTAAACCCAGAAAATATACAACATATCGTTTCTTTAGTAAACACTTCTTGGTTTGAGTGGTTCATTTTGTTGTATTGGGAACCTAAAAATATCAATAATATCTGTAGACAACCAAGAAACCAATTTTAATCATATTATGAGTGAAATACAAATTTCAAGAGGTTCGTTGTTGCAGTTGACACAAAAATTGCCTCTACAATTAATCAATGACAGTAACTCTGAACTTATGACCAATTTTCCTCTTCCTTTACCTCTTACAGATCATGTTTTACATTGAAACAAAACTATTTGTAAGATTTTGCTTCTAGATTAAAATGGTTACTATAGTGCAATTAAAATTATCTGGTTGAAGAGTTATAAATTTATTATGTAAAAAAAGTAGCTAAGTGTTAACCAAATTAAGTTAGTTGTTTTAAGGAGGCCTCAGCAGTTTGTTTTTGGCATCCTCATCTGATATACCAGTGAACAAGTGGTTGGTGCAGACAACAAAACAAGGCGAAATCCAAAAATATGAACATTGTACAATGAAGATGAACACTTTAAACGATAAAAAGTAAGTTGCTATTTAAATATTGTCTTAACATTATTAGGTTAGCAATTCGGTAATCAATGTCATTTTCCCTTTCTTTTTTCTATTATTTAGTTGGCTATAATAATCAATGGATCGTGTAACATTAGCTTATCATCAGGGAATCCATCAAGAAAATCTTTACTGGTGATCAATTGAAATTCACTCATTGGATCAACAAGACTTAATAGATTGAAACTGATAACGACAGACAATTCTTTGTTTCAATTTCACTAAAATCATCACCATAACAACAAAGACAGGAGCTTTGGGAGTTCGAGGTTTCCTGCATTCAACTGATGTTCATTGGATCACAACCAAAACATTCACCGCATTATTTTTGTTCACAATTTATTGAGCTTAAAATTACTAATAATTGATCTAATTTAAACTTAATTAACGATCAAAACTCATTTGAATGCAGCTTAAAGTGAGTTTCAAGCTACAGATATGCAAAACCCAGCAAGACAAGTAAACATCAACAGAGAAACGATAATAAACAAAAATGATTACCATCTAATACAATTAGGATCATTTCCATTTTCTGATTGATTCTCGTGGCTAAAATTGGAATCAATTCAAGGTGTAATCAATTCAAATTGAGGATGAATATTGATTATTTTAGAATGATCATCAAACTTTCAAAGAAGTTTAATGTTGATTAAGCAAAAGGTGATCGTTAACTTTGGCTTGTATACTCATTGATACAATTAAAACAAAAATTGTTGCCTTTCCATAAGCAAGTTAATTTTGGCAAATTTACAGATTAAGTTACCATTCAAATTTGACTTTACTTCATCATCTTTGTTTCAAATTGTAAAGGACTACAAAAGAGTTTACTAAATTTTACTTGTTTAATGTCAATTTTGAATGTCTTTGTGTTCAAGAAATCTCTACAATTAACCTCAATCAATCTCAGTGTCAAATAATTTGAATGCAGTTCGAAAACAGAATTTACTTGTTTAAATTGATAGATTGTGTTCGATTGATAATAGAATGTTGAAATCTCAATTCCCAAACCTTTTGTCAGAACATTTCGCCCTCCACAACCAGAAACCTCAATTAACCTGAATCTGGTTAATAATCAAGATTGGTTGCCATTCTTCGATCAATAAGGAAGACCATTAACCCAATAATTGCACAATTTAATGTTTTAAAGCAAAGGTTATATTTATGTTAAATGTGCTTCTTGAGACTCTGTAATTTACTCTCAATGGTGATCAATTTTCGTGTCAAAATTATGGGGATTTTTCAAAATTTTGTTACTTTTGGTAGCTCAATAAATGCCTCTTCTATCGCTTAAAAACGACCAAAATGTACCAAAACAATGTAAAGGACAAAGGACAAATATTTCTCCTTCGAGTTTTAAGTTGGGACTTAGTGAGTTTGTAGGGACATAAAAACTGAGTCCATTAGTGCTATTAAAAAATTTCTCCGATCGACAGTTTTCTAGAAAATCGAGATTAAAGTTGAAACCTTCAGTAAAGAATTTTTTTTCATAAAGACCATGTTTACTCATGAGTTTTGAAAAATGAGTTTCCGCTCTCTTACTTTTACGGTCACAGAAAGTGGTCGGTTTAAACGAAAATCGAAGTGATCTTCAAGTTGCACAAAAATAGAAAATTTTATTTCGAGAAATAAGTGCATTTTCTGATTAAGCTTCAAACGTTACAACAGAAAAATGATTTTGATGAAAAATCTGGTTGAATTTGATTTTGGTTTTTTAGTGAACTTAAAATCTCATATGAACTCACTGAGTTTACGCATATCCAAACCAAAGGAATCAGATTTAACCTTTTTATCACCCAATTGATCCAAGTCTTGTGGCGCAAGCAAACTAGAGAGAGCATAAGGACAGCGCATAAAGTCAACACGCAGAATTGTTTTCCTCTTGCGTTTTTGCGTTGAACAGAATAATTTTCACTCAAGCAAAAGTACCAAAGTCTGCTTATCCAATACAGTTCATAAATTATGTTTGATTTTTTAAATACTAGCTTAGTGGTTAAAGAGTTGGTCAAATCGACAATTAAGAGTGTGAGAGGATCGAGTCAAGGTGGTCAAATCTTTTAGTTACTAGAAATTTAAACGTGTGTAGCGCGCATAAATTTCATCAAACGCATAACTGGTGTCCAATCTGGTAATTAAGTTTTACGCTCGTGCTTACAGCGTCTTTACTTGGATCAATTAGGGATTTACTCTCCCAAAGTCACAAATTTAAGATTCATATTTGAATTAAAAAAATCAACTTGATTGTTGTGTTGAAAATTTACATGCCAGTTTGCAAAAATATAATACTTTACTTTATAAAGCTTTTCATGCTTTGCAGTTGATTTAAAAACTCAACTTTAACAGTGTAAATGTTGCCAATCGAAGCCAGTTTATGCTTTAAATGTTAATTTGCTTACTGTGTTTCTAATTAACTTCTAATGATTACTAAGGGTCATCAGAGTGTCAGTTTAACTGCTCACCTCTTAAATAAACATCGAGGCCATTTCATATAAACAAGGACGGCAACAACAGCTGATGATAGAGCTCCAAGAAATGCTAGGTGTTTAGCTTGATCACAAACCAAAACGCAAATCACAGACAAAACATTGGACAATAAGTTAATAGACAGAAAATGATACAAATTCAGCTTTAAATCAGATTATAATTATGCACAGAATTGTTTGAGTCATCTTTTGACTTCTATTTGACTCCAAGATGATTAAAACGACAAGCTTTAGGCAAATCTCGTTTTCGTTGGAGTTAACTTTATTACCAATTGAGATACAGAAGGATTTGGACATTCTGTGCATCAATACAATCTATTTTGATCATGATGATAATTGTGGTGCAAAAATCATTTAAATTATCATTGATGATCCTCATTATCCTACCTGATTCTCCACGGAATTTGATAAGACTCAAACCATTGACTTTAGCAGGCATCTTTAACTGCGTAAGGTTGATGGAAATTGACTTTTACAAAATTGTCACTTCAATTGTTAACATTAAATTATTTTGTCTTTTAATTTTAAAAAATTGTGACTCAATTTGCTCTTAACTAAGGTCAACTAAGTCAACTAATTAAGTCAACTAATTACATTTCATCCTTTCGTTAGTTTCTAGGGTAAATTACAAATGAATGCATTACAAATTAAAATGGTAAATGACTATTATTATTCGTACAAATTATGTTAAATAGTGGTGAATAGTTGAGGATTGTAATCATTTAATTACTCACTTTTTAAGGAGACTCAGAAGATACCAAGCAGTTAGCATTAAATTGTAATGTTTTTGTTGAAAAAGATCAAAGTATTGAAATGATTTTTAAACTTGAGAATCCGCAATTAATGAGAAATTATTTTGCTTTATTTACTAGACAATTCCTTGTTGAGTCTGGTTGATCTAGATTGAAACTGAGTATTGATGAAAGGTTAAATCGTAATTGGCAAAAAGACTGAATAACAAACTGACGAAGGAAATATTGAAAGATTATGACACTTTAGTCACCTTGGTGAGGTTGCTGAATGACAGGGCGAACAATGAGCAAAATATCAATTAATTTAGTCTGTTGGATATTTAAACACGGAAAATGGTTTAAAATTAAAACAAACAATCAAAGAATGACCTTGTTAATACTGTCTTTTACCACCAATTGTTGATGTCTAGTTTATTTCAGTCTACAGCCTAAGTCTGTTTCTGGACATGTTTTTGCCTTCTTAATTCACGCAGTCGTAACCCTTAAATATAATGTAACTTCAATAACTAGGAGACAGGTTAAGTCAACAAAAAAGGGTCACAATTAGTTAATTTTAGGGTGTCGCCATCTCGAGCATGTTAAATCTGAACAGATGAGAAAAACAATTCAAAGAAAACTGAACAAGATTTATTGTTGGAACGCGAATATGAACGAAATCTCCGTTTTTGATCCTGATTACTATGTACAAATCAGAATTATCGAACTGAAATGCATTTCATCATGTAAAAAGAAAGAAAAATAGAAAGGAAATCATCAATTGAATGCGCGAGCATTCTGAAATTAACTGACAAACCTTGTGAGTCCACCAAATACAAATGATAATAACAGAACATCTGTTCAAAATTATTTTTCTTAACCTTTGCTCAGCTATTATGTTGATTTTGATGATTGCTAATGATAGTTAATCATTAAAATAAGTCGTTTTGAAAATATTTTCAAGACTTGTTGATTAATATTATCAAATTTGATCGGACTTCACTTGTATTACTGGCCGAAAGATTTAATAAAAAGAGGCTTTTCTTTAGACTTTTAAGGACCTTTTCTGATGAAATTCATTTTCTGAATCCTTTTTGTCACTCGACATCGATTAAAATAAAATTTAATCTTTAATTAACTGCATTATGACAGGAGTTTATAATCTAAACTTATATTGTAGAAGCAAAAATTGAAAGAAATACTGATACTAAAGACAAACGAGAGTTTATACGATGCAATTCGATGAAACCTAATAATTTATCGATGATATCAATTTAATTACGGCTTAATTTTAATATAAATAAATAAGATTTAGATAATAAACCTCCAATTCATAGTTAATTTCAAGATTTTGGATAAAAAAATCTCAATTTCAAAAATCTTAACATTTAGGAGAAAAGAAAAAAAAGCAAATCAAAAGATATGAACATAAAGTTGGGATGTGATGTAAGAAAAATGTATGCTGATTGGTGGTTAACGGATTTTAATCAGATGATCGACTCTTTAGCAGTTGAACAAGCTCTAATCAATGACACGAATGAGTTCCATGTAGAATGTGAGGCAATAGGATGTGGATTATCGGGGTTTTAAGATGAATTTGGTCGTATTAAGAAATTCTCTAAAAATGCATCAACCATCACAGACGTCAATTTTATGTTCTTTCAACAAATGGTCAATAAGTGATCGTCTGAATTTTAAAGGCTTAGAACAATTGGCCATGATACACTTTTTCTCAAATTGCACACCATCAAGAACTTTCCTATGGTCGATATTGTCTTTATATTGCTTATTACAAACAGCACAGCTTTTTGTCGAGGCTGATTCATCACACTTGGTAGTCTCCTTCTTGTTCTTTTCTTCTTCGACTTTTTTGGCTTGTTCTTCTTCTTTCTTCTTTTCAGCCTCTTTTCGTTTTTTCTCTTCTTCGATACGGGCCTTTTCCTCCTCTTCGGCTTTGCGTTTAGCTTCTTCAGCAGCCTTGCGTTTCTCCTCTTCAGCTCTTTTTCGGCGCTCTGCCTCAAGCTTCTGCTTTTCCTCTGCTTTACGTCTACTTTCTTCCTCCTCTCTTCGCTTACGCTCCTCTTCTTCATGTCTCAACTTTTTCTTCATTTCTTCATCTTTGGCTTTGCGCTTCCTTTCTTCTTCTTCTTCTTGCTCTTTTTCTCTGGCACGTTTTGATTTACTTTCTTCGTCATCTGCTTCGTCATCATCGGACTTTCTTTTCTTATCAGTCTTATCATTTACCTGAAAGAAAGAAGAAAAATTTTAAATTTTTGAGAATAGAATGAAATAAATAAAGAAGTGGAAAAGGAAAGAGAGTCTTACCAGAGTCTCACTATTATCAGATGAATTGATTGACTTAGCTTCTATGCTATTCGATTTGAGAATACTTTTGGAGCCATCTCGCAAAGGCGTGGATTGGTTGAGAGGACCTGAAAAATAAGAAGGAATCGGTTAATATTTTGATAGGAAAATTGATGGTGTGATTCAACTTACTGTCGGTCATTTTAGGTTTCTTAAAACTATCAAGATTCACTTTAACAGTAGCATCAGATGCGCGCTTTCTTTTGATTGCTGAATCGATATCACCATTCACATCACTACTAGAGAGATTACCCCCATTCATCAGCTTGTTTTTAGAATAAGTTTTGAGGTATTCATCAATAAAATTGACCAATGCGGTCAAACCGAGATCACCAGCACACTTGATTATTTGCTGCATCTCCTCAGAATTTTCTTGCAGCTTGATCTTGCCAAAATACATGTAATCAACCATTGCTTTGAGATGAACATATCTCATATTAACGACAGCAACGGCGGTTGGAAAATTAGTCTGATCTTTGAATAAATCACTAAAATGTGAGGAATGAAGAACAAGCACATGACGGTGACACTTAATAGTCTTGCCATCGCACATGAGAGCAATTTCACAATTTGTTTGATTGCTGTAGCTATGTTGGAGACTACGGACTAGACTCTCCGTTATATTCTTATTGGTTATGAACATGATGATGAGTTGGAGAAACGAGGCGAATGTAACAATCGCCGACAAGAATTAGACTATAATTAAGAGAAACAGACACAGTCAGGGAAGCCCAGAAAATTAAACGCTTTAATATCAGTGGTTTAAAGATTTAAGTCATTCGTTTTAACAAAAGCTTCTTGTCCAATGAAAATGGTTCTCGATATATCGATATATTGCTATTTCCACTAATCGGAGTATCCATTAAAACTTGATACAAAACCTTCTGTCAGAAGGATAATATTAATCGATAATTCATTTATTTCAACAATTCAGATAAGCATAATTTGAAATATAGTCCTAGCAATTTGAAGTTTAGTTATAACCATTTCTCAGCAATTAAATCTAACTGAAACGTAGTCTTATGAAGTTAAACTTAAGAAATGAAAAGATGACCGATACTAAACTGATTGTTTCAATTTTAACAATCGATATTGGTTATTTAACCATTTTTAATTATTGCATTTAGCTTGTGATTATTTTGTTGAAGATCAGTTTAACCTAACCAGGCCTACAAGGTTAGGTGTGTTTAAACCAATGGTTCAACCTATAGTTTGGGGTCAACCTTTTAATCATGTTAAACATTAGATTGGATGAAATATTCCCATGGTAGCCTTTCTTTAAGGATTAGGATGACAAATCTCTTGATAATACACTTAATTTCCGACTTCATGCTTTGCAATTTTCAATGCAAACAAAACTCTAAAATAACACTTAAGTTGACCATGAACAAAGATAGTGTTTATAACCAAATACTGATGGTTGTGAAGTGACTAATTATAACCACTGATTACTCTAATGGCAAAAGTTGTCATCACAAACAATGAAGTCAATAATAAGACAGTATTGAGTCAAAGATCAAATGTTTATTAAAATCAAAATAGTTTTGGGTTATTGATTAATCTTAATTTTTTCAAACATCAATCTTGGCATATTGCTTGGTCGACGAACGGTGCTAAAATCTCCTTCTAATGATATTTCTTCCTCGGATGTGGTTTTTATCTTATAACGCTGGACCATACAAACAATATACAAAAACAACTCGACATTGGCAAATCCTTCACCCGGACAGATCCTTTTACCACCGCTGAAAGGGATCAAGTAAGATGGTTTTTCAACTTTACCATCTTGAGTTAGAAAGCGGCTTGGATTAAACTCATCAGGATTAGTCCATAATCGTGGATCTCGATGAATTGACCAAAAGTTGAATATAACAATAGTGTCTTCTGGAATCGTATATTTACCAATTTTGGTGTCTTGTGAAGCTCTCCTAATTACACTTGATCCAACCACAGAGCCTAAACGGCTTACTTCAGCGATAAAAGACATTGTCACTGGCATGCGAGTACGATAAGAATAATCAGGTTTATTGTTTACTCCAATGACTTCATGTATTTCTGACCGAATTTTATCTTGATAATCAGGATATTTGACCAAATATAAGATGGCCCATGATAAGGTTGCTAAAACAGTCCCGGTGCCAGCACGAAAAAAGTCAATTACATTTCGCTTCAATATATCACTATTGAATATATCGGATTCACCGGATCGTTTACTGAGCTCATTCAGATAGCCATCAATGTAATCATCAATTTTTCCTTGCTCAAAATTAGCTTTGTGCATTTCAAGTTCTGATTGTACATAATTGTCCATGATGGCGATGTATTCCTTTAAAATATTGAGATTTGTTTTTTTCAGAGCAATGAGTGGTTTGATCAGCCAGGGTAAAAATACTTGCATACCGATAAACTGGAATGCTTTAGAAATTTGATTGACACTGTTGTCCAGACTGATTTTGATCGGATCATTGTATTTGAAGCAATGGCCAAGCAATAAGTTGGCAATATTATTGGAAACACTTGGTAACAATTTAGTAATGAAATCATCAAATGGACCTTTTTCAAGTTCGCCACAAAATTGTTCTATTTCTTCCATAATCAGCTTTTCAACTCGACTTTTGCCTAAACCAACATCACGAAGTACACGCAATGATAGTCGCCTGTGTTCACGCCAAGGATAACCAGACATTTCCACTATTGAACGCACTTGGACAATACCTGGTAACAAGAGTAGTTGATTGGGTCGAGCAAGTAATGAGTTATTAGCAAACGCTTCTTTCATGTGATGCCAATCATTAATGACGACAACATCCTTTGAACCCAATCGCATGCTGAAAACGGGTCCATACTTTTTAGAAAGCTGGTCAAACTGTAAATTCCTGTTTTGCTTTAAAAATGGAAAGTATCCAAAAATTGGTAATCCCCATGGTCCAGGTGGCAGTTGATTATATCTTCGAATTAATTTTGCCAAATGGACAAATAGCCAGCAACTCAGCAGCACAAGAAATGTGGTCAACAATGGCAGTGAGACTTCTAGAGTATTGAAAAGCAACATGTTTACACTATGAGATACATTAAATTACTAGCAACTATGCCTTTACAATATACTTACATTGAGTGGATTATCTGTATTTCATTTTTGAATCTTTACACAATCATTTGAAGGACATCTTGATACACATTGAATCTATTCAGCAGTTCACTTTGTGATTATTGAATGAAATACCTTGAAGTTGAAACTCGTTGTGGTGTAAGATAAATAATTTACAGGTGATAGCGTTATAAACTGGTTATTGATTGAATTTATTAAACTCTTGATTTAGGTTAAAAAGGTTGGATGAGCATTAAAATACAGTGATCATATTGAACAGTTTCAATTCGAACAGGATTATTTCACGTTTTTAAGTTCTGTGATTCAATTGGACGTTAAATAAGAACTGGAAATAAGCAAGAAAACAAGAAATATATTACTATGGTACTCAAATTTAATACCTCAATGTTTTTGTTTTTAAAAGATCCAGATCCAGATCCATCTCAAACTGGGATTAGCTGGTCACTTCTTCATTTACATGGATATATCAAGAATAATCATTTTATTAATCATAATTATGATAGTTCAATGCGAAGGGAACTTTTACAAAATATATAAACAAAGCAGTAAAGAATCTCAGAACTGCATTTTCGCATTTTGTTAGGTTTCTCAAAGTTATCGATAAATTTTACTAACATCTTTACATTCTCATAAACCAAGCATGATTGAAATGATTGAAAGGATTCAAAGTGCTGTTTTTAATTTTGTAAACTCCGTTTTTTTACCAGAACCCAGAAGGAATAATTTATCAGGTTCAAGTTTTAAGAGGCACTTTAATCTTATTTGCTTTTCTGCCAAGCTATGAGAGGTTACCGATTATCAAAATAAAATTTTGAAAAATCTTTGATCGAGCAAAATAAAATAATTTTTTCGCCAAACTATCTAAAAATTAAATCCTCCGACGTAAAAATGCTATGAAAATGAGACAAAATAACCTAAGAGTGAACGAGTGAACTACAGCACTTAAAAATACATACCTTCTGACTTAACCAGTATTTCATTTTTTGACTTTTCTCGTCATGCCAAACATGAAAACGTGATAGGTATTAGTATGAAGTGTTATATTGCAATGGTAATAGACTTTGCTAGCAGTACAGTTGGACAGGTAAAAATGTAACTGGAAAAGATGAGGAAAATCCATGTAAATTGATGATCATTATGAGGCTCACGATGATTCCTATCTCTTCTCATGTTGTTCAGTCTCAGGTTGATATTTTCAACAAAACATAAAAATCTATTATTCAATATTTCTTGTTTCCAAGCCTGGAGCAAGTAATCATGATAATGATTACCAGATTTTTGTCTCTTTGGATTTCTTTCTCCATTATTTATCTCTCATTGAATAATGATCCAGGGAAAAGATGAATGGTGAATGAAGCCTCACAATATTGTGATGGGATTTTTAAATAAACGAGAAGAGCAAATTGATAGGCATAAACTAATGATTGTTAGCTTTAATTAAATCCTAAATCCTTTAAATACTCCGTCGGTCGATTACTAATTTCAGTTACAGTTGAGGTTTACTCAGTACAGTGACAATTGAAATCAATGATAAAAATGTAATATACATTAATTGCATTTGGATTTGATCTTTCTTCCTAACAAGGAATCTTGCTATTAAGGAATTGATTTTGGATCTTCTTTGCCCTTTTCCGTTTCCAAATCCTTTTACATTCAAAATATATTACAAATCAACATATCTAAATCAGTTAAACAAACAAATTATAATCAAATACAAGTAAATAACATTGAGATCAGATTAATAACAGAGGAAAATCAACACAAACAACCGAATCAGATTACTTAATAAAAAAGGTAAAAAAGGTTGGTTAGATTTAAAAACAATGAATGCAAAAGTTCATGTGAATGGGCTTGTGAGACTCAAATGCTAATTTAGTACGCTTTTAATTAATTAATCAAAGTGTATGTTGATTAAGGTTGTTATTAGTTTAAAGACAAAGGAGGCAATCAAGGTTGGATTGATTGAATGACAAAAAGGTAATGGGAAAGAGATATATCATGAATTGAATGAGAAATAGCTTTTTAAGATTGACAGTTAATTGAATTTCGTCTGGAAAGTAGATCAATTGTAATAACTGTCCTTAAGCAATAAAAGATGTTGCTACGGTTTAAGTCAGTTATTAGTAATTAATTAATTAATAGCAATAATACAATCTATAAATAATAATCTGGATGATCCACAAGAATCATTTCATAATAGCATATTATGAAGTATTACTTGTAATGGCAAATGTAATTGATTAGTTGGTTACAACAAACTGGATTTATAAGATGATATGATAATAAGTTGTCCATCTTGTTAATTAATGTTTCGAAAGGGTTGTTGCTGTTGATGATGGTGTTATTCAGGAGCATGCTTTGCGCTACAGCTTCAAACAATTAAGCAGCAGTAGAAAAGAAGAAATTTGTAGCAAATATCTTATAATCATAATTATTATGTTAAAAGGAGTGAAAATGATTGGCATTAATCGTTTTCTGGAAGAAGAAATTAAGATTGCAAAAAATTATGACTTGATCCGGTGATGAATAAACTTGACTTGGATTTCAATTGTTTCATTAATCGTCAGAATGGCTTGATTCCTTTAAGTTTTCTGGGCGAGTTTTCAACTAAAAAATGACTTGGAATTCGCAGTAAGAATCCGTTCAAAAAAGGCGTTTCTTTTCCTTCTTTTTTTCCTTGATTTCCATTGCTCTGTAATGATAAAAAATAAAAATAAATTAGAATCACAATTTCTGATTATCTTAACATTATCAACATCATAAACATTACATTTGTAATTGTGCTTTGTAAGTTGTAATCAACCAAAACAACTTGTCAAAATTGAATTGAGATGAACATTGTCTGCCAACCCAATTCATTAAAGCTGTATCAATGTTAATTAAATACGGGTTTTCAACCCAATAATTAACCCTGTATTAACAATCTGAAACATCAAATTATCAGATGTTAAAAGAAATAATTTGATTCATTTTTCTGGTTGCTTCTAATTTTAACCAAATTTAAATAAGTCAAAGGTAATTTGTGAAAATTATAAAAAGAGTAACAAATTTAGTTCCGAGATTGTAATTAATTGAATGGAATCAAACACGAAATACAATCCATCATCATCATTATTATTAACATGAACCTTGAACTAATCAATCGTGGTAACTGACAATCAGTTGATCAAAGACAATCAATCTACAATAAACTTGAACTGAACCATACGAAAACTGAGTATAATATGGATTCTAGTCGATATAATCTGAAAAATGATACAAAAAGAAGTGACAATTAATGATGATAAAGTGAATCAAGAGTGAAAAAAGGAAAACGATAAGTGTTTTGATTTGAAAATTGAGTAAAATTTAAAAATTTGTAAAAGTAATCAACAGTTATTGAATAACAATTGCAAATTCAGGTTGATAAACAATAAAATCCATCCATGCTCATTCAACATTGGTTGTAATAAAAGGCTAAGCCATTGATTAAACAAAAATTATAAAACAAGTTTCAACTGTCAGCAATTGATAAATTGCAATGATTCTGACGTATTTTTATGTGAGTGTGTGTGTGTTGCCTTTTTTGTGTTTGCCCAACAATTAACAGTGATAATAAATCTGTTTTTAGTCATTATTGATTTCATCTGATTATTCCAGTGTAAGATAACGTTGTTTCTTGTTGAGATTGGATGGGCTCGAAGGAGTTTGTAGTTTAACCATTGATTTCAATTTAGAGCAACTTTTGGGTGAGGAGGACCGTTTACAGGGTTTACCAGAAAACAGCTTCCGGAAATTAGATAATTTGCTTGGTCGCCTAAAAGGGGAATAATATTGATATATTGATATATATTGATATAGATTGGTGTAAAAATTAACAAATCATACAAAAGATTAACAAGAACTGTGGTAAACAAGAGAAAGAAGAGAAGAAAAAACGAGTTAAATAAAGATAAATAAAAATACAGAATAAAAATAAAGCATCAAACAATATTGTAATATTGAAATTAATGATGATAATGATGATGATGATGATGATGATTATAATTTTATAATGTTAAACCGGTTTAGTCATTTAGGATTGTGGTGATAAAAATGATGAAGATAAAAGATGGAACCGGATTAAAAAAAGTAACTTATTCATTGGAATGATGCAAAGTGTAAGATTTGGTTTCTTGATTATTTCATTTTTCTGAGTCCACCAATTTATAAATTATAAACAAATGAACAGTAATTAAGAATCAAGAACATTTTGTAATCATTTAGACTTAATTTCATGAAGATAATCGGATCATTATAAGCTGTTAATTTCTGATTATATTCAATAAAAACCTTCAACTAGTTAACAAGTTTTTTTCAGCTTTTTTTGTATCATTTTTTTCAGTTTATCCTATTTGATTCAAGTTTTGATATGTAAAACATAAACAACAGTTTTAGCTACCTGTTTGTTGATGGATAGATTAAGATGGTAATGAAGATGATAGATGATTGGAATTATGATAGGATTGAGTAACTAAAATGGTTCAGAAGTTGAGTAAAGTCTACCTGAAATCATGGTTATAAGATAATCACGATGAGTTCATCACTTTCAATGTGATTTACCATTAAATTTGGAAATGACTGAGTTTTAAGATCTATTCCATCATAATCATATCATGATTATGATAGTGATCATCAGTAGCAGTAATAACATCTCATCATTGGACCCGTTCTGTAACTTAATAATTCAGGTCTCTTGGCTTAAGGGGCAAATCAGTTTGTCACCACTTTTTTAACTTTGATACACTTTTCAGGGCTAAGTAGCAACTAAGAACGATAACAAAGTGTTCTAGATACAAGGTAATAATATTCAGCAATGACCTCATCTTTATCGCTCAATTTGCAACCAGCATCATCATCATCAACAGAAACAACATTAGCAAGTATCACCAAATGTGTCTGTTTTTAAAGTGAATGACCTCAAAACATGAAATACTCTAGGCTGAACATTATCAGTTTACATCAGAAATAGTATTCCAAGAAAATTGTCAACATTATTCAACAATAAATATGATAAGTTGAGCGTGTAATTTCATGAATTTAAGCTTTTTTATAAATAATCGTCTTTTGGTGGTGTTGAGAGTTGGAGAGTTAATAAAATACGGTTAAATTGTTGGACAAAGAGTCATAAATTGATGAATAGGATGACCAATTGATGAGGAAGAAGGATATTAAATGAGATTGGAAACATTGTTAACTTATTAACAAACGTTTAAATAGACTGTGTATTACAATTGTGAAAAGTTAAACATTGTGGACTTGAACTTGTACAAAATAAAAAAAGACGTAATGAGGCAAGTACAGAGTAAAGTCAAAATGATTTTGTACATGAAACAGACATTTCTATCCAAAATAGGAACAAATTGTCAGAAGTAAAAGGGTTAGATAAGGAAAATAAATAATGTTAACAAATTGGACACTAACCATAGCTTCAATAATGATTAACTAATTGAAATGACCTCATGTTGTAAATTGGTTGTTTGTCAAAGGAAATATGGAAAGGAGAAAGAGTGAGAAGAGACGTTTCGATAAATGGTCAAGGAAAGGGTCGAAAGATAATTTTGATTGTATTTTGATTATCAAATTGGTAAGCATCTCTCAGTCATTTAATGAGGCCGCCACATGCCTATTTGTTTCATCGTTTTGAAGCCAAGATTTAGTGATTTTCGCGAAGACAGTGATGATGTAGATCGCCGGAGATCAGGTTTCCTATTTAACGATAGGATAGCTTCAATGAATAAAGATCTAAGTTTTGTTTTGTTTCTTCTTGTAGGATTTGATTAATAATCATTATTAGATCAAATGCTTAAAGTTAGTTTGATTAGAAACTGTCGGTTTGGTATTAATATTTAGTCAGGACACATCAAAGACAAAGATAGAGAGATTCAAACCATTTGATACCCATTTCAAGTTAATTAGGTGGATTGGGTCAAAAAACAATCACCGACATTTTAGGTTCTATGGTTAGGCATTACGAGTTTCGGGTAGTTCTTGACCTGGCCAGGCAAATTTCAACTGTCTCAAAAGTCTGATCAATATTACTTTTTTATACCTCAATAGTTTTTAATAAAACAGCAAATGGCGGCCTTATAATGAAAGAGTAATTCAAAACACTTTTAGTCCACAGTGAAATAGAAACTATGAATTTATGAAACAAATGAATGGGGTTGACTTATTTAAAAATTATTCATTTATAATTTTGACGATTTTGAGTGAAATTGAAGATTTAAAATTTGTTGAAACAAACAGAACAATTTATAGAGGAAATATTTCTAAAATATCTGGATAATGAGAAATGCTTTGTTGGTTTTAAATTACCTCAATAAAAATTTGAGGTTTTTCAGTCAGGTCAAGAACCGAACGAAAGTCCGCAATAAAGTTAAGTTTACGAAGTTGTTCAAGTTAAGCAATGTAAAGGCTAAATGTTGAGGTATGGTTAAAAGAGGTTTGGTAAAAGGATATGCAAGTTAATGGATGAAAACAAGTTAAAAGAGCAACATGATTCTCGGGAAAAACAACAATCCATGTTGATTTTGGTTAATTAGTTGTTAAAGATTGATATAAACACAAGCACAAGGTTATGAGCAATTAGAATGCGATGAATAGAAGAGTGTAGAAGAAACAAAGATTGGAAATTAAGAACAAGTGAAAGAACAAGATATGAAATTATGATAACTTACTCTCTAATATTTGCTTCCAAAGTATTCTTTCTCATCTCTTCCATTTCTCGTGCAATTACTTCAAAAGCGTCTCTTTCCTTTTCAAAAGCAGCTCTTTTATCAGCCAATTCTTGTACCTCTTTTTCATGAACTTTACGATTTTGCTCGTCAAAACGAAGTATCTAGAGACAAATGAAAAATCAAAGTTAAAAAATATTAGTAAATAATAGGTAAAATGGGAGGAAATGAAACAAGGAAACTAATTTAATTTATTAGGAATCCATCAATTGGCTTACTTCTGCTTCCATTTCTTCGAGTTTTTGTTCTTTGGCCTTAACTTTGGTTTCGAAAACATGATCCATTTCCTGTTCAAGTCTTCTCAATTTGGCTTCTGAGGCTTTACGTTCTTCTTCCATTTGAGCCAAAGGATTTCTGTAGAAGACCAAAAAATGAATAAACGATGATCAATTTATAATATGGATTTTGGTTTTCACGGAAGTTGGAAAAATGAACCGGAGATCAATGTCCATTATTAATAGTTGCAATAGTTTACCATGAGAACAATTCGATTAAATATTCATTGATCATTACATTAAAGTAACATTTAAGTAATAGCAACATCCTGAGAGTAAAACAAAGATGAGGCTATTTCACTTTATAATAGGTTGGTTAATAGGTTAATATTTGAATGAGTTTCAATTTAATTTGGGAAAAACTAATGGACCAATACTGATGTTAACCGACATTTGACGTGACTTTCTAACGAAAAAATTGTATTATCAGAAAATTGTTCAAGAAAATCACTACATTTAACAATTTACTATTCAATTATGAGCAATTTTAGAGGAACTAAATGTGCAAGATTGATAAGATATTATTGAGCAAGAATGACAATTTTACAAGCTAATGGCAAGGTAAAATGACTTTGAAAAAACAACTCACATATTATTGTCTTTTGAAGATTTTTCAGTTCCAACGCCAGATAACTTTCGGCACCGATAATTTTCATAATGAACATTATTTGTTGTATCAACCAAGTCGAGCATGAAATACTTGATAAGCATCATACGAAGAGCAATGAAATCACAATGTTCCAGGTTGTCAACTAAATGTGGAAAAATTGACAGAAAAACAATGAGTCAACTATTGATTGATTAGATCAAAAGACAAAGTATAATAACAAGCATTACTTTCAATTGTTCCCCAAGGATACTTTCTTGCTCGCTTTCTTTCGCCACTTGGTGTATCTACAACTTGATTACTGCCGACAACTGCGAATGGAATCCGAGCTTTGAGCTGTTTTAATAATTTAGCATCATCTTCGTCATCACAGTCGGGAAATTCATAAATTCTGATTTTGTGTTGTGCTATTTGATTCATGACCTGGATAGAGACAAAAAGGATTGTAAGACAAATAAACGTAGAGAAAAAAAAGCGAAGAAAAAAATTGAATAAAAGTGTAATGAAAAAATAACTTACATTTTTCTTCATTTGTTGGCATTCTTCCTCTGTTAAGGTATCAGCTTTGGCAATTATTGGTATGATGTTGACTTTATCTTGTAAATTTTTCATAAACTCTATATCAATTGCTCTTAAAGTTACACGAGGTAATATGAAATACAAACAGCAATGCACACGATTATCAGGAATATGGGTTCGGTGGAGCTTTGTTTCTGCGTTCAGATATTCTTCATATCGATCTTCAATATATTCACTAATTTTCTGCCATGAATTAGTATTATCAAGTGAATCACCGAAACCAGGAGTATCCACAATGGTTAATGATAAATTAACATTTTTTTCTTTCAAGTTTACTTTGGTTGCCTGAACATCAACGGTTTTACTAAGCCTTTTGGATGGTCCAGGATATTCATCTGAATAAATATCAGTCAAAAACATTGAATTGACCAGTGTTGATTTCCCCAATTCTGATTCTCCTATAAAAATAAGAGGAGAGATTTAAAGCAAAAAAGCCATTAAGACAACATAACATAATTTGTAAAACATTTCCGTAACTGTTTAAAATGAAAAACAAGACTTGCCTACGACCATGAGGGTAAATTCAAATCCTTTTTTGATGGTTTTACGGTGAATTTGATTTGGAAGGTCACTAAAGCCAACATTTCTTTCCGAATCTTTGGCCACCATTAACTTATCTTGAGGGGTAGCTGAAGAAAGCATTGATCTTCTGGTTTCTGAATAAGAGATAGACATTTAAAAATATTTTTTATTTAACCCTAATGCCAAGGAAAGTATACAAGGGAAAAGGATGGGCGGCACTCAAAACAGCCAAAACAAAATAGCCAAATTCAAACAGTCAAATATTTTTTTTTTGTTTTTTTCGATTTATTTTCATGAGAATTAAGACTAAGAAAACGAAATCGACAAATTTACTTACTTATATACAAATCTAAGTTTAAGTAAATCGTTTATTAGACTTAATTGGCAGTTTTGAGGTACAACTGAAAGGATATTTGTCATGGGAACAAACTTACCTGCTGAGTCGAGAGTGTCACGGTAAAGATTTCTTGAGCGGGAATACATTAAATCCGTTTTGCTACCACTAAGAGCATTGCGAGTAGAAGATGAAAGCGCTGAAGTTGAATTTAACAATGAATCTGTAGATGAATTAACTGAACTTTGTGAAATATCTCGTGTTGAATATAGGTCCCGTTTCGAGTTGAGCTGCGAAGATAAAGTACAAAGAGAAGCCATATTAAAGAGTTTTGTTTTTAGATCAATTTGTATAAGACGGATGCACAAGCGGTGGTTAAATTAGTTGAAATATTAAAGCAATTTTCTTGAAGCACAATTCGCAATAAGAGAGATGCTGATGGTGATGATGACGGAAGAAAAAAGCCAAGAAAATTGAAAAAGATGATCAGAAACAGCAAATTGTAACAGCAACTTATTTTAGGTTGAAATAAAAAGATTAATAGGTAAGAAGTTAGTCTAGATGCAGAATCTGAACTTGAATCAAAGCAAAAGCCTAAGGCATCAAAAAACGAGGAAGAAAGCGGGAGAGAAAGAGAGGACAAAAGATGGGCGATCAAGATGAGGATGAAAATTGGGATGAGGATGGTAAAGATAGAAGGAGAGAGAGATAGAAAGAGCAAAAGAGAGAAGAGAGAGGATGTTCTCCGAAAAAGGAGGTTTGCGGCTAAATGTACATGTAAGTGACATCACAGTGCAGCAATATCACTACTCACTGCTTCACCATCTTCAACAACACAAGGTTCAGGTGATGGAGATTTCAGTTCGGACGTTTGATCGTAAATTTTCTGTCTCCCTGAAAGTCTATCAACGCTAGCAAACCGAGGAGATGGTTTACTTGTAGTGAGAGGAGAAACCAGGGTGGACGATGTTAGTTGTGGAGATTGAGGAGTATCAATAATATTTGTTTTAGTGGTATCAGATAATGATTGACTGGGATCAGCAAAAAATGCTTCTCGAGCTGATTTTAATCCACCGGAGGATGCTGAGTTAGGTAAAATACCACCAGAACCAGCCTTGCCAGGGGTTGATGTAACTGCTGATGTTGGTGATGATAACAAAGAAGCCGTATTAGTAGAGGAGGGAGTGTTAGAAACAGAAGGATAAGGAGGAGGATTAATTAGGGAACCGTTCTCAGGATATGGAGAGGTAGGTGTCAATAGTGTACTACTATTTCGATTTGCTAAATTGTTGCTCAATTGCTGTTCCCAACCGGCAACCATATTTCGGATACCACCAAAATCTTGTGTAAACTTTTTCGGTCGATATTCAACTGAAGATCCAGGATAAGGAGAGATGCTTACCAAACTTGTTGGCGGGTTAACAGCCGATCGGATTGATTGAGACATCATATACTTTTGTCAACACAGACTTCTTCTTGATATATCCACTACCTTACTAATTAGATTTTCAAATAAACAAACAAATCAAATAAATAGGAGAAAAAAACACAAGAAATCCTACTAGATGACATGAACTGCACCAGGAGAGATCATCAATACTGCATTGTAATAAGATTCACCAAGCGGAGAGTTTTGTAATCATGAATCTGATACTATATCAGCGATAATTGATGATTCTTACAACAAATTTCATTCAGAAGTTTCTCTTCTCACTTAATTAGCTCCGTAGATTAATTTTAGATAAAAATTGCAAGAAATAAAATCTCTTAAAATTGAAAAATTTGATAATTCATTAAATCATACTTGAGTACCATCTATTGATCATTATAACAACCAAACCGGCCCATAACAATCGATATTTTTGAAAATCACTTTTCTGGCGCCATCTTTCCTTTCAGATTTATAATGAAATTTTTAAAGTAAACTTTCTTAAAATAAAATCAAAAGATTCAATATTATTTAGCATAGATATTTATATTCTTGGGAACCATGGCTAACGGCAACAAAGAAGATTTTAGATTAAAAAAAGACATTGTAAACTATTAATAAACAAATTTTAGAGATGCTTGACAAAATAAAGATTACACTTCTTCAAGTGAATAGTTGTGCTGGTATATCAACACTAAATGAAAACTAAAAAGATTGACGAGCTTTTCATTTAATATTTTTTGATTGTGAAGTAGAATGAAATGCAAAATGGACCAAACAATGGGCTTAATACTTATGGACTCAATTGAAGTAGAAATTTTCTCATCACTTGGGTTGAATAAGGGCTTATTCAATAACGTGAATGAGTAATTGGTACCTATTAAAGAGATTAAAGATCATTTTGGTCAATATTCAAAATTTGATCAGTTTGTCGGAGCTAAGTCAATGAGAGATGACCGACAGAAAAATCAATCTATCCACCGGCAGAACCCTCGAATAATAGATGAATTCAAGAGCAAAGTCTGACCTTTTCAACAATTAGTTTTAATACAGTAGGAAAATGCAAAATTTGATAGTATTAAAACGCAAAAATTGATTGATAGATAAATAAAGTGTTTTATCATGAATAAGCGAAACAATAATGCTAGAAATTAGATGAAAAAATATGAAAACAATTAAACAAGACTAAAATTTAATTTAAGCTAAATTAATCTACTGATGTTATTACCCTGTTCACAATAGATGGCGCGAAGACGAACCATAAGACCATAAGACCATTTGGGATGCTTATAGAATAACAAACTTCATTTTGTTAGTTTTTTGGCAAAACAAAGTTGAGGTTTGTTTTTTGATACTTTTAATTTGTGATTTGAATTATCAAATATGTCAGAAAGTAAACCTTCAAAGAACGAGCTACTTGCTGTATTTAATAAATTGAGATCAATTCCTGCTAATAAGGTTAGTATTTTATGTAATTTACATGGATTTCTTACCTTTTTCTATCATTCTACTGAGAAGGTTCATTTACCTTTTTGATTCTTGCTTTTTATTTCATTTCATTTCATTTTGTTTTTTTATTTTATATTTTATATTTTATGATTAATATTTTGTTCTGTCTGCTGTCTTTTTCCTTATAATTTTTATAGCAATGTTTCGACTGTGGAGCTATAAATCCGTCCTGGGCAAGTGTTAGTTTTGGAATATTCATATGTATAGATTGTTCAGCAAACCATCGATCTCTTGGAGTACATGTTTCCATTGTCCGATCAACACAATTGGATACAAATTGGACTTGGCTTCAATTGAGATCCATGCAATGTGGCGGTAATGCTAATGCCTTATCATTCTTCCAACAATATAATTGTACTACCAAAGATATCAAAGAAAAATATTCAAGTCGAGTTGCTCAGCTTTATAAAGATAAATTGGCTACATTAGCTAATCAAGCAATGAGACAATATGGAACTGAATTATTCATAAATGTTTCTTCTAGTGGAGGAGGAGCTGAATCAATAAGATTTGATAAATTAAAAGTTAATTGCGATGAAAACGAAGATGCTAAGTCATACTATAAACATGTCATCAACAACCGGCAACCCATTTCAACAATAAGAAGAGTAAGTAAAATTATTATTGTTATATCTATTAATATTTTTAAGATTAGAAACAATGATATTTACAAAGATCTATGCTATCCATTTAGATGTAAAATAGTCATTTTTGCAGGTTAATTGCCAGCGGAGTTGGTACATTTATTTAGTGACCAAACTTCCTCCTTACTTGCCTGCTAGAATAAATTGGATAAGTTTGAGGGAACTTTATTATATCATTTTAAGTTCCCATAGGAATTTCATACAACTCATATTTTTCGATCATAATTTTATTAAATTTTATTTTTATTTCTATTTTTCTTTGTCTTCTTCTCCTTCTCCTTTTCTTTTTCTACTCTCTTTTAGGTAGAAGTTGCAAGAGATTTAGGGAATCAACGAGTCAACGGTGATTTTACCAAAATTGATTCAACAACGCCCGTGTCAGCTTCCTACACAACTACAGTCTTACAGCAACGTACTCAACACTCTTATAGGCATTCACAAGCTCCTAATTATGTGACAGCGCCCACACAGCCTTCCCGTCCTCCACCGATACCATCCGCACCCAAGCCCAATTTAAACTCTTATAATGTGACGCCTCCACGACCAAAACGGCCTACAGAGGCTGAGAAAAAGATTGAAGCTTTAATGAAACAAATTGAGGATGAGTTTGAGAAATCACTTCAATGTGAATTTTTTGGTCTGTGCCATACATGTGGTGATAAAGTTCAAGGTGCGGATCAAGCTTGTCAAGCTATGGGAAACTTATATCATACATCCTGTTTTGTTTGTTGTTGTTGTGGTCGTGTCTTGAGGGGTAAGGCTTTCTACAATGTACATGGGAAAGTTTATTGTGAAGAAGATTATCTATATTCAGGATTTCAGCAAACAGCAGAGAAATGTGCTGTTTGTGGTCATCTTATTATTGAAATGATACTTCAAGCTATGGGTAAATCATATCATCCTGGATGCTTTAGATGTTGTACCTGTAATGAGTGCCTTGATGGTGTTCCATTCACCATTGACATGAATAATAAAATTTATTGTGTTGCAGACTATCATCGAGCTTATGCACCAAAATGTGCTTCCTGTGGTGGTGATATAACTCCTCTTGAAGGATCAGATGAAACAGTGCGAGTAGTCTCAATGGATAAAGATTATCATGTTGATTGTTATACCTGTGAAGATTGTGGTATGCAATTAACTGATGAACCATCTCAGAGATGTTATCCATTAAATAGTCACCTTCTCTGTAGAGATTGTCATCTTAAAAGACTCGGAACTTTGTAGTAATTTTGTTGTGTTATATCCGCCTTATCATATATAAATAGCCCACCGTCAACAACAACAACAACAATTTTACCATTTAAATACATACGTTTGTATGTAATACTCACAAACACACACACACACACACACATAAAATAAAGAATCTCTAAGATCTCACCATTCCACGAAATGAACACCTGCACAGAACTGAAACAAACAAAAAAGACAACGTAACATCTCAGAGCACACAAACAAGACACACATTATCTGCAGAGCTTAAGCATTTTATCAAATCATCAGCACACTATTCCCTTTTTTTTGTTTGGAGTAGTTAACAATCATTAAGTTCATTCTTAGACTGGCTTTGATTGCATTTAACGCACATTTAAAGTAAAATAAATATTAAAATACCAAAATATCAAAATTGTTTGCAAGATCTTTTATTATTGACATCAGATAAAATGGATGTGTAACATGAACATAATTATAAATAAAATAGACCATTGCCAACTTTTAAGCATTTTGATGAACCATAAAACAACTGGACCGAGTTTTTCATGACTCATGGAAAACCTGTTAATATCCAACTTTCTCCTGTAATAAATTAAATCAATGAAACAGAATTAAAATTTGCTTTCACAATTAAACATGAATTAGAATAATATGAAAAAAAACAAATATGGAAATGTTTTACAAATTATCCATCTGAATAAACAATCTAAAAAATTGTAATGTAATCAAAAGCATGTAAAGTTTGTAATTGAAATAAAACATTATTCTGTTTACAGGACAGAAATTTCTGATCATTATTGAGGATTTTTTCTTTCGCTTTTGTCACCTTCTATTTAGATAATCAAGTTAATGATCAAAACAACATTGGTTCAGTCTTTTTCTTTTTTCCCTACCATATGGTAAGCTACCAATGATAAAATCTTACATTATTTTTGAGAGTTGTATTATAACTTTAATTGTGCTAGCAATTTACTATTTAGTCAGCTGTTTAACTGCTGTGTTTTCAATTGAGTATTGAAAAGAAACAGAAAGTGCTTCACTCAAATGAAAATCTTAAATTTCCATCTAAAAATATCAACTAAATGTATAATTTGATTGTAAGATAATCAAAGCTAATGTTGAGATAAAATTGGTGGATCATAAAAAGGTATAACAAACCTGGAAGGATGACATAACATCTGTAGCAAGTGAAGAGAGACGACCAGCAACTCGACTCACTCCATCGCGAACACCTTCTTTTACGTCATACAGATTGGCAGTAACATTTGACAAGCCACTTGTATATGAACCAGAACGTGTTTTATTGTTTGAACGGCCAAAATAATCATCACTACTTATCGCATTAGATCCCTCAAATTTTGATAAAGTTGTACGTTGTTCAAACTAAATGGGCTAACTTCGTTGACAATTGGCCCGGAATCATAATGACCTAGTGACAGTTCATCTGTTTAATCAACATTGAATGGACTGTGGACCTTGTACACTGCGTTGCATGGCATTAAGGACACATATGTTTCGACTAAAATGTTTCTATATGATCCAGTTTAAGGTACTTTTGATGCTTTAAGCTAATCCAAGCAAGATGTCTGACTGTTAGAGTTGCTAATTTATAATGCTTTTGTCTTAATTATTTGTTGATCGCTAATAGACATATGTTGATACCATATTTTGGTGATGCATGGAATTAAGGACACTTGTTTTTTGCGTTTCGTTTTTCAAATAAGAATGGACAGATTTTAGATTTTGTTAATTAATATGATGACCAGAAGAGATCTTCTGCTTCACATTCGGTAGCTCATGTTGGAGATGATCAACTGCGATAAATTATCCAAACATTACTACATTTTTCATCAAAACAAATAACACAAACCTATCTTATCGTTAGCATGAAACTTGTAACTTGTAATACTTAAACTCGATCTTGAATTCACAATGTATTTTGATATTTGAATATTAGATGCTAAGCGGGCTTTCATTTATTTCCATTAAATCCATTCTAAAAGCATGCGTGAAGCATGATTTCACTTTTTTCAATGATAGGTAGTCATGTTAATAACAAAGTTTTATTGATAATTGTTCGTTTTTACTTTATTTAGTTTATTTATTTATTCTTTAAATTGTGTTATAATGGCCAACTTAATAGTTAGAACAGGGTTGCAATTATTCAAAAAACAAATCAGACCGTTAACACTGATCGACGTGAGATGCTGTTACCAGAAACCCAATGCTTTATCAACATTGAATAAAAAGGAAGAAATCAAAGGTTATTTTGTGGAAGATTTCAATGTCAAAGGACAATTTTTATGGGCAATTCAATCTAGATTTTTATCAGCTTCATTAATTTACATGACATCTTCAATTGCAATGGCAGCAGCATCGTATTATACCGTTCACTCTGAATTTGCTGTTGATATAATATATGCTCTTAAAGTCATGGAAATCTTAGAGTATTTTGATGTTTCTGACACTTGGAATCCTCGCGTTATCGTTGGACTTGGACTCTACTTCATTACAGAAGCACCAAGGATCTTAATCGCATTTAGATTTTGTAAATCATTGAGAGATTTGCTGTATAAGTATAAATTTATACCAGAGCCAAAGTATCGACCTTTTAAAGATGAACCAAGTTACGATGAAACAAAAATTAATAAATTTTGAATGATAAACGAGATTTGTCAGTTTAGTCTCGTGATTTAATTATTTATATGCATTAATATTGGAACTAATCTTGATTCGATTCAGTGGTCACTGTATAAGCCAATAATTTACGACAATAATAACGAGTTCACTAGGTTGGTTATTATGGTGATCAATAGATGGGGCTCGAGACGATTTAAGGAAATCATTCTGTAACCAGACTCTGGTTTTTCTGACACGTGAGTTCATGTCTTTAGTAGGATTTCATGTGTTTTTTCTCCTATTTATTTGATTTGTTTGTTTATTTGAAAATTTAATTAGTAAGATAGTGAATATTTCAAGAGGAAGCCTGCGTTGACCAAAGTATATGATGTCTCAATCAAGTCGATCGGCTGTTAACCAGCCATCAAGTTCGGTAAGCATCTCTCCTTATCCATTTATCTTTTTATTGCAACCTAAAATAAATTGCTTTCATTATTTGCTGTTTCTTATAATTTTTTCCAAAATATCACCCAGGGATCACAAAAGCCTGTAAAATTGTCCAGCAAATTACAACCTGGCAAGATGAAAGGTTATCTTGACCATCAGAATCCAATCGATTCTTTTAACGCAATCCAAGAAGATTACATTCGATTACAAGAAAAAGAGCTTGATGTAAGTTTTTGCTTATGTTTTGACATTATCGTTTTAGTAATTTTCATTATTTTGAAATTTTCAGGCTATAAGAGTTGTCAAAGATGGTTTTGAGAAAGACAATGTTCCTGTGAAAAAAGTTATTGAAACTGCTGGCAAAAAATGGTTCAACTTCCCAGCAAATGACTCTAAAGAACTTGAAAAGGATCTTCAAATGCTTAGAATGAGAAATGCTCTTGACCCTAAACGCTTTTACAAGAAACCTGAACATAAATCTGGTGTCCCTAAATTTGTACAAGTGGGAACAGTGGTGACAGACGCTCATGACTTCTACGATAGAGCTACTAAAGTCGAAAGAAAACAAACCATTGTCGAGGAAATGCTAGCAACCATTGAAAGTAGGAAAAAATTGAAGAAACGATTCAAAACTGTGAAACCTTTGATTGCTAAAAAGCGAAGAAAACATTAAAAAGTAATGTAATTTAAGTGCAATTTTAAACTTATAAATTTATTTAGTCTCTCAAAAGACCAACAAGTTAGAAACAGCAAATCCTTATTCTGTTTGAATCGCAGAAACGCCGAAAAATTCAACCGACATGATGATGCCAGATGAAACACAGAGCGTTAAATTACCGTTTAAGTCATCATTCAAGAAAAAATTGATTGATTTTTATCCACTTTAATCGAAACAAAAATTTAAACTTAAAATTAACGTCTGACATGGTTAGTTACTCGAAATGAATATAGAGGACACTCTAATTCTGATTGCTACATAAAACAAACACTCTTTGGAAATAGGGAAGAGGAAACAATCATACGTAAGTACAGTCACTTTAAACCTAATTCTTATCCAATAATGAGCCTGATTTTAATAAATTAAAATCTTCTTTAGATAATTGTCAATTTTTAATATTATGATTTAAAAAAGTGATTATAAGCTCCTTATTTTTAATGTTGATCTTTTTTGTACTAATTTATATAGGAAAAGTGAATTGAAAACCTTCTTTGTAAAAAACCCTTGAACGAGATTACAAAACATCTTTTGTTATTTTAATTTTTGATTTGAATCATCAAATATGTCAGAAAGTAAACCTTCAAAGAACGAGCTTTTGGCTGTATTTAATAAATTGAAAACGATTCCTGCTAATAAGGTTAGTATTTTATTAAATTTATATTGATTTCTGACATTTTCTATGATTCTAATGAAAGGTTCATTTACCTTTTTGATTCTTGCTTTTTATTTCATTCTATTTTATTTTAGAATATATTAATAATATTTTATTCTCATGTCTTTTTTTCCTTTATAATATTGCCCTTATCTTATAGCAATGTTTCGACTGTGGAGCTAAAAATCCGTCCTGGGCAAGTGTTACTTTTGGAGTATTCATTTGTATAGATTGTTCAGCTAGCCATCGATCTCTTGGAGTACATGTTTCCTTTGTCCGATCAACTCAATTGGATACAAATTGGACTTGGCTTCAATTGAGATCCATGCAATGTGGCGGTAATGCTAATGCCTTATCATTCTTCCAACAACAAAATTGTACTACCAAAGATGCCCAAGAAAAATATCACAGTCGAGCTGCTTCGCTTTATAGAGATAAATTGGCTACATTAGCTAATCAAGCAATGAGACAATATGGAACAGAATTATTCATAAACGTTTCTTCTAGTGGAGGAGGAGCTGGATCAACAAATTCTGATGCTGATCAAAAAACTCAAAGAGCAAAGCAAGACTTTTGGGATGAACATGAAAATGAAAATGTTACATCAGACACTTCAAATACATTTAGTAAACGCCATCAATTACAAGATCCACTCGTGAAACCTCCAACGGTTGAATCTATACATTCAAGCAAATTAAAAGTTAATTTTGATGAAAATGAAGATGCTAAGTCAGACTATAAACCTGTTATTAGTTCACGGAAACCAACTTCAACTAAAAAAGGAGTAAGTTACATTCAATTGCGTTGCTTTAATTATGTTTCAAATCGATACATGTTTCTGATTGAATATATGAACAGTTAAACTGTTTATCTTGTTCTACAAGAAACATTTTTGCAGGTTAATTGCCAGCGGAGTTGGTACATTTATTTAGTGACCAAACTTCCTCCTTACTTGCCTGCTAGAATAAATTGGATAAGTTTGAGGGAACTTTATTATATCATTTTAAGTTCCCATAGGAATTTCATACAATCTTCATTATCTATAATGTCATAATGATTTATTCTTTCTTCGTCTTTTTTTATTTCTTTTCAGTTGGGCTTAGGTTCCAAAAGAGGCTTAGGAGCTCAACGTGTTAATACTGATTTTAGCAAAATCGAGCAAGAAGCTGCAAGAGCGGAAGAGTTAAAAGATAAAATGGTGAAAAATGAAACTAAACCATTATCAAAAGAAGAAGTTATCAAAACAATTGAGGAAATAGATACTACGTATAAAGATTTGAGTGAAAGAGCACGCATAACTGAGGAAAAAATGCGAAATGTTGATCCAATTAAAGCAAAACAAATCGAGAGACTTGGTATGGGCTTCACAGCTGTTAAAAAATCTAATTCCGGTGTCTCACATTCAGCAAGTTCCGATATGACGACTCTTGAACAAACCAATCCAACTAAATCAGAATCTGTTACACCTAGTAGAGACTTATTCGGTCATAAAACACTCGTAACAGGTAAAAATTCAATTAACATATTACTATTTTAATGCTATTTCACTCCTCATTTTTTAATACTTTGTTGTCAATGTGACCTGATTCCAATATTTTATTATCTAATTAGGGATAGAAGATTTGTGGCTCAGTCGAAAGGAAGATGAAGGCCTAGGGTCAGCCTATTTCAGGGAAAAAGCCAAAAGGGTTTTCTATGACGCGATCACGAGCGATGACTATGACAATGCTTCTGATTATAAAAAAGAAGACACACCAGAAATCATTGATGACATTCCATCCATGGACGAAGAAGAAAATAAGTAAGTTCAAAGATATTGATAAAGACACAAAAGTTGTACTTATAGTTAAAACTAAATCACTAGTGATAATATTTCTATTCTGACTCGATTACAGAAGACCAACAAAAACTCCAAGCCATACTTTTGCCAAATCATCACCATCCTCTTCTTCGGACCTTCAAGCTCAGAAGAAATTTGGTCAAGCAAAAGCAATATCTTCCGATCAATTCTTCAACGATGGACGGTCTAGTGAAGTAATTAGATGTTCTTGTTTTATTTTTTCTTATTTGTTTAATTTGTTTATTTATTCAGAAGATATTTATTCAGTTTTAAATTTCCTTCTCTCTATTTTCATTTAGTTTGAACAACGTACAACTTTATCAAAATTTGAGGGATCTAATGCGATAAGTAGTGATGATTATTTTGGCCGTTCAAACAATAAAACACGTTCTGGTTCATATACAAGTGGCTTGTCAAATGTTACTGCCAATCTGTATGACGTAAAAGAAGGTGTTCGCGATGGAGTGAGTCGAGTTGCTGGTCGTCTCTCTTCACTTGCTACAGATGTTATGTCATCCTTCCAGGTTTGTTATACCTTTTTATGATCCACCAATTTTATCTCAACATTAGCTTTGATTATCTTACAATCAAATTATACATTTAGTTGATATTTTTAGATGGAAATTTAAGATTTTCATTTGAGTGAAGCACTTTCTGTTACTTTTCAATACTCAATTGAAAGCACAGCAGTTAAACAGCTGACTAAATAGTAAATTGCTAGCACAATTAAAGTTATAATACAACTCTTCAAAATAATTTAAGATTTTATCATTGGTAGGTATCATCATTACCATATGGTAGAGGAAAAAGATTGTTTCAATTTGTATTAATTCTTAACTTGATTATCTAAATAGAAGGTAACAAAAGCGAAAGAAAAAAATACTCAATAATGATCAGAAATTTCTGTCCTGTAAACAGAATAATGTTTTATTTCAATTACAAACTTTACATGCTTTTGATTACATTACAATTTTTTAGATTGTTTATTCAGATGGATAATTTGTAAAACATTTCCATATTTGTTTTTTTTCATATTATTCTAATTCATGTTTAATTGTGAAAGCAAATTTTAATTCTGTTTCATTGATTTAATTTATTACAGGAGAAAGTTGGATATTAACAGGTTTTCCATGAGTCATGAAAAACTCGGTCCAGTTGTTTTATGGTTCATCAAAATGCTTAAAAGTTGGCAATGGTCTATTTTATTTATAATTATGTTCATGTTACACATCCATTTTATCTGATGTCAATAATAAAAGATCTTGCAAACAATTTTGATATTTTGGTATTTTAATATTTATTTTACTTTAAATGTGCGTTAAATGCAATCAAAGCCAGTCTAAGAATGAACTCAATGATTGTTAACTACTCCAAACAAAAAAAAGGGAATAGTGTGCTGATGATTTGATAAAATGCTTAAGCTCTGCAGATAATGTGTGTCTTGTTTGTGTGCTCTGAGATGTTACGTTGTCTTTTTTGTTTGTTTCAGTTCTGTGCAGGTGTTCATTTCGTGGAATGGTGAGATCTTAGAGATTCTTTATTTTATGTGTGTGTGTTTGTGTGTTTGTGTGTATTACATACAAACGTATGTATTTAAATGGTAAAATTGTTGTTGTTGTTGACGGTGGGCTATTTATATATGATAAGGCGGATATACAACAAAATTACTACAAAGTTCCGAGTCTTTTAAGATGACAATCTCTACAGAGAAGGTGACTATTTAATGGATAACATCTCTGAGATGGTTCATCAGTTAATTGCATACCACAATCTTCACAGGTATAACAATCAACATGATAATCTTTATCCATTGAGACTACTCGCACTGTTTCATCTGATCCTTCAAGAGGAGTTATATCACCACCACAGGAAGCACATTTTGGTGCATAAGCTCGATGATAGTCTGCAACACAATAAATTTTATTATTCATGTCAATGGTGAATGGAACACCATCAAGGCACTCATTACAGGTACAACATCTAAAGCATCCAGGATGATATGATTTACCCATAGCTTGAAGTATCATTTCAATAATAAGATGACCACAAACAGCACATTTCTCTGCTGTTTGCTGAAATCCTGAATATAGATAATCTTCTTCACAATAAACTTTCCCATGTACATTGTAGAAAGCCTTACCCCTCAAGACACGACCACAACAACAACAAACAAAACAGGATGTATGATATAAGTTTCCCATAGCTTGACAAGCTTGATCCGCACCTTGAACTTTATCACCACATGTATGGCACAGACCAAAAAATTCACATTGAAGTGATTTCTCAAACTCATCCTCAATTTGTTTCATTAAAGCTTCAATCTTTTTCTCAGCCTCTGTAGGCCGTTTTGGTCGTGGAGGCGTCACATTATAAGAGTTTAAATTGGGCTTGGGTGCGGATGGTATCGGTGGAGGACGGGAAGGCTGTGTGGGCGCTGTCACATAATTAGGAGCTTGTGAATGCCTATAAGAGTGTTGAGTACGTTGCTGTAAGACTGTAGTTGTGTAGGAAGCTGACACGGGCGTTGTTGAATCAATTTTGGTAAAATCACCGTTGACTCGTTGATTCCCTAAATCTCTTGCAACTTCTACCTAAAAGAGAGTAGAAAAAGAAAAGGAGAAGGAGAAGAAGACAAAGAAAAATAGAAATAAAAATAAAATTTAATAAAATTATGATCGAAAAATATGAGTTGTATGAAATTCCTATGGGAACTTAAAATGATATAATAAAGTTCCCTCAAACTTATCCAATTTATTCTAGCAGGCAAGTAAGGAGGAAGTTTGGTCACTAAATAAATGTACCAACTCCGCTGGCAATTAACCTGCAAAAGTGATTCTTCTAAATCTGAATGGATAGTTTCTCTCTAAATATCATTGTTTCTAATCTTAAAAATATTAATAGATATAACAATAATAATTTTACTTACTCTTCTTATTGTTGAAATGGGTTGCCGGTTGTTGATGACATGTTTATAGTATGACTTAGCATCTTCGTTTTCATCGCAATTAACTTTTAATTTATCAAATCTTATTGATTCAGCTCCTCCTCCACTAGAAGAAACGTTTATGAATAATTCTGTTCCATATTGTCTCATTGCTTGATTAGCTAATGTAGCCAATTTATCTTTATAAAGCTGAGCAACTCGACTTGAATATTTTTCTTTGATATCTTTGGTAGTACAATTATATTGTTGGAAGAATGATAAGGCATTAGCATTACCGCCACATTGCATGGATCTCAATTGAAGCCAAGTCCAATTTGTATCCAATTGTGTTGATCGGACAATGGAAACATGTACTCCAAGAGATCGATGGTTTGCTGAACAATCTATACATATGAATATTCCAAAACTAACACTTGCCCAGGACGGATTTATAGCTCCACAGTCGAAACATTGCTAAAATTTATAAGGAAAAAGACAGCAGACAGAACAAAATATTAATCATAAAATATAAAATATAAAATAAAAAAACAAAATGAAATGAAATGAAATAAAAAGCAAGAATCAAAAAGGTAAATGAACCTTTTCAGTAGAATGATAGAAAAAGGTAAGAAATCCATGTAAATTACATAAATACTAACCTTATTAGCAGGAATTGATCTCAATTTATTAAATACAGCCAGTAGCTCGTTCTTTGAAGGTTTACTTTCTGACATATTTGATAATTCAAATCACAAATTAAAAGTACCAAAAAACAAACCTCAACTTTGTTTTGCCAAAAAACTAACAAAATGAAGTTTGTTATTCTATAAGCATCCCAAATGGTCTTATGGTTCGTCTTCGCGCCATCTATTGTGAACAGGGTAATAACACCAGTAGATTAATTTTGTTGAAATTAAATTTCAGTCTTGTTTAATTGTTTCCATATTTTTACATCTAATTTCAATTATTAATGTTTCGATATTCATAATAAAACACTCTGTTTATCTATTAATCAATTTTTTGCGTTGAAGTACTAGCAAATTATGCATTTTCCTAATTTATTAAAATGAACAAATATTCAACTACGACGCTAATTGTTGAAAAGACAAGATTCTTGCTCTTAAATCTATCTATTATTTGAACTTCTAATTGATTATCTATATGTTGATTTGCCCTCTACTTGACATATTCTCCATCTTAATGTCTGTCCAACATTTACGATGATAACATTATCCAATCTACAAAATTTCGCTTCATTATTGCTCTAATGATTGCTCTAATTATTCATTGAATTTTCTGTTGAACAATCAGACCCTACGTTGTATCAGGCATTCACTTGTCCACTCCGCTTCATTAGAAATGGCATCAACTTGGTCAAATTCGTATCCTTTTATGTACTTTTTTCAAATCTTTAAAAGTGCGAAATTTACAGCATCTTTACTGTCGAAAATCTCGAGAATTCGTTCATTGAAAGCTTTCTCCAACAAGCTTTTGTAAGCTAAAAACCTTTGAATTTGCCAGATTTTTTTACCAGTTTCAAGCAAGATTACTAGCTAATACCATAATGGACCCATCTTTAAGCAGCTTTTCATTAGGACAGTATTAGTCCCAGATTGAATCGATAAGTAAACAATGGTATCTTTAAGACATATTGTCTGAATGTATTGCATTCAATCCACTCGTCAGGCTCTTGAAGATAATTCACTGAATTATTGTAAATGAAAGCAGAATAACACTTTAACCATATAATTTATTTGACCTAGAAGCAAATCCAACACTTAAAGCTGTGGCTTTTTGCGATTTAAGTTTGTAAAGACAAGAAAGTCTTGATTCTTGTTTCTTTATCACTTACTGACTATTCAAGATTATCTACTTGCTAATCATTTATTTAGTTTACATTTAAATCAGTTATTTGTAATGCGATATTACAATGATCAAGAATAATAAGTATTTATTGCTGCGTAAATAAATTGGTGTCATCTTGGTATTATGATAATTACTTGTCTCCTATCAATGGTAGCTCATCAAGATCACAATCATTTTACAACTTGTGTTTCTCAATCACCGATTGAAGTCAGTCTTTGAGTACAGTAGTTATTGTTTTCATTTATATAAAATAATTAATACACAAGTATCATTCCTAAGATCATTAAGGATAGCAATCAAAGTGTGAGAAAATTGATAAAGAAAACAGTTACCTCGGAAATTTAATTCTGGTAAGTGTAATAGTCTTGTAAAACTTGAACATCTAATTATCTCACCATTCATCAATTATTTCAACCTTCTTCTGTCAAAGGTTAATCTGTTACCAAGCCACCAGTGATTAACTCAATCATTCTGTTTACTTATGAGTGTTGATTGAATAAACTGAAGTAAAAAATTATTTCTCCTCAATTGTGCTTTGAAATAGATATGATGATGAAAAAAGAAGTGGTTAAGCAAAACTATGGAAGGACTCCTGAAGATCAAGCAATAATTGAATTACTCCGAGATGTTGTGCGTAAATGTACCAATCCTGATTCCTCCAAACGTCCTTCAGCCTCTGAGCTTTATGAATCCTTGTCCTTCCATTTGCATAGTTTTGATACCGATCCTAAGAACATTGGAGAGACAATCATCTGAATTGGAATGACAGGGAAAATTATCTACAAAAAGAAAGATCAGAAATGGATGAATAATGAATACTTTGGTTGCATTTAAAATGGAAGTGAGGAAACCACAATTCATTGAACTAACAATTGGAAAAGATATTGTTACCCTTTTGAACTGTATTGATTGTGAATATTGATTAATGTTCAATTGTGATAGATCACCTGCTTTTTAAATGGCAAACAAAACAATAATTGTTGCAAATATATGAGAAAATTTGTAATGTTTACTTTTATTACACTGGTAAAAGTTATTTTTAAGTTTGTTAAACCTCTAGTTAATGTCAATAAAACATGTGTGAAAATACAAAATAATGACCATGTAATAAATACGATTAATTAAACTAATTCATTAAGATTGGTCTTGCGTTAGTATGTGGATCGCCCTTGTCTTTCATCCTGAGGGTCACTCAACATGTAAGCTGGAAAATACCCATTTCCTGATGGATCTTTGAGCTTTGGATTGACAAATGTATTCTTAGCTGTACCTATAGATGTATATCTGAAAAAGAAACAGAAATTTGTTAGTAAAAAATAAAAAATGATAAAACAAATTGAAAACTCACCCTTTATCATATAATGAACAGTAGGGCACTTCAAGATCACGTAGAAAACTCCAAATTTGATGATAAGACCAATTAAGCAAGGGATTAACTCTAATAAATTCAGGCCAACCCGGGTCAGTAGGCTCAAAAAATGAGATTGGCTTGACTAGATCAGTACTTCTGGTTCCCATAAAAATATGACTAACTGTTGTTTCATTTTTGAAATTTTTCAAAGCTTCCTTGAAATTAGGTCCATTAACAGATTTTAGATCCAAATTGTATCTTGTAACAGAGCTTTGAATGAAATCCTCCAATTCAGGGAAAGTATCAGGCATTAAAATTAGCAAAGTCATTAATTTAGGGGCCAAATCTCCGTGGTTTAGATTTCCTCGTTCAAATTTATCAAGAGTAACCAGGTAAACAAGGTGAAGTAGAACGGTGCAATCTTTACCTCCGTTAAAACTAATGGCGATTTTATTGTGATCATTGTTAATTTCATCAAGACACTTGTTAATCACACCAATGGCTTCAACCACGTGCTCGTTTCCATCTTTTAAAACATATTGATGCAGTTTGGCCAACCAAAGGTCAATGTTTTGTTTTAACATCATTTTTTGGTGAAACAATTAGGTACAGGTTTTAAGTAACAATTGAATGGGTTAAATGAACTGCCAGTCACTAATAAAATCAATAATCTAGTTTCTCCCAGTAGCTGATCACCTTTCAACGAACAGTGAATAAATGAGAAGAAAATGTAAAAAAACAAACAATAACAATGACTACTAATGATAATGGTAATGATAAATTATTAACAGATAAGCAACGTCAGCATCTATATGGTGAAAATTTAACCATCATATGTTGATGAAATTTCCATTACCCAACTCACATCGTTGTCATAAATTAAAGTTTCAATCATATCTAACAGAGAAATGATAAATCAACAGTGAATTCCTCATGATCCTGAAAAATATAAAGAAAAATAGAAAAAAATTACATTAGAAATCGTAGGAATAAATTAATCATCTGAAACAAAAAGATACAAATCAAATTATTAGATGTCTGATAATAAGTACCGGGTCAAATAAATACTTTCAATTCATATGATAACCTGATGAAATAAATAAGATTTGTGATCAATGTAATGAGAGGAGAGACGAGTGGAAATGTTTGTTTGGCTAGCTATTGATTTCTATCTGAATCAACAGAGTGTCAATAAATTCAACAATTAAATTGAACACATTATGAGGATAATTGAAATCTTATTTAACAAAAAAATCACATGGACAAAGGTAGAACATTGTAGTACACATGAGAGAATGTCAAGTAAACGATTGGTGTTAATTAAAGTCATTATGATCGTTATTACGAGTGACTATTAAAAGTGAGAATTTTTATCACAAAGGTTAGCTACAGACTTCAGTTTCACAGGAGCTGATTAATTACCTTAAAAAAGGTTATAATTGTATTTAATTAGCCTAATAAATTCAATGTTGAAAGATATTAAATGAAATGAAGGAGCATTAATAGAATAGTTAGCAAAATTTTTGACTATTTGAAATGAAATACTTACATCAAATAGATATTACACTTCAAATAGTGACCTTAAAGGTCAGATTAAACTGGATCACATTAAAATTATGGATGCCGGTTTAATAAAAATAAATAAATTGTTGTTTGGTAACAATGTTTTTGAAAATTGCGGTTAAGAGTTAGATTATTTGGTTACTATAACCGGTTTCTGTAAAACTGGTTACTCTTCATGGTTACAGTAATAATCCGTTTATAGTCTTCAGAAGACATTTCTTTCGTTCCAACCATTTTCATTCTCAGGCCCCGCAGTTCACATCTTTTTTTATTTCAGTTTATTTAAAATTTGGAATTATCTTATTATTCTTATTATTTTCTTCTGAGTTCCATGTCTTCTAGCAGTCAAATTCATAATTTGAAAACTTTTGGTGAGTAATTATTTAGCCTTAACGTTAGTTTTTTACTGTGAAATATTTTCATCTACAACTGGTTTTTATTTCAGATCCCTTCGCGGATGCTATCAAAGCTGATGATACTGTTCATGACGGTCTAATTCACATACGTATTCAGCAGAGGAACGGTCGAAAGACACTTACCACTGTCCAAGGCATTGCTGATAATTATGATAAAAAGAAGATTGTTAAAGCCTGCAAGAAGGTTAGTTATCTTTGCTCTTGACGTGTTCTCCTTCATTCCTATGTTTCAATGTTAGTGTGATTTCTCAACGTCAGAGTTGTGTTAGAAATCATTCATAACATTGACCTTCTCTACCAATCATTATCATCTCTTTCCTTTAACAGTTCACCATTTTTTTTGTTGCCGCGTCTCATTTGTTCTTAGCTAACCTGTTTTCTTCTAATCCTGTCTTTCTTTCAACGCTAATGTCTGTACTTTTCCTTAAACATCTTTTTTTCTCTCTTCTAAACAGGAGTTTGCTTGTAACGGAACAGTGGTTGAGCATCCTGAGTATGGAGAAGTCATTCAACTGCAAGGTGATCAGCGAAATAACATTTGCCAATTTTTAACTAAATATGGTATCGCTAGAACTGAGCAACTAAAAGTCCATGGTTTCTAAGAACCATATATTTGTGGTATGGTAATTGCGGTTGGCTAAGGACGAAACAAAGGAATTCATTTCATTACTATCATAGATATATATATGTATGTGTTATTGTATATATACTATATATATTTATATGATTTCTCTTTAATCAAAACTCAAACTGCATCTTGATCGTCATCCCTAACCTACCATCTCCTCACGAAATTGGGTTTCACGTTAAACCGCCAATAAAGGGATACATTACAAGCCATACTACATTCTCCTTTTCTTCATTTTTCTCCCACGGTTTAAGCACTCTTCAAATCACCATAATCAGCAGAAACATTTTACCCAATTATTGTCAAAAAACTTGTTATATAGTTTATCCACCTCTGATATCAGCTTAACCATGGCCAAATACGAAATAAAATTACCATTATCCATTGAAAACAAAGACTTGTCCATTTCTTTCAAAGTCATTGTGCAAAAATCATTCATAATAATTATGACTACTATTCAAGGCAATATCTAGAGTTAATTGAACACAAAGTCAGACATGTTGAAATAACTTAAACAGTCTCGAGGTTGAAAAAAATTCAATGACGTGAAATAAATTTTATTTAAATTCAGGTGGATTAAGAATCTGAACTTCTTCTTCGCTAAGATCATCTTCAACCGTGATTTCTTGGTATTTATTAGAGTTTTTCGATCGTTTGCTAAATTGCTTGGCTTTGCTGTCGGGTTCATCCTCGTTATTTGTCGTTTCCTCATCTTCAATGTACATGTCTTCATTTTCGTCATTTTCAACATTTTCTTGAAATTCATCGATGAAATCCCAATTTTGGCCTCTTCCTTCACCAATCCCAACTGTATCGGAAGCATATCGGTACATTTTGGTATTCTGGGCAACTTCTAGATCAATTATAACATCATCATCGTCATAATTCTCCTGGACTTCTTGCAACTCGATTTCTTCTTTTTTGTAGCTACAAAGAACTGAGCTACTTTCTCTTATTAGAGGCGCGTATCCAATCTCTGCACCTTCTGTGGATCGTTTCTTTAAATCTTGTTCGACTACCAATTTGACAAAATTTGTTAAAAATTTACTCCTCTCTATTGCAAGTTGACAACAGTTTAAGACAACGTCTTTTGTAATTGCTGATTTTCCTGAAATATGAATAGTAGTTATTTCACGATAGATATTGGATCCCACGATTAAATAACCATCACAAACTTGTTCTTCAGCTTGAGTTGGGTCACAGACGAACTTGGAGTTGTCAAAAAAAGTGAAACTAGTACAGAATGGATAATGAAGTATGTTAAGAGGTATTGGATGGCGCTCATCAAACGAATGGATCTTAATTTTATCCTCTACAACAGAGACGTCTGGTCTTTTGAAGTGAGATAAAGAAGCTAGAAGAGCTATAGAACAACACTCTGGAAGATTTCCGTCATCATTCATCACAATAATATCAGTTTCTAAAGCATACACTTTCTCTCCCGAGATAATGCACAATGATTCTAAATCTAAACATCTCGAATCTTTTACATTTTTCTCGATCATTCTCATAATTTCAACCACTTTCTCATAAGTATGAATCATGGAGGCTGTAAGATCAACTCTAATATTCAACAGTCCTTCACAGCTTTTAACAGCTTTGGGTTCTGCTATTTGATAAGTGATGTTACACATAACACGTGTATCGCCAAGGCTAACTACAGATGAACCATAATCTAAGCCAAATCCAATGGATAATTTACGAAAATCCTTCGACGACCTTCCATCAATTCGCTGCAGAAAATTAAAATTCAGAAAAAAGGAAAGTCAAAATTAGAGCGTTTTCAATCACATTGTTTACACGATGAATTACCAAGGTAGAATACACTTCTTACTTTATCATCTTTGACAGCAGTGAAAATGAAATTTTTATTACACGAAGGAATAGATTTGGGTTTTAATCTTTGCATGAAACTCATGATGGATGAAACTATAACTATGAACAAAAATTGAACCGAATTGAATTAAACCAAACTAAAATATAAACATAAAGCTTTCCATTTATTTTTAAACAACAATATCGCGCTTTTTCCATAATCGCCATCTATTGATAGAATCGATGACTTACAATAAAAATGAAATTTTAATTCCTAATTAACTACAACGTAATTGATTTATCTGATTATTGTGCGATTCAATTTTTTTCATTTCTGTAAAATTTGATAAAAAATTGTAAACATCCAAATGTTACGAAACTTGTTAAGTGCAAAAAAGATTGAATGAGTCCCTAAATGTCATGGTCGATCATTTGATAAGTTTTATCTGAATTAGAGCGTAGCTTGAAATATGTTCAATTTTTATCGTTAAAATTGAGCTTTTATCAAAATTAAAGGATTAAACTACTATCGATATTCAAAGCTTGATTCATGATCAAAGTAAATTTTGATTAAATCCAGTTTGAAATAGCGGGCAATTCGAAACTAACCATTAGATGGCAGCAGTGAATTACGGATATCCGTAAATTTCTGCATTTTTGTTGTTTTTATGAGTATAAAAAAGCATGGAAATTATTTTAGTTTAATTGCTAAGTTTTGTTACAATCCAATGGGTCCACCGATTTTTATTCAAGGTAATTTCATTTCTTATTGTTTTAAAATATTGTCGTATTGTGATAATGTATGCTGTAAATCATAGTGTCTAGGTTGTCCAAATATTCAAGTGATAAAGTTTCGGCTAATTTAAGTTTTGTATTTGTAAATTTAATCTAATCTTTCCACTCAACAATTTTCTTTTTTTCTTATAGGCATTCACTCGAACCTTGATCAGTTATGGGTTCAATTAAGTGAAATTTGGGAGCTTCCGAAAGTAACGTGATGAAATATATAATCAACATGTGGTTATGAAAATTTCAACTTCGACATCTTCGTCACTTCGTTTCCTGTTCTAACATGGTTTCTTAGGTAATTCTTCATAAATTTAGTTTACTTCCGTTTAAAAATGATGCTATTTTACTGAGTATTTGCTACTCATGAGATCACAATGATTGAAATTACCAGTTCTGATTTTAGTTTCAAGATTTCACTCACCACTAGCTTCTATTCACTTATCTAATTCATTTTTGTATTTCTTTCAATGTAGAAACTGATTTAAACAATATCTTGAAGGTGATTTAGGCATGAAACCATTCATGGAATAATTTTGCTTATCACCACTTCATGGGTCTTTTTACACGGTTACTGATTCGATTGTTGAATCTTCTTACTTAAGGTGATTTAATATTTTTATTTTTATTTCTACCTTCGATATGATGTTATTTATTGAGTATTTGCTACTCATGAAGGTTTAATGATTGAAATTTTCAATTCTGATCACCAAACATCATTTCTCATCTGAATTTCTTATTCAATTACTAATGTCTACTTATCTCTTCCACAGGTATTCATCACTTATTTAAATCTTTCTGCCTTCTTTCTCATGATGCTTTAACTCCAATAGATCCTTCTTATCATTGATGATGAGATAATTTTTACTGAATTATTCAAATTATTACTATCTTATTTAGTATTTCTAGACTTACTAATTAATTGTTGCTTTCGTTAGGTTCAAAACTGGTTCCCATGTATCTTTGATATCTGTTGGATGTTTCATGTAAGTTGATCATTCTAGTGCTTCAATATGTTTGTTTCAGTCCGTGATGAGTTAACTATATCTGATTTGATGATTTGATATTTTGTATTAGCTCTAGCTGACCTTGATTTATATTTAAATTGCAGCATCTTACAAACAAAAACTGACCGCCTAATCTTTTATTTTCTAGTAAAATTTTGGTAGGCAGTTAAAAAAACGTTCTTTCCAGGTTTGCATTCCTTTGCCAGGATCTTAGAAGAAAAAGTGTGAGTATTGATCAAATCTTTTCCTGTATAAATTCAAAGTGATGAAAAAACAAGTGGGAATCTCTATGAGAATCATATGATTACATTACTAATTATATTTTGTCTGAGTTGATATTTAAAAGACAGGAAACCAAACCAATTAGTTCTATGCTCATATTGTTTTTTATCTTTATAGATTAATTTTTATGGTTAACCCTGCCGGTTGAATTAACGAAAAAATAATTCTTGAGTTTCATCGTTGAAGCTGATGTTACACTGATATGGATAAACAATTCTAATTGGTGAAATGCTCATTTAATCCAATCAATAAAACTCTGGTCACTCCAATGAACCGATAGTTTATACAGAAAAGCAGATCATTTATTTTGGACATTCTACTCTTAGGCAACCAGTAATCAAAGTGGAAGACCCAAATCTAATCTAAACTCTTTTAAAAATCAAAACAATAGCATTCATTGTTGATTTATCGATAAATAAAATTTTTCACTTTCAATCTTATTTGATTTATTATTAAATTGAACAATTTGGGATGAATAGTAATGGGGAAATGCTTGTAAATAACCTGAAAATGAGGACAAATATCAATAGCTCAAGTTTAGATATATTTAGATTTAGACCAAACCAGATCATAATCATTCTAGTGTCCGAGTTTCACTTTTAGACCTTTATATTTTCAAGAATTATAATCTTGATTGTGACAAATGGACAAATTTGAATCCTGATTTACTTTTAATCTTAATTTAACTTGATCTTGAATTCATTAATCACTAATACTAAAATTCAATCTCTCAGGCTGATTGTTGGAAATGTAAATTACAACAATTGTAATGTTGAGCTAAAGTGTATTGATTGCCTTAAAGCTTAAAAACCATTAATCAGCCAATCATTGAACATTGACTTAAGTAAACCATGAAAATTGATTTGATCATTGTTTATCAAACTGTTAACCTGGTCAAGTTGAAGTCAATAATATCGACTGACTTAGGTTGGTGTGAATTAATTGCTTGAATTAACTTGTTAACTTGACTCAAGAAAGTACCATTAAAGGCATTGAATATAATTTGTCGGTAGAGATGAGATCTAAATTGTTCCCATTAAACCTAAATTAAAATGATGCTAATGAGGTTGAAAATGTGAACAAACCTTAAAAATAAGACGATTTAATTTAATCCACCCAATGATGACCGTTAAAAATAATAATCATTTAATCATTTGCAGAATGGAAATGCAAACAATCATTCAAATAATATACATTGTTAATGATGATCAACCTATTCAAATGATTAATTATAACCCAAACTGTTGCTCTTATAAAGGGTGTTACACCGTTTTAATATCATTTTCATACTGAACTCATCAACATTTGCTTCATCTTCATCTTAATATCAACATTGCCATTTGTATCAAAATTTGAATCAACTGTAAAAGCTCGGCAATTCTTGGTGATGATTGTGACTAAATTAGATCATTTATTTAGATTCATCATCAACTTGTTATATTTCAAGTCAATTGCAAGTGATGAATACGTTATGAGATGAGTTACAGTCTGTATGTTGACTTACAAGTATTATTGTCTTTGCTTGGCCTGTTTACCGTTTAGGTAACAAAGCTCAAGATTCAAACATCATTAAACATTTCAATTACTGTAAAAATGATGAGTCTTTTAGTTAATTAATTAAGCTTAAAAGGTAATAAAACTGTTGACGGGATGCAAGTTTATTATTGAAGAAGAGTTACACAGCTGAGATCAATTGGAATTACCATGATTAATGTTACACCCAAAGAGTTAACGTGTTCCATTTTTTTCTCAGCTCATTTCTTTGTCTATTTTTTGTTCTATTACTCTTTTGGACATTAAAAGTGCGATTCAATTGCAACAAATTAATCATCAGTTTTGTTTTTGGGCGCAACTCTGACTGTAACTGTTAAGCCCACAAGCATAAGTCAAGATTATTTTTTCTGTTCAACTTCTTCCCACTGAAAGGTTCCATTTTTATTTTGTCAATGTTTTCATCTTTAACCTGGCTAACTGATTATCATATTCAATAATATTATACAATTATGATTAATGAACCTTAAATTGTTTACCTTTGTCACATATTTTCATTGAAGCCTTTACAACCTGAAACGAGTTAAAATGATAAAATAATGTTGATCAAGTTTCATGTTTGAGATTAAAAAAGTACATTATTTGAGACTTTATTGAGATTTTTGCTTTATTGCTTTGAAATTTCGCATTTAAGTGAATTATGTTCAAATTTTGAACAAAAAGTGATTGAAAAACATCATTAAAACTAAATATAAAAATTGTAGATAAAAAGTTAATCGGACAACGGACACTTTAAAATAAAGTGAAAAAAAGGAACGAATAAAGATGATAAAATGTTAATCCAAGAAAAAGTGAATAGATTATAGCAAATTCATATCAATTTTCGTTTAAAATATTAATAATAGTTTAAAAAAATCAACATTAATTATTACCTAAATACCCATAATTACATGATAAGTATAATAATAAATATAGACGATTAGAATTTGATTTTTTTTCCTTTTCCTCTGTTACACTTTTCAAGTTTTATATTAACAAATCGGAAGGACACATGCAAGGTTTGAACAATTGGCGCTTTTTTGCCACAAAAATACTGGTAACAGATAATCACAGATGAGAAGTACGATTGTCATGAAGAGTATTGGGATCATTATTAAGGTTAATAGTACCGCTATTGCTGATATTTACATTATTGCCAGAATCCATCATGACTAACCAATTATTGAGACCTATGTCACGTATAAGTTCATGTGAATCTATATCGAGGTCCAAACTGTCCAATTTAGAGGATAAAGTACCTTCAACTTCGTTGTTGTTTAAATTATCAACGGATGGGATCATTGAAGGTATAGGATGTTGATGAGATTGAGTGAAACCAGAACTTGGTTGTGCTTGATACGATGAATTTAACGAAGAAACAGGTTCTACAAAATTGTTAGACATTGCAACGGGAGATAAATTTGGAAGGAAATTATTAGATGAAGGTGAAATGAAATTGTTTTCAGTTAGTTGTTGATTTAAATTGGATGGATTTAAGTTGTCAGAACAAATCTGAAAAGATTGAGATTGTTTAGGTTGCAAGAGATGTTGATTGGATGTTGAGGGTTTCATCGCGCCCATGTCAATTGAGCTTCTAGGCGAAGAAGAATAGTGTGGTGACAATGAATACGATATTGTTTGAGGAATCGCAGAAGGGGTTGACTGGACCAGTGGTTCTTGTATACAATGAGAAAGTGAGGTAGGTGATGGAGAGTTCACCATGTTGAGATTGTAAGTAGGAGATCTACGTTGGGTACCTAAAGATGTACCCAGAGATGAGCCTGGGGCTTGAGAGAAATCATTCCACTGTGATTGTTCCGATTGTGCATCAACTTCGATTCTATCAGGTATTGCAGGTGACACAGGTTCTTGAGGTCTAAGAGGGCTTCTAGAAGAACTAGGATAACCAATGGGAGATAGTCGACGAGATTGAGTGGATTGAGATTGAATCTGGCTCATAATAGAGGAGTTATCTTTCAGGTAACGATCTATACAACCACTCTCTTCGACTTTTTGCCTTTTCCGGGTAAGCCCATCAGGATCTATTCCTTTGGGTAAAAATTGAAATTGTCTTGGTTCACTTGTATGACCATCACTTGGTCGTCTCAATTGAATGTTCACTGTAACAGGCTGGGAAATGTTTTCATTGTAATATTTGGGCGATCGAAATGAAATGGCAACTTGTTTATGGACATCATTGGGCTGAAAATCAGCATAACCTTCCCAAATAATTTGACCTTTTGATTCTTCATAAAAACGAACTTGAATGTCATCCTTGGCAACTCTATCGCACAACAAAATGATTTCTTTGCCGCCAGTAACCGAAGCAGAAAAATGACTCAGTTTGGTTATAATAAGGTCAGACATTGCTTCTACAATGAGAAATAGATAAAAAAATAGAAAGAAAAAAATATTAATATGCAAATTTTTGCAGGTTAGTGAATAGTTTAATGATACAAGAAAGACAAAGGCTGGGTTGATGAGCTAAGCTCAATGAAACTTACTTTTGTCGTAGATTGGGTCAGAAACAATTGGTTTAAGGGGAACAGTGAATTTGTCCTTTTCTGAGCCTTCAACAAAAACTTGGAAACAAAGGCGCACAACATTTAGATCAATACTTGAGGCTTGATTTTTGTGAGCAAAACCAGCTATAAATAAATTAAAATGGACCAAAAAAGGATGATAAATAATGAAGTATATAATTAATAATGAACGTAAATTGTTTATTGTAAGAACAAAAAAAAGGATTAAATAAATGAATAGTTGCACTTACTCCGGAAGGGATCAACCTTGATCGATTCACGTAACTTCAACGATTCTTCAATGTCTTTACGTTTGACACACTGAATTCCAAGTGAAGTGAAACTGCAAATCATATCAGAATTGTTAATCACCATGGTACAGACGCCCTTTTTACAGCCATCTTTACCAACTAAATTGTGAGGATGAGGACGATAAGGAAAGTCTTTAGTAACACACGAAACAACGACAACTGCAGGACCTTTGAAAGACTCTATTTGGATAGTTGGATAAGTTTTATTTTCTGGTGTTGAGTTGGCCCCAGGAATGGATCCAGCTGAACGACCCTCACACTCATAGCGAAATCTTAATGCACATCGAGCTGGTTGCTCTAAAATCTTTACACGAGGTCCACCATAATCCTCGGCGTAATTATCAGGCATCATCATAGAGAGATTCATTATAAATTAAAAATCGGAAGCAGAATAAAAAAGTCTCCTAGATTTGAGTTCATTAAATTGCTTTCAAATGAGTACCTGCAGATTAAAAGAAACAAAAATGAGTTAAAATTAAATTGAGTTAAACAAATTTTTTCAATAGGACTAATCAAAAGGTTTAGCTTTTTGTCCATGTAAAAATAATCAAATTGAATTACAATTTAAATGAGGTTTAAACATTCGTTCAATTTAGATCTGAATGCATTTTGATCGTTTCAAGAGGAACAATTACTGACAAAACCAATCAACTTCACCGTTCAACGCACCAAAATAATTGTAAAAGTACCTTCACACTAAAATTGTATTTATAGCTTGAATTTTAGTCAGCCTCTGAAATTAATTTGCAATTAAAAATTAATATTGAAAAATACAACAAAATTACAAATTACAAATCAAAATTTTGTTTACTATTTTGAAGTACTATTGGCTCAACAACTAAGCTGAATAGCTCTGATCAAATCATTGAAAAATTGGATCGTGTTCACACTGTGATTAAACAAATTATTGTATTTGATTGATATAAGTTGCAGCTTTTACTCTTTTATATTAACCCTTGATCTTTATTGAATTCAGATTTGATTGAATAGCCTATTGTTCAGTTTTTGATCGATAATCAATGTAAACTAGGTTGTTTAAAAGTTTACCAATTCCCATTAAATTGGGTTTAATGAGTAAATATGCGAAAAGAGATTTCATTGGATTTGTATAACCCTTCAAGACGCTTGTTTTCCCTTATTTGGAGAATTATTTTGTATGAATTTGAGTGAACATGAAATGAATGGACAAGAAAGGAAAGCAAGGACAAGAAGAAAAAAGGGAAAGAGAAAGAAAGAGAAGGTGAAAAAAGAATTAGAGAAGAAAAAAAATCAAAACTTGAAAGTGTGAGTGAAGAGAGTTCAGCAGAAAAACAAGTAAATATGTTTAGATTTGAAACTAAAACTAATTTTTTTCAGCATAAGAGATGCAGTTAAATTTGGCGGAAGAGAGAGAAAGAAGAAAGAAAGAAAGAAAGAATGTAATTTAAGACAAAAAAGACAAGAAACAAGACAAAGAAAGAGAGAGAAATAAAAAAGAGAAAGAGACAAGGAAGAATGAAAAAGAAGAACGAAAACCTGAAACTTCATCAGCGTAGTAAGACTCTTGAGGGATTTTTTCGCCGTAGGTTCAATGCAGAAAACCTTTAAATATCTTCAATCGAATCACAGAGTTGCTAGAGATATGAGATAATGATTCAATAATTTCAATAAATGATAACCTCATATTCGCCTTGTAAGCTACTTCATGGTGGGGAGTAATTACGAATTATGGACCAGTCTGATGATGAACCTAGTTTCAACTTCAACAAAGTTTCAACCTTTAAAGGAACGTTTCTTTCAACTGAACAGATTGACGGAACAAAGCTTGTTGTCGTAAAACAAGCTTAAATAAAAGGAAATGTTACTTGTTCTGTGTTAATATAAAATAATTTCAAACTACAGTGGAATAAACGGAAACAATTTCATCAGTTTCTCACCTTTAGCTGTTTTGCTCAGTAAATATTGTCTGAAACAGATTTACGGGTAAAGTTGAACAAGTAAAAAGAAGAATTTTAAACGAAAGAAAAAAGGCCGATTATTAATAACAACATAATACTCACCATAATCTTGATTTAAGCCTTGGACATTGTCCGACATAATAGTAATGTGAGAGAAGCAGGAATACTATTAAGGTAATGTAAAGGTAATGACGGAATAAAAAATAGTAGAAACAATAAGTAGACGGGACAAAATGTTTTAATTGTTGATTAAAACTTTTAACTATTTGACTTCACAGGAAAAATTTAACTATTAACCATCAGGGATAAAAATTAATTAACCAAAATTAACCACAATCAAAGATTAAGAAAAGAAGAGACAGAGAAAAAAGATAAACAACTTTAACAAGCTTTCACAAACTTTAACTCATATCTGTAGCTTTAGGAGCTCAAGCCACATCCTACTTATGTAACCCGCTTCATTTAAAAAGATGTTAATTTTACAAAAAAATGTGCAAAACTTGATTCCAATTCAAACCACAGAAAAGTAATCAAGTTTTAAAATTCAGAATTTAGCTTAATCGATTTTCTATCTACGCCATATCAAAGAAAACACTTTTTTCAAGTGGATTGGTGCACTTCAAAGCCTTTACTTCGTACCGTTCAAGAGTTGGTATCGAAACCGTCTTAGATTTTGAGTGTTATTGAATATTTTGTTGTTCAATGAGGGAACAACAAATGACCAAATGAATCTGAATTCATGATTTTTACCATTGCTTTTCAATGGTAACATTTGGAAAGCCTGAAAGCAAATTGCAACGAAATCTTGCTTCTTTACTATACAATTTGTTGGAAAACGGAGTTCATTTTTTTTCGTTTTTTAATTGAATTAAGTAAGGATTTAATTTATGATGGTCTTACAATGTATTTATGATTTTACCATCATCAGAGTGATTAGTTTGACGGTGCTGTTGTTAAAAAAATAAAATTATGAGCAACTTGCTGTTTTTGTTGCTTTTGATCTGAGATGCGATTCATTTTAAGGTGAGTTATGATAAATTATTTAGGTTTATTTATCGCTTGGTAAAGTTATTTTTTCCTAAAAGCAAAATAATCTCCTGTTGGATCTTCAACCCAGGGATAGTTTTGTGGACATTCAGCACATGTATGTAAACGAATAGTTTCACCAGGAAGTTCCCTAGAGGTGAGTGCACATTGATTTGGCAGACTACAGTAAGGTAAACCTTTAACCTCACACTTTTCCTTCCATGGAGCAAAATCGTTAATCTTTTGAATTTCAGTTGGAGATTGCATCCATTGAAGGACTTGGGTCATTGTGACAAAGTAAACATCTTTCTTCTCCAACATTTCATCAATCCATTGGATGAAAGCGTCAAGATACTCGGGTGTTGTTTTCAACCATGAAGCATGGAAGAAGAGACCAAGTGGAGCTCGATTAGTCTTGTAATGACGATCAAAGTTGTGATTCAAGAAATTGTAGAACTGTTCACCGGAGATAATGTTGGTGCAAGAATCAATCATAGAACATCCAGACAGTTCTTCATCAAATTTGGGATCATCTCGACGATCAAGCTCATTCATTACCATTTCCCAGACTGCGTGGGAACGTGTTGGACAATTTTGACCATTGCCGTGACACTTGTGTGGCATTCTGAAGTACAAAGTGTAAGGCCAAAGAGGTGGATTGGAGAGAGGAGCCGTGATTGAGGAATCATAAAGGAAAGCTTGTTCTTCCATCATGAAGAATTGATTGTTTCCACCAACTCTCAAGTATGGAGCTCGGACACCAACAATTGAGTTATCAGTAATGTTGGCAAACTTTTCAATGATCAACCTGACACCAGCCATTTCTTTAGCCCATGTTTCAACTGAAGCTTCACTCCAATATTTTTCATCATTCTTGTGGGTGATTGAATGAGCAGAAATTTCATGACCTCTTCGGTGAACTTCCTGGACTGCCGAGTAATTGGTATATTTATGTGAGACAAAGAAGGTGCTCTTGATGGAACATCCATTTGGATTGTTTCGTCCTTCCTTAAACAATTTCTCGTACACATCAATGTTATTATTATTGATGGCTCCATCGAAGGTAATCATAACCATTTGAGGTGTGTTGGCAGGCTCAAGACGAGCAGGAATTTGAGTTCCATCAGCTGAGCAAAAGCAATCAGGAAGGACACATTGACTCTGGTCACAGGGTGGTGCTCGGTTTGGATCTTTGTCGACAGCTAATCAAGGAGAAAAACAAATTGTGGAGAAAAAAGGAAAGACAAGAAAAAAAAGAAAGAAAACGAAAGATCATTATAAAAGAAAGATAAATTATAAACAGGTTAGCACGTTACGTAAAGCTTCTTTGACCTGATTTCAGGCTGACTTAGCTCAGTCATACCCGGTATAGTCATTCGTAATGGAAAGTAAAATTGACCTGATCCCGATATATCTTGTTTTTAGTTATACTCAAAGAAGAAGAAGAAGAAGAAGATGGATGATGACGAACAAGAAAAGAGTGTTGGTGTAAGAATGAAGATCTTGAATTCGAGAAATTGTAACCATTATTGAAATGTACCTTCATTGAGACCGGTATAAGATAATATTTGTGTTTTTGGGGCTGATTTTTATTCTCATCTTTTCTTTTATTCCTTCTTCTTCTTCTTCTCTCTCTCTTCACTCTAACAGTCAAGTTTCTTTAAGTGAGAGATTCGCTTGAATGGCCTGAATGGACGAAAAACACTAAAGCAGGGAACATTGAAAAGATGGTAATGATGAGCGCTTCCAATGGAAACACAAGAGACAATAAAGATCGTTATAATGGTTGTTGAAGAAACTCCATTTTACAGGTTAAGGAGGAAAAAACATTTTCTAACAAGAGTAAACTTCCTTATTCCTTTTGGGTTCAATTTTTTTGCTTGTTTCTTCATTTTCTTTGAAAAGGAAAAATCAATTGATTGTAATTTTGACCTGTGTTGATTCGTGTTTGGCACGTGTCAATACGTGCCATTTCATCGAGACACACCTTACATTTTCATGATATAATTGGTTAACCATTTGTTTCAGTTTTGATTGTTTTGATAAGAAAACCTTCAACATTACTTACTACAAGCATTTTCATCAGATCCATCCGCACAATCTGGCGTTCCATCACAGAATTTTTCCTTCTCAATACAATTCTTGTCTCCACAAGCCAGCATTCCTTCTTTAGTACAGAATGGTGTATCGGTGGCAAGAAGAGGTGTTGCTAATCGTGGCTCTGTAATGATAACGACGGAAAAAAAGTAATGAAATCAAATTGTTTCACTTCAAATACATTAAAGCCTCAAAACTAAATTTCATGAGCAAACTATCGATATTAATCCAATAAAACTCTACCATTTGTATATTAATTACCGTTAAAAGTATCATTCGTTTAGCAATCAGACTCAGTATCGATGAACTCTTCTAATAACTGGATAAGTAAATGACTTTAACCGTAAATTTATTCACCTATCAAGCTGTGAATAGACTTGATTTCATCTTAAATGCTATATTTGAATTGTCCTCATCTAATTCCATGCATTGACATCACATTAAACTGGTTAAGTGTTGCAAAATGAAAAGTGAAACTGAATTAAAATGAGTATTTTCATGATTTACTCTCTTTAAATGTTAACTTAACTGTAGCTTAATAGTCGACACTCGATTTAGCTATCGTTTCAATATCCTTAATGAGTACTGATCAACAGCTGGATACTTTAATACAAAAAAAATGAATTTCTTACTTTCTAATTGTCCACAATTTTTAACATTTGATTTCCAATCACATGTTTGCCTTTCAATATCAAAGGCAAGACCAGAGGGACACCTTAAAGCCAATAAACCTTGAACTGAACAACGGACAACATCCCGACAGTCATCATCAGTAGTTAAACGAAAGTATTCCGAAGGAGGTCGACCTCTGCACAGTTCGGCTTCATTCTCATTTTCAATTTGACGCTTTTTGATGGAGATTGACTGACCTATTAAGACGGACACAGGCAAGAAACAGTGAAAATTAGGTAAAAAACTTGATAAAAAGAACACTTGGATGAAAGATTGAAATTATAAACGCTTACATTGATGAATAATGAGTAAAGTTGAAATTAAAGTCAGCAATGGTTTAAAATTTATCATGATGGTCGATAGAGCAATTGAACAACACTGAATGAAGAGTCACAAATGATTGGGAAAAAAACTGTTGATGTAAACAGCAGCTTATGAGTATATCATCCGGATCGGATGATGGCGAAGTGAACAGAATGAAAAATATTTGATCTGAGCGATTTAACAGGCGAACGTGCAAGTGAGCAAGGAATGATGATAATGATGATAAGGGATGATCAAGATGGTAGGAGCGACTAAAAAAGGTAAGATGAGGTAAAGGAGATCAGAACGCTTTTTCATTTTTAGGACGTGGGCTCAATTAAAGTACAAATTCAAATTGCTGCTTTTTGATGACAAACATTGAGACAGGCGCAATTTAGCTACAATTGTGACCACTCTTATTCAATGTCAAATGTCCGCAATTAGAATCCTGTTACCTTTTAACCTAATCAATTATTGTTCAGGCCATTTCATGATCAACAATAATCTATATTTGAAAACATTTACTTTTGTTTTTATTTTTCTTCATTCTATCAATGCATCAATTGCCTGACAGTATTTTGGACCCAATTAATATGCACTATCATATTGTCCCTAAATATTAATATTAATGCTTGATATCATTAATCATTGGTCACTTAAAATGCAGCAATGTTTCCAAAAACTGGTGTTAATCATCTTCATCAACCAACACATCTTCTGATGTTTTTAGTCAATAGTTAATCTTATATTCCGTTTCAGTTGAAAATGATTTTATGTTCATAACAGTCTTAATTTGATAGTACAGCTGACTCTAGATTACTTGGATAATAATATTCACCAAAGAAATAATTCACTAATAGCCAATTACCTGCCTTTTTCCAGTTTTAAACACCAAGAAATATGCAAATTAAACCAAACTATTCGATGACAATACTGAATGTATTAATATAAGAAATCTAAATAGTTTGAAAGACAAATTATTTTAAAAATTATTATAATTTTTAAAGGAAAAACCTTAATATAATTGTTTTTAAAACTGTAAAACCTAGTCAATCCAAACTCACAAGTAAACTAGAGAGAGCGTTTCCAGCTCATGAAATAAAAACGCAAATCATCCACCTCTTCAAGTTTTAGCGTCTAACGCAATACTTTAAGCTATTGATACCTGGTTCAACTATTGAGTAAATTAAAAATAAGGAAAATGCATTTAAGATATTTTGTTTGGTGTTCAAATTAAACTAAATTTTTCTAAATGTTTTCATTTAAAGTATTTTAAGCAATTTTTTAATATTATTGAAAGGCTTTGTGAACGCAATACTTTCATCAGTTAGTTTAAATATGACTCTGTTGTCCAGCATTGTGTTTTAGGCACTTCTGCTTAACTTGACTTGGTAAGAAAAATAAATTCAATTATCATCGGTCAATTAGCGTTCATGTTGATAACGTCTCGATTTAAGAGCCTCATTTTGATAGCTTTAGCTGTAAGCGAAGTAGAAATTTAATGCACAGGAATCAATTGTTTTGTAAAATTTTGTTTGTCGCCATTTCTCGGGCAAGTAGATTTTATAATGAAAACCTGTCTTTTTGATAATATTCACAAGTTTCAAAGATGTCAGTCCAGCAAAATTACAAACAATGTACAAACAACTGGGATTGTTGGTTTGTTTACTGATACGTGTAACTTGTCCATGAGTTTTGTCATCTTTGATTTGGTATTAAAAGTTTTCAATTTAAATTCACTTTTTATTTTTACCAAGAGTCAATAAAATGATTAATGAAAGTATATTGTTACAATCACAATGTGTATAAATGCATGTCAACTTCATTTATTTGTGACAAGTTTCCTTTTAAAATACTCGAATCATCATCCATTTTAATTACAGCTTTTTTGTTTATATTTTTGTTTGGAATACAGAATAGGATGAGTTGATCCGAATCTAGTTTCATTAAGACACTTTGGTTAATACAGATTAAGTAGTTTCCGCGCTACTTCATTTAGATTTGCTGGAATCCAGAGAATAAGACTTCGTTAGACGATCAATTGAATTAACATTATTTGTTTCTCTTCCTTCTTTTTTTCCTTCTGATGGGCTTGAGTACAAATTATCATCTTTTATTTCCTCCGAATTGAGTGTAACGTTGTAGAATGTAGGCTTTTAAAAGAAAAGAAAAGAAAAAAATATTAGACAATAAATTATTCAATCTCAGTTACTGAACAAAATCAGTGAAGAACTTGCTGATTTCTTATCAGTCTTTGATACAAGATAAATATCATACACTTTGAGAAACTTCCTTCTGTTAAATTAAACCGGATAAAATAATTGGCAAATAAAGAGCCTAATGAAAATGAGTTATAATTTCCTTTCATTTGCAATGGAACTCTTGTCATTGAATAAATCGCGGGCTGATCTTATTAGACTGAGATTGGACTCTTCAACAGTCGGCTCTTTAGGTGAGTTCTGCTAAAATCTGAAAAGTATTGAAAAAGGCTGAAACTGAAGAGAAGATCGCACCAAAAAGATTGACTATTAAATAACATACTTTTTCAATTTCATATGGTCCTAGAAGCTCGTTCAACTTTTGGTTTATTTCATCATTATCTTCGTCAGTATCAGAAGAAGATTCAGGATCCTTTGAATCATTGAGAGTTTCATCCTTCATTTGAGCAGAGCTGGATCCAGGTGAGATTACCGAGCTTATAGCGGTAGAAGTAGATTCAGATTTATCATTACGGTTATTAGCAACTCGAGGTTGATTTTTAACAACAAGAGTTGAGGAATTATCTTGATCGCTGTCGTTGGTCACTTCACCTAAACGTTGTTTGATCAATTTGTTCTTGCACGTATCACAGACCCTCACTGGTTTGGTTGACTGTGAAGGAATCAGGAACCTACTTTTAGAACAGGAAGCACAAATAACTGAACCACAATTACGGCAATGGTGCTGTGTTGAAGAAAGATGAGAAGTTAATAAGTATGTGTATAAATTGGTGAAAAAGGATAAGCATGAAGCAATGTGAGTAATCTAGAAACCCCATGGTCAATCATGTGTTAAAGGGAAGAAGGTGGAGCTCAATGCAATTAAATCTATGCTTACCCGACGATTGAGCAAAGTAAATTGCATTGAATTGCAATGCATACAGACTTTAGCTTGCGTATCAGGAACCCAAACTGCAGCATGTTCACCAGAAGGTCTGGAGCCAGCTATAAAAAAGGTTATTCATAAAATTATTAGTAACAACATGATAAATGGTCTCATCATTAATTCAATAAATGACATTAAAAATAGGCAAAGACCAAGCCTTACTTCTTTTAAGAAGACTTTTAACACATTTTTGTATATGTTGAATCCATTCCTCTTTCTCTGTCTCTGAACCTGCATAGACAGCAAAAGATCTGGTTGGTGTTTTGATTAGCCAGCCGTGTTTAAGGTCACCTAAGGATAGAACAATGGAAACAAAAACAAAGAACAACTTTGTTAGCAAATCTCTTTAGCATTGTAAGAAACAAGAATAACTTTACCTTGATTCATATCATCCGAAAAATCTTCTAATACCACCTTTTCCAATGGGATTATATTCTGTTTAATATACATTTTCTTTCGAACCAAAATTTTACCATACACGATGATATCATTGAATAGGAAAAATTGCCTCGGTTTGGGTCCTTTACGACACATTTTGGTTAAAACACCTTCACCCACAAGAACACGACCCTTTAAAGCTAATGGCTGTACAAGAGACAAGATACAGAAGGTCAAGTATTGACTAATTGATTATTTAACAGCATAGGATAATTGGATAATAGTGATTACCGTTCCTGATCGACCAAAACAGCTTTCAATGTGAGCAATCCGTTTATTGTTAACTTCACTACCAACTGTTGAGGCAATTAACCGGTTGTATAACAAATGGTGACATTAGATTGTTTAGCATGACATGACATAATAAAAATGGAAATAAGGGAGACAAATGATCAATAAATGGTCAACATGTCTATTAATTAAATTTAAACTTACCTAAAAGGTCAACCATGATGATACTAGTGATAATATGAGAATTATGATGGTAGCTGTGGTGGTGATGGTTGTAGTGAAAATGATGAGAATGTAAAAGATGAGAAGGCGGAAAAAGAGAAAAGTTGATTTACAAAGCAAAGGAAGCTAACTGAGACACAAAAGTAGACTGTAATTAAAGCTAATACTATTAAATAGACCCAGTTAGATAGATAATGGACTTATTATGAGTTACAAATAAATAAAAATACAATAAAATAATGAAGAAACAAAAAACATAGCAGTTAAAATAAAGTAAGAATGAAAATGAGAATGTTGACATTCAGTCTCTTCTCACTTTTCAAAGAGGCTTTGACAACTTGTAGGCATGGAAGTTGATTTGAAGAAAGCAAAAAGTTGAGCCAAATTTAATAATCAATGCTCCAACGATTCGATTTTCACTTAAATTATCCAAAGTTCAGGCCACACAATTAAAAAATATAATTCCTGAAGATATTTAAAATAGTTAAAATTAAAGCCTTAAGTTTATTTTTATGGTTGACATGAAAAAGTAACTGTGCAACTCTTGGAATGGTCAATATTTAAATCAAAAGACCTTAGATTTTAACGAATCGTAATTCATTTCAATCACTCATCAGATATATTAACGATTAAAGGACAGTGACAGATTTAATTCTATGGTAATTTAATTGCATTTATATCGAATTATAATAAAAACCTATCTTTTGGGGTTTTTTGAAATTATTTGAAAAGTGCGGTTGCAAGAGAATCAGCTTGGTTACCATAACCGGTTCTAATGATGCTAACATTACATCAAATTTCAGGCTAGGCCTGTCTTGCTATCGTTTCTCTATTCCTGAGTTTATCTGGGAGTATTTGAAATTATCTTGTTCATTAGAACATCTTAATTCCATGTTTTGTACCAACCATATTTATGAACCGATAACTCAAGGTAAGTAAATGATTAAACAATATCTTATATGTTCACCGCTTTGACTTGTTTCTTCCTTCTTTGATTTGTGTTACAGATACTTTAACATATGCCATCAAAGCTGATTCTACTGTTGTCATCGTTCCCTGATATTTAAAATTTGAATTGATTAAAAATGGACCGAACTAATGAGTATAAGTCGACATTAAAATGGATGGAAAGTGCTTATATTAATTCAAAGAAAAGTTTCACTGATAACCGTAAACCTGATAATAGTTTAGATGCAAAGGCTAATTATATCAGCTTCATGAAATCTACTCGTGCAATTTTCTCCGACTTATCTATGACCTGTAGTAAATTGGAAAAGTTAAATGAATTAGCGAAGAGAAGGACGATATTCGACTCTGATGAATCAAGTGCTCAACTTAGTGAACTTGTTTATATTATCAAACAAGATGTTAACTCGCTCAACCAACAGATTGAGCAGCTGAGACAAAATCAATTAGCAAAAGTGAAAGACAGTAAGCGTCAGAATGTCGATTCTTACTCTAAGAATGTAGTGTTAAATCTTCAAGAACAATTAGCAAATGTAAGCAGTGATTTTAAGACAACATTGGAATTGCGATCTCAGAATATGCAACAGCAAAAAGCTAGACGAGAACAATTCACTGGTTCCTCATCTTTACCAGCAAACCATCTTCAACAAAGAAAAACTGCCTCGACCATCATAGATTTTGGTGATGATCCATCATCATCGAGTAAATCAAGTCAACAATCGCAGCAGCAAACACAATTACTTTTATACGAAGACTCTACAAACCAATATTTGGAAGAACGAGCATCAACTATGCAAACCATTGAATCAACTATAGTCGAGTTAGGAGGTATTTTCACCCAGCTGGCAACCATGGTGCAACAGCAGGATGAAATGATTAGTAGAATTGATGCTAACATAGCAGATACGAATCTTAATGTTGAAGCTGCTCATCAATCTTTACTCAGATATTTCCAATCAGTTACAAATAATAGGTGGTTAATGTTTAAAGTTTTCGGTGTACTCTTTGTTTTTTTCCTATTCTTTGTTATGTTATCTTAAATAGGAGTTTCATATATATTATTTATCTCTTATAATTATTAGATTATTTAAATATTTAAGATTCTAAAATTCCAATCCAAAAAACCTGTATCATTACAGAGTTTAATTTTATATTAATATACCAATGTTAATCACTACATAAAAAATTGTTTCCATTTTCCATGCTCAATTGAGTTTTTCTTCGTTAAATTATAACATACATACATGTGTATTTTTTTGTTTAAACAATTCGCGTTTAACGAGTGTTTAATAATATACTTTGGTTGAAAAAAGACAAGATCACTAGGACAAGATCAAGATTAATGTGAGAAATTCTAGAAGAGTTGTGATACAAACAACTCTCTTTTAATGCAGTGTGACTTTAATTAAATTCCTTTGAATTGAAACCTCGTGTGATAATTTCACTTCATCTCGGTAAGCTTGTAAAGCAATCAATCCTCAAGAGTAACGTTACGGAATAAATAAGACATCGATTCTTTGTTATGTATTCTTCTGATGGCTTCAGCAAGAAGAGCTGAGATGTCGATCGTCTTTATCTTGTGACACTGCATTTTTTGAATTTCATGTGGAACCGTATTGGTGACAACAACTTCATCAATGGGTGAATCTTCAATTAATTTGGGGGCATCACTGGAAAGAAGGCCGTGTGTGGCCAGAACAAATATTCTTGTAGCACCCTTCTCTCTCAGAACTTCAGCAGCAGCAACATAGGAATGGACATCGTCTATCATATCTTCAACCATAATAGCAATTCGACCAGAAACGTCACCTACTACGGTCATCGGTGGCTTTTCTTTGGGAGCCAGCGCAGGCATTATGTCTAATCCAGGATCTAAAGGTTTTGGCGCTGGTTCAACCGTAGGAGGTGAATATCTTCCATCTACTTCGTCTGATTCAGCAGTTTTTTGAGGTTCTCCGTGTAATACAGCAATACCTAAGCGAAGACGCTCAGCATATGAGGTAGCTTTTTTAGCAGATCCAGGGTCTTTAGCGACTATCACAGCGTTCCTATAATCAGGAATTGAATCTTGAATGTATTGTAATAGGAAAGGTGAAGCTCTTAAGTTATCCACAGGTACGTCAAAGAAACCCTGAACCTCTTTTTGGTGAAGATCAATGGTGATTAATTGGGTAAATCCAGCTTTGCAAATCATCTTGGCTAGTAATTTGGCAACAATACAGCCTCGTTTTTTCATTTTACTTTGTTTTGAGTAGGGCAAGTAAGGAATTACACCAACAATGTTCTGAGCTGATGATGTTTTACAAGCATATGCCATTATCAGTAGCTCCATAATGTTGTTATTGACGTCTTTGGTACCTGAACACACAAGTATAAAGATAAGACAAAATTAGATAAGGCTACTGAATAATTATGCAATTCAGTGTACAGAATTTTTCTTACCTGTTTGGATAATGTAAACATCTCGACCTCTGACACTGTCACCAATATCAACCAAGGTTTCACGATTAGAGGTATGGTAAACAGAACAATTATTAAGTTTAACATTTAATCTGGCAGCAATTTTTTGCGAGAAATCAGGATGACTATTGCCAGAAAGCAAGACAAAATCAGGGGTTGATCGAGACATGATTGACATGAACAGATTATCTCAGGTTAATTTAGGTTTCCAATAGAAGAAGCGTTGGGCACAAACAAATGAGTCACTTTCAGTAGAGAATAGCTTTCATAATACAATTTGATCAATAGTAATAATTTGATTGGTCAACGATTGTAAAAATAAATAGATTTGTTTCTCAGCTGGTAGAATGAGCAAAGTAAGGCAAACACATTAAAAGAAGAAATGTACCACATGATCATGGTTGTTATTGGAGAGAAACACAATCATTATGAATTTGGTAAGGAAGGATAACATTCATTTTATTCAATTTTAATCTTCACTAGTTGAAGATTAACAGAGGCAATTCTCAATCAATTTTAATTGTTTAGTATTAAAATAATTGAATATTTGTTAACATAACATAGATTAACATTGGGAGTAAACAAGCTGCCTACTTCTACACATAACTCGGTTGGTTCTCGGTCAATGCATGATAATCAATAGCTTGGTCATAAATTATCATTGACGTATCCAAAGATGACTGTCAAAATTAACCTACATGCTGATAGATTGTAATTCAAGGATTAATATCATATTATCATCCTTTCTTAACCGAATTGGAAGTGGAATTCAAGTGGAATTGGTTGAGTTGGCTGTATTAATCATGTACAAATCATACTCAAATAAATCAATAGAACTATCTATCAGAGAAATCTTTAAATCGCACAAATGGACTCAGTTTTTATATCCTACAAACCAATAGAGTCTAAATCTGAAAGAAATAAATTTTTACCCGTTTTCGCCCGTTTGTGTAATTTGTTGTTTTAATATACAATGTAATGTAATCTTATAAAAATTGTCTTTTTGATAACAACCTTTATTATATTAATTTTATAAAAAAGTCGGAATAAATGATCGCAATAGAGTGTTTAAGATGAATGTTACTTTGATCGTTTTTTAGCAAATTATAAAAACAAGAATTACATTGAAAATATTTTTTATATGAATTAATGATGAAAATATTAGTTATTTTTAATTTCATCAGGCTGGAGTGTATCAAGCAGTGTGTCCATCCAATAACAGGAAAACTGATATCATTATCAATAGATTATTTAGATCGCCACTGCCAGTCTGACAGTTATTATTTAATCAGTTAATATTAATCTTAAGCGTTAAATGAGCTATCAATATTTACATACTTCATTTATCGTATATATTCATCATTGGATAAAAAAAGTTGAAATGATTATCATAATTGAAGATTATGGTTCGAGTTTAGATCGTCTTAGACATTCTGTTGGAATAGTATAAGCAATATCTCGAATATTAAGTACATCAGCTCTCAATTGTTCAAGCTCTTCCCGATAATTGGTCAACATTCCTGATAAATCATCTCGAGATTTTCTCAGTTCATCTGTACGATTATTTAAATCAGAAGCTAATAATTCCTTTTCAGCTTCACGTAATTTTAATTCTAAATCTTGCATATTTCCACCATCAACTGAATCAAGACCATCCAATGTTTTGATTATTAAATTAACTGTATCCAAAGCACCAGAGACTTTATTTTTAGCTTCAGATGCACTGGTTTTTGCTTGATTAGCTCGTTCTAAAGCTTCCAAAGCTAATTTTTCATCATTGAAGGTTTGATCAGCATAAGAGTTTAATCTTCCTTCTGTTTCACCCAATGCTCTGTTCAATGATTCGACTTCTCCTTTCATTCGTTCAGCTCTTTCCTTTGTTTTACCAGCTTCACCACGAATATCATTGGCATCAGATGAAGCATTATTAGCGATATCTCGAGCTTCAATGGCAATGCTTTTAGCATTGATAGCATCATTATAAGCACCAGTCAGTGCATCATATGCTTCTCGTGTTTTACTTGTACCTTCATTGATTAATTTTTCAATTTGAGGAACACGTTTCAATGCTTCTTGAGCTCGACCACGACTTTCTTGGACTGATTCATCGAATCGACGAAGTGTCTCTAAAGTACCGGTGGCTTCAGTTAAGGTTGAATTTGCTGCTTCAGCCGCTTTCTCTGCTGTCTTGTGGGCTAAATCAACTTCACTCAATAAATTGGAAGCGATATTTTGTTGTCTTTCTGCTTCTTTCAATAGAGCACGAACATCTTCCATTTGAATTTGAGTTCCATTCAATACATTCTCATAACGAGATAATAATGAATCAGCTTCTTTCATTATTCGACGAGCTTGTTCAACCAATTCCTTAGCATCTTGTTTCATGGCAGCAGCATTTACATTTGGAATGCTCAATGAACCAGCTTCAGTTAATAATTGTAATGAATCTTTAGCAGCTCGATCAGCTTCTTTTTTAGCTTCTTCAGCCATTTTACGAGTTCTTTCCAGTAAATCATTTATATCAACCAACTGTTTTTGGATAACTCGAATCTCCTCTCGATTACTTGAATGCATCATCATTGCTTCTTTAACTAATCTCGATGCTTCCTCTGAATTATTCAATGCTTCTCGAGACAATTTATCAATATTTTCAGCATTTTCTACGACCTTGTTAGATAATGATATTGCTTCCAATGATATCTCAGACATTCGACTCGATTGTTGTCCATATCTTCTAAATCTATCTCGAGCTCGCTCCAACGCTGGCCTTCCTTCCGATTCAAATATCTTTTTTGCATCACTCAATATTGCTTCAGCTCGATCTATTATATCTTCAGCTAAGCTCATATTTTGTTTGCCAAAATTGATCAAGTTATTCAATCCTTCCATTCGACTGTCAACCAATAAAGTTAGTTCCTTAACTCGAGCTAAGCGATTGCGAAGTGTGGACAATGATCCAACAAGGTTACGTCCATCTGAGCCCATTCGTCGAGCATCCAATACTAATTTTTCAGTTCTTTCGATCAACTCTTGTAATTGAGTTTCAAACTTTTTATCTTCGACTTCTGCTGGACTGTTTTGAATCTCTTCCAATAATAATCGTAATTGATTGAGTTTACTTCGATGCCCATTAACAGAGTCTTGAATCAATCCATAACAAGCTGGACAATCAATACATCCTGCTGTTCGGTTGAATTTGTTTTCTCGGCATCTTTCACATCTTCGTCCTTCCACATTGGCTATACATTCACATTGACCATTTTCTCGACATTGTAAGGACTTTGATCCAGTTCGATCACAATCACATTTTTGGCAACCTTTCTCGGAGAATCCATAATGATAAGGTTCACATTGGTCACATTTAGTTCCCATGATTCCAGGTCGACAATAACATTTACCAGTAAATTGATCACAAGTCCTATTATATGATCCAATTATGTTACAATCACACGATTTACATCCATTATCAGAGATATCCCAATATCCTTCCATACACTGATCACATTGTCTTCCCATAACATTTGGTTTACATTCACATTGTCCACTGCGAGGATCACATAGAACCAAATCTTTGCCATTTTCATCTTTAACCACCAAAGTTCCTGTTTTATAACATCCACACGATTTACAATCTCCTTTAGGATAACTCAATGGGTCGCCAAAGAATCCTGGAAGACATCTTTCACAGCGATCCTAAAAAGTGGAAAAATCATTATATTCTATGATTCTTATAATTGCTATAACTTACTCCTCCAGTATTGTAAAGGCATTTCAAACACTTTCCAGTTTCATGATCACAATTACCAACAGCATTCTCATCGATATTTCCACTGCAATCGCATCTTCTACAAGAGCCATTTCTCATTGGATCACCAAAGTAGCCATCAGCACAAGTCTGGCAAGATCCTCCTGAAGGGATTTAAATTATGAATTTAATCATTGATATCAATCAAATACAATGCACGGAGAAACCTGTTATTAGTTCATTTTACTGTATTTAGTAGTTATTAGTCATGAAAATCCGTGTCATTGATGTACCAATAGACAGAATCAGAGAAAACCCGATCCAGTTGTGTGAAAATGTAAATTTAGTTGAACTGAAATGTCTCTTTTTATTCTGTATTTCATGTAATTACTTGAGTACTTTCATTAAATCTTATTTTATCTTATTCTCTGCATCATCACTGTAATTTTTGTATCAAAGCCAACAGCTCAGAACGTTAAAAGAAAGTTTAACTGTGAAAATAACATGGGATTCATCACCATTACCGTAATAGAGACAGATCATTGAAAAGTAAAAGTAAAAGGTTGAACAAATGTTAAAAGGCAAATTGAACTCTTTTACCTGACTGGCAAGAATCAGCATAAAGTAAAAGCCTGAAAAAAAGAAATAATAATTAATAAATTTTATTCCAACTTTTCAATTCAATTGACCTTACTTGCAACCTTCTGAAGAAAGATCATGAAAGCCTTCCTGACATCTTTCACAATGAGGTCCAGCAGTGTTGCCTCTACAATTAACACATCGACCACCATGTCCAGTTTCAGCCAATAGTTCAGGATCAAATACACATTCAACAGCTCGTCCATTACAATTACATGCTGATGAGAGAAAAATTAAAATGTATTAATACAACTTTTCTGATCACAATTAGCTCTGAATCAAGCAAACATGAAAACTTTGAAATCAAATGTATTACATTCCCAAACTGATCTTTTTGTATTCCAAACTTCAAGTCCAATAGCATCGACTAGGATATTTGTGAATAAAATACAATAAAATAGCACAAAATTTAACACAACTTTCATTGTTTCAACGTTAAGCTGTTTCACTTTTATCAAATTACAATTAAAGTGGACACAAGAATGAAAAAATTGTGTTATATTTCATTAAAATATAAGACAAAGATTCATATTAAGATGAAATTTTAACCATTATTAACTTAATTGCTACAAAAAACACAAATTTTAATTTGATTCTTTGTTTAACTGACTTTCTCTTCGTTTTCACTGGACTAACAATTGAGAATAAATAAGGCAATAGAAACTTGATTTTAGTGATGTTATTGCTATTAACGGGAAAAAGGTATAACCTGTACCGCAACTTTTATATGAAAATGCGTAGGTTAGGATTCGGCCCACTTTTGGTTAAAGTTAACCATGATAACCAAGTCCCTACTAACAAAGTTAATAACTGGACTAAGCTTCACTGGGCCTCATTGAAATATGCAAATTTTATAAGAAATGATCGGAGTCAATCAATATCAGCGTATCAACTCAAAAATTACTCAAGTCGATATTCATGGGCATCTTCAAGAGTTGCCAATGCTTGTTCGTACAACATGAGAAGCGTTTTTCATATAAATTGCGATTTCAATTGTAAATGGTTGACAAACGAACATCGATTGACTTCATAAGGATCATTTGCACTCAGCAGCAAGATCGGCTTATTTTTAATGAGAAAAGTCCTATTTGCTATTTAATAGACTGTCACCGAACAGTATTCATCTTTGCTGCTAATAGCGTAAAATTTTGTCAAATCTTGAAAATATTTCGAGAATGGGTTCACCTACGGCCATTATTCTTTCATCAAATTGATAAATTGATGCTTCACTATTTAATAACTCAATTCACTCAAATAACTTTCAATTATCGCATCTGAATTACGATATTTGGACTTTAAATGTGCTTAAAACAACTTATTAAACAAAACAAACTCATCTAAACCCATTTCTTGCTAAATAAACCATTTTTCTGGTTTCACTTGCATTTTCTGGCAAAATGAAATGTAAAAAGGACTGCTAAAGGCTCGAACATTGCAGAAAAGAGTTGAGACTTGGTCCGTTTGTAGGGAAATGTAAACTAAATCTATTGGTACTATTAAATAATTGATTCGATGAACCATTTGCGAGAAAATCGAGGTCAAAGTTGAAACTTTGATCGCCTTTTCTTCAGCTATGGAAACAGATTTTTACATGAAACTTATTTTAACGATGAAACTTTCGATGAGCGACCAGGAAATGTACTTATTTTGATCAATAAAGTTTTCTTTTTTCTTTGAAGCAGATCAAGTCCATTTTCAGTTAAACTTGTCGCATTTTGTGAGCGTAACAATTAGACAGCTGAAGCTTAGGATTCTCAAATAAAAATTAATAGCACACATCATGGCTTAAACACTTTTTGCGATTTCTCTACAGTTCTCTTGAATTTGGCCATTGGCCTTAAAACTTTGAGCCTCGATATTTCGTGATTGGGACCCTCTGGAATCATTATTCCTCCGCCAATCAATAGATTTCATCACTGGCTGTTATTGTATAAACTTTAGTTGCAACAAAAAAGCTATAACATCGGATTACTATTGATGTTAGATTTGAGACTTTTACTCATAAAGATAAATCGTTTCTCAAACCCAAATAGAAATAAATCCGCAGAAACCGGTGAAAATCAATATTTTTGTCTCTTTTTATTTGTTGAGATATAAAAACTGAGCCTATTTGCGCGATTTAAAAATTTCTATGATAAATGGCTCTTGAGAAAATCGAGTTCAAAGTTGAAACTTCGATCGTCGTTTGTACAATTATGGAAGTAGATTTTATCATGATGCTTATTGTACTGATGTGACTTTTGATTGTCAACCAGAAAATGCACCTCTTTTGAGAAATAACATTTTCGTTTTCTGTTAAACAGATCAAGTTCGATTTGAAATTAAAAGTGTCGCATTTTGTGACCGAAAGATTTAGAAAGATGAAACTTAGTATTTGTCGATAAAAATTAATGGTACACATCATGTGATGCTTATTTTTCGAAATTTCTTTACAGGTCTCTTGATTTTGGCCATTTACCTAAAAACTTTGGCCTCGATTTCCTCGAGAACAGTTCATCGATTCAACTATTTAATAGCCCCAATGGATTCAGTTTCCATGTTTCTACAATAATACCAAGTCTCAACTCTTTACTGTAATGTTAGAGCCTTTAGCGATACTTCTTACATTTCATTTTGCCAGAAAATGCAAGTGAAACCAGAAAATTGGTTTATTTAACAAGAAATGGGTTTAGATGAGTTTGTTTTGTTTAATAAGTTGTTTAAAGCACATTCAAAGCCCAAATATCATAGTCCAAAAGTTCTAATTGAAAGTTATTAAATTATATTGAATTATTAATTAGTAAAGGATTGAATTAGTGAAAGAATGATGAATGTAGATGATGTCATTCTCGAAATATCGAGGCTCGAAGTTCTAAGGCTAATGGCAAATATTAAGAGAACTGTAGACCCATTGAAAAAAATATTCAATCTATGATATGAACTGACACATTTTATGCACTTATAATGAGTTTCAGCTCTCTAACTTTTAAGATCACAGAAAACGATCGGTTCAACATAAAATCGAACTTATCTGTTTTACAGAAAAAGTTCTATCCCTCAAAATAACTGCATTTTCAGGTTATACATCAAAAGTTACATCAGTTAAACAGTAATTCATGAAAAAATCTGTTTCCATAGCTGAACAAAAGACGTTCGAAGTTTCAACTTTCATTTCGATTTTCTCGAAAACTTTTCATCAGCAAACTTGTAAATCGCATCAATGGACTCAGTCTTTATGTTCTCAAGCTACAGCTATTAGCATTGGTCTTATTAGGTCTCAATAACTCGCAAATCAAAGTTTTATTCAAACTCTTTTCCACCTTTTTAAACATTCAAAGTGAGAAGCTTTCATTTTGATTTTGCTAAAGGAATCAATGTAACTGAGATTGTAATGATTTACTAGATGAATTAACAATCAAGTCTTCTCCTTTCGGTTTAATCATTTTATACTAAACCAGAAAGGATGCTTTGTTAGCCCTTTGGTTTAACCATAATTCGTATATGGAAGAACAATCAAGACTTAATTAGCTTCACATCGGTGGGAAAATAACTTATAAACCTTATTTGAGTACATCATTAGGTAAATGGCCAACATTTACGTCACAAGATTGAAATACAATTTATCTTTCATGGATTTACACAGAATCGGAATGAAAGTGTTGTAAAAGATTTCACTCTCAATTAATGTATAATTATGTTAAATATTGTATCGCTATTGGTTTAGGTTTTGATGAAAGAGTTGAGACAAGTAAGAAAAATATTGAGAAAATATTGGAATAGGAATCAGTTTATTGAGTTGAAGGCGTTTATTTGAATTATTTTTGGAATCAACCAATGAATCTGAAAGCATAACTATTTAAGTCTCGATACTTTTAACAAGGCATAATTAACCAGAAAGGCAAAGTAAAGTAGGTTGGGTTGAAATGAATATCTGGTTGAGAAAGAAAATTGGTTGACTTTAAGCATGAAAAATGCGTTTGCGATCATCAAAAGTTGATAATCAACATTATCATCTTCATCTTCATCTCTCTATCAACTAATCACTCCCTGAATATCTTCACATTTCACCAATTTTTCTTTTTCTTTTTCCTCTTCTTTTTTTCCCTGTTTACCATCAAAAGCAATCGAAACCAATCGAAACCAATCAACATCAATTACAATCAACCATCAAAGGAGAACCAATGGTAATAATTGTATTCCAATCAACAAGTTATTGTGATTAATTATTATTCTGATCATCTTTTAAACTGTTTTCATTCAGGATGAAAAAGAGAGGAGAAAGGCTGAAGTCCGAGCTCGCCTTGAAGCTCAAGCTCGTAAGAAGCGAGGTTTCATGACTCCTGAAAGGAAGAAGCGACTCAGGGTAAGTTTAATTTAATTGTTATTAGACTCTCTTTTAATTCAATATTATGTCAGAATTTACTTCGACGAAAAGCTGCTGAAGCATTGAAAAGGGAACAAGAACGAAAAGCCGAGGAAAGACGAAGAATCATAAGAGAGCGAACAGGAACCCCGAAAAATTTGGACGGTGTTAATGAAGGTAATCAGATTGATTTGATTTTCTGGTAATTACTAAATTAATTTATCTTATTAGCAACTCTTCAATCCATTGTGAAGGAATATTATAAAAGGATTCAAGATCTTGAGAGTAAAAAATGGGATCTTGAAAGAGCAACCAGAGTTAAAGAGATCGAGGTAATTGTTATTGATTTACTTCTGTTAAATTGTTACATTTGTTAATTTAATAACCAATTTTGTATTAGTTGAAGGAACTCCAAGAGAAAGTTAATGATCTAAAGGGTAAATTGTAAGTAAATCTTGACATAAATCATGAAATGTGAATCTAATTATTGTTGTTAATTTTAGTGTTATCCCACCATTGAAGAAAGTATCAAAAACTGCTAATCAGTGAGTATTGTTACCGTGTTTCTTGAGATCAATTGTAACAATTTGTTTCATGTAATCTTTCAGATTGGAAAAGATTCGCATGTTCACCGCTCGAGTTAGCCAAATGGATTATCGTAATCAACTGAAACAAGTTCAAAAAAAGGATTATCGTTTGGAGGACGATGATGAAGTTGTTAGCAAAACATCTAAACCTGAATGGGCTCAACCTAAAAGCAAGACAACCTCAGTATCTGAAGCAGTTTCCGAGGTTGTCTCTGATGCTGAACAAGATGATTATTGAATGTATTAATTGTTGCAAAATGAGCGTAAAATTATCAATAAAATAAACTAATCATTTATTTAAAATTAAATATAAAATTGTCAAAATTAAACTTACCTTTCCATTAAAACAAATAGACCAGAAAAAAGAGCATATTCATTAAAAGCATAATTATACAGACTTGAGAATCGCGTAAACGTTTATTACCAAATGTTATGCCGAACCAGAAAAACTTAAGGACAATGTTTTTTTTGGGTTTTCAATGTAATCTTTTTCATCTCGCCTCTCTTCCTTTACTTACTGTTGCTCATCAGCTATTTATGACTTCATCTTCCTTCCTCTTCTCTCCCTTTCTCTGCTCATTTCCATCATCTTCAAACATCGGTTTTACTTTTACGGAGAAAGGCGTTAATATCAAAACATATTTTTTACATTTTACATATTTGAGAATATTTTTTACATCACACACTTTATGACCAATCAAAAAAATCCAAATTAAGTCAATATTAATAAAATCTAACAACCTGGGAACGTTCCCTGGTTGTTAGATTTTGTTTAATTGATGATTAATTAGGCTTCAACAGACGTAAAACTCATTGCTCTTCATAATGATTCCTCATGTGAATCTTTCCTCTTTTTTTCATTCTCTTCCCTCTTCTTTCAGCATTCTCATCCTAAACTCTTCAAAGCTGACACCTTTGAACATTATTTTGGTTTAATTTATCTATTATTATTAATTAATTTATAATAATTTTTTTCTTTTATCTTTCAATTTAACGAACTGCAACGAGAAGTTATATGATTCAATATCGAGGGCTAAGGCCAAGTCTTTCGGATTCAAGAAATTTTTAGAGTGGCTGACCTGTCCATGTTGATAATCAATTTTTTTAAGCCCAACTAGCCTCCCCAGAAGTCAGTCGTTATATAAGTTTTCTGGTTCTAAACGTCTTTTAGTTTTAATTATTTATTTTCTTGTATTTCAGTCAGTGTTAATCAAAAACATCCTTAAAAATACTTCCACCATTGGCTAAGTGTTTAAATGCCTTCTCATATGTTCATTTTGTAACGCCTTTCTCCGTAAAAGTGCAACCTTACCCTTCAAACATCGTCTGTTTAAGCCCTCTGATTAAGTCTTGTTAGGAGTTTAGTCTTCTTTTCTTCTTCTTCTTCTCCTTTTTTCTTCTCTTTCTTCGGCAGTAGAAGAAAAGATATCAAGTGTAACAAAAGTGCAAATATCATGCCACTGTCGATTAATTGTGTATTGATTTATCAATTAATCATTGTCTCAACATTAGTGGTAAATATTTTGTGTCAACCATCGTATTATAATGACCCACTCAATCCATTTCCATCTTTAAATGCTGCTCAAAGATCATGTTATGATGAACAAGGGAAAGCTCGTCGTTGTGTGCCACCCTTTGAAAATGCTGCTTACTTAAGGCCGGTTGAAGCAACAAACACTTGTGGTGAAAAGTATCCTTACTTGACAACTTATTGTGAAAACAACATCAGTGCAGATGACATGCGAACTTGTGATGGCAAGTGTCGCCGTGGAGATCACACAGTTCAATATATCAATGATTTCCATGATAATGCAGCCCAAAGTTGGTGGCAAAGTGAAACAATGTATGATGGAATTGAATATCCTAAAACCGTTAATATAACTCTTCACTTGGGTAAGTATCAAAAATGTTTCACCAGATTATTCATTTTTGGGTGCTAATTATTTACAATTTTTGCTTTTCCAGGAAAATCTTATGATGTCACTTATATTCGTTTATTATTCAATTCACTTAGACCTGAAAGTTTGGCCATTTATAAACGGGAAGATGAAAAAAGTGATTGGACTCCATTTCAATATTTCAGTGGAAACTGTTTAGATACATTCAATGTGTCTGAGTCTCGAGAAGTTCCTGATTCACAGCCAGATAAAGTTTTATGTTCAAAAGAGTTTTCAGATATTTCTCCTCTATCAGGTGGAAATGTTATATTCAGTACGCTAGAGAATAGGCCAAGTAATAAAAGATATGATCAAAATGCTGAGTTACAGGTAAGTGGAGTGATTTACAGTTTACAATAAAATAGTAAATATTTTTTTGTATCGATAAATAAACAGAAATTTGTTGCCGCAACGGATATTAAAGTTGTTCTGGTTCGACATGGTACATTTGGTGATGAAATTTTCCGTGACCCACCAGCACTTAAAACATATTATTATGCCATATCCGATTTATCTGTTGGTGGAAGGTAAGTTTCAATCACTAATTTATCACCTATCAATATTTGTAATTCAATTTTTCTACTTTTCTTTAGATGTAAATGCAATGGTCATGCCGATGAATGTAAAACACAGGATCCAAATGATCCTTACAGTCAATTGATGTGCGTTTGTCAACACAATACAACTGGAATAAACTGTGAAAAATGTTTGCCTTTGTACAATGACCAAGAGTGGGGAGTGGCGACGTTTGAAGATGCACATGAATGTCAACGTAAGTTATGAATTTTCAAATCATACCTTTTCCCCGTTACTAACAAAATCAAGTTTAACTTTCTATTTTAAATTGTGTTTATTCGTAAAAATTAAGCTAATAATGGTTAAAATTTCATCTTAATATGAATCTTTGTCATAAATTTTAATGAAATATAACAATATTTTGTGTCCGAATTCTGATTTGAAAAGTACTGTTAAAGACTAAATAATGGAAACTGTTTTGAATTTTGTGACATTTTATTGAGTATTTAGCCATTAACAAGTTGGAGTTTGGTTTACAAAGGAGTCAATTTGAAAATTATGTTTTATGTGATTTAAAAGAGTTAAATGTGTACAGTGATCAAAGTTTATTATTACAATCAATTTAATTATTTTCTCATCAGCATGTAATTGTAATGGACGAGCTATTGAATGTGTTTTTGATCCTGAATTATTGGCTGAAACTGGAAATGGTGGTCGATGTATCAATTGTACTGGTAATACTGCTGGGCCTAACTGTGAAAGATGTCAAGAAGGTTACTATGAAAACAATTTTGGACGATGTGTTGCTTGTAATTGTGATAAAACCGGTAAGTAAATTGTTTCTTTATTTTATACAATCTTTATCAACTAATGCTTTACCTCTAACATTGATTCACATTGATTTATTAAATATAATTAAATAATCTCCAATCTATTAGGATCTGTAAACACTCAATGTAGCAGAGATGGTCAATGTATTTGTAGACCTGGAGTCGCTGGTGATAAATGTGATCGATGTGCAGATAATTATTATGATTTCTCTGCACAGGGTTGCAAGTAAGTTAAATTGATTTTATAGATAATATTTGATTGTTTAACTAAATATTTAATCATTTTTAGGCCATGTGATTGTAATGTACCTGGAAGTCTTAATAATACTGCTCAATGTCATCCTATTATTATTGATTTACTCCTGTTATATATTTTAATTAATTTGTTACATTTTTTAATTTGTTAATTTAATAATCAATTTATGTATAAGTTGAAGGAACTCGAGTTAGCCAAATGGATTATCGTAACAATTTGTTTCATGTAATCTTTCAGATTGGAAAAGATTCGCATGTTCACCGCTCGAGTTAGCCAAATGGATTATCGTAATCAACTGAAACAAGTTCAAAAAAAGGATTATCGTTTGGAGGACGATGATGAAGTTGTTAGCAAAACATCTAAACCTGAATGGGCTCAACCTAAAAGCAAGACAACCTCAGTATCTGAAGCAGTTTCCGAGGTTGTCTCTGATGCTGAACAAGATGATTATTGAATGTATTAATTGTTGCAAAATGAGCGTAAAATTATCAATAAAATAAACTAATCATTTATTTAAAATTAAATATAAAATTTTCATTACAAATAGACCAGAAAAAAGAGCATATTCATTGAAAGCATAATTTTACAGACTTGAGAATCGCGTAAACGTTTATTACCAAATGTTATGCCGAACCAGAAAAACTTAAGGACAATGTTTTTTTTGGGTTTTCAATGTAATCTTTTTCATCTCGCCTCTCTTCCTTTACTTACTGTTGCTCATCAGCTATTTATGACTTCATCTTCCTTCCTCTTCTCTCCCTTTCTCTGCTCATTTCCATCATCTTCAAACATCGTCTGGAATGTTTACGTTCTCTTGCAAGCTCCAAGTTGACTAAAATGTTTACATCTTCATCTTCTTCTTCATCTTCCTTCCTTTCTGTCTCCCTTTTTTTCTCTGTTCATTTTCTTCATCTTTAAACATCGTCTGTTTAAGCCTTCTTCTTAGGTCTTGTTAGGAGTTTAGTCTTCTTCTCTTCTTTTCTTCTTCTCCTTTTTTCTTCTCTTTCTTCGGCAGTAGAAGAAAAATTATCAAGTGTAACAAAAGTGCAAATATCATGCCACTGTCGATTAATTGTGTATTGATTTATCAATTAATCATTGTCTCAACATTAGTGGTAAATATTTTGTGTCAACCATCGTATTATAATGACCCACTCAATCCATTTCCATCTTTAAATGCTGCTCAAAGATCATGTTATGATGAACAAGGGAAAGCTCGTCGTTGTGTGCCACCCTTTGAAAATGCTGCTTACTTAAGGCCGGTTGAAGCAACAAACACTTGTGGTGAAAAGTATCCTTACTTGACAACTTATTGTGTTCAAACACCCAACCGTGAAGATCGAGTGCGAACTTGTGATGGCAAGTGTCGCCGGGGAGATCACACAGTTCAATATATCAATGATTTTCATGATAATGCAACCCAAAGTTGGTGGCAAAGTGAAACAATGTATGATGGAATTGAATATCCTAAAACCGTTAATATAACTCTTCACTTGGGTAAGTATCAAAAATGTTTCACCAGATTATTCATTTTTGGGTGCTAATTATTGACAATTTTTGCTCTTCCAGGAAAATCTTATGATGTCACTTATATTCGTTTATTATTCAATTCACCTCGACCTGAAAGTTTGGCCATTTATAAACGTGAAGATGAAAAAAGTGATTGGACTCCATTTCAATATTTCAGTGGAAACTGTTTAGATACATTCAATGTGTCTGAGTCTCGTGAAGTTCCTGATTCACAGCCAGATAAAGTTTTATGTTCAAAAGAGTTTTCAGATATTTCTCCTCTATCAGGTGGAAATGTTATATTCAGTACGCTAGAGAATAGGCCAAGTAATAAAAGATATGATCAAAATGCTGAACTACAGGTAAGTGGAGTGATTTACAGTTTACAATTGTGTTCAATTACAACAGTGTACAATAAAATAGTAAATATTTGTTTCTATCGATAAATAAACAGAAATTTGTTGCCGCAACGGATATTAAAGTTGTTCTGGTTCGACATAATACATTTGGTGATGAAGTTTTCCGTGACCCACAAGTACTTAAAACATATTATTATGCCATATCCGATTTATCTGTTGGTGGAAGGTAAGTTTCAATCACTAATTTATCACCTATCAATATTTGTAATTCAATTTTCTACTTTTCTTTAGATGTAAATGCAATGGACATGCCGATGAGTGTAAAACACAGGATCCAAATGATCCTTACAGTCAATTGATGTGCGTTTGTCAACACAATACAACTGGAATAAACTGTGAAAAATGTTTGCCTTTGTACAATGACCAAGAGTGGGGAGTGGCGACGTTTGAAGATGCACATGAATGTCAACGTAAGTTATGAATTTTCAATTGATAATTTATCGATAAGCTTCAGTGTCTAGAAAGTATGATAAAATAGGAAAATATAACAAAAGGATGAAATACCAAAAAAAGGGATTGGGAATGGGTTAGTAGCAACCCTGTTGCTAAGTGCTCGTAACTGTTCCGAGCGGCCGTTTTAAATGTCACTGAAAATGAATTTTGTTGTCAATCAAACTAATAAGTCCAGTTATCAGTGAAGACATTGTTTATCATGGTTAGTCTTGAATGACCAAAAAGTAACCCGAATCAAAGCCTACACATTTTTCGTTCAAAAGTTGCTATGCAGGTTATACCTTTTCCCCGTTAATAACAAAATCAAGTTTAACTTTCTATTTTAAATTGTGTTTATTCGTAAAAATTAAGCTAATAATGGTTGAAATTTACCAAGAATTTTGGTGAACTAACAGCTAGATGCGAGTAAGAAATCAGCGCAACAAGAAATGAACGAGAATTTGAAAAAAAATTAGCTATTCTCCCGCTCATTACCAAGTTTTTGGTAATATTTAGTTAAAAGAGTAACCCGGGTATTTAGCCATTAACAAGTTGGAGTTTGGTTTACAAAGGAGTCAATTTGAAAATTATGTTTTATGTGATTTAAAAGAGTTAAATGTGTACAGTGATCAAAGTTTATTATTACAATCAATTTAATTATTCTCTCATCAGCATGTAATTGTAATGGACGAGCTGTTGAATGTGTTTTTGATCCTGAGTTATTGGCTGAAACTGGAAATGGTGGTCGATGTATCAATTGTACTGGTAATACTGCTGGGCCTAACTGTGAAAGATGTCAAGAAGGTTACTATGAAAACAATTTTGGACGATGTGTTGCTTGTAATTGTGATAAAACCGGTAAGTAAATTGTTTCTTTATATTGAACAATCTTTATCAACTAATGGTTTCACCTCTAACATTGATTTATTAAATATAATTAAATAATCTCCAATCTATTAGGATCTGTAAACACTCAATGTAGCAGAGATGGTCAATGTATTTGTAGACCTGGAGTCGCTGGTGATAAATGTGATCGATGTGCTGATAATTATTATGATTTCTCTGCACAGGGTTGCAAGTAAGTTAAATTGATTTTATGGATATTTTGATTGTTTAACTAAATATTTAATCATTTTTAGGCCATGTGATTGTAATGTACCTGGAAGTCTTAATAATACTGCTCAATGTCATCCAATTACTGGTGAATGTTTGTGCAAACAAAACGTTGAGGGACGAACCTGTGAAAAGTGTAAACCTGGATACTTTAACCTGGAAGGAACCAATGAATTTGGATGTTTGTCATGTTTCTGTTTTGGTCATTCGTCTGTTTGTGAATCAGCTGAAGACTATTCAGGTCATACCATAGAATCGCTCTTCTACAAAGATTCTGAAAAATGGACTGCAATTGATGTATCAGGACGTCAAGTCAATATAATACATAATGCTTCTGATCACAGTATTGGAGTGAAAGCTGGTTATGGATTGGATTCAATCTATTTAATTGCTCCTCATGTATTTTTAGGAGATCAAAGATTCTCATATAATCAAAATTTAAAATTCAATTTATGGATAAGTGATGATTCTCCAGCTTCCCAATTTGCTGATATAATTATTGAAGGAGCCGGGTTAACTTTAGCTCAACCAATTCATGGACAAGGGAATAAACTTCCCAATCGTAATTCCCAATCCTATTCATTTAGATTACATGAAGATGGTCAATTTGGTTGGAGTCCACGTTTATCTGGAAAAGATTTTATAAGTGTTTTAGCCAATTTAACAGCTATTAAAATACGAGTTGTGTACAGCTATGGTGGATCAGGTTATGTCGATGAAATTGGACTGGAATCTGCTCAACGTGGCTCTTATGGTAAATCAGCTTCATGGGTTGAAAGGTGTGAATGTCCAGCAGGTTATGATGGACAATTTTGTGAATCGTGTAAAACTGGATACAGACATGATCCACCGAGTGGAGGAAGTTTTGCCATCTGTTTACCGTGTCAATGTAATGGTTATGCTGATTTTTGTGATCCCTATACAGGTAAAGAGTTTAAGCCTTTTATTTCAATTCAACATAATTATCATTTAGGAATACAGTTGAAATAAATTGCTGGTGGTGGTAACTCTTAATTAACAATTATTTCTTCTCTATTTATATCTTTCTTCATCTTTTACATTTTTTCCCTGCTAACATTTTCCCTTCACTTTTCAATATAACCTGACTTTCTGGTGATGGTAATACAATTAACCCATTGATGGTGTTTAACTAAAAAGGCAAATGTATGTGTACCAACAACACTGGAGGTATTAATTGTGAATCTTGTGCTAGGGGTTACTACGGAAATCCATTAGATGGGACTGGATGTACTCCTTGTCCATGTCATCGTAATGCTGGAGCTTGCATTGTTTTACCAGACGAGAGTATCGCCTGTCTGGAATGTCCACAAGGATACGGAGGTAATGAATTTATTACTTGTATTTATTTCAATATATTATCGGATGGATTTGAAATACTTATTGAGCAAGAAATAGATAGACAGTGTTTAATGGGATGAAGATAATTTAAAATGAATGACAAGGACAAAAGCACTAACTGCTGCTTCCATTGAAACAACGTGTGTTATTTGCCTCAGTCAAAGTTACTTTTTAACGTTACTGAGATGCTTGGCTTTGATACAAAAATAACAGTGTTATGATGATGATAATGATGATGATGAGGATGATGATGAGGATGATGCAAAGAAAGCTTAAGATAAAATAAGATTGGAAGGAAGTATGAAAGTAATTACTTGAAATATAGAGAAAAAGAGAGATTTGAGATCAACTAAATTTAAATTTTCACATAACTAAAGCGGCTCGTTTCTCTGTTTCTGTCTGCTGATATATAATCAATAGATGCAAATTTTCATGGTTGATAACTATTAATAGCATTAAGTTTACAGTTAACAACCTTGCCTTTTTCATATGAGTAATTAATTATAATTAAATTCATAATTTCATCCTTTTAGGAGCACTCTGTGAATCTTGTATTGATGGTTACTTTGGCGACCCAATAAGAAATATTTCTTGTAAAAGATGCGATTGCAGTGGAAATATCGATGAGAATGCTGTTGGTAATTGTGATCATGAAACTGGAAAATGTTTGAAATGCATCCACAATACTGGAGGAGTAAGTTTGTTCATAGGAATTGAGGAAAAGAACAATGAAAATTAATGGATTTACAATTTTTTTTGATAATTTATTATTTAAGGATCGCTGTGAAAGATGTCTTCCTGGATTCTTTGGAGACGCATTAAGTTATCCTAAAGGGGATTGTAAATCGTGTGGATGTCATAAAACAGGAACTTTGATGGTTAAAGATGAAAGTGGAAAGGATTTGGCTCTATGTGATGCTCAAGGTGGACAATGTGAATGTAAACCAAATGTTATGGGAAGACAATGTGACCAATGTATCGAAGGATATTGGGATATTTCAGGGGAAAATGGATGTAAATCTTGTAATTGTAACATAATTGGATCATTTAATAGGACTTGTGATCAATTCACTGGTAAATGTTATTGTCGACCTGGAATCATGGGAACTAAATGTGACCAATGTGAACCTTATCATTATGGATTCTCCGAGAAAGGTTGCCAAAAATGTGATTGTGATCGAACTGGATCAAAGTCCTTACAATGTCGAGAAAATGGTCAATGTGAATGTTTAGCCAATGTGGAAGGACGAAGATGTGAAAGATGCCGAGAAAACAAATTCAACCGAACAGCAGGATGTATTGATTGTCCAGCTTGTTATGGATTGATTCAAGACTCTGTCAATGGACATCGAAGTAAACTCAATCAATTGCGTTTATTATTGGAAGAGATTCAAAACAGTCCAGCAGAAGTCGAAGATAAAAAGTTTGAAACTCAATTACAAGAGTTGATCGAAAGAACTGAAAAATTAGTATTGGATGCTCGACGAATGGGCTCAGATGGACGTAACCTTGTCGGATCATTATCCACACTTCGCAATCGTTTAGGTCGAGTTAAGGAGTTAACTGCATTGGTTGACGGCAGAATGGAAGGATTGAATAACTTGATTAATTTTGGAAAACAAAATATGACTTTGACCGAGAATATAATAGACCGAGCTGAATCAATATTGAGTGATGCTAAAAAGATGTTTGAGTCAGAAGGAAGACCAGCCTTGGAACGAGCTCGAGATAGATTTAGAAGATATGGACAACAATCGAGTAAAATGTCTGAAATTTCATTGGATGCTATGAGAATATCTAATGCGGTTGTAGAAAATGCTGACAGTATTGATAGATTGTCTCGAGAAGCATTAAATAATTCTGAAGAAGCTCAACGATTGGTTATGAAAGCAATGGAAATGCATTCAAGTAATCGAGAGGAGATTCGAGTTATCCAAAAACAGTTGGTTGATATAAATGATTTATTGGAAAGAACTCGTAAAATGGCTGAAGAAGCTAAAAAAGAAGCTGATCGAGCTGCTAAAGATTCATTACAATTATTAACTGAAGCTGGTTCATTGAGCATTCCAAATGTAAATGCTGCTGCCATGAAACAAGATGCTAAGGAATTGGTTGAACAAGCTCGTCGTATAATGAAAGAAGCTGATTCATTATTATCTCGTTATGAGAATGTACTGAATGGAACTCAAATTCAAATGGAAGATGTTCGTGCGTTATTGAAGGAAGCAGAAAGACAACAAAATATCGCTTCCAATTTATTGAGTGAAGTTGATTTAGCCCATAAGACAGCAGAGAAAGCAGCTGAAGCAGCAAATTCAACCTTAACTGAAGCCACTGGTACTTTAGAGACACTTCGTCGATTCGATGAATCAGTCCAAGAAAGTCGTGGTCGAGCTCAAGAAGCATTGAAACGTGTTCCTCAAATTGAAAAATTGATCAATGAAGGTACAAGTAAAACACGAGAAGCATATGATGCACTGACTGGTGCTTATAATGATGCCATTAATGCTAAAAGCATTGCCATTGAAGCTCGAGATATCGCTAATAATGCTTCATCTGATGCCAATGATATTCGTGGTGAAGCTGGTAAAACAAAGGAAAGAGCTGAACGAATGAAAGGAGAAGTCGAATCATTGAACAGAGCATTGGGTGAAACAGAAGGAAGATTAAACTCTTATGCTGATCAAACCTTCAATGATGAAAAATTAGCTTTGGAAGCTTTAGAACGAGCTAATCAAGCAAAAACCAGTGCATCTGAAGCTAAAAATAAAGTCTCTGGTGCTTTGGATACAGTTAATTTAATAATCAAAACATTGGATGGTCTTGATTCAGTTGATGGTGGAAATATGCAAGATTTAGAATTAAAATTACGTGAAGCTGAAAAGGAATTATTAGCTTCTGATTTAAATAATCGAACAGATGAACTGAGAAAATCTCGAGATGATTTATCCGGAATGTTGACCAATTATCGGGAAGAGCTTGAACTATTGAGAGTTGATGTACTTAATATTCGAGATATTGCTTATACAATTCCATCAGAATGTCTAAGACGATCTAAACTCGAACCATAATCTTCAAACATGATAATCATTTGATCACAATTTTTCATCCATCAATTTAACTTTTTTTATTCAATAATGACAATATACGATAAATAAAAAAGTATGTAAATAATGATAGCCCATTTAACGCTTAAGATTAAAATAATAGACTGACAGTAGCAATCAAAATAATAAAACTATTGATAATAATATCTATATCAAATTTCATGTTATTGGATGGACATACTGCTTGATACACTTCACCTGGACCCGATGAAATTAAAAAACCTAGCTTTTGCAATAAATCAAACTAAAACCGTCCAATTCTTTATTATATACTTAAGGCTATTCTTTTAAAATTATGATTTCCTTAAAATCAATTGTAATCACACCAAAGATGAATAAACTTTTCAATAAAGATAAAGATGCTACTGAAGCCGTCTGTATATTTCCAACGCACTTCAGATTAAGGAAAAAACCATCTTGAAAAGCTAACAAAAAGCAAGCCACTCCATAAAATATCATCTCACATTTTATCATTTTTAGCATCGAAATAAAATTCTGTTCAAAAATATCTTCATTCAAGTAATTTTCATTCTGTATTACTCTCGTTGTAACTTCATATTGGACAAAAGCAGCAAGGGAATGTGGTTAACTTACAGCTTCATAATTGTAAAGCGACAATCTCGAATAATGGATTTAAATTTTTACCATTAGCATAACCAGCTTCCTTCATGTTAAACTGGCTCCTGGAAACTAGCTTTGAGTGGACATTACATTACCTTGTAAACAGGCTGGTGAAGGAGAAACCATGACTTGAAGGCTTCATTTTTTTCTTCATAGTGAATATAATTAAGTTTCAAAACATGAGATAATCTGGAAGCTAAATTTTTGAAATGTTGATTCATTAATTTGCTGTTTAATTTTTCAATTCAAAATAACCCATTAAAGCCGATGAATGAGGAAACACGAGTAAAGTATAGTTGTTTGATTTTATTGTCATTAAACAAAAGATCAGTTACTATTTAAGTCTCCGTTAACAATCACGTATTATAAGCTGATATTAATATTTAAGGAAATGTTTTGATTGCAGTGAAATTAAGCTCGGAGTGTTTTGATGTATTTGAGTGAGTAAATGTCTAATGTTAAAGTCATGATCAAATTTATTAGGATCACGGATAAATGGTTAGATGAAAAAACGACAAATTAAGGTTATATTTTTAGTCAACTTTTTATGGAGAGTCAAATCATGAGAAACACAAACCAGCTAAAGTCTAATGAAAAACGATTACATAGGAATGGCTTATATGAAATAATAAGAAAAAAAGGCGGTGAACAAGTCGATCTAAAGATATCAGAATTAATCAAAGAATTAAAATTCGATTGAAGGATGAATCTGAGAGTTTGAAACTGAAAATTTTCTACAAAAATCAAGCAAGAAAAAGCGAGAAGAGATTAATGATTAGAATGATAATAGAGAAGGAGAAAGGTTGTGAAAATAAAAGATTGACAAAGTTGACTAATTGATGATTTATGATAAATTGAAAGATTGATAAGAGCAAAAATAGGAGATTTTTGACTTCTCCAGCAGCTAGGGAACAATTAAAATTTATCTAACACCTTGACTCTCCATACATTCCATAGATTTTATAAAACAATTCAGCAAGCGTTTTTTCATTTTACTTTCTTTTGGCGAAAATTGCACGTGAATTTGAGTGTTGAGGAGGTCCAACTCGTGGATAAAGATGAAGATGAAAGGATGTTAGTAAAATAGTCTTTTCCTGATATAATGGTTTAGGATCAGTTTTTTTTCTTCCAATCAGTCATTCAGGTACTCCCATTTCAGTTTTGCTCATCGAGTAGCAAAAAAATGTTTGTGTTGAGATAAAAAACATACAAGATCAATTATTAAACAATTCCCTGTCGTTCATTTGTATCACATCAGCTTGCGAGGGATAATAGACTTCAGTCCACAACCTCAAATCACTAACCTCAGCTGAGGGAGTCACAATCTGCAATGAAAAAGGATAAAATGGTTAGAATGGTTTGAAATGAGAAAAAGGGTTTTTAAATGCTTCAATTTGTGATTTAAATGTAATTAGGAATTATATTAAATTACAAGCACCTTGAAAAGGTTGATAAACGCCTGTAATTTTCTAATTGCTTTAATACACAAATTGGAAGACATTAAAGAGCATGGCGAATCTAATCGACTAATTATGCCGATCGTATTGCAATACACCAATATTTACAACTTTAATAGTAAAAGCATATTGAAATGTGTCTTACATGATCGTCTCCTTCTCTTGGTGAAAAATCTTTGTTAATAAATCGATCCTTCATTGAATCGAGATAAGACCAGAGACTAGGGGATCGCAGATAAACATTTTTTCTCACTCTATCTGCTATGTTGTTACAAAGGAAAGTTCCAAAGAGACACGAGTATGTATGATACAGAAGACATTCCTGAAAAAAAAGATAAATTGATAATGAAATGAGTAAAATTAGAGATCTTTCGAGTGCTGAAAGATTATTCTTAGAATGGACATCATAATTCAAAATACTGAATTTCATGCACCTATCTAAACCAAATAAAATAGATGCCATAAGTTGTGTTTTGTGTAAAAAGATGCGATGACGAGATATTTTAATAAATATAGACTGTAATATATAAAAAGAATCAGTCACCGATTATAAAATGAAAAATCTAATAGCACTAACTCACAAAGATACACTCACAGATAAAATGATGCCCTAATTGAAATTCAGTTGTATTAGTAAGCTTCCGATAGAAAGTTGAATTAAAAGCAAGTTTTTTTTGCGTAAAAATTTCTAACATAATTGAGTCACAATCGAGTTAAAAGGCTCAATACTTAAAGAAATATGATAAAATCAAAGATTAAAGGATATAAAAAAATACTAACCAAAAAGAAGGTATTAAACTCGAAGGCTTTTGGATCTTGAACGATCATCTGATGAATACTATCAAGCCACTGTAGGAAAATTGGACACTTTTCATAAGGATCGTCAAAGTCAGCATTCACAGCATTTCTATCTGCAAATTTATGGCCAAACTCTAGCCATTCTTTCTCAACAAGAACTCTAAATCCTTCATAAGTTCGATAAAAAGGATCCATCATAAGTTGAACTAAAGATACAAGTTGAGGCGTTCTATCCCATCCGTCTGAACAATGAACTAGAACAGAACGTTCATCTGCAATTGCTTCAACAATATTAATAGATGATTTAAGCAAACACGACAGGTAAAACAACCATTTAGAATTATTAAGAACTGTGTACCAACTGCAGAGAAAAGAATGAAAATTAGATAACGTTTAAAGAATAAAAAAATTCAAACATTGATTTAACAAAATTCAAACTTACGTTTCGGAATACGTTTCGTAATCACTAAGGAGACGTAAGGAGTTAAAGCTTTTTCTAATACTGTGTATATTGGCTAAGCCCATGAATTGTATTTCACACCAAGGATAATATTCGACACACTCACAACCGCCACCTTTTGCACGATTGATCATAGCTGCTGTATAAGATCGAGCGTCAACAACCAACAGTTTCTTTTCACTACTAGATTCCTGATTATTAAAGGTAATATCTTCCACCATGTCAGCATCCGATTCAAGGCTGGAATCACCAGTGGGATCTCCTTGATTAGCTTCTTGAAAAGGTGCGATATTTGCTCCATCGATGACATCTTGACCACCTTGGGCATTAGCGTCTGGAATCACCTCTTGACCTTGTGATTCTTGGTTATTGGCAGCATTGGCAGCATTGGCATTATTTCTATTTGATAAATTCATTGAATTTTTGACTATCAAAAAAGCAAAATTTTCATCCATATCACAGCGAGAGCCCCACCACCCAACATAGGGTTGACTACATCTGACAATAACACAACCATTTTTAAAGTATCTCCAACTAATAGCCGGCAGTCGACCTTGATAGCGGAAATTGGAAATGGTTTTAACATTATCATCATTGATATCAGCTGGAACAATTAAATATCGAGGATAACTAGAACAGAGTTCAAAATTTTGATTAGCAGTTGAAATCCTCCAACGAGGTTTGCTTTCTTTCAAATCTTCGTTAGATGTCTCACCGGCAGATGTATTGTCAATTTGGTCAGGAAAAGTGAGATCCTTGTGAAATCCAAGTCTAATGTACTCAAAATAGGTCAATGATTCTTCAACTTTACTAGGATTATTTAAATAAAGTGACTGAACTTTTGAAGTGAGCGGTGTTCTTATACGCGCATTAATCCAACTTAACCTTTCAACTGAGTAACAAAGCTCTTGGCCATTTTCTCTAGCTAGAGGTTGGTGTCGATTCTGGTGTTGATTTTGTTGTTGGTGTCTCTGTTCTTCTGAAGGTGGTGAAGGAGAAGGTGGTGGTGGTGATGGTGATGGTGATTCATGTGGCGATCTTGGTCTCAATTTCTGGTGTAATAGTACATTGTTATCTTCTACTCCTATCAGTTCCTGCTTAGCTTCGGTTACTAAATCATCTTCTTCATCTTCTTCTTCGAGATTATGTTGCTCTAATTGATTACACATATCACTAAGTTTATCATCATGGCTTTTTCGTTGGGGTTGATTTAATGTAGAGTCTTTTTTGTGATTGCCATTCTCAATTCCATCTTGATCAAGTTGCTGCTGTGGTTGCTCCCTTGTTGCTTCTTCAATGGTGGTTTGATTATGTTTTTGATCCACTAAAACTTCATCTTCTTTCGAGGGTTCAGCATTAGGTTTCAGAGCTTTAGCGTGTAGGGCACTATAATACTTGAAAGCAAATATGTTGTCCAGGTTTCTAAGCTCAGCAACAGCTTCTGTAAGTCTTTTATACCAGTAAACACATTCCGATGATGTCTCAAAATTACAGATAAAGTGGCGACATTGTTTTGTAAAGATGCTTAGTCCATTGTAATTCCTCAAGATTTCGTCAATCAATCCAATGGGTATACTGGCGATATTATCATCACTAAAGCACAATACCAACCTGTAGTCAGTCAACACAAGGGTCCCGCCGGTTGTTTTACCATTCTCCAATTCAACTTCACCAATAAGTAAGGGTAAATTCATCATAATTAAGTTTAATTCAGCTTGATAGTCGGGGTAGGGGAACAGTAACTGCTGTTTCAACACCCGCTCCGGAATTGATTTAATCCAATCCGTGGTTGGGCCGTTATAAAGAGAGATGTTTACTCTCTCTTTCACTTTCTCTGAAAAAACACACTTTTAATCCTCGCTTACTTTTCCTCCCCTATCACTCACCTAAATCAATAGGATCACAATTAAGGTCCAAGAGAAGGTTATAATAACTAGTTAACCAATAAAGATGAAATTGACCGGAAAACAATGATCCTAATTGGCTGACACAATTTAGTAAAAAAAACTAAAAACAAAAAGACAATCACAAAAATATCTAACACAAAAAAGCAAATGTTATCTAATAGCTCTCTAGATGGAGCCTGTTTTAATCATACTTCATAACAAATTTTTAGCGGCATCTTAAAACACTCAAACTGCTTAATCAAATCAATAAAAATCAACAATTTACTCGATCAGTTTATCAAGTAACGGGACCATTTGCTCGATAAACTGCTCCATAACCCCATTCCTCTAAAATTGAAATCATTTCGCTTATCTGAATTCTTATTGTTATAATTTTTTTCCTGTGTTTTTTTATTTATTTTAAGTCAATGATGGTTATTTAGTGCACTCAATCAGAGAAACATCATTTACAATGAATTATAACGTAATATTGATTCTAGTGATCCGATTTTATCTTTGTTATAGTGTTTTAAATCTACAAACAATCAACCAACTAGATATGATAAACCAGTTGAAAGGTTGGTTCCATTTTGATTATCGAGTCATTCACAGATGCATCATTAAGCTTGGAAAACATTGGTTTTCTTGACTGAAAGACGGATGACAATTTTAAAGCAAACCCCTTGCATTAATACTTACAAAAGATAACAAAAGATTAATTTAATTGATGTTTACCGGCCTATCAAAGGAAGAGTTTGCTTAACCTTTTCTAAATAATCTAATCTTCACAAAGTATTATCAACGAAAGGATTACAAGAGTTTACCATTAGGAAACTACCTTAATCTTTAATTTAATTTGGCTTGATCAGAAAATGTTGAATCAAGCTTTGCCCAGTCATTGTCTTGTTTCTAATTTTTTGCATTACTTGAATGAATTTCGTCAAAGTTTGAATTAAAAACAAATCGATGAATCCATCATTACATGATTTAATCGTTATGATTAATGATTAAACCATTTGGCTATTGATTGGAATATGATTAATTAAAGTTAAATATGAAATAGACTGATGAATGAAATCCAAATGAGCGAAAACACTAGCATAATTAGTTATATGCTGCGATCCACATGGAGGATATGAAGCAGATACTACACCTTGGATATAACTTATATCATTCTCTGTCCAAATTAAAGGTCCACCTGAGTCACCAGAACATGAAACGGATCCATTGGCATTAGAAGTACAAAGATTGAAACCTGGATGGTAAGCGCCAGGTTGGTTTGAAGCCAGACACACTTGATCAGTAAGTGTGAATAAATTTGCCGAATACAATATATCTGGAAACTGACCAGTTTCCATTGCACCAAAGCCGATCAATGTGACTGGTTGCCCAAGAGGATTCAAAGTGATGGGTAGTCTAATTGTTGCATTAGGCCGAGGATCAGGTTGGTCCAATAGTATAACAGCGATGTCTTGTTTAATATTAACTGGACCTGTAAAATTGAAACCTGGATGGACCATATAAGACTTAATTTTGAAGGTTAAATCGTTATTATGAATAAATGGTGTATTACGATAGTTGGGTAAAATACGAGCTCCGGTAACAAGGTCGACGCTAAAGAAATACAAAGTGTTAGAAAGCTAATAAAGGAAACTTGTGAGTGTAAACTTGATATGGTCAAACAATTGCATTTGTGTTTGACAAGAAAGACAACTCTGTCGGTATGGTCAACCGCATATAATACGTGGTATCGAACCTGTGACCTCTGGATACAGAACCAGACATCTTAGCCACAGGAGCGTATCTCACACTATTATCTCGAGTAATCATTTGAAACTTACGATTTTAAACAATGAGCTGCTGTTAACACGAATTGCCTTGCTATTAAGGCTCCACCACATCCGAGCATGTATCCCGTAAAGGGAACTTCCCATTGGATAGAAACATAATAAGGATATTTGCCTGGTTCGGCCGGAATGCCTTTAGCAATTTTTTCTTGTTGTTCTGATGAATCCTCTATGTCTGTTGATGATATAAGCTTTGTATATAAAATCATCATTAAAACTGTATAGCAAATCATTATGATATGATTATGATGATTATAATAAAATTAAACCAACATAACATTTGAGAAAACAGATTTCTTTATTTATTAATGTTGAAACAGTTGAAAAGTCTCAAACATCTACCCAGGTTGATTGGTGTTGGCAATATAAATTTGATATTTAGATGTAAATTCACAGAAATTAGATGTTATAATATTTCCAAGCTGTTAAACAGTTTAATCAAGAAAATTAGTTGATCAAATCTACTTCAAGTTACTGTTAGTTGTTTGATATTGAGATGTAAAATCTAAGAAATTAGAAGATTTTGTGTTTTTTAGTAATTGATAATTCTCAATAATTGATCACCCCTTAGACTATAGTTGCTAATTTAGGGTTTCCAGCATTAAAAAATGCCAGCAAATTGTCTGGTTAAAACTGGAGATTCAAAGGTTAATTGTTTGCTCAGGTGCGCCAACTAACTGTTAACCTAAATTTTAAGATGTAAGCTTATTAATAAATATGACAATATTTTAAAGAAATGTCTTGGAAAATGAAGAATAGATTTTAATTTTAATTTTTTTCACAGCATTGAAATTTGTGGATCAATGTTTTTGCTTGCCTGGTGGTTGAATCCATTTTTGCTTTGGATGAACAATAAGGACAAACGGCAAAGGGTTAATGATGATTCCGAATGAGTCAGAAGAGCAAAAGCAAGTTGAAAAGCAAAGAAATGCTTCAACAAATGAAACCAGTGACCAAATTAACGGAAAGGCGGTTTAACAAAAGAGTTTATATCTGCCAAGAGCGTTTTGTTTTCCTCTGATTGTTGAGATCATTTGCTATTCAATATTATTCAAGTGAAACAACTTCATTTCTGGTTGGTGATGGATCCAGACACAATCATCTTATCCTTCTGAGGAGAAGTTTTAATTTAAAAATTTACAGGTTACCAGTGTTTCTGTGTTGATGTTAAATTTTTGTCAACTTGTTCAGTTTTCAAATGGAAACATAATGATAGTAAACCTTTTCTTGATTTTAATTTAATTTAATTTTATGTGTCAAATGAACGACTAAATTATCTACAAATTTTAATTTATGTGTTTTCATTTTACCCGATCTTCAACTGTTGTTACATCTTAAACTTACACTCATGAAAATCTCTCATTGAAATTATTCAAGGAAATGATTTTTTTAACGAAACCAATCTATCTGAAGCTTATTAAAGTGTATATAATCATGTTCATCGCAGTTACTGTCTACTTTAACAATGTAAGTATATTTTCCTCCATGTTGATCAATTTTCTGAACATTATCTGCGCTTATTGCAGATCATTGTTGCTGGAGGCCGAAGCTTGGGAAACAAGAAGAAGGTTGTAATTATCGGAGAAATGGCTGATATGTATGATTTCCTTGCCAATTCCAGTCATGATTCGGACCAATCAGATGTATCATCACCCTACATTGATCCATCAGAAGATTATGATGACAATCGATGGCATCGATATCCGTCAAGATACACCAAAAGACGTGGTCAAACTCATCAGAAAAGTGTGTTTGTCCCAGTCGCTGCTTATTCAGTTACACATAGCCGAGTTCCTGGACCATCTAGACATGGTTCAATAAAACGTATGAAACATTGTAAGTTGTGAGACCAAAAAGACTAAATAGGTTGGACTAATATTTTATCCTTTTGGTTTTCAGTTAAAGATCGTCATTCCATGATGTATCCATCAGCATCGACTCCTGGACGAACAACTGAAAGTGCAGTTTATGGCTATCTCAATAGACCTGAAATTGTTGAATTTCGAGGTCAATATTTCTATGGACCCAATCCAGTTCCTTCTGCCAGTAGTTTACACGCAACTGCAGCCAGCTCTGAACAACCACTGATAGCACCTCCTGCCATAACTGGACATAAAAATACTCAACGGACAGGTAATTGTGTAATTACGATTGCAATCATGTCTCAATTGCTGTTGTTTTTCTTGGTTTCTTTGTGAGATTTACTTTTGTTGGGCCTTTCATTTAATAAAATTTTCTCTTCTTTCAACCAGGAATCGGACCTGGAGGTCTACTCTTAGCTACATTGCCACTCGTTTTAGCGCCAATGTTGAGTTATTTATTTACTCCAATGATAATTCCAGTAACAGCTACAATTGCCGCTGGTCGAAGACGCCGAAGGAAACGTGATGAGCCACAACTTAATACATCTTTACCAACAGTTGAATATACTTTAATGGAAGAGCCTAATGTTATTCCGTTGATTGACTTGACTAAACAAAATGTTTCAGAAAAAGAAACAACTAAACAAAATAGAACTGAAAATGATGAATGGAACAAAATGGAGTCCAGTAATCAACAATTGAGGGTTGTTAAGGTGAGACTTGATTGTTTGGTATTTATCGATTTGTTCAATAAATTGACATTTCATCTTATCCAATTTAGATCGTTGCTGATTTCCTACAGAAGGTCCATTTCAATGAGAAAGACAGAGACAAAGCAATGGCTAATTATTTACAATGCGACGGATTATTAACATCAAATGACCATTGTTTAGAGCGTCTTGGCTGCGAGTTTAGTGACCCAAGTAACAAAGAAGCCCCAATGTTGGACAGATCAGTGACATCAATGTATGTGTACCAAGGTAACAACTTGAAAATAACCAATTTAATCGCAATTTTCTTTCCATTGCAGCATTTTGAGTCACATCTTGGCGAATAACTTTATCAGCTTGAAATTTAAAGAAACCCTCAAAATTGCGGCCATTTATGGAAAGGATAATCCAGGTAAATGTTTCAAGTACAGATGCAGCAAGATAAAGGAGCCAATTCCAGTGATGAAACCAAGAAAATAATTTAAACTTCCTCTCATCTTATAATTAACTCATTTCTTTTCATCCAATTCACAATCCATATCAACCTGACTAATCATTATTGTCATCATTAATTTAAAAACCATGTCCTTTGATACCAAACAAACACACACAAAAAAAATGAATTAGATTAAAGAAAATAAAAGAAAGCAAATTTCTTGTGTAGATTTTTCTTCTTTAATTTGCCAAATTTGATGCCAACCCATTGCAGACCACTGGATAATCAGATTCATTCAATAAATGAGATAAATGCAAGACTGGTAACCATGAAAACTAAATGTCCATTGAGTGTAAAAAATTGGGTTAATCGGAAGCAAAGTAAAGTCTTCCATTTTTTACTCGCAGCTTCAATCTTTACAATTGTTCCTATTAATATATTGTTTGCCAGGAAATCAAATAATTTTGATTGTTAATCTTCTCCTTGGTTGAATCTCCATGTTATTGTCAGGAACCTTGAAATGAGAAAAGAAGAAGAAGAAAAAAAAGTAAATCAAAATAAGTGAATAACATCATTTTGTTTCAATAATACAAAACTTAAGGGTTTGGGTTTTGTGCTTTTATGCTTATTCTTACATTTGGATGGTTAGACATTAATTTAGGAATGAAAGATTAAATAAAACTTTTCATGGTTAGTGAGAAAACCGAAAATCTGATTGTTTAGGAACAATTTTTCACATTCAATCTGTTAAACTCACAATATATCAACAAACAAGGTGAAAAAAAGAGGCCTGAAAAAAAGAGGAATCAAAAAATTCTGTCATGTCCTTTGACACAAAACGCATTCACTACAAGAAAAGTGAAGGAAAAAAAATTCAACATCTAGCCAACCATGTACATGTTTCTCAGACTATGATGATGCTTTTGTTATTGTTTATAATGACGATGATGATGATGAGGAGGAAAAAAAGATGAAGAGAGAGAAACTCATGACTTCCCTTCTCATCCATCCATAGGGATCTGGAATAATACTCAATGCTCTTTGCACCCTGGAGACATGTTAAAAGCCACCACCAAGAAGGATATAATTGAAGAGGAAAGTTATTAAGTTTCCTCAAGTAAGTGCAAAAGAGGGTTGAGATGAAGATGATGATGAGGATAATTGTGGTTGTGGTTGTGATGAGAAAGAAATGCCTGTGATCTATCAGGGAGAAGAGTTGAACCATGTCAAGTGATGAATTGGAGTTAATGAAAAGAGTATAAAAAAGATGAAGTGAAATGAGAGGAAAAAGCTTGAAGCATCTGCAAAATAATATTATGCTCATAAGTTTGTCTTCATCATCATCATCATGTTTGTCTTTCATGATCAATAATTTGAAAAGCTTAAAGTTGATCACAAAATGAGTCTTAACTGAAGTTTACTTTTATGAATAAATGATTTCTCAATGAACACAAATTCCTTAGTCCAAAAGACTCAATATTAAAATTCAATTGATCAATGTTGGTTAAAATGTTGAAATTTGTAGATAACTCATGATGAAATTTTAAAAGGTTCAATGAAAAAAACAAGTAAAAACATGAATAAAACAACAACATCATTTAGAGTTATCGGTTGATTGCTGAAAAGATGGTAACAACCAAAAAAATGATAATAACCACACGTTCCGATAATAATAATAATCAAGGTTGCTGATCAATCTGTGATCAGATTTTTTCTTCATGCTTACTGTTTATATCAATTTTTCATCATCATCTTTTTTTGCTCATTTCATTCATTGAATTTTCCTGTTCACTTGTAACCATTATAATAGATGAACTAATCATAATGAAGAGTGAACAATCTGAACAAATAGAAGCAATGTTTAGCTAATTAAAAGCGATTCCCTGGTAATCAATTTTTTCCACTCACAATTTGTCCATAATAATGGTTAAACAATAAACTAATACAATAACGAGTGTGATTAATAAAGTCCGAATAACAATCAACATGGAAACAAATGATGATGATGTTAATCAGAAAGAGATATTCTTCAAACTAAACTGATTAGTTTCATCGTTTAACATGAAAGTGTAACAATAATAAGGTTAATAGATGATTAAATGATTTAACTTGCTCAGTCTCTTGAAGATTTGAAAATACAATTTTTAACCGTTTCTGCTGCTGCTCTTTAATGCCTGTCAATAACTGTTGGTTTCATCATGTTCATCATGATTATCATCCAATGATGTTTCATAAATGATTGTAACCTAGAAGTACGCACAAGAATCATGAAAATGAATTGGCCATGCTTGGTGAAGAGATGTGACCAGTTTAAATGAGTCCACCTGACTCTCACTTAATCCTCATCTCGCCATCTTCCCCTAAACTCCCCCTGACTCGTGGAAGGCTATTATCCACAGGAGGTTATCATGCAATTGAACAGCAAACAAGTTTACATGAACAAATGCAAGAAATGATAATCATGTGAAAATGCAAACCTAGATTTTCCTCCAAATTTTCAAGTGCTTCTTTCATGATGACTGTGGTGATTAAAGAGATGAAAAGTATCACGTTGATGGGATTTCATTGAAACTGTGAAACAATAAGGTTCAAATAGCTTGAGAAGGTCAATATTGATCAAATTTTGAGGATTAACAGTTCAATGGATGGATGGCTGTCTATCTGAATTAAAGCAGATTAAATTGTTGAAGAAGATCACGTTGATTTTCACTGATCAACTGATTCAATTACTATTAGCTTTGGTGAATATTTCAAGTAATCATTTTGAATATCCTCTTCAACCCTCTTTACGCCCTTAACACATTGTTCATGAACAACTTGTGTAACATAACATTTACATAAATATTTATCATGTAAATGCTCAATGCTCATGTTTGGTGAAATTTGTGTAAATTTACTTTAAACTGATTGAATGGGTTGATCACTGACGGTCTGAATACTGAAGGTAAAGACATTTTACACCTAAAACTGACCAACTTGATGTTCATTTTTATAGTCATTGTAGTCATCGATATCATGGACATGATTGCTTTTGATGGAAACCTGTCAAGAATCAAATTTAACCTTTAACGGAAACAAATTAGACCAGAAATAAAATATCAATCAGTGAAAGTGAGTTTCATGGATGCTGATTGTTATCATTAACTAGTTTCATCTTCATCATCAATCGTCATGCATGCCTGAGAACGTGATTTTTGTTGCTCTTCTTTACACTGAACCAGTGATAGTGACAAGCCTTATAAGTAGTGATGAAACATATGGAGAGTCTTGTTGATAATAAGCAATCAGTGGAATTGCCATCAAATGGTTCTTTGGGCAAAATATCTGATTCATTTGAGGATAAAAGTTATTGTCAAAGATCCTATAATAATTGTGATCATGATTGTTGAGGTAGGAAGATGATGAGAATGGTAAAAAACCTGGGCGTGGAATAAGAGATGAGATAAGGTGCTGAATAAGAGTAAAGATGATGAAAAAAAATAGAATGAGAAAAAAAGGAAATCAAAATTGCTGAGCTTAACATGAAACAAAATTGGATGAAAGTGAAAATGGTGTAACCTTATGAATATCAAAAATAAGACAACAATTGTGTGTATTGGGTTTGGGTTTGAACATTAAATGGATGAAAAGGTTTGGCTTCAAATGAATGGGAAAAAATTTCAATTTTCAATGATAGGGCTGAACAGATAGAAAGCTTTATTTACTAGTTTATCCGATGATATACACATGATCTCTTGACAGTCCATGGTATAAACATTAGTCAAATTGCTTTAAATCATGATATTATGAATGGTAAAGATAAGAAACTACTTTTGTAAATAAGAGAACAATTTACTCGATAGAAATGTTTGTTGATTTTTCCGGGTTAATTACACTTGAGATGATAATCAATGCGTGTTAATATATCAATGGATTCAATTGCATGTTTAATCAGATAACTTACCGGCATCACATGGGTTTATAGTTGGAAATGTAGAGAACAGAAAATTTATAAATATGAATATAAATATCTACCATCAGGTCCAATCATTGGTCTACTTGATTCACCACGTTTCGTTACTTTATCAACCAGTGCAAGTCTTGAGAGAAGATAATGATTAGATTAGTATATTTTTAAGAATTAACAAGATCGAAGTAGACAATTTATAAATTAAATACCTGGGACTGTAATTAGAGAAGAAAGCTCCATGTAACCTTAATTTACCTTCATGTAAATTATGATTATTATTATTACCATTGACAGAGCCATTGAGATCATTTTCAATATTTTTACGATTATTTATATTATCAATAGAATCATTTACTTTTTCATCGCCATTTTCACCATTTCGTCTCTCCATTGAATTATTATCATTATTGGTGTTATTGTTATTATTGTTATTTTTATCATCGTTGTAATCATCATCAATTAAACCAACAGCTTCTTCATCACCTGTAATCATCATAGAATCGTCATCTCCATCTTCATCTTCATTTCCATTGACATCTTCTTCATTTCTTTCTCTTATTCTTTCTCTCCATGTCCATGTCTATAACCTTCTTCCCTTTCATCATCTACTTCTGCATCTTCTTCGTCATCTTCATCTCCTTCAATGTCTTCTTCCATTTCTTTTTCTCCTTCTCCTTCTTTTGCTTCTTCTTTTATTCCAACATTTTCATCAGCTTCACATTCTTCATCACTTTTATCTCCAGATTCAATATTATTGGAAATCTTTTTACTTGGTTTACTTTTACGGCGTCGAGATGATGATGATAATGACAATGATAATGATAATGACGAAGACGATGACAATGAAGATGAATTTAAACATATTTTATCTCCAATATTATCTTCAATATTTGAATCTCCATTTGCATCAGAACCCATTTCTTTATTATCACAAATATTATTATTATAAATATTTTTTCTATTCATCCTTTTCATGTTCATTTGCTTATGATGATAATTATTGTAATAATTAACATTATTATTATCATCATCTTCATCACCATTGTTATTGTTGTTATTATTATTGTCATCTTTATCATTGCAATTAAAGGTTGAATTGTAATTGTCAGTATTCCCACTTATATCATCACTAATCCGAGATCTTTGGTCAAATTCATCGTCTTTACTTCCATCAGTATTATCATTATTTTTATAATTATAATTACTTGAACAATTTTTCATGTCGTTCTTTCCATCATCACCATTATTATTATTATTATTATTATTGGTATTTATATTATTGTTGTTATTATCACTTGTTAGTCTATTGCTCATGATATCGTCTTCTTCCATTGCACTTCCTTCAACACTAGAATTGCTAAGAAGACGAACTGCAGCTTTCTTTAAAAAAGATGCCGCTGAAGCCATCGACTTTTCTTTACGATTTCTTTTCAACAGTTCACGGCCACTTCCATCACTATGAAATCGAATAGTATGATGTCGAAGATTCCTTTTTTCACTAAAACCACGACCACATTCTTTACAAATGCATGGTTTATACCCTGTATGAACTCTTTCATGGCGATGAACAGAGAATATTCGATCAAATGTTTTGTCACAAAATCTACACTTGAATTGACCCGGAGCTGTTTCCTCAATATCACCAATAGGTTCAGTTATTTTACCCATTCCAATGTTTCCAATTCCATTTACATTGACATTTACATTTACATTACCAGCATTCAATGTTGCCCCTCCACTCGATGATACAGATGATATTGTACCGGTGGATAATGACGATGATGATGGTGATGATATAGATCTTGATACATTACTTGGTCCAATGTTTTGTAATTGAAATGAATTTAATCCACCAATATTTTGTTGGTGTAATTGTGATTGTTTAGGTGCTATGTTTTTTGCAAACACTGCTGCGGCAGCGGCTGATGCTGAAGATGATGATGAAGATGGGATTGGTGGAAATGATAATCCCATTGATGATGGTAATAATGATGAATGTAAAAAATTCAATAATGATGAATGTAGAAAATTCAATGAATTTGAAATAATGTTATTTCCCAAATTATTGATGTTGTTATTATTTGAATCTGAAAATGATTCAATTTTTAAATCAATTGGTTCATCCATTGATGTCATCCTATCATGACCATTGTTATTATTTTCATCATTCTCATTATTTATATTGTTGTTTAATTTCATATTATTATTCTTGTTTCTCATCATCATCATAGACATCATCATACTATTATTTTTATCATAACTCGGGTTAACATCTTCAACTTTTGTTTTATATTGCGGTTTTAAACTTAAATTCAATCCTTGACCATCATCTTCATCAATATTTTCATCTTGATCACATTTCGATTCTTCATCTGCGTCTTCTTGATTCATTCCTTCATGTCCTTCGTCTTCTTCTTCAATTCCAATGTTACTTCTCCGTCGGATATCATCATTATCATTACCAATTTTATGATCATCACTATTTAAATATTGGTTCATAAAAACTAAATTTGGTTGCAAAAATGATGGCATAATCAATGAACGAGACGATTGTTGTGATTGCTGTTGATGTTGGTGTTGTTGAAGTTGTTGTAGTTGGAGTTGTAATTGTTTTTGTAAATGTGGATGGTTATGATCTTGTTTAAGTTGATTTTGTAGTGAATGATGATTCTGTAGTTGAGATTTGCTTTTGATATTATTAACATTATTTTGATTTTTAATGTTGTTGTTGATGTTGTTACCATTACTGTTACTATTATTATTATTATTATTATTGCTATCAATTTCTTCACCATTATTAAGAATAAAATTATTCACAGACTGATCCATTGCTTTGTGTAATTGTTCATGTAATTGTAATTCACTTTTCCATTTAAATGTTGCGCCACATTTATCACAAGTTAAATTTAAATTGTTTGAATGTAATGACTGAATATGAATACTGACAGGTTCGAGACTTGGAAAAGCAAAACCACATAAACAACATTTGTACAATGAATAAGTTTGCTCGTTAACTGGATGAACACCTTCTAAAACAGATATCAAAACTTTCTCTGATTTAATTTGTAAATTTCTTGGAGATAAATCACCCTGTAAACCGAAATCAATTAATGGCAAATTTGATGCTAAATTTGAAGTATTAGCAGCTATTGATGACATTTTTTCTTTATTTGCAGTACTTGTTGTTATTGGTGTTGTTGTTTTAGCTATAGATTTGTTGGATTTGTTGACGATGTTAACAAAGATGATGCTAATGAAGGAATCAAAGATGGTGATGAAACTGATGATGGTAATGATGATGATGTCAATGTAGACGCTGATGATGGTAATAATGTTGTAGGTACAAACGGTATTGAATTAAGTGTAGATGTATGTGAGGCTGTAGTTGTACATGATGGATAGGAACTAAGTGAAATAGGAAATTTTAATCCATTCAGAATACTGTTTGATTCAATTAATGAACCAGGTATTTGGAGAGGGTTATTTGTAAGAACATGTTGTGGTTGGTTGTGTTGATTGTGGTGTTGTTGATGTTGAGAAATAATATCACTAGAAATACCATCGTTAAAACTTTGATCATCACAATTTTCACGAGCCTTGTTATTTTTATTATGCTTCACATTAGTATTTCCAATTGGATCGTCCATTTCTCTCAGTCTACCAATAAGTGGTTGATCCCTACGTTGTTGTTTGTTTCTCTCACCAATACTGCTACTATTATTCAAAGCACGATTATTGTTTTGATTATCCAATCCTGTACCAATACCAGAACCAGAACCAGAACCAGAAAGTGTACCAGTTCCAGAGCCAATACCAAATAATCCAACTCCACTTATAACACTAGAACCAGATTTATCGTCTACCATTTCTCGTTTCATCTTACAACTTTTTCGATTCAAAGATTTCAAGTTAAATGACTCATTTTTACCACTAGATCCGGTACTTGTATTACCAGTTCCATTCTCGGCTCCATGTTGACTTTTAATATGGAAATCCAATGTATGGTCATATTTGAAACCTTTTCCACAGGCAAAACAAACATATGGATGTTGTGTGATATGTCTCATTAGGTGTGCTTTAAGATCTACTTGGGTTGCAAACGTCTTATGACAATCAGGACAGGGAAAGCGCTTATCGTTGCGTAACATTTATTGCAAATTGTGAGAAATTAGAGTACTAAGCATTCTAAATCCTTTCCTCTCTATTGAATAAGTTTTGTAGCACAACGTCAAATAACGATAAATATTTCAATAATGTTGCATTAAAAGTAATAAAAATCTATGCATGATTGCATTTACCACTGTTAATCAAATCCAACTATAAACACTTTTAGCTGTATAGTGTAAGTTTGAGCAACAAAAAACAATTGCTTAAATCAACAATAACACTGAAGAAAAACAAGTGAAAGGGAAAGTGAAATAAAAAAGGATGTAATAAATATGAGATGAGTTTAGTTTTTCATTCACAAAACAATCCAAAAACATTACTTGTAGTTCGCACGTGTAAACATGTTAAATTGAATTCCAGATCAAGTAATTGGGTTATAAAATTGGTTGTTTCAATGATAAATCAACAATTTTGACAAACAATAACAAAATACTAAATATTGCAATGAACCTCTGGTTACCAATAGATGTCGTTCTTGCAAAAAACAAACCTAACTCACGCCCAAAACATCCATCTCATCAGCGCCATCTCTAGACTCTACACCTAACTAATTACACCTGCAAAAATAGCAATATGAAAAGCTATTAATAAACTGGTAATCGTCAAGTTACTCGTAGTCAAAATTGTACCTTACTTGTACCGTCAGTACTCTAATTACTCAATTGATCCAGGTGAATATAACAATGTGAATTACTCACACTGAAAAAGGTGCTTTAAGACCTTTCCACCAAAAAAACCTCTCAAACTTGTGAAAAACTGCAGTCGTTTATTGACTAAATTTCAATGAATCTATCAGTCGTCGGCGATTTTTCTTAACCATAATTAACAATGACTGCTAATTGCCTGATATTAATTCATGTTGATTTTATCAAACTATTTCGAAATAGATTGTCAGCTTTCTATTCCAGCTTTCAATGTAGATTACAAGAACATGCTCAAACAACAATATCTATGAGTTCATTCAGAACTGGTTATCACAAAACTGGTGAATAGATGTAGCAACAGCACCTGGTAGCAAGAGCTTTCTTTTTTCCACTTGCTATTTCTCTCTCTCTCTCTTGTTTGTTTTTTCCCTGCCTTTTTATTTTGTAAATTTTACCGAGTTATTGCAAAAGGATTGTTTTTTTCCATAATTATTTTGTGTTTAAATCAGTTACCAATTACAATTTATAATCATCAGCTTGTTATAACCGCGCCAAAATTGTTATTATTGAACTTGTGACATTGCTCTTCTTTTTTTCATCTTTTTGTTTATGGTGAACCATTGGAATGAAATATTGGTTCCGCCCTAGAATCAACGTGTTGTGTTGTTTTTTGTTCTTACTATAACCAATTTTCACAATGTTGTCTACTATCATCTTGTTTACCGTTGTTATAATTATTAACTGAGAAGGAGCTCCTGTAATAATATGTGTTCATCAACGAGATGAGAGATTAGATTTGTTTCTCATTGTGCTTGGTGCTTCATATAGAAATAGTATTGGTTATTACTACATATTTCGTAACTCTTTCAACATTCCTCACTAGATATGTTTGTGACCATTAAAAAATATTCCATTTTGGTATTTAAATTGTGATAAATGTGGCGCAACGGTAAGCGCTTTCCCTGTCCTGATTGTCATAAGACGTTTGCAACCCAAGTAGATCTTAAAGCACACCTAATGAGACATATCACACAACATCCATATGTTTGTTTTGCCTGTGGAAAAGGTTTCAAATATGACCATACATTGGATTTCCATATTAAAAGTCAACATGGAGCCGAGAATGGAACTGGTAATACAAGTACCGGATCTAGTGGTAAAAATGAGTCATTTAACTTGAAATCTTTGAATCGAAAAAGTTGTAAGATGAAACGAGAAATGGTAGACGATAAATCTGGTTCTAGTGTTATTAGTGGAGTTGGATTATTTGGTATTGGCTCTGGAACTGGTACAGTTTCTGGTTCTGGCTCTGGTGCTGGTTCTGGTATTGGTACTGGTACAGGACTGGATAACCAAAACAATAATCGTGCTTTGAATAATAGTAGCAGTATTGGTGAGAGAAACAAACAACAACGTAGGGATCAACCACTTATTGGAAGACTGAGAGAAATGGACGATCCAATTGGAAATACTAATGTGAAGCATAATAAAAATAACAAGGCTCGTGAAAATTGTGATGATCAAAGTTTTAACGGTGGTATTTCTAGTGATATTATTTCTCAACATCATCAACTCCACAATCAACACAACCAACCACAACATGTTCTTACAAATAACCCTCTCCAAATACCTGGTTCTTTAATTGAACCAAACAGTATTCTAAATGGATTAAAATTTCCTATTTCACTTAGTTCCTATCCATCATGTACAACTACAGCCTCACATACATCTACACTTAATTCAATACCGTTTGTACCTACAACATTATTACCATCATCAGGATCTACATTGACATCATCATTACCATCATCAGTTTCATCACCATCTTTGATTCCTTCATTAGCATCATCTTTGTTAACATCATCAACAAATTTAACATCAACAACAACATCAACTGCAACGATAGCTGCAACAAAAACACCAACAACAACAAGTACTGCAAATAAAGATAAAATGTCATCAATAGTTGCTAATACTTCAAATTTAGCATCAAATTTGCCATTAATTGATTTCGGTTTACAGGGTGATTTATCTCCAAGAAATTTACAAATTAAATCAGAGAAAGTTTTGATATCTGTTCTAGAAGGTGTTCATCCAGTTAACGAGCAAACTTATTCATTGTACAAATGTTGTTTATGTGGTTTTGCTTTTCCAAGTCTCGAACCTGTCAGTATTCATATTCAGTCATTGCATTCAAACAATTTAAATTTAACTTGTGATAAATGTGGCGCAACATTTAAATGGAAAAGTGAATTACAATTACATGAACAATTACACAAAGCAATGGATCAGTCTGTGAATAATTTTATTCTTAATAATGGTGAAGAAATTGATAGCAATAATAATAATAATAATAATAGTAACAGTAATGGTAACAACATCAACAACAACATTAAAAATCAAAATAATGTTAATAATATCAAAAGCAAATCTCAACTACAGAATCATCATTCACTACAAAATCAACTTAAACAAGATCATAACCATCCACATTTACAAAAACAATTACAACTCCAACTACAACAACTTCAACAACACCAACATCAACAGCAATCACAACAATCGTCGCGTTCATTGATTATGCCATCATTTTTGCAACCAAATTTAGTTTTTATGAACCAATATTTAAATAGTGATGATCATAAAATTGGTAATGATAATGATGATATCCGACGGAGAAGTAACATTGGAATTAAAGAAGAAGACGAAGGAAATGAAGGAATACAAGAAGATGCAGATGAAGAATCAAAATGTGATCAAGATGAAAATATTGATGAAGATGATGGTCAAGGATTGAATTTAAGTTTAAAACCGCAATATAAAACAAAATTTGAAGATGTTAACCCGAGTTATGATAAAAATAATAGTATGATGATGTCTATGATGATGATGAGAAACAAGAATAATAATATGAAATTAAACAACAATATAAATAATGAGAATGATGAAAATAATAACAATGGTCATGATAGGATGACATCAATGGATGAACCAATTGATTTAAAAATTGAATCATTTTCAGATTCAAATAATAATAATATCAATAATTTGGGAAATAACATTATTTCAAATTCATTGAATTTTCTACATTCATCATTATTACCATCATCAATGGGATTATCATTTCCACCAATGCCATCATCAGCATCATCTTCAACATCAATATCAACATCAGCAGCACAAGCATCAGCCGCTGCCGCCGCAGCAGCAGTGTTTGCAAAAAACATAGCACCTAAACAATCACAATTACACCAACAAAATATTGGTGGATTAAATTCATTTCAATTACAAAACATTGGACCAAGTAATGTATCAAGATCTATATCATCACCATCATCATCGTCATTATCCACCGGTACAATATCATCTGTGTCATCGAGTGGAGGTGCAACATTGAATTCTGGTAATGTTAATGTTAATGGAATTGGAAACATTGGAATGGGTAAAATAACTGAACCTATTGGTGATATTGAGGAAACAGCTCCGGGTCAATTCAAGTGTAGATTTTGTGACAAAACATTTGATCGTATATTCTCTGTTCATCGCCATGAAAGAGTTCATACAGGGTATAAACCATGCATTTGTAAAGAATGTGGTCGTGGTTTTAGTGAAAAAAGGAATCTTCGACATCATACTATTCGATTTCATAGTGATGGAAGTGGCCGTGAACTGTTGAAAAGAAATCGTAAAGAAAAGTCGATGGCTTCAGCGGCATCTTTTTTAAAGAAAGCTGCAGTTCGTCTTCTAAGCAATTCTAGTGTTGAAGGAAGTGCAATGGAAGAAGACGATATTATGAGCAATAGACTAACAAGTGATAATAACAACAATAATATAAATATCAACATAAATTCCAATAATAATAATAATGGTGATGATGGAAAGAACGACATGAAAAATTGTTCAAGTAATTATAATTATAAAAATAATGATAATACTGATGGAAGTAAAGACGATGAATTTGACCAAAGATCTCGGATTAGTGATGATATAAGTGGGAATACGGACAATTACAATTCAACCTTTAATTGCAATGATAAAGATGACAATAATAATAACAATAACAATGGTGATGATGCTGATGATGTTAATCATTACAATAATTATCATCATAAGCAAATGAACATGAAAAGGATGAATAGAAAAAATATTAATAATAATAATATTTGTGATAATAAAGAAATGGGTTCTGATGCAAATGGAGATTCAAATATTGAAGATAATATTGGAGATAAAATATGTTTAAATTCATCTTCATTGTCATCGTCTTCGTCATTATCATTATCATTGTCATTATCATCGCCGTAAAAGTAAACCAAGTAAAAAGATTTCCAATAATATTGAATCTGGAGATAAAAGTGATGAAGAATGTGAAGAATGTGAAGCTGATGAAAATGTTGGAATAAAAGAAGAAGAAAAAGAAATGGAAGAAGACATTGAAGGAGATGAAGATGACGAAGAAGATGAAGATGACGAAGAAGATGCAGAAGTAGATGATGAAAGGGAAGAAGGTTATAGACATGGACATGGATATCGACAGAGACGAGGAGATGGAAACGAAAGAGAAAGAAATGAAGAAGATGTCAATGGAAATGAAGATGGAGATGACGATTCTATGATGATTACAGGTGATGAAGAAGCTGTTGGTTTAATTGATGATGATTACAACGATGATAAAAATAACAATAATAACAATAACACCAATAATGATAATAATTCAATGGAGAGACGAAATGGTGAAAATGGCGATGAAAAAGTAAATGATTCTATTGATAATATAAATAATCGTAAAAATATTGAAAATGATCTCAATGGCTCTGTCAATGGAAATAATAATAATCATAATTTACATGAAGGTAAATTAAGGTTACATGGAGCTTTCTTCTCTAATTACAGTCCCAGGTATTTAAGTTATAAATTGTCGACTTTGATCTTGTTAATTCTTGAAAATATACTAATCTAATTCATTATCTTCTTTCAAGACTTGCACTGGTTGATAAAGTAACGAAACGTGGTGAATCAAGTAGACCAATGATTGGACCTGATGGTAGATATCTGTATCCATGTGGCTACTGTCAGAAGACATTTTGTTCATCATCAGATCTCAATAGGCACATTGGTTTTCATGAAAGTACGTTAAATAATTCTACGATAATCAAGCAATTATCTTAATATATTCTTCCTTCTTATATTACAGATGTTCGTCCATTTAAATGTGAATTCTGTGATTATCAAAGTCGCACAAACAGTCAACTTAAAGTCCATATGATGAGACATGCCGGTAGGTTTAGTGTTTTTTGCTTATAAAACAACGTTACATAAATTATTATTGTTATCTTAGGAAAAGCAATTTGAAGTCTTAAAAATGCGCATTACCTTTTTATGTATTATACAAATGGATAAAATATTTTGCTCATTTGCTTCTCAAGTGTAATTAACCCGGAAACAAAATGACGATGAATATTTATTTGCACATTTTACTTGAAACCAATCGTTAAACATTTTCATTTCTATATTTTTTGTCATAATTTCCTTTGCAATGGCAAAGGGAAATATTGATATTGTAAGCCTGTTTTTGCTCATTCATTGTTGAAGGTTTGGTCAATATTTTGCCATGAGAAAAGTATGCGAAACTCACTGTGTATATCATTCAACTTTTACCTTTTTCCCTTCCCCTTCTCTTCTCTCTCTCTCTCTTTTCCTTCTCATCATCATCAGGCAAAATCAGCTTGTCTTTTTCAGCAACTCTGTTTACCTTCGTTCATTAGATTTTATATTACATCTGTACAGTTTCACTCATGAGCTGGACATTGCCCACCATTTTGTTGAAAAATATCGTTCTCAAAAAAAAGAAATATCCTCTTTTGTTAAGTCTTCATTTCTCTGATACCAGATTCTCAATCGATTGATGTTAATCCAATGTCACTTGAAACTCAGAATGTATCTTATTTGGGTCATTTCCCATGCGTGAAACCAACTCATAGCCATTTCTTTACATTATAGCCTTTTCATTTTTCCTCTACTTTTCGTCCATTTCTTCTTTCTTCATCTCTTCCTTCCTTCTCACTCTTCCTTTATCACACACACACACACGCTCACTCAATCAGGCAAATTTCATGTCTTTGTTCACCATCATCTTCATGATGTTGGTCATTCTGAGGATGATTTTCATGTCCACCTCGTTCTCATTCCCTTTAACAGAGAGAAACGTTAATCTTTCCAAAGAAAAGCTTTTTTATCTCTTTCCAATTGTTCTTTCATTCTGGTCATCTCACTCTGTCTATCTCATTGTTTTTCATGATATTTGTCGTGTGTTACTCCATCTTCCTATCAAGCTTTATGAACACAAACACAAAGTACATCAGAAAAAAAACATTTCACTGTTCAGTTTATTATATTAAATAATGCGTTTCCACGATCACGTTGATTACCAATTCACTTCATTGATTGTAAACTTACTTTCCTCTCTATCAGTTAATTGATATACACTTGACTTTTCTAATTATAATAAGTTGCAAGCTACGATTTGAAATAATATTACTCAATTATGATTGAAGAAGGGCAAGTTGACAATTTAATACAATGTAAATTACCAGACATTTGTGATATTTTACTTTGCGCTTTTACCAATTTTATTATTGTTGTCATGCAATTCATTTAAGAATACAATTATTCTGTGATTCTTATCAGAGTTGAGAAGCTAGGAAAATGGTTAATTAATTGATTATATTCAATCTGATCACCTTTTTTACTTCACCAACCATTAACAAAAGAGCTTTCAGAGTTTTGAGAAAACTAATTCACTAATTTATTATTAAAATGTATCGTCATTTGCTCTCAATATGCACCTAATTAATTATCAATGGTTATTTCAACGTTGAAACGTTCATCTTAATTTTCACTCATGATAGTAATGATGTAATTGTAATTTATGTATCATTATACTTTGAATGACGAATTATGAATCATTCATTCTTTCTAATCATGTTACCAATCAAAATTCAATACATTGGTTTGGTTGCAAAAAAGCACTTGAAATTACCCTTAATAAGCATACAAAGGTATTTAACCATCAACTTCACATAATCCAATACCTTTCAGTCTAACTATTACAATTACATTTTTTTGCCTAACTTTGTTTGTCTCACCTGCTCAAAAACAAACCCAATCTATCAAATTTATTTTAACCGTTAACCATTCAAATTTAGCTCTTATCATTACAGTTGATTGATTGATTGTTTCAACCTTATCATGTTATTTTTACCTTGTCAATTAGCATGGATGGACAAAAATTTAATCACGCCAAAACCCAAATTTATATTAACATGATTTGGTTGAGACACAAAATTTCAATTTCATTTTGATATGTTTTGGTCTTGAAACTCGCCTTTTATTATCACCACGACTACCTTTATTACGATTATTGTTACCATTAATGCTATTATCATCATTATTATTGTTATTATTAGGTTTAATGGTAGAGGCTTAATGTTGACCATTTTATGGGTTTCGTCGGTTATATCGATATCCTAAATGGTTCAACTGTAGATGACCAAAAGAACTCAAGTTATCTTCGATATTTCCCTTTGTTTTCCCTTCGTCTTTCTTCATCCAATTGCAATCATCTTCCATTAATTTTATGGCATCGTTTTTTTTCTTCATAGATTACAATTCACATGAACTCAATATATAATAGATAGACTCACAAATGGCAATAAACTTTCTACCTTTGCACAAATTGGTGTCCACTCTGGTCAAGCAACAATTCATATTAACCATTGATTTTTGATTAAATGCCATTTTCCCTTGATTTACGTTAATTTATCTCTTGGTTCATTTTTATTGCTTGCTTGTTGCCCTTTAAGTATCAGTTGTGTGTTTCAATATTTCTTGGTTTGATAATTTTGTAAGGATTACAGAGAATTGGTTTGTTCCCAATGTACATATGATTATTTGAATTCATGTTGAGCTGATTTGGATGAAAAGGAAATAAGTGTGTAATAATATACTCGAGTGCGTAATCAAATAAATTGGTTTACTTTATTTGATGACTGAATGATGAATCAATGAACCATAGAAACTGTTTCTTTTTTTTAATACAAACCAACTTTACAATTGCCAATTGCAAATTATACAAAGTTAACAATTATAATTGTGTTTCAACCCAGTGTATTGTAAATATTTGTTTACTAATGATATTTCTCTTCTCTCTTCTCTGATGCAGGAATAAAACAGTTTATGTGTAATATTTGCAATTACAATGGAGTAACTCAATCTGATTTAAATCGCCATTGCAAGACACGTTCGCATCTTCTGCGAAGTGCAAATATCTGTTCCATATGTTCCTTAGGATTCTCAACACCAACCTTACTTGAAGATCATATCTTTAAATTTCATGACAACTCACAAAATAACCGTGGATCATCAGCAAGTCCTCAAGAATCAAAGAGCAACTTATCCTGTCCAACATCAACCACAGGCACTACATCAACATCATCACCCGCCTTGTCATTAGCATCCTCATCTAGGGAAAGGTTAACATCGAACCGGTCCGATGAGATAGATAAACAGCAGCAAAAAAACGCTAGTCTTTTGAAACTAAATGCTAATAGATTTTCAGTCAACAATTTGTTATAAGTTTCTGTTTAGCTTGATTATGAGGAAAAACAACGAGATCAGCCATCATTCCAATTTAATTGAAACTTAGCTCAGCTAAATCCAATTAATATCAGTTTCTTTTAGTTTTTCTTGTACACTTCACTCCGATGAAATCATAACAAAACAGAAAAATCAAGCAAAACAAAAACTTACACATTAGTACCAACGATTTGATCATAATCATGTAGTGTTAACCTTACTCCAAATATTTGCAAAATGATGTAAATCATCAACATTAACATGAATATCATTACTAATACTTTAACCACCTAAATCACCTTCATCATCTAAACCTTGAAATAATGTTCAATTAACTTACGAAAATCACTAATGTTCAAATTGTACTCCTTAACACCATTCCAAAGCTAATTTCCTTTCTTGTTCATCTCATCTCTTTGTTTCTCTGTCCATCCAGCAAAGCTGTTTTCATTCTTAATGCTATTGATATTCCTAAAATTATTATTATTATTATTATTATTATCATTATCTATTTAAATTGTGCTTTTGATCATTATTAGGATGATTAGTATTATTATTATTATCTTGTCTTCCTTGCTTGTTTTCAACCTCCTTTTATCTCCGTTTATTTATCATCTCAACCATGTTAACATATTTTGTTCCTGAGATGAAATAATTTAGTTGCAAAAATTTGTTAAATGTTTCACAATTTTCTAGACAAAACAATTGAAAAGCATCAAAATATGTATAAGGTATTATGGTAACAATCAATTTACCATAAACAAGAAATACGCAAAAAACCTCATTGAGAGACATTCGCTGAGATTTGATAATGCTTTGAAATGTTCCTCGCAATTTAGCATTGAATTAGCTAAATGTCTCACAATATTGTTCCCTAATATAACAATTGCAATACCATTCCCACCAAACAATGATTATGATAATACGAAAATGTCAATTCTCTGTAATTCCTTCTTTTAAATACCTCTTTTTGCCTCATTTTCATTCCCTTAAACTTATCATTTCTTGTTTATTCAATTTTCTTGAATATTGTATTTCCTTTAATTATTCCCATTTTTTTATATTTTTTCTCCTCTGTTTCTATTTTTTATAGAAGGTACAATCTGCTGTATTCATCAATGTGAATGTAACCAGGATTCATCACAATACAATATTGCAATATGATACAAAATTGATGATCACCAGAATTAACTTTGAAGCTATCAATGTAACATCAACTGACAAACCTTAACAGTAAAGTGTTTACAATTAATGAACAGTCAAGATAAAAATGTTTTTTTCCTCCTCAACAAAAATAATTGTAAGAAATGAAATCAATACGAGCTTATGCCTTAAAATACTTGGTTGCTTTTTTGGCTTAATTGATAACTTTTTTTTCTGTGATTATAATACAAATAAACCATCTATTGAACCATCTAATCTTAAACGATCTCATGTAACATCATTTCAATTTCTTATACAACCTCCAAGTCAATTTACTTTCCCTAAGACAATCTAAATCGCAGCCAATTTGATTTGGTTCTGATTTCAACTATTATTTAACTGAATGGACTGGGTTGACTCTTCAATTATTCAGTTAAACCTGAAAATTAATCAATTATGCAAACATCTAGGATTGAAGTATTACATGAAAACTAAGATTAGGTTGACATTTTTTACTAGTTATTTTGGGTTCTCTAAATAGTTGATTATCAGGTTTAGAAGCCATAATTTTAGTCAATTATTATATCATTGAAATATTCATTAATTATTCATTATTGCATTGACATAATAGTAGATTAAAAACATGTTATTAAAGAGAAGAACAGATTGAATAGGAAATGCATCTACAACATGATTGAAAATCAGTCCGATCCAAGTTTTCATTTTCTGTTTTTTAAGTCCATTTGATTCGAGAAATTTCATTATCTTTAGGCGATTTTTGACTGAGGCGCTATTTCGAGGTTTAAACTTGTGAATCTCTAATTCAGGCCTTAAAAAGGGAGGAATTTGCAATGAAAAAATTTGATTCAAAACCCAATGCAATAACCAAAATATTGAAGTATCGGAACAATTTACAATTCATTTACCATTTAATTATTTGATAATTTTCTTTATTTTTGTATCCTTTCTATAAACATAATTGGTTGCTTTTAATGGTTCAGTTCGATTTGCTTTCTTGTAAAACACCAAATGAAATGTCGGTAAGACTGATCTTTAATGCGATCAAAAAATTATTGGTGATTATTATTGATAAACAACGAATTGGTGTCTGTTCCTTCATTTATTAATAATAAATAAAACGATCGCATGCTGTATTTCATGGCTAAATTGCTAAATTGTTAGATATCCATTTAAAGTTCCTAGGAAAGTACATAGTCATCAGTGATCAACGTTTATAGTCATTCAATCACAAGACAAGAACATTAGCAACAAAATTTATCGTGGAGAGCCTTAACTAACTCATCAATTTGTGGATAACATAAGAAAATTACCTTTAAACAACGAATCGACTCTAAACAATTACTGGCTCCAGCATACCAATAACAATTGTTTTATAATTGTAATCAATATTAGCTTGCCATTTGGCCAAAAAAGTCTGAATTGGAGAAAAATTTTATTAGCTATTCAAATTGATCTTTGTGCACGCTCACATGAGCTTTGAAATTTGTTTATCTCAATTTAAAATGTTTATAGCTCCAAATATAGCACTGAGATGATCAAAAACAAGGACAATCTAAAAATTTGCTTAGATGTGGCCTTACAATACGATTAGGGACCAATTCAAATTCAAACATCTTCAATAAAAGACACCAGAAAAGATGAAAAACGCTTTAAACTTTCGCTTCTCATTTTCAATCACAACTTGTAACTAATAGAAATTGATAAAATCAGTTTAGCCACAAATTCAACCCTATTTTGACTTGTATTTTGAAAAAAATTATCCACCACTTTACAAGTACGTCTTAATTGTTGACTCGACTGACAAGAAAGTGACATGAATTTTAAATAATATTAACTTGAAACAAAATCTATGGTTCTCATTAACCTTGAGTCTGATTAGTTGAAAACAATTTTACTTTTAATTTCAACTAAAGAACGTCAACATTATCATAATCGTCATCATTTTGATCATCAGCCTTTTGACAACTTCATTGAAAATGGATATGATCACGTTTTAATGATGATTCAATTGTATTCATATGCGTTTGTCAATTACCATTTTGGACTAATTGGTAAAGCAATACAAGTAGGTTACTTTCGTAATTAAAGAGTTTAGTGACAATCAACTTAGCGATCATGATTTAAACAATTATCAGCTCACGATTGACCCAACCAATATAACTTATTATCGTTCAAAGCAAATGGCGGAAACAGCAGTTGATTTTGGATTTATCATGCTTAGTTGATTGACTTTACTCATTAGCTGCCTTTAACCTCCTGTCTCTAATTAATGTAATTGATTTCATCGTTTTAAATATTTGATTGATGTGAATCTTGATTCCAAATATTATAATTGTGATGGATTGTAAAAAAATTAAGCGAAACCTTGAAAATAATCGCGAAAATGTCCATTTTGATTGGTAATTTGCTTTTAGCCAAGAAAAAATGGATATTTTTAAACATGGTTCATCCTTCACACAAACAAAACCAGAAAGGGAAAAGCAATGTATCGATGATGTTACCTGGTAATTTAAGAGGAAGATTATCAAATTACTTTGTTGAATTGGTTGTAGTAATAATACAATTATGCATCAGCAAGGCCTTCATTAACATGTTTGCTGCAACTTTGAATAAAATCAAGAATGAATTTTGCTTGGCAAAAAAGTAAAATTGAATGTACGGATAAAAGGCAAACTTTGAAGGAAAAATAAATTGATTCTAAAACGTAGGAAATCCAAGGTGAATTCCAGTTTTGAATTTGGTCCTTTACTCTTTCAATGAGCCATTGACAGCGAGTCTGGTGGAAGCTCTATCATTCAGTCCATCGTTATTATTGTCTTCAGTGAACCATGAAAATGATAACTTTTCTTGGTTTCATAGCATGAAAAGGAAGAAACAAAAAAGCGAAAGTTGAGAGCAAAAAAAAGAGTGAAAAAAACAAATAGATGAATGAAAAAAATTAGATTGTAATAGGAATATCAATAATAGGCTATTGTATTCAAAACAGATATGTTAACAAAACTGAGTTCAATATTATCGGTAGCTGATGTTCAATGTTAACCAACAATACGAATTACCATCAATATCAACAATTGAATACTAATATTGTCAAGGTTATCGGTTACCTACAGCGTTTCTTGTTTATCGTTGCCTTTTTTTCAGCCATGATTTACTTGGTAAATGATTCTTGAGAAACAGAAACCAGCTTTAGACTTGAGAGCCAAATGAGCTACGGAGTAACAACAAGATACACCAAAGGTAGCAGAGAGATAACTCAAAAGGAGCACAAAGGGTCCAATCTTGTAGGCCTGGTTTGCCTTCAAGGGTCACAAGGTAACAGTTTTTGGCGGGATCAGCATAATTGCGCGATGAAGATGCTCCATATTGGCGGCTCTGGTTATTTGGTCTTTTTCACCTTTACACTTAAAAGTTGTTTTCACCTCTGTTTCAGCTCCAGTAAGACACTTTTTACCATCTAATTTGATTAATTTTTTTTCACTTGAACCACAACCAAAGGATAATATTGTTTAGTTTTTGTGTTATTGCTGTTGCTGGATATCAAAACCACCAAAGTGACAAGGGTAATTAAATTAAAAAACACTGTAATAGGAAGAAAGAGAAAGAAGGATAAATAAAAGGTAGAAAATTTAATTGCTTCACCGTTGAATCGTGGAAACATACTTACTATTTTACACAATTGAAGCTCATCATTATCAATCAGTATTAACCAGCATTACCATCATCAGCGATCATCTGCAGCTATATACATTGTTTCTCATTGTTTCCAGTTAATTCATGATTACTCTTTTCCTGTGTTTATCGGTCATAAGTTTCATCCTTTTTTAATCATCCTAATTATTAATTATTATCTTTTTTCTATTAGTTTCTTTCAACTTCAATCCTTTCTCCTTTCAAATCAGCTACAGCAACAACCTTGTTTAAAACAAAACATTCGTGATAAACGATTGAAACGATTAATCGATTGCAAACAATTATTCGTGTTCGATTGTCGAGAGTAGAAGTTGAATTTGGGTTTAGTTTTCTTTAAAGTAACCAAAACATGCTTAACTTTGTTAACTTTAACTTGCTTTTTTTAATTAATTGTGATCTTAATTATTCTCTTTTATTATTTACTTATATTAATCTAAACAATCAATTACTGATTTGTCAACATTTGTAGTGTTAAAACATCTTGGTTAATGTGATTCATGTGCTTTCTTTTTTCATCAGTTTACATGTTAAGTCAACTTGTGGTTACCATTTCAAGATTGGATTAACGGGTGTTGCTTGTTTATGAGCAACAAATATACATTTACGTTTTTACCTTTACATTTTCAAGCCTTTCTCTTGTACCACACCAACTTTTTTTAAGGATTAACCATGGTTAACCACTAACTCAATGTAAGTTGTACATTTTTTTACTTTTGGTGTGTGTGAGTGGGAAAAAAGCCATTGTGCTAAGTTGATTTTTTTTCTTGAAAAATACATTTTGAACTTTTCTATCTTGTCTATCTATCAAGGCTCGATATTTTTGATGCAAGTTTAGTGAACCAACGTGCCTCACAATTGCTCAAAATGATCACTTGCTTTCTCTCTTTAACTTTTCTCTTCACATTTCCAACTAATTAAAAGTAGACTTGAAATTGTGAGGTTGATAACCCATGATTGATGAGTTACGACAGTTTGATCTAAGCTGTTTCCACTTCATCCAGATATTCCTAAAATCGTCATCAAACTGATTATAATATTCTAATTACCATTATTATATATACACTTTTATTATTTATATATTTTCAACAGTATAATATTATTGTTCAATACTACAGTATTGTAATACTTTTATTATTTATTCACAATCATTTAACGTTCATGCTTCTCAATTAACATGTACTTTAGAGCTGTGTTTCTTTTAATTGAGTTAATTAACTGATGGTCACAGTTAGATATTAAATTGTAATAAAAATCAGTTGTTAAGCTTTGAATGTGATGAAGTTTACCATTCAATTTCACTCGTGCGAAGCCTTAAAAAATCAAGCTTCAAAAAATGTATGGATGAGGAAAAGCATATTAACAGTGAAACAGACAAATGAGTAAAAAAAGATGCTAAAGAGGAAAGAGTGAAAAAGTTGAAAAAAGAGAAAGATGAGGAGAAGAAGATGAAAGATATGAAGAGAGGAAGATAAAAAATAGTGAAAGAAGAGGATAAATAGATTTGAATAAACAGCAGAGGGAAAATGAAAGATGAGCCAGAGAAAAGTCTGGCTACGAATCATTCAAGGTCGATGTTCCCAGGTTAGCTTCGATCCTGAGGTGGATTAAGCTTATTGAAAAGATGAGAGGATGGGAGGAGAGGGAGAGAATAGCGTGACACAGAGTAAGTGAGTAAAAGTGAGAGATATAAGCATATTATTGTGTAAGAAGTCGACCCACCCTGATGAGCTGAAAAAACCCTTCGCTTGATCACAGTTATTTATAATGGCATCACTCTGATTCATTTTTGGGTTTAATTTGTTTAACTTTGCTTTCAGCCAACAACCGTAAGTGATGTTGGTGAAAATTTTTCAATCTATTAAAACTGTATTATCTGGTTATTATTAAAATTAAATGATGTGTTCAGGAAGCCAACACGTTACAATCAGAGTTTAACATTTTTTGAATTTAGTTTAATTTCAACTTTTCAACTCTTCTCGCTCAATCAAGATGTAACTGTGCTAATGTAATTGTATGAAATCGATAACACAGAATCACTTTTGACAGTTGCTTTATTTCCTTCTTTCTGTTTCTCTTACTTATCTGACTAACCAAGGATCGGGTTTTTGACCTTATTTGTTGATTTTGCAAATGAGCCTTGAAATTGTGTGCTGGTAACCGGATATACTTTTCAAGGGAGCCAATGTTTTCCATCTAATAACCTCACTCAATATCCTAAAACACCAACAAAATAATCAACTTAACAAGTGTCTTGCTTTAACTCAAGTATGACCCTTATTTTCACACACAGGCTTGTTTGTTTTTATTGTAAACTAAAATAACGCCAACAAAAAACTCGAGCTCAAACTCAATTGAAATCATTGAAAATTTCCTTCAACTTATCACACTTTCATCTTGTATTTCCAGGATTTCAAGATTACTTACGACTTGAAGGAAACGACAATCGGCGCTTCAACCATCACACACCATGTTGACAGTATAAATATTCACACTAATTGGTAAACATTGTGATTAACATCATTTTGGATAATTATAATCAAACTAAGTAAACCTCATGTCGTCAACAAGAAAGAGTAATCCAAAACATGGTGAGTTACGAAAATTATTTCAAATTTCATCGTCAGACAATACAAAAATAATGTTTCAAGTTTTTCATGATTCTTGATTCATGTCAGTTTTCTTGCGTGTAACTTTCAACAATTAATTCCATGTCAGTATAAGTGAACAAAAATTGTCTTCTCAACATTAGTCACTTCTTTCACTGTTTTCATCTTTAATACTCTGACAAGGCTTCAAATGAATGTCAAGATTAGTTGGTATTAATCCTAAAACATTATCCTTCTTCTCAAGACCATTGCAATTTAAATACATTAGTGGAAACACAGTTTTGTCAGTAATCTAAATTCTCATTTACAAAATTAGGCCATTTTCTCACTGCTCCTTCTCATTATCTTTTAACTCATTCTGTTTTACATCTTCATCCCATTTATCATATTAATTACGTGAAATGAACACAAACTTATACAATTGAAGTAACAAATTAACAATCAACATTTAGTCCTTTCTTTTCTAATTTCTTTTCTCTTCTTTCCTGTAATTGCAGATGACGAACCAAGGAACGATTTTTCTCATCCAAGGGACGAGAAAAGTAAAGAAGAAAGGTTAGCCTCGAAGAAACGATCCCGTAAACGAGCTGAGAAAATTGAAGTTGATCTCTTGAAACGATTACATAAAGGTGATGACAATAATAATACTGCTGTTGGGGAAATGATGGTGGAAGAGGAAGACAATGACGATGAAAGTTATCAAGCTGAGAAGGAAAGTTCACCTTCAATATCCTTGGAAGTTGCCTCCGATTCTTGTAGTTCAGTTGAATTTCAATGGAATAACAAAGAAAATATTAAATTGGAAACTGATTGTCCTGGAGATTTAGTGATTCGCCAAGAAGTTACCGAAGAAACTGATTCTTCTCATGCTAATCCAAGTCGAATATCGTTTGTCAGCTCAATTAGTTACACTATTAAATCGTACGATCCTTTAGAGGAGGAAAGGTCATTTATTCAGAGAATGTCAACTCGAGAAAAGGAATTAGGAATGATTAAAGACATAAAAGATGATGACGAAGAAGAAGACGACGACGAAGAAGGAGAAGAAATAGAAAAAAGAGAGAAGAAAGGAAATGAGGAAAACAAAGATGTAAGAAGTCCTGGTCTAAGCTTGTTATCAACTGGCTTCCTCAATGATGCCAAAAATAAGCCAATTACTGGAATAGGAGTGAAAAGTAAACGTAAAGCTCGAATAAGAGAATCTCGAAGAGAGTCAATTACTCACTGTAATGCAAATAACTGTTCATCATCATCTTCAGATGACAATGGCAGTGATTGCCTTGTTCGTACTCATAAACCTTTTATGGTTCGTCACCACAGTGATGAAACATTGAACCGAGGCTCATCTCGTATTGACCGGCGAACCAATCGCTATTATCGACGTCGATCTCAAGAATTTATTTTTAAACCATTATCTTCATATATTGTCACTGATCCAAATGTTCATAGCCCAAGTTCATGTAATGTTGATAGTAAAAAGGCAACTACAGCAGATGATGTTACTTCCTCTGATTCAGAGATAAGGGTAACAACGAAACCACCTTTAACCACTATTCAACTTCAATGGGTTAAATCAAATATCTATTCACCTAGACGAAGTTTACGGCGTAATTCGGAAGAATCAATTAGCTGCCATTTAACTCACCCATCCAATGCATCTGAAATACAATCAACTGTTAGCCTGGACAATTTGATTCCATACACTCACAATAAAAGTGATTCACGCCCTGATAACCAAACTAATATTGTTATCACATCGAATAATCAATCTCAATATGAAGTTAACTTTAACAGATCAACAAATGCTTCCGTTGACTCAGTAGATTTCCGTTGCTTAGATGATTTCCTGCCAAAAATATCTTCCAGTGACCCTGTTATTTACAGGAAATATGACCTTACTGGTGAGGATCAAGTAGACAAGGTTTCCCATTATGACTCTATGCTAACAGTGTCAATCAGTCAAAATACCGGTGAATCTCATTCATCAGTAAACCATTTATCGCCAACCAATGATTCTGGTGTTAGTTCACAATCAGTGGCCTCAAGTCCAATTTTAAGCCAAGCTCCTTCGCCACCACCACGAAATCGAATCGGTAAACTAACATCCATTTATGGAAGTATAATTAAACAAAGGTCATCTTCAGCAGCATCCTCGATAACCTCACCTATTCAAAGTCATCAATATCCATCGGTATCATCAAGCTGTAGTGATCTCTATCGTAGGCAATTGGGAGTTTCAAGTAGCCGAAACAATGATAGTCTTTCACAGTCTTATCACGGTGAATCGATTGAATATGATAACAATAATAAATATGATAATAGTAATAATAGTAACAATGCCATTAACGAAGCGTGTTCAAAACACAACGAAGCCTCTCTAATAAAGCCAAAGAATGATGATGATAATTATAATGATGAAGCAATAATAAATGGATCTTCTGAAATGAAAAAGAGTGTTCGAGATATTATCGCCAACATTGAGTCAAATATAAAATCATCAACTTGTTCAGGCAAAATAATCCCTTCCACTGAAAAGTTCAATAGTGTTGAAAGTGATTTAAAATCAGTTATAAAAATTAATTCAACAAAAGGAGCCCCCAATGACAACAATAACTCTCATTCAAATGAGTTGATTTATCCTGACCAACAAAGAAGAGCAAACATTGTTAAACGTGAACAATTCCGAAAGCAGAGAGAACCATTCATTACTCAAGTGCATCTTCCCAATCGTTACACCCCTGAAAGTCAATTAGAAGAATCATCTTTTTTGAATAGACCAAAGCCTAAACCATCTTCAATAATTAATCTAAACTCCTGGTCGAGACCCAAACCAAATAAATTTCTTAATGGGACAAAGTTTCGTAAAATAATATCCAAAAACAGTAAAATTCGTAAATTGGACGAAGCCATTTCAGAGCTTGAAGAAATTTATGCAAATTTAAATCTAGACGATGAGGATCTACTTGATCGCGCTGAAAGACGTGATATGCCTACCAAATTTCAATTAATGCGATTCCAACAGACCTCAAATGATATTAATGATAACTACAAGTCCAATAAATCAACAGAACCAAACAATTCATCACATCCTCCTCCATTGCCTACCAAAAAATCAATTTATCCTCCAGAAACAGGCTGGAAACATCCTCATTGTGAAAGCTTTTGCCAAAATCGTCATCGTCGTCGAAGTTTAGGTTGTGTTGAATCTCTTTTAGCATCATCTGACCCTCCATACCGTGAAAAAGCTCCTCCAAGGCGTCGATCTGCTATTCCTGATCCCGTTTCTGACGATTTAGCTGCACGAAAAATGGTTAAAAATAAAAGTCAATCAAGGGACAATTTAGTAGAGGACAAAAAAATCCCAAGTTATTTGCTTCTTTCACCAATCTATAGTCCATCTTCTCGGGAAGATGGCGATGAAATGATTGATGATTTTACCTCATTGGAACCTGAGCCAGATATTGAAAAAGATGATCTCTCTTATCGTAAATTTACTCAATCAGAAGCAGCTTCGGTTACACCTCCTCATCCACCTTTCGGTATACCAATTGGGTTTACCGATTTGTCAACCATTAACAATTATGTTCAGGCAACTCTAAGTGAAAAAGACCGGAATTTTTTCTACTACAGAGTTAAACCCTATTATCCTCACCTTATTAAAGATGACATGGCTTTCAGAAATTTTCGTAAAGATCTTGATAAATCGCAAGATGAATTGAGAAAATCTTGGTCAGATGGAATAAAATTACTTCCAATAACAACAAAGCATCTAATTAGTCAACGCAATGAAACTCGAGAACGTCCAACCTCGCTAAATTTACCCTATAACAACAACTCTAATGGTTATTATCATCATCGTTATCACCCTCATCCAACTCGAGTTTCTTTAATTGCAAATGAATTTGAAAATCAAGGATCACTTGTTTAAAATTTTTTCTTATTTCTATCTACAGCTGTTTACACATTTTTTGCAACTTGTGTGTCATATTGATACAGTAACAATGTAACAATTAAGTTCCAACTTCCGTCCATTTAGTCGTTTCAACTCTAGTCAAATTTTGCTTTTAATCTGGAGACATGCTTATTTCGTTGTCTCCGTTTTTAATAATTTTATTGAATAATTTTAACCAATTTATTATATATAAAAATTTGTTCACCGCTAAACTTTAAACCAATCTCAAATGATTTTTTTACACGCGTTACATGTTTTTATTAAATCGTCAGATAACCTTGAATTATTCAGTAATCATATTACAAAAAATAAGAAATTTACAAAAATAGCAAAGACAGTGAAACTGACAATTAGTTTCAGTCTAATGGAATAGAAATGTTGAAAGGTAGAAATATCAAAAGTATTGACTACAGAGCAATATCAAGGGTAAGTTTAACTTTCCAAAATGACCGACCGATCCTTAATCACCATTGATAGTTGAAATGTTGAAGTAACATTTATAACTGAGACGATTAATGAAATACACATTGGTAATCATTTCGCAAACAAACGTAAAAAATGCAATCAAAAGAAGAAAAATTGAGCTTGAAATGTTCAAAGAGGTTTACTGAGAACATGAATAACACCATTTGTAGCTGTTACGTCTGCATAAGCTAAAGGCTTTCCATTTGCGGTTACATAGTCTGTAAGAAAAATAAAGACAAATCGATTTAAAAATTAATATTTATATTTACAATGTTTGCTATCATAAATTGGCGTCTTTAGTGCTTACTTGGTTTTCGTTACAGGTTTCAACAATTGTTTTGTGGGTGTCGCGATTCTTGATCTGCTTGATCTTGGTTCTTCTTGCATCGCTCTTCTTGATTGGCATTATATTGGTTTTTTTGATCAATGAAAGATAAGAAACACTCTTTTTTACATTTAGGAACTCCATATTTTTGCAATATCTTGTAAGCATATGCTTCAGGCTTTTTTCGTTTGAGGGCATCGAAAAGACGCTAAAAAAGGGATGAAATTAACTTAACTTTAAAACCTTCAAAATAAGATTCATTTGAGGCTTACTTACCACTACAGTAGGATGCTTAGAACAATAAGAACAAAAAGTTGATAAATTACTCCCGTATCTCACTATCATACCGGATTTATTTGGAATTAATGTGTACTTCATGATTGAATTTAAAACTGGAAGCAAAAATATTGTTAAACACGATCAGAATAAAGTACAGTGATCTCTCTCTTAAGAGTGGCGAGAAAGTTTATGTGGAAAGGGGCAAGTAAAAGGGGGATAAATATGCGCATAGAAGAGCGGCTAATATGAATCCATCCTAGTAATTCAATTCTTATTAATTGGGAATATTAATACAAGTCAAGATAACAATTAAAATTGGACAATAAATTAACAATCTTTCTATTATCAAATTTGATAACAAAGGTTAAAAATTTATCATCTAATTTTTTTGAGCTTAAAAACAGAAAATCAGAGCTCAATCAGAGCGTCCTTTAGATTAATTATTGATAACAAAAGGCTACTAAATTATTGTTCAGTTTTTTTGCAACTTGTGTGTCATATTGATACAGTAACAATGTAAAAATTAAGTTCCAACTTCCGTCCATTTAGTCGTTTCAACTCTAGTCAAATTTTGCTTTTAATCTGGAGACATGCTTATTTCGTTGTCTCCGTTTTTAATAATTTTATTGAATAATTTTAACCAATTTATTATATATAAAAATTTGTTCACCGCTAAACTTTAAACCAATCTCAAATGATTTTTTTACACGCGTTACATGTTTTTATTAAATCGTCAGATAACCTTGAATTATTCAGTAATCATATTACAAAAAATAAGAAATTTACAAAAATAGCAAAGACAGTGAAACTGACAATTAGTTTCAGTCTAATGGAATAGAAATGTTGAAAGGTAGAAATATCAAAAGTATTGACTACAGAGCAATATCAAGGGTAAGTTTAACTTTCCAAAATGACCGACCAATCCTTAATCACCATTGATAGTTGAAATGTTGAAGTAACATTTATAACTGAGACGATTAATGAAATACACATTGGTAATCATTTCGCAAACAAACGTAAAAAATGCAATCAAAAGAAGAAAAATTGAGCTTGAAATGTTCAAAGAGGTTTACTGAGAACATGAATAACACCATTTGTAGCTGTTATGTCTGCATAAGCTAAAGGCTTTCCATTTGCGGTTACATAGTCTGAAAAAACAATAAAGACAAATTAATATTTATATTTACAATGTTTGATATCAAAATGGTCGTCTTTAGTACTTACTTGGTTTTCGTTGCAAGATTATCGGTTTGTTATCTATATTTTCAACGGTCATTCCTTTTTTATCATTCATTGGGATGGCACTGGTGAACAAAACACTTCTTAATGTGTGCTTAACTAAGAAATCTGTTGGAAGAGAAAATATGAAGAATTTTGTTAAATAAAATATTAATTATATCAAACAAGATTGATGTGAATATTATTCCTTTACCTCGACTACTTTTAATGTCTCTGGTTACTTTGAGTAATTCATCTTGATCTAAGGAAACAAAAGCTTCATCTGTTGGTGCAAAAAGAGTATATGGACCGGCAGAATCTGAAAACTCTGAAACAAGATTGGCAGTTTTTATGATTTGTGAAATATTTGTTAATATTGGTGAGCTTGAAATAATGTCAAAAATGGTTCCATGAGGTGGATAAAGGACTCTGTCAACGGCTAAATATTTCATCTCTCCTTGTTTATATTCATCAACAACTGGTGCACCAGATAATAATGATTGATTATTATTCAATTTTGTATATTGAATTGGCTTTTCATCCAGGGCCTTCAAAACTTGTCCATCTTTTAATGAATTTAGATTTATTTCCCCTGGAATGACATGATATTGAAGTAAAGATGCAAGATTTTTTGGTTCACTGTCCAATTGATTCAATATTTGAGAAGGTAATTTACCAACTGCTTCATCAGTTGGTATGATCACTGTATAAGGTGTATTATTTTGTTTGAGTTGATCCAAAACTCCTGATTTCTCCAACCATGAAACGAATTTTCGTGCCTTCATTTTGGGTCCTAATTCTTGATTATCTTCATTTGATTTCTCATTTGGATCAGAATAGAGACCTTTGTATTCAAAATTAAAAAGAGAAATTTATTATTATATTCAAATCAAATTTAATCTCGAAAATTACCTCTTCTTGGATGAAATTGATTTGATAAGTCAGTTAATCCTTCATAGGCCCGGCCTCGACCTCGACTCGATTGATTTGTTTTCAGTTCATCGGGTAAAAGTACTCGGCTAATTGTGTGAACGACTCCGTTCTGCGCTTCCAAATCAGGTTGTTTAACTGATGCATGATTATTAACAATAACGGCTCCTGAAAATTATAATTTCATTAAAATATTTTTAAATTTTCTGGATGAAAAATGTTACATTATTTGAGACTTGCTTTAAATCAACCAAATAGCAAAACGAAAACAAATTAAATGTTAAATAGTACACGGTTTTTAATTTGATCGAGTCATTGAATAAAATTAGCCAACGTACCTGGAAAAGCTCGAATCTTGAGTGGCTTTTGTCCAACCAATGGTAAAATATTTCTTGCTCGAGATAGTTTTTCCGAGTTGAATGAACCATTAATGATGTGATTACCGACTAATGATTGGATTATTGCTGGATCACTCAGAATTCTACTCCGAGTTTCAGATGGCACCTCAACAAATGCTTCATTATCAGGAACAAGAACAGTCCAAGGTCCGGGTTCTGGGAAAAATACGAAGAAAATATTCCATATTAAAATAAAAATTGGAAATCTTTTCAAACACAAATTGATAAACAATTAAATAACAAACCTTGCAGTTGAGGAATTAGATTACTTCGCCTTAAAAGACTTGCAAAGATCGAAGCATTTTCTAATTGTTCAATCTCACTAACAATATCCTTCTTGTCCTTATTTTCACGATCTCTAATTACTTTCCCTAAAACATAAACGTAACCGTTAGTTGCTTCAGTTGCAGCCAAAATTGGAGATCCGTTAGCATAAACCTTCTTTGAGATTAAAAGAAATCAAAAATTTATGATTAAAAAATAATTTGAACTGATTACGAGAAATTGATGAAGATTAATTTCACAAAATTATTCTTACCATTCCATCATCAAGAGCTTTGATTGCTATTGGACTGTTGGAAATTGATCTAACTACTAAACCGTCTCGCATTTCACTGGGTTTAAGTGGATAATTAACAAGATGGCGAAGTAAGAAAGTCTGTAAATCAGCTGGGTTTCGGTAAATTTTCTCAAATCCATTGTTTTCTAGCTCTTCAAAAGCGTCATCAGTGGGTAAGAAAACCGTTATTGGCTTTTTGGCTGAGGCCAAGTTGTGAAGTCCTGCTCTTCGAAGAAGATCTTTGAACATGGAGAAAGCGATTGGTCTTTTATCAAGGAATAAACCAGGATCTTCAAGGATAGCGGCAATTGTGTTAGTATCAGAGGTTGGATTATCGCTTAAAGGCTCACGAGGGAAAACGGGTTCATTTGATCGTGGTCGATATCGAGGTTCATTTTGGAAGCCTCGGCTATCAACTGGACGAACGGGAACGTTTCTGTAATTAGGTGATACTGTTGTTGTTGTAGTTGAACGCAAAATTGTACGATCTCTCTGATTTGAACCTCTTTCTGTTCCAGGTCTTTGGGAGCCAAATCGACGAACATAATTGGCTGAATCATCTTCATAGTTTGGATTTGCTGTTGATGGTGTTGGTCGCCAAAAATCTTGTGGATTTCTTGATGTTGGTCGTCGAGTTGAATCGAAGAAGGTTGTTGATGGCGTTGTTTGATCATTCAAAAAGTACTCAGTTGTTGGCCTTCGGAATCTATTGTCATTTCTATCTACTGGAGTTCGAGGTGAGGTTGATACAGTGAAGGGATCAGGTTCACGAATAGGACCGAGTTCAGGTTTAAATCGAGGATCATAACGAGGTGGTGAGTTTGATGGGGAACCGTTTGAAGGAGAGATGATATAGTTTGCTGGACTGTTTGCAATAAGACAATTTACATCTTGAGGATGGCAATTTGAAGCGTTTCGATTTATTCCCTGGTCTGGCGATCGATTTGGAACAGGTCGTCGGAAATAGGGTCGACGTGTTGTCGCATAGTCATTATTATTACCATTATTACCATTATTAGGTGAACCTGATTGATCATTTACTGGTGAGTCAGTGAGTAATCGACCACCTTGAGCTCTTCGACGATTATCCAAAGGTGGACTTGTTACTCTGAAGAAAGGACTTGGGGTCGTTGATGTAGCAGGTCTATAAACAAGGGGTGGACTGTAGGTCGGTGAATTATCTCTTGGCGTGGTAACACTTTCCGGTTCTTCAACATAGTAAACTGAAGGTACAAACTGATCATTATTGCCATTGTTGTTATTATTTTCAATAGGCCTTGGTGTTGGCCTGTTTGTATCATTAGGGATCACATCAGCACTATTGTTAGACTCATAAGGTCGTGGTGTAGGTTGAGGTCGAATAACTACTCGACGGCGAAGACCAAATCTTGGAGGTGGAGTGGGTGAACCAGGATTACTGTTGTTGTCATAATAAGTTGGTGATCCTTGGGTTCCTCCATTAACATTTGTCCCTGAAACTGCTTCAACCGGTGATGATGATGGGGACAATGAAGATGATGGATTTGCTGATGATTCAGTAGTTACACGACCAGGTATTCGAGTTCGGAAGAACCGTGGTCGTTCTTCCTCAATTTCACGAGTTTTATTAGTATCACCTTGATTACCATTTGTTGTAAGATTATGATTAGCAACTAAATCATCCCAAACATTATAATAAGGAAATGGTGTTGTTGAAGAAGTATTGGCTGCAGGTGAATTGAATATTTCTGGATTAGCTGCTTGAGATCGTCTCAAAAATTTATCTGAACTTGGAAGGTTATAATTTTCTGGTACAACTGTTACAAAATTGGGTTGATCAGAATGTCCGGCGACAATTCGTTCTGGTAAATTACTTGGGTTGATTGGGTTAGTTGTTGTTGATGTTTGCAATTTTGGTTCAACATCGTTAGCCTTTAGTTGACCACATTTACATTCATCAATCAATTTTTGGGGTAAAATTAACCGAGTGATTCCATGGACAACACCATTTGTTGTAATCTGATCAGGTTCAAGAATTGGGATTGAATTAACCAAAACTAGATCACAATCCTTAACTGTTATCGATAAAATTGAAACATATTGTTAGTTTGTATTTGTCAACATTACAATGGTTTAAATAAAATCAATCAAATACACAATTTGTCTTATAATACGATTACTCATAAGAATGTACTTTTTCGGTGAATAATTAGGGGTTACCTAATAAATAAGATGAAGCATACATGAATAAACAGTCTCGATTAAAGTCAAATTAGTTTTATCAAATATCTTAATGAAGAAGAATATCAAAAGATGGAAATTAATTGAACCTTTTTACTACCAAATCAATCTTAACTGTGTCTAGCATTGTATCTTTCAAAAGAAGATGAGAAATTAAGATTTAATCAATGTAGAGTAGGTAGAATAATTTAATCTAACGCTTAACCATACATTAGTCTATCGAAATTTAACCATTACGATTAGCTTCTTTCATTCCAATTTTAATCTAAATGAACGACTACAATTTCGAGCCATTAAAGATGTAAATTATACGTTACTTGTGTTGAGAAAGCAAAAAATTGAGCCAATAATTCACTCGTAAATTCAATTGAAATGAAAAAGTGCAAGCATATTAGCATTGTAATAGAGAGACTTTAAATTGTCTAAATCAAAAAAATGATACAAATTGTGATAAATTTGTGTTGATATTGATTGTAAAATAATTGCTGATAATTACCAGTTTTCTTGGTAAAATTGAGAGGTTCACCGCCAACTGAATAGATTGAATTGCCAGGTAGTATATTTGAAAGAAATGTTCCTGGAATTATATGACTTTCAATAACCACTAAATTATAATGGGAAATAGTAATAATGGTTGAATAATGAAGAAGAAGATAAAAAAGAAAACAAAAACGGAGAAAATTAAAATTAGTTAATGCAAGTTAATATGATAATTCACCAAGAAATTGAATGTAAATTTCAATTTTGAAAGATAAACAATGAGGGAAAATACCAAGCAGATGGTTAAGTTTAATCACAATTCACAAGGGCTAGTTAGATGATCAAGTGATAGATGATTAATGAACATGTCAGTATTAGAAGTTGAATTAACGTAAAATTTCAAGTGCGTTATATCAATAGGATACAATAGCAAGAGAGTAACAGCAAGAGCAACCGGTAAATCAAGGTGAAAATTGTTAGTTGAAAATTGTATTTCTTGGTGAATGTTTAGCTAGGAATGATTGTAGTTAAGATCATAAAGTAATAAACTAATAACATTAAGACTTACATCTGAGAAATGTGGAGTTAACCAACATTTCTTGGGCAATTGACCAAGGTATATCTCTAAAGGCTTCATCAGTTGGTACGAAAAAGGTTAACACATTACCTATTAAAAGAATTGTTTTTTGAGGAAGAAAGGGAAAGGTAAAAAAATTAGCAAACAATCAAGATGATAACAATTGATGACCATTAAACAAAAATATAACAAGATGTAAATACGATAAAATATGTCAACACAATCAAAAAGAGTTAAGGATCAAGTCAACATTAAGACGCAATATTTTTAGCCGTTATGATGGGTTTAAAGTTGAGAGTTGCTAATGAAGGGTTTTTTTTCAACAATAGATAGCGTGTAAATCGTCTATAATAATTAAAGCTGTTAACTTAAATGGCGTGTTTAACTTGATTGTTGATCTACTATATTGAGACTTATGAGCTTTTATAATTATTATTATTATTTCAATATAAAAATATGTATCACCATTATTTATGACGATCATGATAACTATCGTGGTAACATTATTTGCTATCAAAGTGCTATCCTAACAACAAAGATATAGAGAGATGTTTGAGAATGATTGAGATTCTGATTTAAAAAGTCATCTCAATTAAATGATGATGATAAATCTCATCATTTGTAAGTCTAATTGTTGAAAGGTAACAAAAACAATACAAGGAAACAAAGTCAACCTAATACAATCAAGCTAATTGTTGGTAAACTAAACCTTCCTCCTTTGCACCCTTTAACATGAGATTTGGTTTGTTATTGAAGCTGTTGATAAAATACTTGGTTCATAGGGTAAATCATATTCATTGAGTAACCTTTAATTTACCATGTTTTTGCTAACAATTAGATGAAAAAGGTTTACATTAAAATTAAAAACTGTAATCCATTTGTATTCATCTCACATGGTAACAAGGCATGTTTTTGTTTTGTTCAACAATCGAAGAGGGAAAACAAGATTAATATTGAAATCAAGGATTGATTATAATCAGTTACATTTGATTAGCCCAACTGATTCTTGAAATATGATCTTAATCCAAGTCAAGGTGAATAATGGCGACTCTTCATTATATCATCAGCATGAGAAAAACAAAACAAAACAAAAATGTTACATCCACATACAACAGTGAACCAACCACACAAACATAAGGTTATAACCAAATTGTTCAATGATCTAACCCAATTAACCGGAGATGACGATAAAGATGATGATCATAAGTTGACTTGATTGTGACTTAACAACTCCTACGGTAATTTGATTACTCACTAGAAACATCCTTTTCCAGGTCAGCCATTGAAAGTGATTTAGCCATTCGATCGTATTTATCGCCAATCAGTTCAATCATGCTTCGATCTAGATATTTGGGTGGAGAAGAAACAAATTCATTGATTAATATTATTGTCATAAGAAGAACAAGAAAAAAGGAAAATTTTAATCAACAATTTCCGCAATGAGAGTTAATTGTCATCATTGGTATATATCAAGATATCATTGGATGACAGGGAAACAAAATATCTCAAGTAACATATTAACTCTACAATTGTCTCCTTCTGATGACCATTTACATCAGATTATTATATTATATTATAATAATGGACAAATGTGATAAACATTGATACAGGTAAACAACAGGATTGTAAGACTGATAATTATAATGATGATGAGGTGTGTTTACAGCAACAATCAAATGTCGTCAAAACAAACAAGTGAAAGCCAAAAATGAGCAAACAAATTAAAAAGCCAACGTCTTATTTACAACCTTATTAATGTTGATTGTTTGAAAATGAAAGTGAGTGATTTATAAATCAACCAAACCCAAAGTAACAAGAGCTGTTTAACTGTATTGAGAAACTCAGCAAACTCAGAAACATAATTTACTGATTTGCCAATTAACACACCAACATTGAAACAATTCATTTTCACAATTAACTCTAGTTTTAAGTCATTGTTTCCCTTGTTAACCTTTAATCAAACCCAATTCAACAATAATTTCAATGTAAATTTAAAATCATTTGAGATCTCAATCTCAGCTGATTGCTTAGCATTTGAACAATCTTAATTGCAATTACCCTTGAGATGAAATGATTCAAAATTTCATCAATTTTCAAATGAACACATCAAGACAAATTGCAGTCTCAGGCAATCTCAATTAATGATCTTTGATCATTTACAGTTTTTGAAACAAATTAATCAATCGTAATGATTACTATCAATAGATATATAAAATTGTAAGCAAATACAAACAATTAAATCCAAGGAAAGACTAAATTTTCCTTCTAATATTATCAATTCAATATTCATTAAAATGGTCAGCTATCAATTGAAAAGTCCATGTTGGTGAAACATTAATAAATGATAATAAACAATCAATCAATGTTAAAAGCATAAGCAACAGGTTAATCATAATATAATAATTATACAAAAAGCAAATGTCCGTCAAAAAGTCAACTTTCAATGTACAGCAAATGATTAGAAAGTACAAGAAATAAGACAAAGAAACGAAACGGAATGAACCTTATTGAATGTGGCCTTCCATTGGCGTACAAATGTCCATGAGATGAAATCTTAATCGATAGTTCATGTTGAATAGGGTGAATTAACAGAATCCTCAGAAGCCATCTTAATGATGAGAAAGGAAGATGAAAAACAACAATAACAAACCCAAACCTGGTCCATTAGACCTTGGTTTGTGTATTATTTTGCTTTCAACTATTGATGGTTTCAATAGAAAAGGTATTTTCTTGTCCACAATTGATGGTTAAGCTACTGTTAATCATGATTAGTAGATAATCATGGGATATTTCCCTGAATAAAGTCAATAAAACCAGAAGATAATTAATTTTACCCAAAAAAGTGAAGCTCAATGAAAGATCATAAAGCATTGGATTTTCAATTTCAACTAAACTGGTTGTTGTTGATCAAGACATGGATAGACAATAAATTGATTGTTATTTGTTTATCAACTTGTAATATACATTAATGAGCACTAATATGCATATTAATATGCATTTAATTTCATTTAATGTTCAAGTTTTGTGTTTGTTTAGGGGAAACTGGCTACTGTCCTCGACTTATATTGGGTTGGCTGAGAATGACCGGTAAAGTTGATAACTTGATGTGAAACAAATGTTATTGTCTTATTTCATTAATTATTATCATTATCATTATCCAGTATCATTCATGGTTATTATTAATGACCATTTGGTCGAGGTGAGATGTTAAAGATGACCCAAGTTTGTTAAATTGTTGGAAAGTGACAAAACGAGTAGAAAGCTCATAGTCGTAGTTAAATCAAATGATAAACACAATCTTTTCAAATTATAATCATTTGACGGGAAAAAAATAACAATTAAAAAGCAACTACTTTAAGGTCAAATAATTAAGCTGATCATCATGGTAGTGTGATAATGGTTAACTGAGTAGTTCAGTCTTTTTTTAATATTTTTACCATTTCTTTTATTGTCATCAATTTGCTGTTTTTGTCTTTATTTTGGCGTAATTAAATTTGCTCATTAAATCATGACCATCATTTGATTTGCATATTTTGTCTCTTTACAATTAAATCGACTAATCAAGTTGTAAATAGATTGACATTGAATTTTCTGGTCAACAATCACTTTTGGGTTAGGGAATGAAAAGAGTAACAAAATGTCTGGTTCAACTTACCGGGAACTGATTGACTAGTTGTTGGTGTTTCAGATGAAACATTACTCCAAATGGTTAGAATCACAATTAATAGTTGAAGATTACAATTGAAGATCATTTTGAGGCAGTTTCTTTTGATTAAACTCACTGAGAAACAGAAAAAAATATGATTAAAAAAAGATGATTAAACTAGTTGATCAACACTGAATGTCATGAGTATTTTGGGTTGTCAGGTTAATATGCAAGTATAAATGGCTATGTAATGTCTTAGCGGATTAAACTTGATGTTGCTATTTCAATTGCAAGTGTTCAACTGAATAAGATGAGTTTGAATCCATGATTCTTAAGATGAACCGTGAAGATGCTGAGTGAGAAAAGGGGAAAAAATTAAAACCATTGAAATGACCCTAAGACCTACTTTTGTGTGAGGCCGAGTGAGAAGAGTGAGATGATGATGAGAGGAAGATGTAAGAGGAAAGATTGAGTAAAAGTGGCTTGTCAACTTTTTTTGGTTAAAAAACAGTAAAAGTGAGAGTAGAGCCTTGAAAGTGAAAGTTGAATTAATATTTAAATCGCTATGAAGATGAAGAATGAGAGAATCTCATCCTTTCATGAAACACCCAATGATGATGATAATAGCAACTACCTTTACGTTAACTGGCCCCAGTTGATTACAATCAGTGTGGGTGGACAAACCATATACTCATCTGGTAATACAATACAACTTGAATCGCAAATTGAACGAGGTTAACCTAAGCCATGTAATGGCTATCCATAACGATTAAACTGTAAACTTTGTTGATCATTGATTTACCTCTCTTTATTGTTGATTTGATGGTGATTTGGTTAATTTAATAATTTCCTTGCTTACATTTATTGACCCTGTAAATCACGGAGATCAGTAAATAAAATCCTTTAACCAATTATAATTAGGAACAACGGGAGAAGAATAATAGTTTCAATCAAATTTTATCATTTAGAGTAATCCAAAACCATTAATAGATGTCCAAGGTTTCACTGGTTATTTGAATAAAAACTGGTATCAATTTGGTAATGTTCAAAACCATTTTGGGTTCCTACTGGTTTCTTTAAACCCATAATCAAAAACCATTTGCATAATAAAATGATTTATTCAGTGATTTTCATAATTATTAGCTTTACAATCTGGACTTTAGTGATCCTAATTTGTTATTGATAGCTGACCAAGAATAGCTTAATCTGTTTAGACGGTAAAGAAACAATCGAAATGGTCTTCGCTTCAATAACTGGTTCATTTGTTGGTTGATTGTTGTAAAGTAATCCATCTTTTTGCAGCACTTAGAGTTGGAAAATAATAAACCACAAAATTATCAGATAAATTGGTTTTTGCATCATAGTAATTACAACCAATCCATTGTTAAAGGTGAGGTTAGCATCAAGAGCATTGCTAAAAATATTGTCTGAATATTGTCCAATTTTCCGAAATTGATTGGTTTTATTTGCATGTCATTTCACCGGCTATTATATCATCGATCAGCGACAGATTATTGGAATGATTTTGCTATTTTAATCTCGATTTCTTGATACCAAAGCTCGCAATAGTTTTGCGTTTTCAAGGCAGTTACAGAGCAATGAAATCATCATGGTTTGGCTCATTCACGAGAAGGTAACACTCGTCATACCATTCACATCATCATCGTTCTGATTATCATTGATAATTTACCATGAATAACTCCTCCAAACTCAGGCCTTCTTGATAATGATCAAAATATTTAAAACGAGTTGAGAAATTTTCACTCCCAATTATGTTCAGTAGACATTATCCATGAGTTTAGCTTTAAATCTTTTCCAAACGCCTCGGCAATCCAAGATATTATAATATTTTGTCATCATCATCGCAATTAAATCTGATGATTAAGAGACGAGAATTATTGAAAAACAAAAAAACCAAATTCATGATCATTATTAAACTTGAACTAATCCAACTTGATTCTTGAAAAATTCCTGAGTTGCCAAACATATTGAAACACTATCTATTTGAAATTATTTTGTAAACAGATGAGTGAAGTATTGAAACGATTGATAAAACTTAAATCGTTGATCTTTTCTTCTGGTAATAGTGCTTTTTGATTACATTAAAAACTTATTCAGTACTTAACATTAAATGGATACGTTAAAGAGTATCAAGTTAACCAAGGCTGTATTGATTAAAAAAAAGGATTATATCAGTTGTATTGATCAAAATGAAGTGAATCGATGATCATAAGATAGAGAAAAACAATCAGAAATGAAATGATCTCCTAATCATGTAAAATGAGTGAAGAATCTTGAAATTGTCTTTTTTTACGCTACGGGTTTATGCAAAGTATAGAGACCTTGAAATAGTGCATTTACAAATTGATGGTCGAGGTGAGTATGTACTCAAGATGGACAATCGATCATCACATGGGTCTCAATAAAAGCCAAAAGACAGTAAAGCAAAAAGAAGTTGGAAACTAATAAGTGTTGATGATTAAGGTATATGGGTGAGGTGAACTGTAGATGAAACTGAAATTACGTGAAACCATGCTGACAGGACATGTGAAGACATCAAGTTGAAATCTTTTCTTGAGTTAATTATAAGGGTAACAATTAAAAGGTTGACCTGACAGTCAAACAAAAAAGTGAATGATCCATCCATTCCTGCGAAGCCATCACTTTCACTGAAAAAAAGCCAACATCAATCCTTTTAATCAACAAACCAAACTCTTTAACCAGGCAAACCGTTCAAGGTTAACATCGTATTATCATGATGATGAGCTGAAAAAAGAAAGAAAAATTTGACTTAGAAAGACTATTCTCAAGAAAAAGAAGAAACAATTTCAATATATTTCAATGGATGGACTTACAATGTATAAAATGCATGTATTTCAACAGCCATGTAATGTTGTTAATTGCAAAATATTGTTCAATAGCACATGTATCTTGTTAGCAGGATTGAAACAACTTGATTGTATGCTATTTAACATCACTAATTTGGTAATTCCAACAATAAATGTTTTCCAAAAGAAAGGTGAAGAAAAAAAATTAATTCATAAATGGAGGTGAATTACTCTTGATGAAAAAAGCTGTTAGCCATGTTGTAAAGGGTTGACTTGGTATAACGTATGTTAGCTCTTATTAAGTGGCCATAATTCCTTGGTAATAGCTGTAATCAGCAAACAATTAAAGAGTAATATGTTAACTCATGAATACACTTAGGTAGGTACCACAATTTACCGGCCAGGCCCATAAATTAGTAAAGATAATCCAAGGTAAATGGTCATAAAATCGGAAATGAAGATTAATTTACTTTGAAGAGCTTGCAGCATGGAAAGCTTGCAGAGAGAAACAAAAGAAGGCAAAGAAAGCAGATTGGCGGCAATGAGACTGGCTGACTCATTTCAGTTTGTTATTAATATTTTTTAGCCATATTTATAATTGTTACAAAAACATTATTAAAGATGATATCATTACAAATGTGTTATTATTTTTCGACTGATTTAATTGTGATGACCTTATCTATGATAATTTATTTCCATCAAAAGTCAAAATGAAACAAAATTATTGAAAAACAATGAAAGTTTGTCTTCAAGTGACCATCAACAGTTTTAATATAGTGTTTAACATTGGTTTATTGTCCTGTACAAAAAGGTATTCTTGTCTTTCCAGCAAGGTTAATCAACTACTGTGATTTTATTACCAACGGAATTAGACTTTTTCAATCTCCATGGTCATCAAACATAATTATTGTCCTTTTATTTTTGTACGCCTGATCAAGCTTGGACAATTGAACCAACCAACATTTCCCGACCACTCTCTTGAGTTATCATCTCGATCCTTCAGATAAAAAAGCAACTGAACTTTCATTATGTTGAGTTGAGTATATTCATAATCAATAGTTATTACAATAACCATTTGTTTACTTTTATAAAATCTCATATATTAAGCGTCCAGTTTAGACTAGAGTCGTTTATCCGCGTAATTTGAAAATGTTTACCTCACTTCCTGCTGTAGTACCTTTATAATTAGCTTTTAATGTTTACCATTTATTTTTCAACAATTAGCTGACTTAAAAACAAAATTAACTTTCAAAAGTAAGTATAATTGCATTATTTTCACTCAATTCTGTTGTTTAACTTATATCTTTACTTCTCATCTGATCATCTACCAAAGCTGATGGATACATTTAATGATATACAGTAAGCAAACAAACCCTTTGACAATTACGTTATTTACTAATTAAATTTATTTACTCAGACAGGCTACAATGGTGATCTCATAATCAGATCAATTGATGGAGGACAAAAATAATCGTAAAACGAAGATACTAATCACTACCAACCACCAACATAATTTTAAGTTTCAAGGCATCATCGTTACGCCGTGTTTACATGATAATATGCTTTAAGAATGCTGTTTATTTACTGGCAATTAGTTATTAACAACCAAAAACAAAACCACCATGGAGATAACGATGAACATGATGATGTTCACCACTGTGATAATAATCAATAGTAGAAGAGATGATCTCATAAAGAACGGCCCTGCCCCGTTAAGTTAATTATAATTTTGTGCGAAAAATTAGATTCCTTGTGAAATGTCACCTTCAATCCTACGCACCAGCTTATTTGTTTTATTATAATTATACTTGTAGCACTCAAATTGTAAATATTTTCAACGTATAAATCATTTTAGGTTTAGCTTTTCATTTCGTATGAGAAATGTGAAATCCCTGATTCCTAGCTCATGGAAAAAGTTCATGTTTCATTTGAACCTAACAATCCAATCTTACCGTGATAATAGACTTTTTTTCCCAATTATTTGCGTGATTGTAGCCGTTGTGGGTAAAAGTAAACTCAATTTCGTTGTTCATCTTTTTTTCATTACAGGTAAAAACTAGTCTCACCTTTTTGATTATAATATAATGCATCAAATGATTATCTCTGGTATTTTTTTCAACTTTCAGACTTTTTAATCTGGTAAAATGAAAAGGTAACAAAATGACACAAAAGAAATTGAATGCAACCAAACAGGTAAAACTTGATTAACCGGCTTCCATTGGACTCACAGGCCAAATAATCATCTATTATCATTCGTAGTTGATTAGAGTATGAATTTGATATAACCTATGAATGGATTAATCAATATTACAAAGGATTACATTCATTTCTTGAATGTTTCATTACAGAGTCTCAGTTGCTGCTGGTTTCTCATGTTGAAAAAAGCCTAATACTGATTTTTCAGTGCAAAATTAATTAACCAAAAGTAGCCAACTGTTAGTTAGACATTGATAAGTTGTTGAGAGTAAACAAGATTAATTAACTATAGATGGTCCTACATTTGTTGGTCGGTTACTTTAAAAAATTAAGCTCTTCAATTTACTCCGTATTCTCATGCTCATTAATTTCAAATGTTAATCAACAATTCTGACCACAATCTTTTCCCCATTCATTCAAATTGAATCAAATCCATAACAGGAAACTTTAATCGTTTAAATAGAAATGCAAAGAGTTAATTAATGTCTGATGGCTAATCAGCTCAATCTTTTAAACTGTCAACGTCAGATTTTGATTAACAAAAATAATGTCTTCTGTTTTTGTGAAAAAATTCAGTTTATTGACGAAATATAAATTCATATGTAATTTTTGAATAAGTAGAAACTTGATTTGCTTTGAACAATTTATGAAAAATTTGCAAGATTAAACTTGAGTATCTATTTATGTAACTTTAAAGATCTTTGGATGATTCAGCTTCTCCTGAGAATTGTTGTCTTTCAATTAATCGTAAATATGGTCCTTTATTTGCGACTAATTCGTCGTGAGTTCCGATCTCAGCAATCCTTCCATTTTCAACAACCGCAATTTGATCAGCATTTCGAATTGTTGACAGCCGATGAGCAACAACGATACAGGTTAGTCCTTTTTTAGCTTCATCCAAAGCTTCTTGAACAAGCTAGAAAAAAAGAAAACGAAATTTGAAATATTTAAAAATTTTAAAGATAATCTAATAATATGATTTAAATTTTATAAAAATTACCTTTTCATTAACCGAATCTAATGCAGAGGTTGCTTCATCTAGAAGTAAAATATTAGGCTTACGAACTAAAGCTCTTGCAATGGCAATTCGTTGTTTTTGGCCTCCACTTAGTAGCATTCCTCTTTCGCCAACCATTGTTTCATATTTCAAGGGAAGAGATTTAATGAAATCATGAATTTTGGCCTTCTTGGCAGCAGCTTCAATTTCGCTATGCTCAATATGACTTTCTAGTCCATAAGTTATATTATACGCTATTGTCCCGCTAAAAAGTACCGGTTCTTGTCCAACAAAACCAATGTGACTTCGTAAATGAGTTATATTGATATCTCTTATATCAATACCATCAACCTCCTAAAGAATTAAATCAAAATATATTTTTATTAAACTTTGTTGTTCTAGAATATGATATACTTACAATTAAACCAGAATCAGGATCATAGAAACGCATTAAAATTTGTATTAATGTACTTTTACCGCAACCGCTTTCACCAACAAGAGCCAGAGTTTGTCCAGCTTTGACGTTAACGGTTAATCCAGCTAAAACAGAAATACTTTTTCGTGTAGGATAACTAAAGTATACATCAGTAACACTAATGTTGCCAAGAATTTTCTGTTTGGAGGCAAGAATGAATAGGTTAGTGTGTAATCAATGTGACAGGAATCGATATTTAAACTTACAGGTCTTAATCCTTCTTCTGAGAGATTATCGATATTTGAACGAGATTCAATCAATTGGAAAACCAGTCCAGCTGATAATGAGGCTTGTGTATAATCTGGATAAACAGTTGTTAGCACACCAACATATGCTGCACACATTGTCATTGCAAAGAAGACTCTGAAAATAGTGGAAAAATATTAGTAATCTGTACGAGTTTCGCCATTTATCATAACAATTGACTTACTTATAAATATCAGCTGGAGCACTTAAATTCACACTGACCAAGTAAGCTCCAAGACAAAATCCTCCAGCATATACGAAAAATGATAAACTTTGAGTAAAGGCATAGACAAAACTGCTTACAATTGCCGTTTTCTTGTTTTTCCTAAATTGAAATTTGATCATAAGAAGAAGAAATCGATTATTATTGAAATTCTACTCCATTTTTCCAAGTTGTTGAGCAGATAATACTTACGCTACACAAGCATCAAGAATGGTGTTAAACTTTTGACAGAAATACTTTTCTTTGCCAAGTGATTGAACAGTACGAACATTGGCGATGGCTTCAGTTGCTATTCGACCAGCATCAGCCATTTCATCAGCTTGTTTTATATTACGACCTTTGTTAACACGGAACTCTAGTCGAGCGGCAAATAAAAGCAATGGAAGCATACAAGATAAGGCTAAGGCCAGAATCCATCCATAATAAAAGGATATGGCAAGACCAGCAAACACTGTGACAAGACAGCAAAGGAGAAGACCAGATCGCTGACCGGCAGCAGCTCTGATCATTGGAGCATCACGAGCAAGTTTGCTTGATATACGAGCAGGAGCGTGAGTTTCTTGATCATGCCAACTTTGGTCCTGTCGTAAAACATTTTCATATGCAGATACTCGCAATCGACGTACAACATGCTCAGCTAAATTGTCCGAGCAAACGATCTGTTGGTAAGAAAAGTAAAGGGTGAATAATACGGAATTTTATAATGAATGTAAACAAAACTTACCCTGAAAAAGTGAGCAAGGAAATTGAGACCGGCAAGAACGAGAAACATGCCTGCCCAGAAATGAGCGGACGCTAAAACTTTTGCTGGCTCTTGATCGAAAGACTAGAAAATTGAAGAGAAAGAGAAATTGATATTCGTTAGTGAAAATTCATCCAAGAACACAGTTAATGTGAATTAAAGTCTAATTACTTCAGCAACACTGGCAAAAATAACTGAAAATAATGGCATGACAAGTCCAAGAGCAGAAGCAGCGACGATATAACCTAAGAGTAACAGTTTATCCCATTTATACCAACACCATTTCAATATTTTGGAAGCTGGTGGCAGTTCAACAATCTCTCCGTCAACCTCTGTCACTTTGGCTTTACCATAAGAGAGGAAAGTTCCCGATGAAACTGAACCGAGTTCCAGTGACTTTCGAGATCCAGGTGGAATCATGGATGCAACAGGCAAATCAGCTAAATGTAATGGTTGAGGTTCTTGATCTTGTTTGAATGTTTGATTACTGATTAAAGAATGGTACAATCCTTTTTTCTCTAACAATTCATTGTGTTTTCCCGACTCTACTATTTTACCAGACTCCATGGCACAAATTAAATTTGCATCAACAATTGTTGATAATCTGTGAGCAACAATCAATGTGATTCTTCCTTTACGAGCTTTATCAAGAGCTTTTTGTACAACTTGCTCATTCACTGTATCCAATGCTGATGTAGCTTCATCCAGTAAAAGTAGTTTTGGATTTGCAATGATTGCTCTTGCAATAGCAATTCGTTGTTTCTGTCCACCAGATAATTGAGCTCCTCTTTCACCAACCAATGTATCATAACCAGCTGGAAGTGATTTAATGAAAGCATGAGCATTTGCTTTTTTGGCAGATCTAACGATCTCATCGAAAGCACCAGTTGAAGGATTAGTATCTCCTAGAGCAATATTATCACGAATGCTTCCACTAAACAGGATTGCTTCTTGGCTGACTATTCCAATTTGAGATCTCCACCAATGTAAATTTAGATTGCGAATGTCAACGCCATTTACAGTAATCTGTTAATTGTGAAAAAATTTATATCAATTAAAAAGGTTAACCCCAGCAATATCGAAGATAACTTACCCTTCCACTTGTTGGGTCATAGAATCTTTGAAGTAAAGCTACAATGGTTGATTTACCAGAACCACTGCCACCACATAAGGCCACACTTTCTCCAGCTTTCATCGTAAGGTTGAAGTTGAATAATACTTGGATATTGGGTCTCGTTGGATAGAAGAAATTTACTTGTTCGAATTTAATTTCGCTAATCGGTTCTTCTAGAACTATACCAGATTCGGAGTAGGCGTCGATTAATGGATTCTGTTAAAAGATATTAAAATAAATTATCATGTCGATGGAAATATTGATAAAAAACAAAGCGTCAACCTACTCTTTCAATGACTCCATAAATTGTTCCAGCAGATCCTTTCGCGGTAGCTACATCATTCAGATTGGGCATTGCATTTCCGAGTAACATTGATCCCATGATTACCGACAAAAATATGATGAAAATTGAACCAGCGGTAATCGATCCATTTATAACAAGATTTGCTCCATACCTTTGAAAAAACAAAAATTTATTTCCTTGTAAAGTATAAAGCTGAGTTTATTAAAAAAAACTTAAGAACCAAAACTTACCAATATGCAATCGCATAGGAAACGTATAAAATCACATTATCCAATCCGAATGTAAGTCCAGAAATAAAATATTTGCGTGCCAACGATTTACTTGCATCGTCTAGCATTTGTTTGTACCTTTCAATTTCATATCTTTGACCACATAGTGACCATACTGTTTTTAGGCTGGATAATATCTCTTCTGCAATGGCTGCAATCGATGCGTATTCCTCTTGCTCTTGTGATGTTGATTTATGAAAATACTGTTGTAATGATAAAAAATATTAGCAATCGAGTGATCAATCAGTAATTTAAAATGATCAATATACTTACAGTCCACTTATAATAAGTTGAAAATAGGAGGACAGGAGCAATAACCACAAGAACAAGCGTTAATTGCCAACTTTCAATGAACCCAATAATGTATCCACCAATAAAACCAGATATTGACACTAAATAGAGACTCAATTTGTTTCCAATTCCATCTCGAATACGCTCAATATCACTGCAAAAATTAAAAATGAAAATGTTAGAAATGTTTACAAATATTAAAAAGGTCAATAAAGATATTACTCATTCAATTTTGATGTGAATTCACCAGATTTATGGGCGTCAAACCAACCAATATCTTGACGAAGAACTTGCTTCAAGAAAAGCTTCTTGATTTTATGAATCTGTCTTTCACATGTGTATTGCCAACATAAATACTGTAAACATACGAAAATAAATGTGTTACAAGATTTGATTGTACAACGGTATTGAGAATTGAAGTTTACCTGAAGCATGGATGAAACTATGACCAATAATCCAAAATAAATATAATAAACGGAATATTCATACATAATTTGTCCATAAAATCCATTGAAAGTTGAATCAGCTGAAACTTTTGATGATTTTTTGAAATCCTGTTCAGCTGCATCATATTCAAGAAATGAATCGGTCATACGACCAAAAACTATTGCCATCAATGGCCTTGCAAAACCACTAAGCATGGCACCAATGGTGCCGAGAACAATTAATAACCAATCGAGTTGGGTTCCATATTTAAACTGTCGTAAGATATTAAAAGATTAGTATTAATATTGACTGACCGGCAAACAAGACGAAATTAACTTCCAATAACTCTCAATCAGTTTGAGCTTCTGATTGGAAAAAAATAGATTAAGTAAATCATATTACTCACCAATCCTAATATAGATACACTTGGAAATTCCGACTTTGCAGATCGTTCAATAGGAATGGAAGAACCACTTGGTTCACGACTGAAAATTCATAATAAAATAAGAAAGGTATCATTTAAAAATGTATCAATATGATTACAAACAACAGGCAAAGGTAAACAAGTGCAAATAAACTTACCCGCTTAAAATAGCAGATTGGCTGAATGAACCATATTCTGATCCACATTCTGACTTTAAAAGTTTTCTTTCTTCAGCCATTTCATTCAAAAAATATAAACAAAATCACAATATTGGCACAGTTGCATAAAATAATAAAAACACAAAAAATCGAATGGTTTAAGACAACAATCTTAAACCAATTTCACAAGGTTAACTGGCACAGTAATCAATTAATCCTTTAGAAGACTTTGTCTAGTAAAGATGGTCACAATTACAGCTGATCAATAATTGCATAACGGTGATATGATCAAACTACAATCTAATACGATTGATTAAATCAACATATTATCAACAAAATGCATGGACAGAAAAGTGAATTGACTTTTTGGTTAAGAGCTCACTCTTTTTCCCACTAGTTGCTCTTGAACAGTACAGGAAAACTGGAAAGACAACCAATCTCTGTAAAATCTTCGCTGGAATCCGGTTTTAAACATAAGTTCATGTGTACGTGAATTTGTCTCAGGTTTAAGGAGCCAGTTTTCTTCTTAGAGTTTACAAGGTAAGTCCAAGTTGAGGTCATTTTTACCTACTTCAAGTCAATAAATTTTTAACTGCTCGACTTAACTAAACCAAAAATCTAAATGAGTTGTAAATTTTGACCTTTGTCTTTGACTACAACAATCAATTTCCTTAACACTTATGATCTACAAATTTCAGTTTATTCATCAAATGATCTATCTAATCTATGAGAAAATTATATTGAAATTTTTGGCGCTATTTCCATCAATCAGGTAAGCATGTAAGTTATGATCTTTACATTGGAATGATTACTTGTTTTTTGATTTGCATCTAATTTAATTTTGACTCTAAATTTGACTATTTTGTTACAGTTATTGACTTCTAAGATTTACTAGTCTCAAAAACTTGTAAAGCCAGAATCAAATCAAATTACTGTAAGAATCATGATGAATGGGTTTGCTTCATTCTAGGCATTTCTTAAAAAAATTAATCATTTAATTGGCAGTCATCATGAGTGATTGAAATTACATGATTTTCGGTTTAAGGTTATTAATTGACAAAAGTTGTAAAATTGCACAAAACTGAAAAAATTTTTGAATTATTTTATCTAAAAAGCGATGCATTGCACCATTGAGATTCCCTTTAATTGTATGTATAATTTATTGTAAATTTTAAAAAATAGATCAACATTTTCAACTGGCAATTATATCTGATGAGCCTTTAATCCTTTGTCTTTCAGTTAAGGCGAAATAGGATCCTTTATTTTCCATCAACTCATCATGAGTTCCAATTTCCACAACTCGGCCTTTTTCAATAACTGCTATTTTATCTGCATTCCTGATAGTTGACAATCGATGAGCAATGATAATACAAGTTCTTCCTCCTTTGGCACGATCAAGGGCTTCTTGTACCAACTGAATAAAAAAAGATTAAAATGATTGGTCACAAATTGAATGCGATAAAAGATTAGTGAAAAACTTACACTCTCATTGACAGTGTCTAAAGCTGAAGTTGCTTCGTCCAACAATAGAATTGCCGGTCGCCTAATTAATGCTCGAGCAATGGCGATTCGTTGTTTTTGACCTCCACTCAATTGCATACCTCTTTCACCAACTAGTGTATCATATTGATTAGGCAAGTTAACGATGAAACTGTGGATATTGGCTTGTTGTGCAGCTTCAAAAATTTCATCTTGACTAGGAGTTCGGTTAAGTCCATAAGTAATGTTGTACTCGATTGTGCCACTGAAAAGAACTGGTTCTTGACCAACATAACCAATTCTACTTCGCAGATGAATTAAATTAAGATCTCGAATATCGTAGTCGTCAACTTTCTGTGAAAGAAAAAGTATGAATAAACTTGAAATGATCTAAACAAGCTATAATTTCAAACTTACAATTGCACCTGACTCTGGATTGTAATATCTCATAATCAATGAAATCACAGTACTTTTACCGCATCCACTTTCACCAACCAAGGCCAATGTTTTACCGGCTTCAACGTCAATCTTTAATCCATTTAAAATTGATGAAGTCTTTCGTGTTGGATAACTGAAGTAAACATCATCAATAGAAAGCTTTCCTTTTATTTCCTGAAATTCAAATAGATGGGTATTAATAGACTCTCTTTCAAGGAAAATATCGCTAACTTACCGGTCGCAGACCTTCTTGAGACAAATTATCAATGGGTGATCGACTTTCAATGATTTTGAAAACCAATGCAGCAGAGAGTTTAGCTTGGACATAATCGGGAAGAATTGAGGTTAACTGACCAACCATAATAGCAGACATAGTAATTGAAAAAAATACTCTAAATTTGATAGAAAAATTAATGATTAGTATTGTTGATATGCCTAAAAATTAATCTAAACCAACCTGTAAACATCTGTTGGTGTCATTGTATTGGTGCTAACCAAATAAGCACCAAAACAAAAACCAGCTCCATAAACAAAGAAAGTAAGACTTTGAGTGAACGCATAAGAAAAGCTATAATAAATTGCTTGTCTTCGGCTTTTCCTGTAAATAAAAGTGAAAGGTATGATCAGTATTTTTAATTGAAAGGTAAAGTACAGAATTACTTACCTTGTAGGAAGTTCTAATCGTTCGGAATATCTTTCATAAAATGTATGCTCTCGAGTTAAAGACTGAACCGTTCTGACATTTTCAACTGCTTCAGTGGCTATTCTTCCAGCAAGCTCAATCTCTTCAGCTTCTTGAGCTTGGTCACCTTTACTGATACTCATTTCCAATTTTCCAGCCAACAGAAGAAGAGGGACCATCGCAGTTAACGCTAAAGCTAAAATCCATCCATAATAATAAGCGATTGCCATACCAGTAACCATTGTTACAATAGCAGAAATGACTATTCCTATTCTTGTCCCTGCAGCGGCTCGAATCATTGGAGCATCTCGTGCCAATTTTGTGGATAATCGAGCAGGAGCATGAACTTCTTCATCGTGCCATGACATATCTTGACTAAGGATTGATGTGTAAGCTGCAACTCTGAGTCGACGGGTCATATTTTCACCAGCGATTCCTGATGTTACAGCCTGGTGAAATCAAATATAGATGATTACTTCACTGAAATTACTTGCGAGATATATTTATAGATATAATAACTTACCCTGACGAAGTGACATATAAATGTAAGACCAGCAAGGACAAAAAACATCATACTCCAGAAGAAGGCAGAAGAAAGCATTTCTTTCGGTGGCAATGAAAAAGACTGTAAGTAAAAAATCATTAGTAACTTTCATTTTGATACGATTGTACTAAATTTACGTACTTCATAGACACTAGCAAAAAAGACAGCAAATAGAGGCATGACAACACCTAATAGAGACGCAGCTATCACTAAACATGATACCATGCAAATATCCTGTTGGCACCATTTAAGTATTTTCCAAGTGGAAGGAAGTATAACGTCTTCACCATTAACTTGGCACTCTTTGGTTTGCCCAGTGTTTGTCATTGTTGAGTTGGAAACATCTGAGAGAGACAGGGCTTTCGATAGACTCGAACTTGCTTCAGTTTCTTGGCCTTTTTCATTTTCACTTCCAAAGGTTTGCTTATTGATTAGTGTATGGTACAATCCTTTCTTCTCTAACAATTCATTGTGTTTTCCCGATTCTACTATTTTACCAGACTCCATGGCACAAATTAAATTTGCATCTTTAATTGTTGATAATCTGTGAGCAACAATCAATGTGATTCTTCCTTTACGAGCTTTATCAAGGGCTTTTTGTACAACTTGCTCATTTACTGTATCCAATGCTGATGTAGCTTCATCAAGTAAAAGTAATTTAGGATCGCCAATAACTGCTCTTGCAATTGCGATTCGTTGTTTCTGTCCACCAGATAATTGAGCTCCTCTTTCACCAACCAATGTATCATAACCAGCTGGAAGTGATTTAATAAAAGTATGAGCATTTGCTTTTTTGGCAGCTCTAACGATTTCATCGAAAGAAGCATTAGGAGCGCCTAAGGAAATATTATCACGAATAGTTCCACTAAACAGGACTGCTTCTTGACTGACAATTCCAATTTGTGATCGCCACCAATTCAAATTCAGTTCACGAATGTCAACACCGTTCACGGTAATCTAATAATCATACAAAAGTTAAATCAATAAGAAAACTCATTCAAATACTTTTTACAAGATGCAGCTGCAAGTTTCCAAGTTCAAGCTATAAAAAAACTTGCTGCCTATTTTCAATTAAAGCTTATTTACCCTTCCACTTGTTGGGTCATAAAATCTTTGAAGTAAGGCTACAATGGTTGATTTACCAGAGCCGCTTTCACCACATAACGCGATACTTTCACTTTTTTTAATGTCGAGTGTAAAATTGTATAAAACTTGAACTGTTTCTCGGCTCGGATAGAAGAAATTGACATTCTCAAAGCGTATCTCTTCGATTGGTCCTTTCAGCACTTGACCTTTTTCGGAGTAACAGTCAATTTCAGGAACTCGTTCTATTATTGAATAGATATTGGCTGCCGATCCCTTAGCTGCAGCAATGTCAGTTAATGAAGGCATTGCATTTCCCAGTGATAATGAACCAAGGATCACAGCTAAAAATATAATGAAAATTGATCCTGGAGTAATCGTACCTTGTAAAACCAAATTGGCTCCAAACCTATAATCAAAAGTAAACATTAATCAGGGTCTATTAAATGAGTAATCAAGCAAAATAAACGTACCAATAAGCAATACCATAAGCCGAGTAAAGAATCAGAAAATCCAAACCAATAACAGCACCAAACACAAAATACTTTTTTCTGATTAACTTTTTAGCCTCTTCAAGTAAACTCTGGTACCTTTGAATCTCGTAAAATTGACCACAAAGAGCTAGAACTGTCCTTACACTAGCGAACACTTCCTCAGCGACAGCCGATACTTTTGCATAGTTTTCTTGTTCTCGTATAGTTGCTCTGGTCATATACTGAAAGTAAAAGCTCATCAGTTAATTAGTCTGTACAATGTATATTTATCGTTAATAATTAATATAAATATTTACCACTCCTTTATATGAAGTTGTAATGATCAAAAAAGGGGCAAGAAATACAATAATCAATGTTAATTGCCAAGCTTCAACAAAACCAATCACGAAACCACCAAAAAAGGTTGCCAAAGATTGAATGAATAAACCACATTTATAGCCAATACCATCACGTATGCGTTCAATATCACTATTGATTAAAAAAGATTTGATTCAATAATCTTTTCAGTGAAAATTCATATAAATTGATGAACTTACTCATTGAGCTTTGAAGTGAATTCCCCTGACTTGTGAGCATCGAACCAACTTATATCTTGCCTTAGAACTTGATTGAAGAATCGACGACGAATTGTATGAACCTGCCTTTCACATGTCCATTGGAAGCATATAACCTAATTTAATGATGAATACAAGCAAAACTGGTCAATGTTTGAAATAAATACAAAAGTAGATTATAATTTACCTGAAGCACAGAGGCTACTATAACAAGAAAACCAAAATAAATATAGTAAAGGGAATATGAATACATTGCGGTATAAATTCCAGTGTTTGCTGTATCAACGGTCATAAAATTAGGTTTCAAATTAATATGGTGCTCATCAACTGAATGATTAGCATGATTCACAAGGCTTTGATCTTTATCCATTGTATCAATATCTAGAAATGAGTCGGTCATGCGACCAAAAACTATTGCCATCATCGGACGCGCAAAGCCATTAGCTATAGCTCCAATCGTACCAATAACGATTAAAAACCAATCCAGTTGGGTTCCATATTTAAACTGTCATGAGATATGAAAAGATTAGTATCAATATTGATTGACCGGCAAACAAGACGAAAGTTACTTCCAATAGCTCTAAATTAGTTTGAGCTGCTGATTGGAAAAAATAGATTAATTAAATCATAATACTCACCAATCCTAAAATAGATACACTTGGAGATTTCGACTTGACAGAATGGGACTTTTTAGGAATGGAAGGACCACATGGTTCAGGGCTGAACATTCATAATAAAATAGGAAAGATATCATTTAAAAATGACTCAATATGATTGCAAACAACAGGCAAAGGTAGACAAGTGAAAATAAACTTACCCGCTCAAATTAGCAGATTGGCTGAATGAACCATATTCTGATCCACATTCTGACTTTAAAAGTTTTCTTTCTTCAGCCATTTCATTCAAAAAATATAAAATAAATCACAATTTTGGAACAGTTACACAAAAAAATAAAAGCACAAAAACCAAAGGGTTTAAGACAACAACCTTAAACCAATTTCACAAGGTTAACAAGTGCACAGTGACCAGTTAATCCCTTAGAAGACTTTGTCTAGTCTAGTCTAGTAAAGATGTTTCCATTACAGCTGATCAATAATTGCATAACGGTGATATGATAAAACTACAATCTATTAAGATTGATTAAATCAACATATTATCAGCAACAAATTAACAATGCATGGACATAAAAAAAGAGTTTATTTTTCGGCTAAAAGCTCACTCTCTTTTTCCCACTAGTTGCTCTTGAACAGTACAGGAAAACTGGAAAGACAACCAATCTCTGTAAAATCTTCGTTGGAATCCGGTTTTAAACATAAGTTCATGTGTACGTGAATTTGTCTCAAGTTCAAGGAGCCAGTTTTGAGTTTAAGAAAATAAAAATTCTTTGGTCAATCACAGTGGCTCTCCGTTTGAAAAGATAAGGGGGAAAGATAATCAGGGAAATGCTGATTTAACCCAAAAAATTAAATAATTTAATTGAATATTTATTGATGTCTCTTTTGTGATATGATAGATTGAGTGAAAACGAAAATACAAAAGTATTACGTTCTGTAATCATATTTTACAATAATTTTGTGAGTTAGTTTTGATGAATATTTAATTTTAAATAAAATTGAATAAAGTCAGCTGATAATTGAAGAAATCAAAATGAAATTTGATGAAATTCAGATTAAATTAAATCTTTAATCAGAAATCGTTGATAAATTTATCTCATTACCTGAGGTCAGTTGACCAAAATGCATTTAAACGAAAGTCAGTTGGGCGAAAATGATTTTCCTATCAATAGATGGCGCTGAATGCAAACCGAGTTGGCTCAATAGAGGAAAACTTTTGAACGATTCAAATTGCTAATTGCTAATGTCTCTTTATTTATGTCTCCTTCTTAATCAAAAAATAAAATTGCCAAAGAATAATTATTGTCACAGTTTTATTCGCAGCATATCCAATGTTCAACAGTATGATACACTTTCTTTTTTCGATAGATATGCTTATCCTTACCTAATGAATTTGCATTTCGAGTTTACACGATGAGTCGGAAAGACATAATTTGATATCTAACACAAGCTTAACGAAGATGTGAAAACACAATCATTAAGATCACAATTTAAGACACGCAAAAAGCAAATCTAGAAGAAAATTTAGCCTAGTAGTGGAAAGAACGCTCAAATATCTGGCGCTCAAGTGACCTGGCCCCGTTGGCTTCAACTCGAGAGTTTTGGTCATATGAACGCTGGTTTTGTTGTTATGAAAACTCTGTGTCTTTCCAGTCATCCTGTGTTGCTGTTGTTGTGTGATAAAGTGATTGAGTCACAATTGATTGATTTAATAGAAAAAATTGCATTATTATTTAATAAAGTCAAAAAATAATTGTTTTGCAAAATTTCATGTCAACAGAATAATTAGTCGACAATAGTAAATACTAATCCAATTTATAGTAATAGTAATTGGATGTTAACTAGCGTAAATTAGTTGTTGAATAATATGCTGTCAAGAAATTAAAGTACTGTTGAATGTTGCTCGAGCCCAGTCTGGTGTTGTTGATAATCCGAAAATTGGATAACCAAGAAGGTTAAGATTAGCAACGATAACAGCTAAACTGGTGACTTTCATCAATAAACCTGGAATAACCTGGGAAAAGACAAAATTATTCAATAAAAGGATAGCATTAGAATCAATTTTAAATCGCAAAAGTTTATGGGGAAACAAAAAATGAATATGGTTAATCGGATTGGAGTAAAAAAGCATTGATGCATCTCAACAGTAATTCAATGTTTCAGGGATAACTGAATAACTGAATTTATCAAATTATTACTCGACTGGTAACTAAGTTGTTTCAGCTCTTTTAGCATTAATACACAAAAATGATTACTTGATTTAACTGGAAAGGTTCACTTTACCAGCAACTAGTACTTAAATTGTGTATAAATCAAGATTAACATGAACGATTAACCATTGAATATGAATATTCAAGTTTTATTGAAAACGATGATATCAATATTACCATATCAGAAGGTTTTAGACCAGCATGTTCATAGACTAACGCATTGGCTGGAGTTCCTGCTGGTAAAATGAAACACATTGAGCAAGCCATGGTAACAGGAATCAGGAAGACTAATGGATTGATTCCAATTGATGCAGCCTGTAATAAAGAGAAAGACAAATAATTAAGTAATATGTTTAACCAGAATGCAACTTTGGCTATTAAATTATTTACAAGGAAAGGTATTCAATGTGAACAATCCCATGAATTATCAGTTTATAATTGATCGTTAAATTGAACAAACCAATGGTCAGTAAAGGACAACAACTAGTCTAACCCAATGTTTAAGCAAAAGCAGAAATATTTGTCCTCAATTAACTAGTAAATCCAAGGGATTGAGTAAATGCTTTAATAAAAAGACAAATTACTCAAGATCCAGACGGAAAAAGGTATCAACAATCATTGATTGAAACACTATCTTGAAATATTGAATTTCCTCAATAAGATAAATTATATTTCTCTGAATTATGCGAATCTTTCATTTGGCTGTTGCTTCAAAATTTCAAATCAGATTAACAGTTTTTTTCAGTGAAAAACAATTCTGGTTGATAAAGTTGAAAATGACAGGCATAATTCATGTCTATCAAGTAAACTGAAACTATGATAATTGGAATGAACAGGAATCTGGGAAATATGATGAATCAAGAGGATAAAATAATGGATGGTGAAACTAAAAGGATGCCTACAACTTGAGCAACAACAGGTAAAACGATTGTAGCGGTTGTTGAATTGCTGGCAAATTCAGTTAAAAATCCAGCAATGATGGCAAAAATGATGATAAGCATGACAACTGGAAGACCGTTAATCTTTGTGAACATGTTTCCAAGGTATGCAGAAAGTCCTGAAGTCTGTAAAAAGAGAAGAATAAAAAAATGTTAATAATCATGAAAAAAAACAACAAAAAAAAAACAACAGAAGCAAAAGAAAATGCAATGAAATGAGAAAATTAAAAAAAATGAAAAAAAGGTGATGAAGTAAAAGATGAAGAATGACGATGATGAAGATGATGGTGATTAGGATGAAATAAAAGACGGCAATGGTGAAAGATGAAAGATGATGAACATAAAAAATCAATATGGAGAGATGAGGAATAACAATGGATGAAGGAAGAGAAGCATGAAAATATAGGTTTGACCATTTCCTTCAGAATTATCAGATTGTTGAAACATCATGTTTAACCTGTTAATAGGTATCTTCTTCTTCTTCTTCCTCTTCATGGTATTTTTCATCTTCTTCTTGTTGTTCCCTTCCGTTGACTAACAGGATCTTTTCATCATCTTAATATTGAACAGCATTTCAAGAGTAGGCAGATGATGAACAAAAAAAAGGACAGAAAGAATGAGTGATAAATAGGATAAACTGGAGTCTTAAAAAAGTCACTGGGAGTTGAAAAACTATTCATTTCATGAATTTCCTGTAATCGATTCACTATTTTTTTGTTCGGCTACAGAAAACACTTTTTTCTTCCTCTCACTGGATAAACATTATAATATCACATTATGTAAGGCTAATAACCCAAGACTCCAATTGAATGCCAAGTGACTGGAAAGCAAAGGCAAAATATGATATTTACTCACAATCTAATTATATTTAGTCTGTTGGTAAACTTAAATTTAATTTTTTATAAGATTTTTCCACTTCTCTTTTCACTTTTGATCTACTGAAAATTCAACTTGAATAAAAATAGAGAATCGTTTGGATTCATTTCAATCCGTTTCTTATACGACTTGACTTATGAGAGTTGTGACTAGTTGACTTGCAGTCAAACCCAATTTGACTTCTAGAAAAAATCAAATGGCAAATTAAAATGCAACCATTAATTGCTTCAATTAGTATGATAAGCAGTTGGAGGTGATTGGAGTAATTAAGATTGGATTGAATATCAAATATCAAAGTCCCTTGTTGCCATTGAAATGCTTCAAGTACTCTGTTATAACCAATCGAGAGTAACGATAAGTTGAATTGTGAATGAATTGGAATTTTTTGTTTGATAAAATTACTGAAAAACTCATCAATATTCATCAACAATTTACTTTTCCGCTAATTTAATGGCAAACTAAGTTACATTATTTAAGTTTATTCAAAGTTATTCAGTTCTATTAAAATGAAGGACAAAATTCAAGTTAATATTTACTTTTTTTTACTCCTCATTGAGTTGGAAGTTCATTTTTTTCTCAGCCAATTCCCGGAGGCAATTGAAGATAATTTATTTTAAACAATAAATTTTTATATAAGAGATGATAATAATAAATGATATTTCGTTGGTTGATTGAGAAATGAAAAATGCTCATGATTTTTCAATACAAATGATGAGCTAAAAATGGTAAGGTAAGAATCAGTGAATAAACTGAACAACATTTTGTACTCAAGCAATAAAATTGATGAGAAAATCTGATGAGCAAAAAATATTCCAAAATTTCAAATATTCATATTCACAATTCAAACATTATTTCATATTAATAACACAAAACCAAGGTGTGCTTAAGTCTTGAACATTAAAAGGATGAAAAAAAGGTTAAAAATGGAAGCAAAACAATCGATTTGGTAAAGGATAAAAGGCCTTAAATGTTATCATCTTATAACAATGACAGTGAAAATGGATGATGAGAAGTGATTAAACTGATTATTGAAAGTTGGGATGATTTACAGTGTTGATGATTAAGCTTCTGAGTCCATTAATCTGTTGATTGTTGTTGAAATGGATGCAAAAAATTGGTCCATTTTTCAGAGTAAATATTAAATCAAGTAAAGCAATTTACTTTGATTAGAGATAATGTTGAGCAAATAATATTAACTCCATTAGGAATAAGTAATTCAATGGTGTATTGTAATGGATAATTTTGTAAATAAAATTAAGAGCAAATTAAGAAAACTAATAACAACAAGTTTACTTAAAATAATCAAATTTACCATTTTTTAAGGTAAAAGTGAGTTTATTTCAATGTAATTCATTTCAATTAAAATGCAAAGCATTTTTTGAGAAAAAACCTTTTTTTGCTTTTACTTTACACTTTTACATTAAACTCAAAACTCATGAGCATTCATTTCAATGAGATAATCATGAATTTTATCTTTATGTCATTGTTATCATCAGCTTTTTTCAACAGCGAAAGTGTCTCTACATTCAACCAGTTTTAAATGAACCTGGATAAGCTATTAATTTTCATGATAATGATTAGAGAAATGGTTTTATACTCGACTGAATCATTTGCAATATTCAATGAATGCAGCAAAAAATAGATAAGTTTTCAGGAGACATTTTTGATCAACAACTCAATATTAATGAACTGATATCAACTGATATTAATTTTTCAAACCAATCCAGGTTCATCAACTTTTCCGTCTTATTTTAGATTAAGATTTCTTGATATCTGAAAATTTTCTGTCCAACCAATTCTCAAAGGTTAATTTACTTTCACTCTATTTTTAGTCAATAATGTATTTCGGTGTAATGGCATTATGAAGGGAAAGGTTCAAAGCTGAGTTCATTTTCACCAAACCAGATTTTTGTTTCTTCTTGATCGATTCTTAGTTCAAATTGCTCTCGATGATTTTCATTGCAAGTTGTGTCAAAATTAAAGGCAATGGTTGGCTCTTTGCCTACCTGAGTGGCTTTAGCAACTGCGTAACCTCCACCACGAAGGAGGATAACACTCCAAACGAGTTTATTTTGTACTTTGGGCCATTCGATTAAACCAGGCGAAGGATAGGGTCCAAAGGGTCTTGAGGGTATAAAAAACAAAACTGCCACCATGAAAATAACGACGGCAGCATCTCTGGGTCGATATCTGAGTTGATTAGAAAAGGTTGTTAATTGTTGACTAGAGTTAACATTACAACTGCATACTTTTCGGGAAAAATTGTGGACCATCCACGAAGGTATTGAGGATCACGGAACATCCATAGAAGCACTAAGGTAACAAATAAAATAACGACTGCAATCTCATGGAATCTGTGAAAGGGAGAAGAAAAGTTTCGCTTTAATTCAATTACTTTTCAATTTAGCTTGTTCATATAAATCACATTATGATAAATTGAATGTAAAAATGAGTGAAAATACCTTAAAGTTCCAAGTTGTTTATACTTTTCTTGTAAGACATTATTTGCTTTTGAATTGGTCTTTGATACTTTATGTTTTCTGTAACAAGAGAGGAAGAAAAAAAAATGTGTCAAAAGCAAAAATTTTCTTGTATAATAAAAGATGGGAAACAATTGAAGAAGATGATAATAAAGGAAAAAGGAGTAAAAGATTGAGATGAAAAGTATCACTTCGTAGAGAAGATGAAAAGTAAAAAGTGAAAAGTAAAAAGTAAATGAAAGTTGTACATTGATTTTCATGTTTCCAACCATGTTAAATCAATATACCTTTTGCCTTTTGATGCTGACAGCAGTAAATGGGATAATAACAGCAAAAAAAATAATGATAATGATAGTAATACTATTAAACTTGTAAAGAAGGGAAAAAGAGATCAATCTTGATACAAGGTTGATATTTCATGCTGATAGATTGTTGGAGTTAAAATATTCGTCAAGTCAAAGATTTTAACCATCAATCTCCCTCTTAGGAATCCATCTTTTCTGGTAAATTATTTCTTGCTCCAGAAAAAATCATTCCCATGAACAAACGTCAACCATATCACGGGATAAACACATGTGTGTTGGGTAGCAAAAGGGTAAACTCTGGGTATTAATGATCCTTTGTTTTCAATCTAAACCTTTGTCAACCAAAAGTGTTTCAAAGTCAGGCAATCCTCAGTTTTCCCTCCTCACCTCAGATAGAGATATTTGAATATAATCCAGTTCAACAGGATGGTCAACAATGAACCAGGAGCAGCAAACATTAGCCAGTTCAGATAGTCAACTGAAGTCCTTTCATGATACCACCTAAAGTTAAAAAAAGATACAAAATGATACAATTAGTAAGGTTGAATAAAAAGTCTTTCTCTTGTTTCTTTTTCATGAAAAGTCATCTCATGTTGGTCATTAGAATCGAAATAGAGTTTCAATGATAATTCAGTAATGATAATGATGGTGATGATGATGATAGAGTAAATAATGTGACAAATAAGCTGCTTGGATCAATTAACATTGAAATAGTTTTGCCATTGAATTACATTTTCTTGATCACCTTCTGTCTTTTTGGTTGAAGTTACTTTCTGTTGCCTTTCCTTGGATGAACTTTGTTGACAGATAATATCAAATTTCATGACAGTCTTCAGGTCATTGTAAGGGTGATCCAAGGTTAACATAAGAAATTGATTCCCATTCAATTTCATGGTAACAAAATCACCAACTCTTCTCTCTGAGCATTCTGGATAATCAAAACAAATATCATTTTCCTGCTTCTTATTTCTCTATGAATTCAGAAATAATATGACGAAAATGATCATCTCCAAGAAAGAGAAGAAGATGGAAATAAAGAGAAAACTGATCATCATCATGATGATGATGGAATCGTATAAATATATTTATGCATTTGTACAAGTACATCATACTTGATTATAACATTGGGTGATTATTGAAACCCAAATGATGATCAATAGATGATGAAGGAAATGGACAAAAGATATACGAGAATAGCTTTTTGCCTATATTTACTCCTATTTCAATCAATTGATTAAGTTTCTTCCTCTAATAGTGTTTGAGGGAAAAAAATGATGACGATGCTAATGACGATCATCATCAAGATGTTGATCATCAACAAAGAAAAAGATGATATCAATGGCAATGAGGATCAACTTGAAAGTTTAATCAATCCAAGAAAATCTTTTGTCTTCCCTGTTTCTTCCTTATAACTCTTTTATCATTCTAATAAAGGTTTTCCCTTCATTATTAACAATAGGCTAACATCTACCTGAATTAAAGATAAAATAGGATTGAAACAAATGATGAGCCAACGGAAAGACAAGACTTCAAGTTATCCTCAAGGAATCTGGAATAACAAGTAATTGTTCAAATGTTAGGAAATGTTGAAAGAGTCAAGTGGATAAGATCCTCCAGGTGAAGATTATATTCATTTAATGATCGTCATAATAATAATAACCATCATGGACTCTGGTTATGAGATAAAAAAGAAACAAGTCCAGTTAAATAATGGAAATGCTAGAACATTTGTTGACTTTTTACTGTGATTATACCCATCATCATGGCTCATAATCATGACAAGTTATAATGAGCATATAAAGCTTGAAATGAAGAAGAAGAAAGCAAATATGAATTTTTCGAGCATCTGATCACCATTGACTATTCAAGTTGATAATGAGCTTTGGATAATTAATAGCAGAAATAAATGAAATGCTCAATTCCTATTCACATTCACACACTTTGAATAGCTTTCACTAATTAGAAAACTCAACATAACAATGGTTAAACTAATCTCATTGTTTATGGGAATCAATGTAATTAAAGAGTTAAACTAATAGAGATTCAGAGCAATAAATGTTTTCAGTTGATATTGAAAAAGAGCGCAAAACAATGGATATTGTTTTATTATGGACTCGACTAAGAGTGTAAAGTTATATCAAATGTGTAAAGGGATGTGTTGATGTAATCAAATATACGCAACAAAAAGTGATTGACAATCAAATATAAGTTTAGGTTAAAGAAACAAGTCGCAAACTTACTCGTCTAGTACATAAGCTAAGACCAAATTGGGTCCGCCACTTGTTAAGGTTGTAGTTGTACCCACATTGGCTGAGGATGATATTGAAATGTACATGATTTTACGCAACTGAGCAATTTTGGATTCACTTGTTGGATTTGAAGAGCTTTGTAATACACTGGAATCGCCATCTTGATTGTCATTTGTTTGCTGATTATTCCATGATTTGGGTGAACCAGATTTTAAAGTTCGATCTGTGAGAAATGGAAAATAGGAAAGACTAAATAAGTTGAAACTTTTTGGGTTATCGGTTTCTTCACAACTACACTTTTGATATAAAGGCATTCATAGGGATGCGAAGCTTGACCATGGTCAATCATAGTCAAGCAAAATAAATAATTGCAATTGAAAATTTGGGTTGTTTAGTGTTGAAAATACTTTGAGGAACCCATTGTTACCCAATTTTATAAGACTTTGGCAACACTTTGATGCTTCAAAAACACAAAATATGATTATTACTGAACAGTTAGCAACAATTCAAGCCTTGTCTTAATGTTAAATCTTGATTCGACAACTTCGATACTTATAATAGAGTATTTATTCATTCTGGTGTATTTTTGTAAAAAAGGTTCCCATAAAAGCAGTCTGCCCATGATAGAAATATTAAAAAGAGCTTTGGATGTAAACGCAGCCTTTTAAGTTAAGAGTTGAGACTTTGGAAAGAGCATAAAATTTTTAGTCGATTAGTACTAAAAATACCTTAACGAACCCAAATTTGTGAAAGTTTGGTATTGCTACTGTAAATACACAAAATACATGTATGGTTGTTATTAGCTTGGTTACTTTGTTTTGATGCTTAAAAGACACATTTGCAACAATTGTAACATTTATGCACAAATTGCAACAAGTACTGAAAGACAAATGGGCATAAACGGATAAAAATAAGTTATTTTCAAATTATGACTAAGTTAGTTTATAGCGATGTGAAAACTGAGTCCTTTAGTACTATTGAATAATTTCTCCGGTCAATATTTCACGAGAAAATCGAGTTCAAAGTTTAAATTTCGATCGCGTTTTGTTCAGCTATGCGACCGGATTTTTTCATGAAACTCTATTTTACTGATGTAAATTTTGACGGTGCACCAGAAAATGTACTTATTTCTTGAAATAAAATTTTCGATTTTCTGTAAAACGTATGAGTTCGATTTTTATTCAAACCGAATTTTTTCTGTGACCTTAAGAGTTAGAGGACTGAAACTTATTATTTGTTGTTGAAATTTGTTTCTTTGCACCATGTATTGAATACTCTTTTCAAATCATCAACAGTTCTCTTGATTTTGGCCATTGTTTTTGAAACTTTTCGCCTCGATATGTCGAGAATGGCCAAACCTACAGTCATCATTTTTTCACTAGTTTAATCCTTTACTAATTAATAATACGGTAATAATTAAAAACATTCCATTAGCGCTTTTGGATTATGATATTTGGGCTTTAAATGGTCGTACAACAACTTATTAAACAAAACAAACTCATATTAACCCATTTCTTGGTAAATAAAGCATTTTTCTGGTTTAGGTTTCAAATGAAATGCAAAAGATACTGCGAAAGGCTCGGAAGTTTGAGCTGAGAGTTGAGACTAAGCACGTTTGTAGGGAAATCAAAACTGAGTCCACAGGTACTAATAAATGATTCCTCCGATGGACAGTTTTCGAGAAAATCGACGTTAAAGTTGAAACTTCGAACGCCTTTTGTACAATTATGGAAGCAGATTTTGGCATGAAACTCTATTTACCTGATGTAAATTTTGATGGTGAACCAGAAAATGCATTAATTTTGAGGAATAAAACTTTCGTTTTCCTTTAAAGCATATAAGTTCGATTTGCACTTAAACCGACTTTTTTCTGTGAGCGCAATAGTTAGAGGACTGAAACTCACAATTTGTGAGTAAAAATAGTTTGTCCAAACCATGAATTAAATACTTTTTTCAATTTATCAGTAATTCTCTTGATTTTGGACATTGGGCTGAAAAACTTCAAGCCCCAATATTTCGCGAATGGCTTAACCCACAGTCATAATTCTTGGGCCAAACATTAGATGTTATTAAGAGCTATAATATGATATGACTGAATACCTAATGAAATCTGAAATAATTCATTTAATGATGAATGTCCTTCTAACACATAAGATCTGTGTTTGAGTAAAAGTTTAACTTTATAAACCAAGCCTCAATCCCCAATCAGCCTGAAATCCTAAGTAATACAATGCTATATCTTTTTTCACAGACCCTTGAATGCTTTAAAATTTGAATACATTACAGCTCTTGATAACATTTAATGTTTCGCCCAAGAATTATGACTATGGGTTAAGCCATTCCCGAAATATTGGGGCTTGAAGTGTTTAAGCCCAATGGCCAAAATCAAGAGAATTACTGATAAATTCAAAAAAGTATTTAATTCATGGTTTGGACAAACTATTTTTACTCACAAATTGTGAGTTTCAGTCCTCTAACTATTGCGCTTACAGAAAAAAGTCGGTTTAAGTGCAAATCGAACTTATTTGTTTTACAGCAAATCGAAAATTTTATTTCTTGAAATAAGTACATTTTCTGGTTCATCTTCAAAAGTCACTACAGTAAAATAAGTTTCATTGAAAAATCTGCCTCCATAACTGAACAAAACGCGATCGAAGTTTAAACTTTGAACTCGATTTTCTCGCGAAATATTGACCGGAGAAATTATTTAATAGTACAAAAGGACTCAGTTTTCAAATCTCAATAAAATAACAGAGTCATAATTGGAAAGAAATCGATTTTTACACGTTTATGCCCATTTGTCTTTCAGTACTTGTTGCAAATTGTGCATAAATGTAACAATTGTTGCAAATGTGTCTTTTAAGCATTAAAACCAAGTTAATAACAGCCATATTTTGTGTTTTTAAAGCATCAATACCAAAGTTTCACAAAATTGGGTAACAATAGGTTCGTTAAGGTATTTTCAACATTAATGGACTCAAATCTTTTGCATCACAAACCTACAAAGTCTCAATTCTTAACCCAAAGTTTTATCCGAAGTCCTTTCTAATATTTCTATCATGGTCAAGCTGCTTATACGTGAATCTTTTTTACAAAAATACGAACAGAATTACTCTGAGTATCGAAGTAAGATAAATCATTAAGACAAGGCTTAAACATTCAACTGTTAAATACAACTGTACATTAATAGAGTAATTGTTTGAACTTTCAAGTTAGACTCGATCACTTTTCCGCACAAAATAACACTAACTGAGTCTTAAACTTGGTTGAGTGTCATTAAATTGCGGTTGATTGGACAGCCTATCATTCGACAAATTGAATCATGAAACAATTTTACACTACCGTGTCAAAGGTGAAGACAAACACTAACTTCGAGAAAAAAAGTCAACTTTTTCATTCGCTTTCAATCCTTTAACTTTTCATAGCAACTAACAGATGAAGTCTGTGAACAATTGAATAATTGAACCAAGTCAAATGACGATTAATTATTCCAAGCGTGTAAACTTTCATTTGATCATTGACTTTCATTATGAGTCAATCCATGAATGGCCAACTTATTGTTGAAAGCAATCTAATTATTCTGTGCTAAACATTTCTCCAAATGAATGGCAACATTTTCATGATAATTGAATCAATTGATTCCAGTTTTTTCCGACTTTTCACTTCTCCAACAAACAAGTAAATATTTACATTTAAACAGAGTAACGATGACATTATCAATCCAATTGTGATACCTTTACTTCACTAATCTGCCATTTGAAGGTAAGATCAATCATTTCCTACGTTTCATGATATTTAATTTTACTCACAAGGTAAGACACAAACACCAATCAATTTAACGTAATAACCTATCAACTGATCACAATCTGATGAATAAAGCTGGCAATACATTTAATCGACTCCAAGTGTAAATAATGGACTTTTTACATAAAATAATGTTTTTTTGCTTAATATGAACCTCTCAAAGTGACAAACTCAAAGGTTGATTATCAAGGAGTAAATTAACATTCACAATAATCCATTTCTAGGTCAACATCATAATCTATGGATTTTATTTTTTCTCGTTTGCTTGTATCTTTGACCTTAGACTTTCAACATTGATCATATTTCATCAATGAATTCATCTGATCAAGAGGATTCATCTTTCCATTCTTATACTCTTTAAGGTCTTCTTTCAGGCTTCCCTTTTTTTCATCAACTTGAAAAGCAATATAAAATGAGATTCTGATTCCAACCGAGTTGAATAAAGATTCTATGGCTTTTTGTTCCCTTTTCAAATGGCCAAAAAGACAAACCATGGTCAAGCTTGATCAGAAAAAAGATGATGACTGAGGATAAGGTGAAAAATATCAACCAACTTAATGATCAACCTTCCAAAATATGTAAGAATGCAACTTGTTTTTTGGGTGTTGTGTCAATCTTACTCTTTTTTATCCTTCAATTCCTTAACTTCACAATTTAACACACAATATCCACAATATACAGTGAAAGAAACATAAACAGTCACATAACTATTGAAATGAAACATTTCATCACGTCAAAATCAGCTTCTCTTTTAACACTTATTGTATTTCATCTCTGATAACCTCTAATGGAATGGAGATGTTATGAGAACTGAAAAGTTCTTATACTTTTTCCCCTTTCCTTTCCTATTCAATGTCTAAGATTTTCCTTCTTCTTCTTCCTTCGTTTCTCCATCGATTCCATCTTTACTCTCAATTTTGTTTACCTTCTAATCGATGATACCTGTAAGATATCGAACGTGATGTTCAATTTCAACAACGATATTGGCCTTTAAATCTAACAGCTTTCTGGCTTTTATTTAGCATCCATTTTAATGGCTACTTTATCCTACAAGGTAACTCCTTATGCTTGTACCTTGACTAAATGGCTTTAGGGAAGAGTCCATTGAGATTCAAGGTAAAATTTGATTGTGAATTAGCTTAATCAGACTTTTCTTTGGGATAAAAAGATGAGTGCTTTATTCATCTTTCATCTTTGGTTTCATTCCCTGAATCTTATCGCATCTTATAAAACAATTTTTCTTGTTCAATCTTTTTCTTTGTTCCTTCCAGATAAAAACCTTTAATGGTAACACTATTGAAAAATAAGGGAAACAACAAGTATTAGAAAAATGGACTTTGATTACCTTAGTTAGACATTGAAAAGATCACTAGTAAACTAGCCATTAGAGAGGATACAATTGATGGACTCGATGGGAAACAATATAAAGCGATTTATGGTGACAATTTAGACCAAACAAAACATTATCTCGGCGCTTATATCTTCATCTATTGTCTTCCATTCACAACCCTTTCCCTAACCAACTAGCTAACTGTTTACCTTTTTTCATGTGTATGAGTCTTCCAAGATTTATTAGTCTTCTATTGATTTTCCTTTTTCATATTCAGTGTTGGGATGGAAAAAAAATTACCTCAAATGTGTTTGATGCAATAGACACCAAATGATCTGTCTTTCATCATTTTTTCGAAGACTGATTAAACATAATCATGATGATGGTTCCTATCCAATTACAACAATTTAACGTTCAAAAATTGATAAATTGTAGCCTTTTTTGTGCCACTTTAATCTGGATGAGAGGATAAAATGGTGCAAAAAAGGTACAAAAAAGTTTCATTCTAATGACATGGAATTGTTGATCAATGAACACTTTTATTTCAAGATTAGTTGGAAAAATCTATTTCTTTCTTGGATCTCGTAATTGGTCAATTTATTTGTCAAATCGATAAATTTTTTCCTCATCAAACTGTTGCTTTTCCAGAGTAGTTCCAACTTTGAAATTCATGAAGTTCAACTTTTTCTTCGCCTCAAACTGATTCATCTTTCTAATGTTACATTGAACGATATTTTGATAACTCAATGATATTAATCAAAGTAGCAAGTTGGATTGATAATGGAAAATCTTTTTCCAATCAATCAACAGCAAAATTGGATCAATCAACATTACAAAATATCAAAATAACTTTCAAAACTCCATTTTTTCACCTCTCACTCAAACAACTTGAACATTTGAAGAAATTAAAAAATGAATTAAATGAATGTTATTCACCTTTTAAGCCCATCTCATCAGACAATTCAATGCTCTCCTTGTTACCATTAACTGTCACCATGAAATGTCCATTTTGATGGTGGTCAGTGTCATTATTATTGCCATCATTGTTTGTAATGTTATTAGTTTTACCCTTAATACTATTATTTTTATCATTATTATTAGTGTCATTATTATTAATGTTGTCCACTCTCTTGGAGTCTGATTTTTTTAAACAATCATTCCAACTGTCAGTTTCTTTGGGCTGAATCTCATGTAAGACTGCATCCATTATTGGTAACATAAGAGCAGTTGTAGCTGTATTGGTAATCCACCAAGCAATAAACATGGTGATTCCCATAAATCCGAGCATAATCATGTCCAATTGTGAGCCAATATTTTTCAATACAAACAATGCGATTCGTCGATGAAGATTTGAACTCTCAATGGCCGCAGCAAATATAAGGCTTCCCACGAAAACCATGTTGGCCTCTTGAAGATATGGACGACAGGCTTCCTCCGAAGTGGCCAGTTCAAGGATTGGAAGCATAAACACGGGAAACAGTGCAGTAACTCCCATTGGGATTGGTTGTATGGCCCAGTAAATGGTCATTAAAAGTACCACAAAGGCACATCGGCATTTCTAGAAATGAGACAAATAATAATAAATTGTATTAATATATTAATTTTAAGCAATTTAATGATAAAAGGTCAAAGAAATTGATTAAACTGTAAAAGTCAACAGGAGTGAATGACTTCTCTCGATTAATCAAGTGGGAAGAACCGGGTTCATTTCAAATTTATTAATATCAAAGGATTTCAGGTAAAAGTTGCATGGGAATTTGTTTCAAAATAAACTTGATTTACACAATTTTAAGATGAATTTTTTACCATGCTGTTCACCCTGGATTTTTCATGTTTATTCAACACACATTTATCTAACCTTAAGATAGTCTTGGGATTTTTGCGTCGATAAACTCAATATTGGTTGAAATACAAAATCTAATTAAAGATGATTAGTAAAATAGTGAAAAACTGTTAACTGTAAAGCATCATAAATCTCATATTAATGATACTTTACCATGAAATTGAGCCTATCATTGACACTCGATATTTACTGAATTTGGATAAAATAAGAATCCAAAAATATTATTTGAGAAGGAAAATGTTCATGGTTTCATGTAGGCAAGAAATTAACCTTTGAATTTACATGATAATATTGTTTTGATATTTTTCAACATTTCAACCTTTAATTCAAACATAAATATTGAGTTTAAATTGATAATAAATGTAAAGAAATTTGAAATACTGTTTTATAATTATAAATTTGATTCATGAATAATGTAAATGAATTCATTCACCATTGTTATCGTGAAGCTTGAGCTTGATGCATTTTCACAGATTTTTTGGGTAAACAATTTTTTCACATGAAAAGCCAAGTAAAAGTTGTCGATTTATGAAACTGGTGAAACATCAATTGAACCATTTCATTGCATTCAATCTTCACCTTTTCCTTCACTTTTTAAATGACTTTTTGAAAGGCAAATATGAAAAGAAGCTGATCAACAGCAAAAATGTAATTCCAGTGAAATGAATAGAGAAAAATATTATCCGAGAAAGTCAACTATGTAAGATATCGAATGTTCTGAATGCAGATGGAAAAATAGTTGAGACTAATGCATGAAATTCTTTTCCATGAAAGTTCTTAGGTATTCAGAGGAGATAACAGAAAATTATGATCAACAAACTCATTCACAGAAATTATCGTCAACATTAAGTCAGACTTAATCTATTATCTGAATTTGATAATCAACATTAAACGTGGATCCCATTATCATCATCATAAAGTTTCTCAATAATGACATTAACGGAATAAATTCAGAATGGAAAACATGAGAAAAGAAATGATTCAGAGGAAATATCAACATTGAAAGGAACATTTTCATCTCAACTTATTACCGGGTTCAGTTAACTGGTCAGTCCAATCAATATCAAATTACTTTCCATTGATATTCAATTCAATTTGAACTTTTTTCAGTCCAATCATTAATAGACTGAAATAGACTTTAATTATATTTATTTTAGAGTTGCCATGAAATACAATCAACAAAGCACAAGTAGACTTGATAGCAAGTAGTAATTAGGATTGTTGATTGACACAAATCAACAGACACGCAAGAAACTCATTTAACAATATTAGTAATTAAATGATGAAAGTCTGTTTACACTTTCGATTTGTCAAATGAATGATTTAAATGGGAAAAAGTATTCAAAGTTGACAGTTAATTGATTCTCTAGTTGATTCAGTTTGCGTTTCGTTTCAATTTTTCATCAACGTAAAAAACTGACAATCAGTTGAACATTACAATTAGACCAACGATGTGAAAAAAAGCAATTTAAGGATTCAATTATAGACACATGAAGTTATTTGGAGTAAAAATGAGGTGAGTGAAGAGAAGAAGAAAAAAACTCAATTTTCATGATGAAGATTTATATATTGATAATGATTATATAATTTATAAAGTGTTCCTCTCTTGAGGCTATTCTGAAAGTGAAAGATTGTTCAGTCAAACTGAGGAAACAATAATTATCATGTGATGTTGTTAATTACTAATTACACGGAAACTCATCAGGGTAAACAATGTAACTCACAAAAGAGTCATTTCATGTAAAATATACAATAAAAGAGGGTTTGGTGTTGATTAAAAGTAACCCACTTGTTATAGCAATCAGTTTTCATCAAAAGTGAAAAGGGTTAAAACACAAGCAAATACAGTTAATAGCTTCCAATCAATTTACCAATCAATAGTCAAACGGTAGATTAACTTATAAACCCTAAAGGGTTGACTGTATTTAATGAATGACTGATGTTTCTCATTTCAAATGATGAACCATTGCAATTGATTGCAATCATTAAGAAGCAAATGATTACTAATTATTAATCATTCAAATTATTCATTTGCTTCAACAAGATTGGCTTTGGAGGGAAACAAATTGATCATTGAATCTTCAGAGTTTAACCTGAATTGTGACCAAATTTTGATAGAAATGAAGTTTGATAATTCATTTGGTTTCTCATCAATTTTATTTACATTTTATTTCATTAAATTGCATTGAATTACATTGATTGATTTTTGTCTGAGCCTAGCTTTGAATGGAAAGTGTTAAATCTTGATTGGACTATTAGTGTTGATCATCATTAGTGTGATAAAATAGACATTCTGTGTTAATCTATTGTTCAGGTTTTGCGAATCAACTCGGTGTCAAGATAATTGTTCAATTTTTAAAATTTTGTGAAAAAATTAATTTAAATATTGATAACAACTTGTTCCTGAGTTTAACAATCAAGTTGATTGTTGCTAATAGTGTGTTTAAAATTGACTGAAACATTAAAACAAGTTTAACATGAAATACCATGAAGTACTTTGTAGATATAAAATGAAATCTCTGAGTTAACCATGAAACCATTAAGAAAAGGTGTAAAATTTGATGACAGATAATAACCTTAAATATGCATATTCACAGGGATTGGAATGGATCGATTGAAAAAAATTTCAAGTTAATTCAATGGAAAATCACTTTACAAGAATCACCTTTCCATGACAACATGAAACATGATGTTTCACTTGTTCAGGATGATAATCAATAGGGAGAAAGATTCTAGATAAAACATGGCAAGAAGATAAAAAATGTCTCCTAAAATAACAGTCGATTTATAAGTCATTCAAATCAAATCTGTACTGGAATCAATTCTTGGTGCTTTTGAAATGGAAGGATGATGAAGATAAAAATGAAGCGAAAAGGATGAAACATCTGAAAGGTCAAGCATAAGATGAAATTAAATAAACACCGAGAAAGGATTAAGTTAATTGTTTAGAGAAAGGTTTAGATTCAATTTACTTAGCAATGAAAGCTCAGTAAATCACGATAAGTCTGAGAAAGATGGAAATGATGAAAACTATGATTAAAAGAAGCTGATAATTGATGAAAACTGAGGCTCAACTTCAGTTCTTAGTGAATGGATTGAAATCAACTCTAATCATCTGATGTATTTGAAAGGTTTAATCTGACGTTGATTGATGATTCTTACCTTATGATTGTCAAATATTCAAATTTTAAGGTCAAATATTAATAGTTTTTATATAATTTAAGCAATTAATGGCAAAGGATTGGAATAACATTGAAACTTGGAAAGTGTTGCAGATTATACAACATTAATCTGATTGCTCAAGGTGGTGTTCATTGAAATTCAGTAAATTAATGAGAAAATCAATTCTAACAGTAAGTTCACATTATCTACATGAATTTAGATAAACGTTTAAGAGCACAATTTAATGGTCAGCAACATTTTCTGATGGTGATTCAGTCTAGTAAATTGTGAATTAGCTCACCTGAGTACATCAAAGTAAAATTGCAAAATTTTACTTTCTCAAGAAGCTCAAGTAAATTTTAATGACAATTGTGGCCAGTTAATTGTTAATAGTTAACAAAAAAAGCCTAAAAAGGGTAAAAACGGTAACAATTAATCAGTCCAGTAAACTTCGTACTCTGACAATTCAACTGTGAATTTGATGTTTAAAAGTGTTATGAAAATGTTGATCATTTTGTATATTTTATTACTTGTGATTTCATGTAAATTTCAAGTTGTACACTTGAAATTATTTTATGTGTTTTCATTTGATTTTACAAGTGTTAGGGTTAAGTAAACTCAAGTTGAATGAAAAAAAATGCAAAGAGATTTGAACTGAATTTCTTGAAATGAACATCGTTCTGTTGCAACATTCAAATGTCCATTAACAATCAACTTGACATTAACTATTAAATCATGTTAACATGTAAAACCTTGTAATATGATTTGAGTTTAATCACATCTTCATCACATGTTTATTGGAAAATACATTTCCAATTTAAGAGGAATGAATGAGTACTAATTTTAACTGATGGATTCATGTATTGCTGCAATAGAAATGAATCTCCAGAGTTGAGTTGATTGCGAAAAAAAGGTAAATCAACTGACAACTAAGAGCTGAATTAAACCGCAGGGTAAGTTGTTCATTTGATTTCAATCTGGTCTAAATTGATGGTGAAACCCTTTGAGAATTGCTAAGGAACCAATAAAATGTCGCATCTACCTTGAAACATTTTTGGTAATGTTCAAAAGGGAAACGTTTCTAACAATTAAAATAGTACTGATCACAAAGCAATCTCATGTTTGATTGTCAAGGTTAATGATTAAACTGTGTGTGTTTGCTAGCATTCATTGATCAAATATTTGATCAGTAAATTGAATAATGTAAAAGTTGGTAACTGAAAAGGGTACTAATTCACTTTAATTACCTTGAAAAGACAAGACTGTAAATCTTTGCCAATTACATTACAAAAAAATCCCATAAATGTCAGGAGAGAAGAAAATTGGGAAAAGTGATATTCGATTTTCGATCAATACAAATTAATGGAAAGTGAATGTGAAGCATGGACATGATAGTCAAAAGCTATAGTGACCATTATCACTGACAACATGAACCAATAAAAAGGTGATCTCATGTAAAGTTGCTAATTTTAGAAAAGAGAAGAAGGATAAATTCAATTGCAATTTAATTGAAAGATGGAAGGACAATTAATCTTGGTAACTAATCAATGACCGAGCAGTGACATTCGATGGTTATCGTTAACAATTTAACGATGATCTAAATAGGTAAATTGCCAGATTACCAAAAAAAGGATTAACTTACCGGATCGTTGTAGCCGAAAATGAGAAGAGGTGAAAGAAGTAAGATAACACTTATCGAGAAATAGCCTCTCCAGCAAACTGTGACATGATTAAACCAAGCTTTAATGTCAGTTACCATGATTAAATAAATCCTTGAGGTGGTCAAAAATCAAGGTGTAATGAAAAACGGCAAAAGGATAAATATAAAACAGTACCGGATCACAGTAACATTAACCAACTACAATTGTACATTTGGATGGAGTCTAGATTAAAGTAGTCGAGTTTGTGACGATGAATAAAGAGTTGATAGTCAAAAATGAAGTTGCGGCGAGTTTAAGAGGTTAGGGCAAATAGTTTCATCAAAGAACGAGCAATGAATAGGAACAAAGAATAAAAAAAGAGAATTGAAATGAAACTATGATTGGTAAAAGTTGATTTAATGGCGTTTATTTTATTTACCTAAGGTTTGAGCAATGGGTTAACAAACAAAAGATAAAGCTAATGTTATTGTAAATGTACAATCAGTTAACTAACAGTGACTAACAATGTAAATGTTGAAAATTCACTTGGGACAATTTGAAATAAAAAAGAGATGAGCGTATGAAATGCATGGTGTAAGGAATGAAAAGGGGGAAAGGGAGAGAGAGCGAGAGAAAGTAAAAAAGAAAGAAATTCAGAAAGTCAGAAGATATTGAAGGGATGAGAAGCGAAAAAAGTTAATAGTTGTTACAATCAAAATAAATAATAAAGATTGCAGCTTCAATGGTTATTATTTCAAGGAATATGGGAAAATTACTGTAAAAGGTAGAAAATCAAGGTTTACATAATGAAACAGACGGTGCAGAAAAGGGTTAGGAAGGCACTAAAGAAGGCGGTTAAAGTAACAATGGGACCTGCGATGAGGAAAAATTGTCAGGTAAAACGTAATTAGACTTACCCTTTTCACTTTTCAATACATATTAAGTTAAAGTTGACGACAACAGATGATCAGATGTTGAATCAGAGTGGAAGCCATGTTTAGATAAGAATGTTGAAAAGCATGATTAAACGTAGACACAGGGAGCGAAGTAAAAAAGACTAGCCTAAGGCATAGTTCAAGTGTTGGGTGTCATGAAAGGTATAAATAAAACAATGAAACTAATGGGTTAACACTGTTATAAAAAAAGGACTAAAAATGTGTACACATATTGGATAAAAAATTGACATTGGTTAACTCGAAAAGAGAGAGAAGAGAAACCCAAAGAAGTCTTTTGTTTACATTATCGTCTTCTTTTCCTCCAAGTAGCTCATTCCAATCATGCAAGTTACTATGGAAACCTTAACCTTTTGTCTTGCATATATGTTTCATTAAAATGTTATTGACCTTTCATATTGTTCATCATCATCAGAATTGTCCTGTTCGTCTCCAGAGTTGTTATCATCTTCCATCGACTTCGTCTTAATTAATCATCCATTTTTTCCCTCCAACTTTTCCCTCCATTTTATAAAGGGATTACCAACTCTGTGTAATGGGTTCATTGTAAAGTTAATGTAACTGTCTGGTTGAACCAAAAAATTACCAGTAATGATGACAACTTTTACCAAATCTTTATCAAACCATCTTTTCCTTATCAATTTGGCTGATCGCTACACGCAACTGTTTACCAGCTTAACAATTGTTAAACAACAGTTAAACTGGTTAACTCTTTTTTCTGGTAATCTGGTTTAAAGACCTTTACTTAACATGGATCCATTAAATTTTTTGTCAAGTGTTTCTTTTTGGTGCCATTTTTGTTCAACTTATCTGTCATGGTTTCTTGGTGATTAACTCTGGTTAGATAATTTGTTTCATCTATTTGATTGTGATTACATCCCTAAGGCTAAATTGTTGACACTCGAATTGGGATGATTTACTTGGCAAGGAAAAAAGTAAACTCAGTTACAAGGGTAACCTTGGGTGTTGATGTACAGTTGCAACTATCATGATTCAATTTCGTTCAATTTGAAACCGAAAAACAGATTAGATCGACTGGAAAAATGTACAGCTAAATATTGAATTAAAAATGAACAAATCTGTTAATTCGATTAACTTGATTTGATTGATCAACCAATCAAGGTTTATTAAATAAATGGTGAAAAGACAGGCTACAGTCTGAAACGTGAAGTGAAATAAAATCCTATTCAACACACACACAGGATTGTCAACACATGGGATGATATTTTTTTTCAAGGATTTCTTTTATTAATTGTAACAATAAACATTGAAAATCTAATTGATTGTACAGTAAATGTCAGTTAATAGAATGAGAAAAAAATTATAAAAAATAGTTTTACATTTTTCCTGTTGAAACTCATTCACTTTCATTACCTGTGAGTAAAATTGCACTTGGAAACCAGAAAAGAAAAAGTTTCAACTCTTTTATTCAATCATAATAATCAAATTAAATTTAATTTGTTGGTTAATAAAAATGATTTGTATTCACTAGGAATCATCATTATTTATAATAAAATCAACTTAACCATCATGGAAGAGATTAATTGGACAACCTTATCATTAAATCATCTGATTAAAAGCACAATTTATGATGAAATTGGACATAAATAATACATAAAAGTATGAATAAATTTAACCAGAACCCAAAAAAAACTGGTAACATTGTTGATTGTTTCATGTAAACGGTTTCTTGTTGATTGAGTCGTTGATGATTTTGTTACAATCAGCTAATGATTTGATCTCAATTCAGCGATCAATGATCTCAACCTCATCTTTGTATCATCTGAGGAGTAAAAGGATTTATTGATTTAATTTGAAATGACCAAGTTTAACAATTAGATGGTTACAAGTCTATGATCCAATTAATCAAGATATAAAAGTAATTTGATAAAATAAAGGTTCGGAATTAAACCAATAAAGAAGAATCGATTGAAATAACCCACAAAATGGTTAACTTTAACTCTCACCTGAACTCAGATTTGAAGACTTGATCAATAACCATCAGCAAATTGTCCAAAGATGATTATGTTAACAAGCAAATTTGATTAACCAAACTATTAATTAACTTGTTAACCGGTTAACAAGCATCGACCAGAATCATTTGTTTAACCAAAAATGGCACCTAAATTCTGGTCAACTCACCTTACTACTCGTCTTTAATTATTACAATTAGAGTTGTTTAGTTACACATTGATTGAAATGTCAATTGGTTTTGCATTTGTTTGACTTGATTCAGCCTTAATCAAAAATGATTGAACAGATGTTAACCCAAACTGGCTAACTGGTTTACTGGTTCTTGTTTTAATCCTTTCAAGTATAAAATGGGTTTTTTGATTGTTCATGATTTGAAAACTCAATTAACTCTAATTTTTTGAAGTCAATTGTTGATCAACAATGATAACCGGGAATCACCAGATTAATACAGAAGAGTGAAATACCCAACAATGAACCATATTTACTCAGTTGATTCAATATTATTGACTTAACAACGTGATAATTTGTTTATTGTACAAGATTAGGTTTTCATAAATTGTTTTATTAAATGTATCGAATGATTCAACTGAAATTGCAATCTATTTGATCAACATGAACTAATTGAAGGGCAGTTCGTTGGATTTGGGTTTGATGTCAATCCTGGTTTTGAATGAGATTAGGTTTGAATTGATTCAAATATTGAGACAAATTATAATTAAGATGATTCTTTAACCAAGTTGAATAACCTTTAAAATTGTTTCAATTGTTGTTTGTTTTGTAATTAGCAAGGTAGTCATTTGAATGGTATTTTAACCAGTTTCTTTCTGGTAAACTACAATTAATTGTGTTAATGAAACTCTCATCTATTGTTGATTAACCGAGCGAGTCAAAGTTTACAATAATTTAATAGTCAAATAGATGATGATCATGATTATGGTGATGATAGCAATACAGAACAATCAACTTTTCCTTTTATTGTTTTTACTTTTGGTTAACAATCGTAATTAGATTAACAGTAACTTGGATCTGATCATCATTAAGAAATTGTTTTCATAATTTTAAATCATTTACAGTCATAATCGGTCAATTTGATGGTTCATTGTTTCATCGATAGGTTAATCATCTTGTTCAAGTTGAAATCAATCAAAGTTCATATTAGTCGCCATAAAAAACATCGACAAATGGTTCTGAAGCTGGTTCATGAAGCTAATGAAATTACAGATTAAATGTACGGATTGAATGAGGTAGAGATTACTTTATTTGTCATCTTATCATCCCTTTGATTCAGTTCATAATTAGATGTTAACTTTTTCCCATCAATTAAAAATTAAGTCACAATCTTAATCTAACTTGGTCAAGCTATCTTTTGTCCATTTATCCAAGCGCTGAATCTTGTGCGTAATTTTTTGGGTTATTTTGTTTGTTGAATTGTTAGGATTAACTGTGGATATAAATTGTAATGAACAAATGTATAAATTGTTAATTGATTGGTTAAAAGGTTGATCAAATTGTCTACAATTGTGATTTAAATTATGATTTTGTGAGATGGAAAAATGGTTTAATGTAAAGTTACCAGAAAAAAAGGTTGATGGCTACAGTTACACGAAGCGTAGCTTTTCAAAGTCGGTTATAAGAGAGATTATGCAAAATGTTATAATGTTAACCAAAGTATAACTATTATTATTGTTGTAATTGTAATTATTATGTTGATTTGATGGTGATGATGATCATGATAATGATGATAACTATTTATTTATTTAAAATATAAAAATGACTTTAATTTAGTTTCAATGTTTAGTTTACTTGTTGACAGTCAGACGAGAAACTTGAACTTTGTGTAACACCAAAACCACGTTGCTCTTTTGTTCCATTGTTATAACAATTTTTGCGGTTAAATGTGAAACCATGTTTTCTGTGAACAAATTTTTTCTCGTTAACCAGATTTTTGGACTAATTTTAATCATGGGATTATTCAATTATTGTTACGGTGATAGTGTAATTGTCCGTGAACCTGATGGAAAGCGTAAAGGACACATAATAATTGACGATGGAGACAAAGTAATCTTGGAAGAGCCACCAGAAGATTGTGATTCTTCCTCGGAAAATAGTATAACCTCTTCAGGTCCACCGGGCAACTCTCCTTATCGATATTATTTCATACCAATGACAGCCAGTTATCACTCACAACCACCACCACCTCCTCCACCGCCCATCTATCATAACCACCATGGATCAAGATTTACTAATCAAGCAGCTTCAGGATCATATCAGAATCCAGTTTATGCAAATGTATACCCAATGTCAAGAACTACATTTGATTACCAATCCAACCAATATCATCATTTTTACCCGCCTTCTTACTCATATGGATCTGGTTCATGGGATTACCCGAAAAAAGGCTGGTCTTCGTCTTATTTTACTCAAGATTCCTCATTGCCCACCTCTTCAACTTCATCACCTTCAACCTCAACACCACCACCTTTACCCTCTGATTCCAAAATAAGTGATCACAGGCAAGAACCAGATGATTTAACTACTTCAGCATCAGAATCTCAACCAACCTACTATCTTCCCTGGGATCCTTGGCTTTATGGATCCTCTTATCATCCTTATCACCATCAAACTCAACCCCATCTCCATCCTTTCAAACGTTAACAACTTTTTTATCCTTTTTTTTATTCATCAACATTTTTTTGCTCGCCTTCCTTTTCCCTGAATTAACTTGTTTTCTCGTTTAAACATGGTTTTGTTTTTCAGGAATGCTTATTGTATCACAAAGCCTTTTCATCACGGTTAATTATTTCAATTGTTCAAATGAATTGTCCTAATCCTTTCTTCCGTTAGTTATTCCATCAACCCAGTAGATCCAAGATAATTTTTTTTGCAATATTGATAATTGATCAATAACCTTTCCAGCCAAACAATCCATTAACATGATAACAGTTAATAACTCTTAACATTTCAAATTACACCTTTCTCCATCATCCTCTAAATTATTAATATCAAGTTAGTCTTGAGTAATTAATCATCTTCTTTCGCAACGATCTAACCTTGCCGTTGGAATCGACAATTTATTTTAATCAACATCAACCTTCAAACAATTTACAACTTTACCATACAATCAATGTATTTTTTTAAAGGCAAACCAAATACACTCAACATAGACTAACCATAATTAATAATTATCTGTCACCAAGCAAAAAGAACCAAGCGAAATCAAAGAGACACAAAAATGCCATTAATAACCTTATAAAAGGGTTCGGATCAAGCAATTTTAAACAATACGGAAAAGACTACTTCCAACACTAAAGTCAAGACTGGATACAAGCGATTGTCATTGGAAAAGATCAATTTAACTTAATAATAGCCGTTGTTTCGAAGAGATTAATCTATTCTCACAATCAGCATCAACATATTGATTAACAGTTCTATGGATCTAAACTGTTCTTCCTAAAATTTGGCAAAAATCAACTATCTTCACATTTCGTACCTTTTCTGGTTCCTTATTCATTTTTATTGTAACTGTTGCTTTAATCTTGAACGGATTAAATATCAACAATGAGAAGTTAATTGAAATTGAAAGGTTCATTCTACCTCTGAAAAGTCGAGTATTGTTAATAATCAAATCCACAGGGAAGCGTGAAGAATGATCACAATGAACAAAGTCTCAGAGTTGACCTTAATGTTTTATCAAATTAAAACTGAAACCTTGAATTAGCAATTGTAAGAACTGTTCAGATAACTCAGAAGGCAGATGAAAAATGAAGTTTAATGTGAATTAATGTGAATACAATATTTACATTGTAATATTAATGCAAACAAAATGACGAATGTTGATAAATGAAAAATGAGTTTCAATAATGTTCTTACACTTTTCTAGTTAATCGTTTCATTGATTATTTCATTTACTTAACACAATTATTAACAATCTATTAATAGTTACCGTGATCAAATGTATTTAACCAGCTTGAAACGTTTCTTCAACCGTGATTAAAATGCCTAAGTTAATTGTTCAAGGCTTCATCTTTTCAACTGAAAAATACCTTTTTTAATATTGTTTGCATGTTACAATATTATGCACATTAGTTGATATATTTAACGGTTAAACAATTAATAAATTATTCTCATTATTATCAACAAAATGAGAGCATAAATTGTCCCTATTAAGCCTATTGAGGAGGATTATTGAAAATTGATTAATCAATGGTAACTTTATAATCTCATTAACTGGTAACTTGATTAATCCGTAATACAGTTTATTATCAAGTCAAAAGATTCATAATTATCAATTTGATTGGCTTAAATTGCATTAAAAGATCGTACAGGTTAATTAGTGAAAGATGAATAATTGAATGATCTTAATCAAGATTAATTTGAAGCAGCTTTAGATACACTTTTATAAGTAAATTATGGTAAATACGGTTGAATCGTAATTGAAGAGCTTCTCAAGATTCATTAGCTGTTTAAGTAGTCTATCAAAATAGACTTGATTGTTGTCTTGGAAGATGGTTTTAACCAGGTTTAACCTTTAATTAAACATTTAAAGGTTATCACACAATTCTCATCAGAATTTCAGGGATCCATTTTACCTCACAGCCAGAAGTTGGAAATAAATTGCTTTCCGAAAATAAATTGAAAATTTCTCAGAGGTTGGAGCCTTTTGTTCAAAATTAATAATATAATTCCGATTCAAGATGCATTTTCACCGAGCTTTAATTGTTTGGTTTTATTCCTTTTTGATTGCTTTCTTCCTAACGGTTTTACCTTTTCCTGCCAAATCAAATCTTACAATCAATCTGTTGAACTAGCACTGTCAATTGTAATAACAGTCATCAGTTTAACAACTTGTGAGCTTCATGTTAACTTGTCAAATTGTTTGGATAATGCCAGCAATTTCAACATTGATCAGGCTAACTATAAGCTGGAGAAATTATAATTTAATCAATGTTCTGTTGGCTGTTTGATCGGATATCAAATGTAAAATAATGTTACCTGTTAAGTTATCGTGATCGTCAAGGGAAATCATCATAATCTCAATCAAAGTCATCATAATTTCATTTTACTGCCACTTTTCATGTAACACTGGGGCTATGGAGGAAATCACATTCACATGGGCCACAAATCATGGTTAATATTAAAAAAATAGTCAATTTGTCAAATGAAATCAAGGCTTGTATTTTTTTGTATTATGTATAAATGATCATTAGTTACAAAATACAATTCAGTTTGTAAAGAGCATAACAATTAATGTAAACTCTAAATCAGATTGTAATATTCATATGTCTGTTTATATCACGTTTAAATCATGTAATATTTTTCAGGTTACTTTGTTCATGCTCTTACTTCAATCCATCCTTTTTCACCGTTTAATCTTCATTTATGCACATGTTTTCAATCCACTGGTTTGTGTATTAAGATGATCAGAATGGAGATGCTGCATGGTGATGATGTATTTCATATGTGAATGGCTTATGTCAAACTGGTGAACCTTTTCCCATCGTTGAATCAATTTGATTGAGGCTACTCAAAGTTACCAATGGAGTTGCATTATTATTTACATTTTCTGGTCCACTGTTTATTGAAACAATAATTGAAGGTGATTTTGTTTTCTGGTTGATAATATGTTGTCGGTTTAATCGCTGGCGACGTTTACGACATCGATGCATGTTGGTTCCAACAACGATTAAGATAATAGCCGCATAAAAAACAACAATTACCTAGGTTAAACAGATAAAAGGGTAACATTAATAAGGTTAGAATAAAGTAAAACAAGAAAAAGATAATGCTTTATAACATATTAGTAAAAAAAGGTATGAGAAAGTGTTAAACAAAAACATAAAAATGGCGTCGATAAATTATCAACTGTTGACAAGATTGGCGGGAGTAAAGATTAAGAGTAAAGGTTCACAATGTAAAGCTTACCAAAGAGTATATAATGGCTTCAGATCTTTCCACTCTCAGTGATTCAGGATCAGAATGATGAATGTGGTTAAGTGAGAAACAGATGTGAGCCGGAATCCTGTCCAATATAATGATAAAATTAAAATATAAATCACAAAATATACCTAATTAACTGGAACAACAAAAAGTGTCAGACTTGAAGGAGGGAACATTTGAAGAGAGAAACAAGAAAGATGAAAGTTACTCTTTCGGTCAACCTGGGGTTGTTACCTAATTACGATTTACGAACCCTTTTTTCATAAAATCATATTAAATATAAAAAAGTTGTTATTTTTAATAGCAAAATATTAATTTTTTTATATTTAATCTAAACCCTTTCTGGTAACAAACATTACGCTTTTACCATCATTATGCATTACATATTTACCACTTTCACATCTCACTTTAATTTTGATTTTTTCATTCAAACTTTTGTTGTTCCCATTATACTGTGAGCCCATCAAAATAATAATAAAATAATAATGGTTGAACAAAATTCCCAAGTGAGTAACTGGGAGGGAAAAATGTCAAAAAAAACGAAACATTTGAAAGTATAAATGTTGCTTGAATGGACTGAAATCATACAATTTGAAAGTGATTTCTTTGTAGCTTGAAACTCAAAAACAGGGCTTGAAAAAGCAACCTAAAAAAGGGTTAAAAGCTGATTCAAATGATAAAATCTGTGGTTGAAATGCCTTAAAGCATGAAATCCCAGAAATTGATTTCATTATGTACAGAATGGGAAAAAAACTCAACAATTTAATGCATTTGATTTGCAAAGGAAAGATTCAAATGTTGCTTTAATCTCATCGACCGAATGATATTCATAACAATAAACTGATCTGAAGGTAAATATATTTAAGGTTAAAAGGTTAAACGAAACAAAACCTATTTTATTGACAATTACAATTAGATCAATGGTTGATTGCTGGTTGAAATGATACATTTGGCAGCTTAGGCCTTAACTCACAGACTTGTTGATTGTGAAGATAATTTTCAGTTTGATGAATTGTTCTGCAGAATGTAATTTTGTTTCAAAACTGGATAACAATTGGATCGGAAGAATGATAAACATTGTAAATGATTAACTAATGATAATAAGGATGATCAACCTTTACTCCAAGCTTCTCATATTTACAGATGAAATGTTACTTTTTCAACTGTTATGTCATTGCTTATGAGCAAGTAATCGATTGGGATGAAAAGATGATGATGAAGGTAAGAAAATGAAGTTTCAAGTTATTGCAAGAGAAATCATGGAACCATGCAAATGATCCTGAGTTTTGATTCGGTTATGAAACGTTAAACCAATTGGTAAACATTGGACTTTAATGTTTTCAAGCGATTCCTTTCAATTTGCTCAAATCAAACTGATTTTCATTGTTCCAATCTGTTTCTTATTGTTTATCTAACCAACAATTGTAATACAATATTGGATCATTTGATGGCAAAAATGAAATCATTGATATTATTGAATAAATATTGATTGTCCTAAAATGCTGGTAATCATCAAACTAATCAACCATAATAATGTAATCACATCTGGAATGACTTTGTTAAGGCAACTCAGGCCTAATTTGATGAACGTTTAACATTTTAATTTAGCTGTTAATTTCCGAGTATATTTTTGACTAATGTTTGTCTTTGTATCTAATTGTGTTCAGGAAATTAAACTTCCACCAAGCGATATTCATTTTTAATGAATGATAACACTTGAATTTGGTTATACAATGAATAAATTTTTCCTTTCAACTTTACAATTGGAAACCTTTTCATAGTCATTTCATTGATATTTCAATTTTTACAACAATCATAATGATCACTACAATCATCAGTATAATCACACTTTTAAAGCAATCAAAGTGTTCATTTCCTCGATCATTGTCGCTCAGAATAATTGAATATTAAAAATAAATTCAAACGTAATATTTCAATTAAGATGCAGAAAAAGATTGTAAATTCAATCATTTGTAACTTTTAATAAAAATAAATCCTAAAATTAAACATTTACATTTAAATTTGATATCAACTCTAAACTGTTACTTGAAAAGGTTTGTTTAATTACAGTTAATATTGAAAGTTAATGGTTAAATAAACCAGTGAAAGTGAACTATCAATTGAAGAACCTAAAGGTTGACAAAACACAAAATTCAGGTAAAAGCAAATGCTTTTTAATCAATCTTTTTGCCTAAATAATCGAATAATTAAGCAAAAATAAGAAGCAATATAAATGTTAATTCAATTCCAGGAAAACCTTAGCTATTCATAATCATAATATCATAATTATAACCAGAAATACGATCAAAATTGATGTCATTCACATTCGTTTGACTCTGTCCTTATAACTGTTGATTCTGGTTGAGTTTGACAGACATTATTTACTAATTGTGGTTGAGGCAATTAGGATTTACAATTGAAATGTATTCTTTATTTTGGGTTGAGTTGATTAAATGAAAAATTGATTTACCTTTTCTGTAGACAAAGTTGTTCCCTTGATGAGTGAAGGTAAAAGAATGGCATTTTGTTTCTTGATAATCAGCTAATTGTTGTTACCTGATTGTTGATTTCACTTATGAAGAAAAAGAAAACACTTTTTCAATTTCTGTTGCAGTTTGTTTACCTTATTGTAAGCCTTTTAGAACAGCTTTTAGCTTTTCTTTTGTATATGATGACTATTTAAGTTACAATTGGCACAAAATTGAACAATTTCAATGTTAATACTAATTGTTTACCATTAAATTGTTGCTTATACATTATTGCCAGTTGATTGTTTCACCTTAATATAAAACATTTAATCTCATCTCAGTCAACTTATAAACTACTCTAAGCCATTGAAAGGCTAACAGTAATATTAACTTTAGATATTTTTACCTCCATAAAAACTCCCAAACTGAACGCATGTTCACTCCTTTTAAACTCCCAATCTTAATATTTATCAATCCCATTGAGAATTACATTCAATGTTGTTGATTTAACAGGTGCAAGTCTATAATTATTGGTAATACAAATTAAATTTCCAAAATTAGATTGTTTTGCTAAATTTAATACTTTAGTGGCGATGTAAGAAAAGGTTATAAACATTAAGTTAACTCACTATTTTGCTTGAAATTGTTTTTGTCTGAGTTTCAGGGTTTGGATTTGAATTATGTTTGATTTATGTTTATCAATAATTTAGTCGCTTTTAGAGGGATATTTAGTTGAAGTAGAATCCATTGAATTGATTGATTTAACTGAATTTTCCTTAAATTGTACATTTAAAGTTGCAATCGGATTTGAATTTGTTTTGAGTGCATTCTAGTCTCAATCAAAAATGATTATTTTTTGGTCAATACATTTGGACAAAATTTGAGATTGAACTGAAATCCAAATGAGTTGAAAGTTAAGTCGAGTGAAACGTTTGATTGAATTTGGATGGATTTAAACAGGTTGATTTAGTTTGCTCAATTGAATTGAATATTACAATGAAAGATTGCCAGAAGAATTAGTTGTCCAATATCAAAGTAATACTAAACTGGAAGCTCAAATAGATTCTGCAAAAGTTAGGTAAATTTGATCTTTGGTTTAACTTTGATATTCTTTTGCTTTACAAATTGTTATTTCGTTCAATTGTGATTATCTGAATTAGATTTAACATTTTAAAATGAAAATTGAATCATTTTATTAAATTTATGCTTAATTTTAGCAACATTTTTATGTAAAACCATTGGTTAAACATATTGAATAAATAAGATAAATAGATTGATGTACATTTAGCAAAAGGATATTTGACTGGTTTTGATGAGAATTAGTTAAATTAATGATGATCACTTTAAATAAATAGATTGTTATGGTAGAGGTGGGTTTAAAGGCATCTATTTGGTCATTGTGAGATCAACCATTCGTCCGTAGGAAAAATTGTGAATATCATTGCGATAATATGGATGGAAACAGGCTCTTATTGAGTGTTGACTGGCAGTTGAAGGGAAATTTTCATAAATATAGATTTGTTTTTTCAATGCTTGAACTTTAAGGCCCATGAAAATGGCAAAACAAAGGCCAGCAAGGAAAGAACTTGTTAATAATATTAAGCTAATCATTATGGAGGGTGAAGCGAAACAGGAGACAGCTTCATCACCAAAAAATTCATCAAAGATTCCAGATTCTTTATAAAAATCTTGTCCATTTTCAGTGACATCCACGGCAGTTGAAATACCAATTTGAGAAAGCAATTTATCTCGAGTTATATTTTTTTCTCGTCTCTCAGTTAATGTCCAATTACCGTTGTGAGGTTTACGTCGAACGATGTTTGGTAAATTAGTGTATTTCTTGCTGATAACTTTAGCAGATCTTTTGACAACATGTTTTATTGGAGTTACTGTAGTTGATTCCGCCGGTTTTTCCTGACATTCAAACTAAAAAATTAAAGAAATGCGATAAAACGGTGATTAGTGACAATTTAGAAATAAAATGTCGAATCTCAAGCTGAAAGCTTTCTTGGTAATTGTTTAGAGATTGTGATTTATGATTCTTTACCTTAGGACAAGTTGTATTGCAAACGACAACAGTACATTGAATATGAAGGTTGGAGCGATCTGGAAATTTGAAAGCTGGAAAAGTCGTGAACAAGACTTTTGAGTTTCCTGTTTCATGGACAAACTCCTTGAAATTGGGCATTATAACGGCATCCAGTGTGCATCTAAAAATGATAAAAATCACAATTAAAATGATACCCAAAATACAAGATAACAATAAAGGTAATAGTTAAACTTACCCATCTTCATCGGTTAAATCAAATTTAGTAGTCATGGTTCGGTCGTGAGCAAAACATCTAGATAGTCTTGTGTCTATTCCAACTGAAAATGAGAGTAAAAAAGAGCAATAAAAAATATTTAATCAAATGAACAGCAATTATGGAATCATTGGGACGGATAAATAGTAATGAATATTAGTGTCTATGTAACATCATAACTAGACAATGGGGCAATCATTGACTAGATGAGTCTAAAATGACTATTACTGGATGAAAGCAGCTTTGAAAGGGAGAAAGTAAAAAGAAGACAAAAAATTCAAAGTCAAAGCTCAAGTAACCTTAACAAATTTCAACTGTCAAGGTTCAAGTGATTCTGAATGTTTGCCATTGACAAGAGAAATGAGAATTTCATGAGATTCAGAATTTTGTAGTTTCTTGGAAGCTAGTCAGTTCAACTTGGATATTTTAAAAAGCAAGAAAAAAAGCAAAGGAAAGAAAGAGAATCAAAGTGAGAAATAGTAAATATCTCAACCTGTTTTGCCTGAATTCAGTCAATTGGAAACAAGTGATACAAACAAACAAAAATAATAACAATAACACACAAAAAACTGTAGTTAATAGCATAATTCACAGCATTTCAGAGGCAATGAGGCTAACTGGGAAAAAAGTATGAATCGATAATCTGAGCGAGAAATTTCCAAGCACAAAAAAAGTTGAATCCAAAATGATAAATGTGATTCCTTGTGATAATCATCATTGGATGAGCAAGCTGGAATGTAAACAAAAACTGTCAGTTTGATGGTGAAATCTGAATTTGTGTGCTCTTCTAATGGTCTTGAGGCAGAACCTGGAGACAAAATTTAAACGACAATCAACGAATGATGACTTCTGTTTCTTTTCGGAAAAATGTCTTCAAATTTCATAAGGTTACTTGGCGATGGATAATGAACAATACAGAGTGAAAGAAAAAACAATATGATTAGTGAGCCATGATAAAAGATGAAAAATAGTTGACAGTCCAAAATTTTGTCTTCCTCATTATTCACTAGATGATGTTACACTAATGACAGGACAATCAAGTTGAGTAAACAACAGGATGGGTAAAGAAGGCTATTTAAATTAACAAATTAAGGTGACAATCAATCAACGTACGCATTTTCTTGATTTTAACCAAAACTGTGATGTCTTCACCAATATTAACATGACTGTCTATTGTTTTTAAATGAGGTATTCGACCTCTGAAAATGTCCATGTAACATTCAATTGAAGCAACAGTTGATTCAGCAAAATGATGATTATCCATGGGTTTAACTTGAATCCTGCTGTCTCCATGGAGTGACTTTAAGTTTGGCGATTTGGAAGCAGCTTCATCAGAGCGTCTTCCCATTCCACCGGACAAAAGTATCTCTTGAGGTGCACATCGAACTAAAATCCGGTCATCTTGGGATTGTTGGATGTTCTTGTCGTACTGGACGTAAAGGTGCAATTCAAATTGATACAAACCTTTGTCCTCACTAATCTTGATGCCACATTTGTGAACTGGACTTGAAAATTGAATTACTTTTGTTCCATTGCCGTCGATTTGGCATTCCTGACTAAATCCTTTGGCATAAACGATTCCATGAAAAGGTTGTTGAAAGGTGATTGTAGTCATCAAATTGGTCCGACTACAGGCAACATTGCTAGCTATTACAGAGTAAAAAATTGAAAAAGGTCAACAATTAGAATGTATTGTAAATGATTGAATTTGTAAATACAAAACAATGGGAAGGGCGAGTTTCACAATTAAATCATCATTATGCTCATAGTGACTTAACATTGTTAGACTTAGATCTAACCATGACAGGTTGATTCAAAATTTTACAGTTGAATATATTTTCTTGTTGAGAGTGAAATTTGCATTTACTGATGAGTAGATATTTGTTTTGTCAAGTAAAAGTGATTAACAAATAAACAAAAACAATTACTGTAGTACATGTTTTAAGTTTATTGTGTATAACAATTATCAAGTGAAATCAATGGAAGCCTGAATGGTTATATTGGAGATGGAGCAAATCAGTAATCAAGTAAATTGCAAGTTAAGACAAAAAACAAGTCATTTTTGTATCAGATAAGTGGTTATTTTAAGAAATATTTTTCTTTCTTGTTAATAATCATTCAACATATTCATCATACGCATTGACTTGTTTTCATGGCATTTGATCATTTTTTCAAATAGCTTCAAGCTAAACATGTCTTGGTGGTTAATCCTGCATGGACCATGAAGATGACGATCAAGATACAGGATGATGATGATGAGAAAGAGAGTTTTCCCTTTCTTTTTCCTTTTCTTTTTCTTGTCTTCTCAACGTCAATGACCGATTTGAAAGTCAATTCAAGATCAGTGCACTTTTTTAACGTAGTTTTGTACTGATTAGTATTTGCTGCAATTTCAACTAAAAATCTTCCTGATACAGTAAATTAAGAGATGAAGGTAAAGATGATCAGGACATCATGATGAGCCATCAACAATCAAAATAGGCATAAATGCAAGTTAAATTAACTTGGAAAATTTGATATTCAAAAAGATGAAACTTCCTTTTCCTGACTTTTTTCTGAATCATTTTTTAAATTAAAGATCAATAGTTGATCATCAAATTGATGGGTAACAAGGTAAGATATGATAAATGAAATGAAAAAACCAAAATTCATGATTAAACCGGGTAAAATACATGATGGTTGAATTAGGCAAACAAAAATACTCAAGTATTGAATGTAGCTTTTTTCCGGGTTAGGAAAACATTTCTTTGAAAAACTCTGGTAAACCATTGTTATTACCCTTACTTAACGTGATTGTATGCGTTTAAATTTAATGTTAATATTAGCTTTTTGATCAACACCATAACCATAACCATCATCATCAGTAACCTTAATATTTGATTTCTTTTTGTTAGACTGCGGAAGAAACCAAAGAGATTGGACAAAATAATGATGATAATAATTTTCATCATCCAAATGATTCTGTAACAATTGAAGTAAACGTGTAAACAAGTAAATACGCACACGCATCATCAGTCGGCTGATTGTTGATTGAATGGCGTGAGAGACCAAATCAACAACAATTGACTCTAATTTTGGGTTCACAACCACAATGTTTTTCTCACATTTTCATCTTTTTTCATTTCATTTCTTCTTCCTTGCTGTTCACGCCAATTCAGGAAATTAATGAAATATTTAGTGAAATCAAAGAATCAATGGAACCACAGAGAATCATAAACTTGAACCCTTTTTGCTCTTTAATCAAACAAGAGCAATTTCGTAAGCATTAAATCATTAAATTGATCATTTGATCACACAATTTTGTTTTTAAATTAACCAGCAAAAACAAAATGCACAAAGTACGAGTTGAATCCAAAACTGGATCAATCCATCTCTAGTCATATTGAGTGCTTTTAAACAGTAAGTACACTTTGTTAAATGATTGAAAACCTTTATTCGGTACAACACAATTGGTTAATAGCTGGATAGGATACAAATTAAAGGTTAATCATGATTGGTATAAGTTGAAATCAGTAAATAGTGTTTCAGACAATGGTTAGAGCATCAAGATGAGACAAGGGCAATTTCAATTTTAGCAAAACAATGCTAATGCAATTGTTTATTGGCCAAAATTGACTTGACAATATAATCAAAGGTTAATCATAATAGTTTGTTGTTGATGTCAAGAGCATAAACGATTATTAATTTAACAATTAAATATTAAGGATTTAGAAGAGTTAAAACCTTATTATGATAAAAGTGAGAAGATAATGTAAGATAAGCAGTAATTGTATTACCTGGGCAGTCCCATGATGTATTTAAAATGCTTACCTGATCGACGAACTGCCAGAGACAGTCTTGTAAAGCATAGTAAAGTGTTTATCAACACAATTATAATTGATTTAACAATCATGATGAAAGTGTTAACAAACAATTGATTGCAATGTTGAGTGTTACAAAAGTTAATTTGTATTTTCTTTCGAGTCTTTGTAAAGTTTAAAAATCCGTATCAATATCAGGAAAACAAATCAGTTCACATGTAAATCAAAGATTGTATCCCAAAAGTTACATAAAGTTGATAGATCAGTTGATTTGAGTGTTTCAATAGAAAGGGTGTGAAAATAATTAGGGAATACTCAAGGGGTTAAACTAAATATGGAAAGAAAGGTTAAGTTGAATTTAGTTGATTGGAATCATCATGACAAGGATGAGAGTAAAGTCAATGATGATCTTGGATACAGTTTAACGGGTATAAAATATATTATGTAAAAAATAAAAATAGCAAATATTTCAAAATCCTTTGAACATGTAATTGAGAAGATGGTTAAGAGTTGAACTTGAACCAGATGAAGATTGAAACATGTAAAAAGGCAAAATTTTGAAAAGTAAAATGAAGATAAAATAATGACAAGATTTTCAAGTCTCTTCTAGAATCAGTTCACAGGTTTTATTTCAAAATGATTTGGTTTTTAGAAGCAAAATTGCAACTTTCATGCTGAGACACAACTGAATGATTGAGTAAAAATCCCAGGTAACCAGTAGAGTGAGAAAGGTTAAGTTTAGGTGAGAGAAGGAAAGGAGCAAAGAAAGATGGAGGGAGAGAGGAAGAAAGAGGGGCGAGAAAAGATGATCAGGAAAGATGACACTGGTTAAATCTAAAAACGTCTACGCTTATTTTGGCCTTGATTGGGTTTTCTATCAAAGCGTCCGGGAACTCCGTACGGGCCAGGATCCCCTCCCATCGGGCCCATAGGGCCATGGGGACCTAAAGGACCTCCTGGTCCAGTCATTTCTGGGTCAAACTATAATTTGATGTTGACATTCATTTTTTTGTTTTGTCATAAAGTTCAATTGCACAAAAGAGAAACACAAAAGAGAGTGATATTTGAATAAGTATACAGAAGCACAATACCGGCAAGTAATCAAGAAATGATAAAAAATGGATTCTTAAAAATGATACACCTATATACAGAAAACCTTTTCAACGAAAATCAAAGAAAAATCAAAGTTTAAATCTTAAAAAATGACACTTACCCCGAGATTATTCTGGAACGGTCCTGGTCCTGGATGTCCCATTTGATTGCCCATACCTGGACCATGGCCACGATCATTGATTCTACCTCCTGGGAATAAAGGTGGAGGTGGACCAGGTTCAGGACCATTGCCTAAGCCTGAGACAACTCGCAAAGATTGTTCCTGTCTGTCAAGTATATCTTGTAACTGGTTGGCCTTTGATCGAAGTTCATTCTCTTGGTGTCTTAGATGATTGAAATCTTGTTTCCTGCCATGCTGAAGAAGCTCGTCAGTTTGTTGTCGCATTAACATTTCCTGACGATGTCTTTCTTCCTCTCGTCTACGATCATCTTCTAATCTACTGGAGCGAGATTGAGAGAACTGATTAGCACGATCTTCCATGGCTCGTAACTGTTCCCGTAGCATATTGGTCTGATGTTCAACACGACAGTATTCCATCTGTTCTTGAAGTAATTGGCGATCTTCTCGGATTTCTGCTTCTAATCTTTCTCTTTTCTGTTTCTCTATATCAAATAAATGCTTCCATCGCATAGCAAATTCATACTCAAATGTACCTGGCTGAGCAAATCTTGGCCCTACCTCTCGTTCAGTCATAAAATCAGGAGCGTTTCGGTTAACGTGTTTTTCTTGAAAACCGTCGTCTTCATCTTTTTGGTCAAATGGTTCTACATCTACAGGAGTAGGTATAGCGGTCAAGAGGAAACATTCCTGAGAACATTTTTTCAAAGCATTTTGGGCTGATGACTTTCGAGCAAATTCAACTATTCCTTCTCCAGTGCTTCTACCACGGTCATCACTGATCACAACAGCCCTTTCAACTTCACCAAAATAAGCGAATGAGAACTCTAAAAGCTCATTAGTGACCATAGGAGAAAGATTTTTAACTCTTATAGCGGCAGCATGGGCAGCTAATCGAACCCTTAATTGTCTTCCTTCATAGTCATTGAGATCAAGAGCATCCCGGGCAGCTTCAGCATTAGCCCGGGTATCCATCTTGACAAAAGCAAAACTGTTACCTTTACCAAGAAATACTTCCGCCACTTGGCCATATTTTTCAAATAATTTTTTCAATGTTTCCTCAGTAATATTGTTAGGAAGATTGGCAACAAACACTCTACATCGGCCGGTGAATTTTTTGGAATCTTTGTTTTTCTTCTGGACAGGAAGCTCATAGGTCGGAGCACCATTCAATTGAACACCAGACACTTGAGCATGAACATTATTTTGGGATTTATTATGGCCACCACCACCATGCCCTCCACCATGTCCTCCGCCATGGCCTCTATTATGTCCACCACCATGGCCTTCACTATTTTTAGGGCGATTTGGTCTATCAGGTCTATCACCAGGAGTAGCCATTATACGTAATAATTTAAATTGATTAAATTAGCAAAAATTTAGAAACACACAATAAATATAACCTTTAAAAGGTAGTGTCAAAAAAACCAAAGATGAGAGGACAATTATATTTTATGAAACAAAATGTTTATTATAAAGGAAAAAGATGGCTGTTCGCCTCCTTGTTGGCATGCGTGCGACCTACAAGTACAAGAAGAAGAGACTGCGGTTAATGGATTTAATGCGCAAGGGAAATGATTTTTTTCCCCTCACACGAACTTTCTTAACCCGATCCGCAAATCCGATTTGGTGCTGGATAATTGCACAAGTGGTGCTAGTAATCAGAGACCCTTTCTTTCTCTCTCTTTTACATCAAAAATTTTGATTAAAAATTAACAAATTTAATCATTTAAACAAAATTGTTAATTATTGGAATTACAAAGAGAAAAAGAAAGTCTCTTACTACTAGCACCACTTGTGAAATTATCCGGCAACAAACCGGATTTTTATTAACCGCAGTCTCTTCTTTACTCTTTGAATTTGTATCTAACTCGTTAGATTTATTAATATGTTATTAGTTAACAGATTTTACAATTTACGTTGGAGAGAAGGACAGTTCAAAGGGTTACAATTTGTAAAGTGATTCTTGTCCTTATTGATATTAAAAATTAAGTGATGAAAAATTTCATTTGCGTATTTCAAGCAGTATTTGACTTGGCAAGCTTCATCATCAAATTGTTTCAATGAATCTAATCTGGAAGCTTGAAAATTGATGAGATTTCATTTGAATATATGCAATATTGAAACAGCTGAAAATTAGCCAAATTGTTCAAGTTGATTTAAATAACACCCATGAATACCGGTATTTAAAGGTAATCAATTAATCGAACCGGCATCAAGAGTTGAATCTGAATTTAGTTTATTTCATATGTAACTAATAGAAACAAAACTCCACCTAAACATCGATAGTATTTATCTTGATTGGTTCTCAGAATTAAAATCCTAATTAACGTATTTAAATAAATATTCTTGAAATCAAATTACAAGTAAAATAGCAGCCTCTGAATGAAAGTGAAAAGATGAAATAAAAACAAATGACAATCTGGTGGATTAACTAATTGGTTTGTTGGATGTAGGACACAGGCTTATATAATGCAAGAATAAATGCAACGCTGAATTGTTTTAAATGTAGATTAGTTTTTTAGAGTAAACTGAGTTCTGGTTTCGTATTCTAATGATTAATTTAATTGTTGGCTGATGTTTACGGATTAATTTCAATACAAAATGGATTTTAAGCCTTAAATTTTATTTTAAGGCTCAGTTTTCGATTGTATCGATATATCATCGAATGAATCATCGGTTTTATCATATCGTCTATCAATACTATTGAGCCAACTGTATCATTAGTTGCTATTGATGAACATGTAGACATTTATAAATTTTGTTTGATTTTGTTTTCTTACTTCATCATCAAATATGGTTCAACAAATGGTACAACAATTTGGCTCCATGTCGGTCCAGAATAATTGGTCTTCATTATGGGGTCAAGAAGGAGTCAATTTATTAGCAGATCGTAATATTAAAACTAAAACGGTTGATATTGTACCTGGACAGGATACTCGTGATTGTAACAGAAATGTTATGAGATCAACATTACAAAAGGTGCCAGAAACCGCATCTTTATTGCAAAAATCACGATTACCATTTGGTCTTTTAATCCATCCTTTTTGTGATTATGAGGTATGTTTACAAATCAACCGTAAATTTATTAGTAAAATGTATACCGTTGAACCTCTTTCATACACTTCTACCGGCCGTTTTCTCGCGGATCTTTTTTTCTCATCTTCTTTCAGAATATCCCGATTATCCAGGATCGAACTATTGTTCGTTGTCGAAATTGCCGAACTTACTTGAATCCATTTGTTCGTCTGTTGGATCAAAGAAGATGGCAATGTAACATTTGTCACCGTGTTAATGATTGTAAGCTTTTTGTATTTCTTGTCTGTCAAATTGTCTTTTCTCAGTAAATTTATGCTAATTTTTTTTTTAATTTTATTCCTTTCAGTGCCCGATGATTTTTTAGTAGATCCGGTTACTCATAAATTAATAAATTACCCTCTAGACCAGCCTGAATTGTCTCATGCTACCGTTGAATTTGTTGCATCTGTTGAATATATGGTTAGACCACCGCAACCTGCAGCCTATTTGTTTGTTTTTGATTGTTCTGCACACGCATTCCATCTTGGATATCTTCCAGTCATGGCAGATACCATATATTCTTGCTTAAATTCGATACCGGGAGACACTAGAACTATGATAGGTTTCATTGGGTTTGACTCTCGAATTCATTTCTTTAATTTAGGAGACAAGAAGCCCCAACATATGATTATGCCGGATATCAAAGGTAATTTAAAACTTATATTATTTTAGAAGATTTAAATTGGATTCTAATCTTGTTTCTTGTTTTAGATGTATTCATACCTTCTCCTGAGAGCCTTTTAGTCAATCTACACTCCAAACGTCCAGTCATTGAACATTTCCTTTATAAAACTTTGAAAGAACTATTTAACCATGATGGTGTCTCTCAGCCTGTGGCAGTTGATTCCGGGTCAGCAATGGGTTCTGCTTTGTCTGCAGCTTATGAAGTAATCTCTTCAATCGGTGGTCGTATAACGGTAATTCAAGCAACTTTACCTAGTTTAGGACCAGATGGATCCGTATTAGCTAATCGAGAAGATCCTAATAATCGTGCATCTAATAGTAGTAATACAGCTCAATTGACTCCATTATTAAACCCAGCAACCGATTTTTATAAAAAATTAGCTCTAGATTGCTCTGAACATCACGTAGCCGTTGATCTGTTTAACTTGAGTCCGACCTTTTCTGATCTTGCAACAGTCGGACAGGTAGCTAAAGTTAGTGGAGGATCAGTCTTCTATTATGGAGCAACTGGAGCTAATATGGCCACAAATCCTGGACGTGTTTTAGCCCGATTCTCTACTGATTTAGTACATTATTTATGTAGAAACATTGGTTTTGAAGCAGTCATGAGATTACGTTGCACTAAGGGATTGAGTATACATACGTTTCATGGCAACTTCTTTGTGCGATCAACAGATTTAATATCATTACCTAATTGTAACCCAGATAACGGTTATGCCATGCAAATATCAATAGATGAAGATTTTAAAGATTTTAATTCAGTTTGCTTTCAAGCGGCTGTTCTTTACACCAACCCAGCTGGTGAAAGACGAATACGAGTGCACACTCTTAACCTGCCAATAGTTTCTACTCTTAGTGATGTTATCAATTTTGCTGATCAAGAAGCTATCACTGCCATGTTGTGCAAAATGGGTAAGTTAATCAATTATTCATTTCATATGAAAAATATCTTCTGTTATCATTCCAAATATTTTAGAAAATATTTATTTTGCACATTAATTAGTTTCATTGAAAATAACAGTAAATCAAAACAGTATCTCCATTAGGTAAATAATGTTCAGTTTCAAATCATGAACTTATTCAACACGAGACGTGTCTTTTGTAACTGATTACAAAAGATTTAATGTGAATCTTGCTAATTTTTGGCGCCATCTATTGAAAAATCTATATGCAATGATAAATTGTTATATAAATTTTGGATAAATTAATTTAGGAATAAATTATCTTGATAAGCTTAAAACATGAATATAGTTTCAGCCAAGTATGCAAAATCAAGTCTCAAAAAAACACTTTCCGTATCGACATTTATTGAAACATTTTTTAAAGCAAGCTTTCGTAGAATCTGATTTTGCTTCATTTCCAAATTAATGAATTTTTTCATTTTGATTAGCACAGAATGTGAATAGAGCATGATAAGTCACCATGCTCATAAATATAAATCATTTTACTTGTATTTCAGTATCAATCATTTACTTGTTTTTTATTAATACACTCTGAAGATATGCTCTGACATACGAATTGACAAGTTTCAAAGTTTATCAAACCTCAAATCTAATATCAACTATTTATCTTCTCTTTCAAAGCTGTTGATCGTAGCATGAGCTCAAATATTTCTGACGCTCGAGAAGCAATGATTAACGCGATTTTGGATCTTCTATCAACATATCGAAATGTTGCTCCTTACGAAGCATCTTATGGCCTTACAACATCATATTCAACTCGATTATTACCTCTTTACATTTCAGCTCTTCTAAAACATGTAAGTATCTTATTAATTTTTAATCAACTTGAATTTATGAATCAATATTTTCAAACATTTAGCGCTAATGCAAAACATTTTATTTTCTAGACGGCCTTCAGAGTAGGTATTTCAACCAAGATTGATGAAAGAGTTTATGCCATGGAAAGGTTGAAATCTTTGCCAATCTGTCATATTACAACGTATATTTATCCAGATCTGTATCCAGTTCATACTGAATTCAATCCATTTGCTGGAGAATACCCTAAACCGGTTCAACTTTCATTTGCCAATGTAGACAGAAACGGAGTTTATTTATTGGATACTTATGAGTGTATTTACCTTTATATTTGTAAATCTGTTAATCATCAATGGTTATCTGATGTTTTTGGTGTTACTCAATGGGCCAAAATACCCGATGATGGAGACTATTACAGTGACGGAGGCGATCCTAAAGTTAGTAAAACATCAAGATATTCAACTCATCACAATCTACACAATGATTCGTCCAATAGACTCCCAGCAACACCAACATCTGTTACACCTTTACCTAGGCTTGATAATCCAACGTCTATGCGACTAAACGCTTTCATAGATTATCTTATGTCCAGCCGACCATTGATGCCTCATTTCTTCCTATTAAGGTACGATCCATCAATTTAGATTTCATTTTTTTGCCTGTCAAATGTTCGAATTCTTCTAATCTCTCTTTTCTTTCTCAATTTTCAACAGGGAGGATAGTCGTTTAAGGTACTCATTCCTTCAGTATATGTACGATGATAGGAGTGAATCAGCGTTTAGTTATTATGAATTCTTACAACATCTACAATCACAATTAAAAGGATAAACGAATTAATAATTAAATCCAATTAATCCATAATTTGATCAAAACTAGAAGAAACAAATAAATAATTGATTTAGTTGAAAAGTTGGATAACAATTGAACCAAATTGGAATTGAAATTGATCACATTTTGGAAAGCTTCACTTTTTTTCCTACTTTGATTGCAATAATTTTTTCTAATTGATTTTTTTCAAAATTTTATTTTAAGTTATATTGATAATTGAAAATCTTGAATGCGAATTTTTAAGGCACAGCGATCTTGTAAAACAATTGAAATGGTATTCAGAGGATAAATATTTATTAATCAACTTGGCTAATCAACATAAACATGACCATTGAAAACAAGTTAATTTTAAAGTCATCAATTTTATCAAATACTGTTAATAATCTTTTTTTTAAAGCTCTCTATTTTTGAGCTCTAATTGATAAAGCAAATTGTTCTTATGAAGAGTTATTTAGATTAAAATAATTGAAGAGCTTACAGATGATATGTGCTTAATTAAGTTATGTGATTTTTACAAGTAACATAATTATTGACCATTTGATCATCAATTTGCTGAAACCAATCATTATTTTAACAATCTAATAAACTTTTTCACTTTTGCTGCTCAAAATCTCAATCAATTGTCCAAAAAGATGTCACCTCGCAATTATAATGGTAACAATCAAACTGAAATGAATAGATGAAGACCAAAAGAGGCTTAAATTGTGGTCATATAGGATCGCGCTGTTCATTTCCTACTTGAACACTTGGTTGGATTGTAGCCATTAATTTGCATGTTTCAAACTACATTTGAATAGATTTAATAATTACCATTAAAGTATAATGTACTTGAATTTTGAAAAGACCTTAAAAATGAATAGGAATTAATGTTATTGAAAAAAGCAAAAAAGTGAAAGGTTCAGACATACTCTGTATTGCTCGGTGTAAGTGTTTGTATTGGTTTTAACTTGACAGGGAAACTCACAAGAATCAGAAGCAGGAAGAAAACACAGCAAAAAATAGACAGACAGAAATGTTGAATAGACAGTGAAAAGGCAAAAAGATGGAAAAGGTATACACTGAGAGGTTGTTCTTGCGATGAAAGAATAGAGTAACTCACAAGTTACTAGACATCATCATTAGCATCATTCTGATCAGAACACACATTGGATTCCTGTTCTTGCATTTCCTCTTCTTGACTCCTGCACCTATTCATCCGATGATCATTCTTTCAGTTTCTCTATTACTTTTCTTGAGCTGGTTAAAATAATAATAACAATCATGGTGATAATATCAACGCTGTGGTACAGAATTGCCTCTAGCAGGTAAAAAAAGGCAAACAAGAACCATATCAAGAAACAGAAAACAAATCTTTCAAGTGAATCCAAATTCAACGTTAATCGACACAATGTTTCTAACCCTGCAACACTTAACTTTCCACATTATAGCATCACTATTATTGTTGATTAATCAGTTAACTTTGTACAATTGTTACATCCATCTTCCTGATCGTCAAATAAACCAACAACAACAAGAACAGCAACAATCAATGCTATCGCCATCTTCTGCATCATCAGCTAATTTCCAATCAACTTCTTATTTTAAAAACAATAACATTGACAACAATAGTACTCATAATACTCATCTTAATGGGACCAGTGCCAATCATGATTATACGAATAAAATTTTGAAACTAATCGGAATTGGTGACCATGTTCAACGACGAACTCGCCATTTAACAACTCCACAATTTATGATTGATTTATATAAAACATTAGCTGATCCAGTGACTGGATCAATAAGACGATCAAAACCTTATCAAGCAACTACTATTTGGGCCTTCCATCATTCAGGTAATTATATATCTTTCACTTTTAACCCGTTGTCTTTTTATTGACAACAGACAATTGAAGATTAATTTATACAATCAATAATGTCAACATGATATCTCTATGCATGTTTAACATTTAATTAACCATTGTACATCAGTTGCTAGCAAAAGCGCTCTGTTGAACTTACTTGATATTGTATTTTAACAAAACCAATGTCTACAAATTATAATCATGCCATGGTTAGAATAACATTTAGTTAATGAAACATTAGCTATGATTAGTGATGAGGTAAAGTAGCTATTTAGTTAACCAAAAAGACAGAATCATTGATAACTAAATGAATATCTTAATGACAAAATAACATTACATTAGTTTATGAAAGTGTCATCGTCAGGGCAGACAAAAAGACAATATTAGGCCTCTTCCATTAATACCAACAGTTAACCAGTTTCCATATTTTAGGCTAATGATTATGTTTTACCTACAATTACAGTGTAGCATCGACTAATTATGTTTAGAAGATGCTTTGATTTGATTATCGGGTAAACACAATCAAGCATTGAATTGATAAGAAGCAGTACAAAGGTAACCAGATTGGTTTACAATACAATTGAATGGTCAACAGTGAAAAGACAGATTTAAGATTATGGAACCGAAAAATAGTTGATATTTGAGAGTTTTTTTAATACAAAATAATGAAACTAGGAAAAAAATGACTCAAAGTGGTTACAATTGTAAATCATTGAAATGGAAACCATCAGAGTTTTCATTTCTCAGTGAATATTGAAACTCATGAGATGTTGAAAATGTATTCAACCAAGCATGTTACATTACACTATACAGGAACCCAAATTCAACCAGAATCAGCTGAACATTACCATCATAATAATCATAATCATCAAGCCAACTGTATTACTTGAAAAAAAAATATAGTTAGAGTTGATTTTCATTTGAAATATCAACATTAAAATCTTATGTTTTTATCTGAAACAAAATGCAGCAGAAATACTTGATGACAGGATGATGATGATGTTTCACCAGATTACATTGAATCTCATCTTTTCTTCATGTGTTGATGTTTTCATGATGCCAAATGATTTGATAAAAGTCAATCATCAATCAGCCACATTGATGTAAATGTTTCAGCCTTAGTTACACTCATTTATTTGTCATTTTTTCACCAGATTTTCATCAAAACCATTTACATTTCCATTTTAATGTAACACCAGACAAATTTGTGGGTAAACAGATTCTTGAAGCTGAATTTCATATATTCAAGTTGAAACCCAAACATCGATTGATTAACCAAATACATTCAAAAAGCATCAAAACTCAACTCCTTGAGGTAAGTTTACCTTCAATCAACTTTCCCATCAATCCAATGAAACCAGTCATCAATAGTAACATGAAAATGTTTATATTGGCAAAAATGCTGACAGTCTTTTAGATTTCAATTTTAAAATCAAGTCGACACCAGAAGAATTCAATTTTCTGGTTCAATGTTGAACCCAAAAATGTACTCTTAGTTAATGTCATTATAAAAGGCAGTATTGATGCTCATCATGAAAGTCAACATTATTTTTACTTGCAAACCTTTTAACCATAACTATCATCAACATCAACATCATCAAAATTTAAGCTGATTCAAGCTGAAAACATTTTTTATCAAACAGCAACATTCATATCAATCTACCAATAATGATATAAAGTAAAGCAAAAAGTAATGATAAAGCATAATATAATAACATATAAAACAATATTCAAAAGCCTTAAGGATATGTTGTTGTTGTTTTTCATGTGTTTTTCATTTTCATTGTCTGAATAAAATACAAGAAAAAAAAGTAATGAATGTCATTATCGATTCAGTTCTTTTCAACAAATGAAATAAACATGGAGTTAAACATTTAACTCAATCATAATGATAACACTAATGATTCCATGATGATCAACTTAATTGTCTTCACATTTTTCACATTAATCTGGTTAAAGGTTTCCCTAAAAAATGGTGTAAATTGGTAGCTTCACTTAACCCAATCGGTCAATTTTACCATAGTCACTATTATTCAACGTCTTAATGTATCTAAAACAATAAAATATCGAAGATACCTAAAAATTGAGATGAGTGAAACCCTTTTTGGGTTAAGAGCAGCCAGTGTATTACAAAATGTTAACCAGAAAAACTGCAAAAAATGGTTCTTTTGTTTTTTCTGGTTACACCTCAACTTTATTGATTACTGCCAGGATTAACGTTAATTAGCTCTTAATTTTAATATTTTAGTTAGACTCTTCAATTAATATTCATTTTCAAAAGTAACTCCAAACCTGAATTTTTTGAATTTCAGGTTTTTTTGGTCAATTTTTCAGTAAATTCATGATTCTAATGAGCTTTTCGTTATAACTCTTGAAATATTGATATTAGATTGAAATTGATTTCATTTTAACGCTGTTCTCTTAATCTTAATTTGCTTCTTATTGTTACATTGATTGTTAAAATTATTATGAGTTGATTGATTACTATAATTGTTCATCATTGAATGTTTTTCCAATTGAATTAACGAGCCAAAATAGATGATCTTCAATAAGTCAACTTGTGATATTAAATTTACGTGATTTATTAAGCACTTGATATTGTAACACTTGAATAGTTAATTTGCATTGTTACTGAGGCACCCAGTGATGTGATTAAAGCACCCAACAATGAATTGTCACTTTGCCAAGCAATTTGTTATAAACATTTGAGAAAAGTTGATTTATAAATGAATGTTTGCAATACATTTTGAACACCAATTCGACTCAAAAATTTGACCATTTAAAGCCTTTCCAAAGGCTTTTAGAGACATTTTGTCCAAATTGTATTGTCCATGATTGAAGGCATTTAATAATATATGATAACTTGTGAACTTGAACATGAAAAAGGTTCAATCATTTTGACAGCAATTCATTGATTACTTTATTTAATATAGAAAATTTGTTTCCTCAAGAAAATCACTTGGAATCAAGGAATCATTTGTTATCAATTCACAATGAACAACAAAATATCACTGAACATGAACAAAAGTAACTTAACTGTTGAGATGAAAAAAGTGAATTGAAAGCCTAACGAGATAAACAATATGAAAACCCATTAAAGGTTCAATTTCACATTGAGTTGCTTATTTCACGATATTTCATTACATTGAACAATCAAATGATTGATTAAAGTAAATGTTGATCATTTAAGGCATCCAAATAATCAACAATATAAATCAACAATCCAAGCAACTGTGAGCATTTGATAAAAAATGTCATCAAGTTATCATAAAAAAAACCTTTGATAACTTGATTTCAAAAATATGATAATACTGTGAATAATGTTATGCTGATTAAATGTAAACCATATTAGATTTGATTGTAATATAATCTCTCAAATAAAATCATGCAAATGGCAGACTTAGTCAATGTAATTATCGATTATTATTATCATCTTAAGTTATTTTTCCTCATTTTTCTTGCTCTTCATCATTGGATTCTGTCAAATCTGTGTTCCCTGTAAATCACATCAACTGTGCTGTCAACAGCACCAGTAAACAGATTGAAAGGTACAAAGGAAAAGTGTCTCCAGAAAATGGAGTAAAATTTGATCTCTTATTATTTGATTAAAGGTCTGATTTAGGAATAGTGTTTCCCTGTTTCCAGGTAAACAATATCAACCTTTTTCTTCAAATGTACATCTCAAAAGGTTAACCTCAAAGTGATTCTCAAAGTGAACTTGAAAGTATATTTTCAATGTAAATATTGCTTCAACTGGATATGAAAATAAACACAAAATGAGATTTTGTTTGCTTTTTCAAAAATCAAACATTCTAGTGATAAGGTTGAGATTTACAGATGAATGGATGATTGTTCATTCAATGTTAACAAATGGTTTGCTGGAAAAAGAAATGATGAACAATGTTGAACAAATTATTGTTATTATTGTACTTTTAAATTGTACAATTTACTTGATAAATGGTAAGCAATTCAAGTCTGTAAATCCAGAGAATGTTGAAAAATTGTTGGGATTTAAGTTGAAAAATACTGTCAGTTGGCTTTTACCTTATCTTGAGCATTCCCTGTCTTTCTGGTTGCTCATCATTTCCATCATTTTCATCATTATCATCATACACTAACAAATGCTCAAGACTTGGATCAATGAATAGGAAAGTGTCTAACAGCTTTTTGTTGTTCAATGTGAATTAATATTAAAAATAATGGTCTGACAGGGAAAAATGATGAACATGAAGGATTTGGAATGATGTTGATGACAAACAAACCTCTTTTTAAGTATTCATTTTGAACCTTTCTCTTTACTTGTTATCATATTGACCAGGCAATCTGAGAAATGGTCAACAATGTTTACCTAAAACTTGTTTTTATTTTTCTATTATTATTTGTCAATTTTATCCATTCCCAGGAAAAGAGAAGAAAAAAACTCCCAATGCTGCAATTCTTATTTTCTTTATAACTTATCCTTTTTCATCTTGAAAAGCTTTTCTTTTTTTTGGTCAAACTTTCAATTGTTGACCACTTTCAAGATGACCAAATTGAGTTCAAATATCTTTCATGTGTAACCTTTTTCCTGGACAAAATAATATCTTTGAAATGTGAGATATTTAAGGTTAAATATCCATTACCAGTCATGAAGGTGAACCCAATTTGATATATTTATTAAGGTTGGGCGAAATTCAATTTCTCCTCTTTTCTCGACAAGTTCAACTACAAAATACAGACAAATTTCACTAAATTAAATCATTTAATCTTAAGTGATTTACGAATGGTTCACTGAATCTGATGATAGTTTTGTCAGCAAATCCTGGTTTCAATATTTAATAGATTCATCTTCTGGTTTGTTGTTAGTCCAATGAATTGATTAAAATTGTAAACATTTAACCACAATGCTAATTGATGGTTAAAGTTTATTTTGATGAAAAGTTGGGTTTTGCAATTTAAATGAGTCTAAAGGTTCCAGACTGGGTTCACAACCCAAACATTCATCATTGGGTTACTTTGCATTGTTAATAGATGAACAAATTGATAAAGCTTAATAACCTGAACCAGTTGCAATGACAACTGATTTAATTTTATCCCTTATTAACATTTTCATTTTACTTGGAGCAAACTAAAAATGCTGATTTTCCCTGAAAATCAAAAGTTCAATTTGTAGCTTCAAGAAAAGTAATCATCATTTTAGGTTCAAATTTTGTAACACATTGTAAATGGATCGATGGAAAAATTGGAATCATTTCAATGTTTTTAATTCAAATAATCAACACTTTATACTCTTTTTTTACATTGAAATATGGGTTAAACCAGCTGTTGAGTGACAAAAGAGAAACAAATTGTTCAAAGTTAATTAAAATGCTTAAATTATATCAATTTGGTAAAAAGAAGGTAAAAACCTTTCTGGTTTCATATGAAACAGAAAGGATTGAAGTAAATGTATTTACAAAATCGATAAAGTAAATTGTGTTGATAACTTCATACTTGTCAACTCTTAATAATGTAAACAGCTTCGATAAGGCATGAAACATTGACATTGAGATTGTTTGATGTTGACGTAAAAATATGTTGCCAGCATTTCTGTCTATAATATTAATACCATTTTGGTAATTTCATGTCAACATTTCTCGCTACTCAACTGGTCTATAAAGTGTTAAACGAAAGGTTCTGGCCTGAATGTAGCCGCAAAAATATGCAAATTTTTAGAACCCAACCCTGAAACTCAGGAAAAGCAGATAAAAAAGAGACTGAAATAGACAGTAAAAAAGAGAGATAAAATGATACTTTTGGTTATTCAGGTTAAGGGTCTATTATTGGATCTAGAGTTGTAATATACTAGAGTATGTAAAAATGCCTTTCGAGTAAAAAGTTTCAACTTTGAACCCAATTTTGTCAAAGATTGTCCATCAGAGAAACTTTTTAGTCCAGTAAATCGTATCAATTTTATGCGCCTCAATCAACAAAGGTTCAACTCGCAACTCGAATGAAAATATTTACCTGTGCTTGAAGAAAGACTTCTTATCAAAGTGACAATAGCTAAAGATTTATATTTCTGGTTTTTTATTCTTAAGATGCTTTTTTCATTAGTAATTTGTGTCGTTGCGATGTCGATTGTTTGTATCCTGCCCAGTAAAAAAACTTAATCCTTAATTTTGCATCAAAAAGATTCTAAATTTTCTTTGATCGAGGTTTTTGATCTTTTCTGGTTTTGTCAAACTTCTATTGCAATTTGCTCAGATTTTAATTTATTGTTTGTTTTTCTCATTGACGATGATTTTCATTAAGAATCTGAGTCTTTAAATGTTTTATTGTGCTCATTGGAAAGAAATGTTTGATCATTCATGGTCGCTTCAGCTTCTAGTAAACATTTATTTCTATTTGTTACTAAAATTTAATTTACAATCAGTTTATCACCCGTTCTTACTAATACAATAAATAGTAAAATGTTAATATCATTAGATGAGTACAATAATTTAGGGAAGAAAGGCTGCCTTCAATGTATAATATTGATGTAAATCAGGTACATTTACTCTATGTGTGTTTCAGTCTGCTATTCAACTGCTAAGTCTTTTTGATTTCTCGAACTTTGTCTAATTGTGAATTAAAATTGTATAACTTGTGTTGTCCTCGTAATTGGCTGTCCAACTGTTGTCGTTGTCCACCTAATTTTGTCGTCCAGTTTTAGCAGAAATATTGGTGATCAATAACAAATAAAGACTTGCATTTTCCAAGAAGAACTATAATTAGAGAGAAAAATGAATCAATAAAATGTCTTCACTTAAATCATTTCCATTGATTCAATTGTTAAGTTTAAACATCCAGTTGAAGACAATTTAAGATTACAAAATGCTCAAATTTTATATTAAAATCTCATAAAACTATTAAATCAAAATAATGAATGTAAAATCATTAAGATGATATGAATCACTCCAAATTATGATATATGAAATGAAACTCCTCTTATAATAAGTTATAGTAAGAATCAGTCAATTTTTGTTAAAAGTTTGCTCCAAATCAATACAAAATGTTTCATTTAGAACAAAATTTGTGCATTTTAATGATCGATTCAATCTTATTGTCTTTCAATAACTAATAATGTTTTAATATGTTTCCAAAAAAATCAGTAAATAAAGACTATTTTTACTGAATAACTCATACTTACTATTAAAAAATGAAAATCGTCCATGGGAAACAACTGTCCAACATAAAAAGCCATAGTATTGCAAGATAATCTTTCAAATGTTACGCTAGCCTAAAGTATCAATTGAAAAGTAAATTCAAATTCAATGGCAAGAACGCAAATAAATAAAAGTTTGGGTGAACGAGAACGCTTCAGGTCACTTCATTGTCTTTGCCAGATTCGATTCTCGAGCTGACAAAATCTGGTCCAATAGTCTAAGAAGATTAGTTCGGGTTGAATCAAATTTGATGTCGACTCTTGGAGTTGGAAAAGTGACTTGAAGGGTTCTCGTTTACGTTCACCGTAAGAATTGGATATTTAAAGGGTTAATTTACCTTAAAATATATTGAATAATTAGAAGGCCAGATTGTCGACAAACGATAATTATTGAGTCCACATCTGACTATCTGGAAGTAGAAAAGGATTTGTTGAATTAACTTACATATCAAAGAATCCTTTTTGCATGAAATATCAGAAGTGTATAAAATGTTGAACCAATAAACTGATTACCTGGCTTTGGGTTCTTGCAGCAAACAAATTAAAAGCAATTAAAACTCCAAAGAAACCAAGGCCCAGGTACAAGAGTAGATTGTCCACAATATTGGATCCAGTTCCCAAGTAGGTTGAACAAAAGAAGATCAATTCGCTCATTAAAGAGCCGAAAATGTATCCAGCGAATGTACCCCAAGTCAGTTGTCGATTAACCTCTTCAATCAGATTAAATTGACGCTGTTGACTCTGAAAGAAAGCGATGATCTCTTTTGGGTTTGTCTTTATAATTTTGTTGTTTACTCGATGACCAAAGGTTGCTAGCGAATTGAAAACACCAGTTGCATAACTAATGCCAACAATGAGGTGGAAAAAGAACCACCAACTTGCTTGGAGCGATAAAAAGACGGAAATATGAATAGGAATTAACCAGACACATTGACAGATGAACAATGGATAGGTAAAGAAGGGATTTGTCACCATGCTAAACAAGTGAATCATGAGAATGGGTAACCAGACCAGATAAGTAGACATGATTATGAAGTATCCTAACACCAAGATTAGCTTTCGAAATTTAGTCTCATTTTGTGGATCTAGAAGTAACTTATTCCCCCTGAACTTGATGTTCCGTAGTTTATTGAAGAAACAAAGATAGGTTATCGGTGCTTTGAACTCCTGATAGGCCATACTTAGTTTGATGCTAGCAAATACAAAAAAAGCAATGCAAGTTGTCGCGTTTAATATTTCCTTACCAAAGAAGCCAATGAAACAATCACCGAGAATGCCTCTCATTTCATCGTCTTGTAACCAGGCCAGAACACCGAATCTTATAACAATAACAAAATTCAAGAAACAGAGAAAAAAATTTGCAGCCATTTTAAACTTGTTCAACGATCGGTTCTCCTTTTGATTGTAACCATTGATGACAATTAATCGAGATTTACTTTGCTGTTCCATGTAATTGAGTAGATAAATCAGTTGGGAATCAGTTGCATGGCTTTCCACCCATTTGGATAACTTTTCAGGCCAATTTTTCACTTTACTCTTCAACCAAGAAGGCTTTTTCACTTGATCAGATGAATACGGATTGTACTTTGATTGGTAGGCTGGTTGATACGCTGATTGAGCCGTTATTTGAGCAGCCAGTTGTGCTCGACCACTTCGTTCATTTGACGACAATTTTTTGTATAAGTTACTTGAATTTTGCTCAAAATTCGTAAGCACCATGTTGGTTTAACCAAAGGTTTCGTTAGATTAACAATAATACAAAATACATCAGCTAGTGAGTCAAGAAAATTGTGACTTTCAGTATTTTTATGTAGAGACTCATAAATGTTGCTATTGATCAAAGATTGTTAAACTATTTAAATGTTTGAGTTGCAATGATTGACTTGGAAATATGATTTGAATTTGTCCCTCCTTAATCGATATCTCCTTTAAATTGAACAATTTTCATTTATTGAGTAATGTGATGATTTATTTTGATAAACCATGATTAGACTCGGAATGAAATGGTTTGCTTTTTTTGCTCTTTTTGATCAATACATTTTGATTTCTCTCGTGTAAAAATTGTGGTTCAATCATTCATCTTACTTAATTTCCTAATAAACTCATCTCAATCTAAATATTTTGGATTGACTCAATATTAATCATCACCCTAATAGGTATTATAGATTGATGGATAAACTTAATTTTAAACTTTTCAGTCTTTGTCATGATTTTATCAAATCAGAGGTTATTTAATGTCGCCATTGAGTTGCATTTTTAATGTAAAAATCAATGTTTCATTTAAAGACTCGATTTTAATGCACGCAAATTTAATTTCTTAATTTATTTCAAAGTAACTCTATTAATATTATCCATATTTTATGAAAACAAGCTCACAAATCCTAAAGTTTCCTGTGATATATTGCATGATGAATACCAACCTTAATATGTCTCTCAAACAGCTATTAACTCGATAATCACAGAATTCAGTTTAATCAAAGATCATCTTTAAATAATTAATCGTATAATCAGATGCTCTTAAAAAGTCGTCAGTCAACGGTTTTGTAGCACTTAGGCGAGCATCATTTTTCTTAAAATCTTTTGGGTGAAAGGTCTTTTGACGACATTGGACAACTGATTTTGATATTAACTAGTTGGTCAGCCATTTGATTTGTCAGACTAAATATTGAGATAAGTCAGAGGTGAACAATTTGGGAATAACTTTGCATATTTTTTCATCAAAAAGCAACAATTACTTGATATTTATGAAGCAACAAAAATAATCTTTTAAAAATAATAAGAACAAATTGGTCTCCAGATAAAATGCAAGAATATCTGAAGGCATATTCTTGTTATTATCATCTCTTTTAGTTATAATTGTGTCAACAAATATTGAGCTTTCACCCAATCAACATGAACAATGAGAAGGATAACCTTTTGCCTAAGCCTTTTCAAAAGGCCAAACCAACATTGATCAAAACTTCAATCAACTGGAAGACTCTTTCAACCTTTTTTCTCGACTCACATTTTTACCTTTCATTTCCATCATTCCCTTTCCATGATAATATCATGCACATTCCTTCATGCAATTTTTTCCCTCTCATCTCTCTTTTTTTCTTCTTCTACCAATCATGAAATGCTATTCTGGAAAATCACTTTTTCAGTCTCTCAACACTGCTTCTTCCCATGTGTTTACATAAACAATTTCCCATTTTCAGGGTAAATTTCATTGTGAACAATCTTGATGAAACAAATGCGCTATTCCATGAAAATGTTGTCATGCAAATTATTCCCATTTAATCAGCTTTCTACCAACAACAAATTATTAATAGAAATGCTTTGAATGTACAAAACAACAAGAAAATATTACAATCAAAATAACAAGGATTCAACTGAAGTAATAATGTTAACAGAAGGAAAAGCATTTGCAATATTCATTCATGATTAATACCATGCAATCTATTAATCATAAGACATGAGATTATCTGATTTTTTACCATGAAAAACAAAAGTTATCAATAAATTAAAATGTAATTTCCAACCTTGTAAACACATTAATGGATTGCAATCCTTCTCATCTTTTTTTTCTGGTATCTTTTGGGTTTTTCTGGTTAAGTGTTTGCAGTTGATTGAAACATTGAAGGTTGAAACAATTGGAAATGCATTAAAATGTAAAGAGTCTAAAGTTGAAATGATTTGTTGACTGGTTTAAATTAAGTTTGATTATAATAATAATGGTTAAAATGAGATTGTCTTTTGTGTTGGCTTGACTTTTATTTGCCCATTAATCTAATGGTAACAATCAAGTTAGATGAAGCGACAATGACAATGAAATATTGTCTATGTTAAGTAAATCAACCAACCAAACCAACAGTCGATTGTATCTTTCAACCCTTCATTATACATTAAAATCACTATAATGTGAAAGAAGATGAAAAATGTCTTCTTTCATCATGAGGATCATTTGTTCATTGTGATTTTTCCATCAGATTCCTGATATGTAAAATGTGTATAAAAATTTACATTTGTATTTATGGTAAGCAAAAAAATAAGGTTCATCATGATGAGACAAGCTAAATTGTAATTAACTCGTTAACCAATTGTATATTTCATTGTTGAACGCCCTCCGGAATTTAATTTATTATCATTATCATCCTCACAACCCTGAATTAATAATCACAATAAAAGCCATTTGTTAATGTCTAAATGTACAATTACAACTTAACCAGTTTTTTTGCTTCTTTCCCCATTTCCAGTAATTATAATTGTTATTACAATTAACGTTTCTCCAGTTTTACCCTTTACGCTTAATTTAAATATTTCATTATTCAATCAACATTCCATATGATAATGGCTGTAATTGTAAACATAAGGTGCGACCTAAAAAGTTTGCAACCACTCTTATTGTTCGTACGTTGATTTGGGCTCATACCGTTATTTGAATGCTTTTATGTTGTTCTTTTTCGATAAATATCGTCAATTAGACAGACTCATATAAAATTTTCAGGCTAAAGTCCACTGAAATCGAGTTCAGCCGTCGGCAATTTTGAAAAACGCGCCAAATTTTTCGAATCCATTTTTTTGGCCTTGCGACCAGAATTTTCAGAATTTGTTATTCCTTCATCGTTCCTGAGTCTTTTGTTTGCCAGATAAACACTGAATTCTGCAATTTCTAAGGCCATCAGAGTTTTACCACACTGATACAAAGAAAGGCAGAGACTAGTCAAAAAATCGATCTCCGTTTATCAAATGTTTAAGGTCCATTTTCTGATTTGATACTGAATCAATACATACAAAAAATATATCAAAATGCTCCTTATATTTCAACTAATCCTGTAATATAAAAATGATGCCAAAGTGTCTAGTTTAAGAGGAGCTATGATTCAATCAACATTCCATATGATAATGGCTGTAATTGTAAACATATATTCATACAAATGTATTATCACAATTTATCTGGTTAACCCAACAATTCAATTTTACCCGAAAATACATTTCATGCTTTAGCAATTATTGAAGCTAAATCAACTGGAGTTGATCTTTTGGTCAATCTGAATCAACTTGATATTCATTTTATTGAACAATTTTGAGAAATGTTTTTGTTTTTGTTTTGCTTTTCATCTTATTATTGATATTGATTTATATGATTGGGTTTAAGTATCCATTGACTGAAAAGGGTCAATTGAGGGTCAAGTAGCTGAGTGGCCATAAAATATGAACATTATCATGTTATTGTTATTATAAAATTTGCTTCTCAAGACTGTTGTCTTTATTGCAGAATTTAATACAATTTCTAACATTCTTTTTCCAATTGTTGATTAGGTTGGAATCTATCAATTGTTGAGTTCATCTATTGATGGAAATAAGAAGCTTCTTGATTCAAGGCGAATGAGCTTAAACTCAGTTGGATGGGAAATGTTTTACGTGAAACAAGCTTTAATCAACTGGATTAAGGATAACTCAACAAACCATGGTAAGTTCAATTATCCTTTAACAATTGACTCTGATCAACTTTCATCTGATCCAATCAAATTGTAGTTGAAATGAAACAAAAATGGTTGCACCAGGAATCAACCTAAACCTGATCAAGCTTATGTTTAATACAACAATCGATACTTACAATACTTTTTATATTTACTTCATTCCCAGAGTTTGTGACTTTTATTTTTACTCCACAATTTCACTCCCAGCCTCGTTATCATTATTGTTATTATTTTTTCCTCTCTTCTGTTATTCTCAGTGTTACTCTCATGTTTTCCCCTTTTTTCTGGTTGATTATTGGTTTTACAAGATCCAATTTCAAGTCACCAATCCCTTTTCCTAACCTTCAAGTTCAGATAATTTACAAATGAAATTCAGGGTTACTTCGCTTTCCTTTTGCGCCTTGATAACAACAATCTGATGAAACAATTATTTTTGACACTTTATTTGTAACCAAATTGAACTCAAGATAAACACAGTTCCACCCAAACTAATGACGATCATTTAAAGGAATCAAATTGTCACAAAAAACTGTCATAAATCTCAAGTCTTCATATTGCCAGGAAAACTCAATAACATGTAATAGCAAAATATGGTTCCTATTATCATTATAATTTACTTTTGATGCGGAAAAAATATCCTCAAATTGACTCAATTGTTGGTCTTGTTAGCAACTGATGTTGAGCTTCAGTTTAAGCCTAACATTTGTCGAGTCAATGACTTATCTCTTAATCTTGTCAACGGAAATAATTTTCACTCTGAAAACCATGTGAGAATATATTGAATCAATTTAAAGTTGAAACACTTTTTGCCAAAAATCATTCTCTGGTCTGATGATCAATGTATTCAATATTCAGTTTCTGGTTCACCTTCAAAATTTACATTTTTAGGTTTTATTTCAAAATTGGTTATTTTACTTCAACCCAAAACCCAGTGATTTTGCTTTTAATTTTTTTTGAGTTAATCAATACCCAAAAGTATCTTGAGATTTGAGGATAAAAAGTCTAGATTCAAGATGAAATATTGGACATTTTTGTAGCATTTATTTTCAAGATAAAATATCAAAATTCCCTGCAAGGAAAATTTAATATCAACACTTATTTCGGGTTATACAATTTAGCCAATGTTAGATATTATTAACTGAATTGTGGCAATTGCTTGTTACAGTAAATATCGACTCAACCCAAATTGGACACTTTTTCAACCATTTTTCCCACTTTTATCTCAACCTTTATTTTACCTTCATCCTTCCTCCTCCTCTTGATCATTCATCTTCATTTATAATCTTTAATCTTCAATCTTACTGTCTTTTTCCTCCTTTCATTGAAAGTTAATCTCAATAATTAAGATTGATTGTTGCCTTGATAGTATTTTGGAGTTGTAAATCCTTGCAATCAAAAATAGCTTTACTCTAATGCCTTTGCTTTTGCCTTCACTTTTGGCTAATCATTTTAACATTTTCAACCTTTCAACTAATTATTGCCATCTTTTCCTCCCTATAAATGGATCAAATTGTTGACCGATAAATTGTTAATTGTTTGTAATGAGCAACAAACGATGAACAATGATCATTATTATGATTGATATTAATTATAGCATTAATTTTCTATTGGGATTTAAGGTTTACTTTTTCCTCTTCTTCTCCTTTCTCGATCAGATAAATTAGCAACATTACCAATGTAATCATTGTTAATTGTTGTTCACTGGTGCGAGTTAAACATTAATAGGTTTAACAATTAAATCTAACATGAGATTGTTAATCCGGTTAAAGACGATCAATAATTGTTGACTATTAAACATTGCTTTCAATGGAATCAGTATTTTACCAGAAACTGGTTTAAAAGTAAAATTATTTTTCAATATTTTCATATCAATTGTAAGGTTGGAGTTGATATTTGACTTGAAATTATTTCTGGTTTCAACCATTTTCATTTGTATCTAAGATTGTAGTTAATGTTTAACCATTTGTATTAATAGTTAATGTTGATGTTTTGTCCATAATAATGATGATTGTTGATCAAATTAACTAATGAACCTGATGTGATTACCTGAACCGTAAATGAATGATAACGAATGGTTTATTTATTTCATTAAAAGCCTAAAAGCTAAAGGTTTACAGGCTTTAATACACTTTCAGTGTAATGATAATTTTTTTGCACTGTTGCTGGAACCAAATGAGCCAAAGATAATTGTTGTTAATTACAGTCCTGAGAATCAGTTTAATCAACAAAAATGAGTTTAACCAACGAGACACAATTTTACATGAAAAAGGTTGTCAATGATCATAATTTTCATTATAACTCATTGATAATTGATGAACCAACATTCAGCTTACAATCAGCTAATTTATAAAGTCAGTATTTGAAACAAAATCAAGTCCTTTTTTTAAATTAACCAATGAATCCTGATTAATTTGGACAATTGACTGTACAGTTGATAAAAATGAACATCTATTTTTATGCCAAGTTCAATACAATTACATGGCAATCCTCATTAATCCGTACCTAGTCTTTTGAATGTAGGGATTGATATTGGTCAAGTTGATAATAATGATGATGGTGATGGTCAAGACTATACTGAGGATGATGAAAATGATGAGAATAATGATGATCATCTATTTTTATTTATTTTTTACTCACTTCTTTTCATCTCCTAATCTTTGTACTTTTTTTGTTTCTTTCATCCCATTGTATTGAATTGAATAGCCTTTTATAAACGGATAATGGTATTATCTAGAATGGTTATAATATTGATTAATTGTGGACTTTGATAATGATTAAATTGGGTTAATAAAATACTAATCAACATTTGAAACAATTACTCTTGAAATTAGTTATAAATGATTAATAGAGATGGCTGTCCATTCTCAGTATTAATGGATGACGAATAGTTAATCGAGGATAGTTTAATCAGCTGATGGATTGATTTTATGTGTGGTTATTGAATTTTGTTTGCTTGTTTATTCCATTTCTTGCTGATTTTTCATGGTAATCAAGATTGTCTGGCCATTTGGTGTTGAATCTTTGGCTTTTGTTTTAATGGCTAGATTACAGGGGATCGGATGATTGATGAAGAGTCAGATGAAATTGATTTATAAAATGATGGTGAAAAGTGATTCTCCTTTTTATCCATTATTTTTATTTTTATTATTATTATATTATCATCCTTTTGTTTTATTTCCCATAGGTTTATTGATCACGGTTAAATCACTCTCTGGAGAAGATATGGATAACCATTTGATTCGTTGGTTCAACGGACATCATCATCAAATCAATAAGAGGCCAATCCTTGTTGTTTATACCGCTGAGAAGGGACACAAAAGTGTAATACCTAAAAACAATACAAACCAAGGTACACACAAATGTACATACATTGACAGAATCAATTTTGTGTACAATAGCTTTTAATTTAATTCCTGTGATTGTTTTTGATGGAAAAGGTTAAATTACTATTTACTATTAGGCTTTCAAGGAGTGACAAAATCTAAGTACAAAATGTAGTGAACGTCAGAACAAAAATAATAGATAAAAATGTCTTTAACAACCCAAAGAAAGCAAATTATGCCTTATGCCTTAGAGTCTCATTTTCACATTCAATAATGTACAATTGCATCAATCGATTTCACATTTTGTGGTATAACATGTTAAATGATTTCCAATTTGCACAGTTTTACTTTACTTGTTCATCTTACACCATTTTCCTATATCTTTCTTCATTCCTTCTTACTAGCATCTTCATCAGCATCATATGGTGAAAAATAATGAAGCCTAGAATCATAATCACCGTTGTAATACTCTTTACAACAGGAATTGAGCTCTATTGAGTTTCCTTTATGGATTTTTGATGCTTAAACATTAAATCGAATCATATTTTTCCCTGTTGATGTTTTCTGCCTTCTTCAATCTTACAAAGCCATTCTGATTTACTTTAAGATATAACTTTATTTTCATGATTTATGGGAATAAAATATGATTGTCAAATGATTATGATAATAGTTACTTAAGAGCCATTTGCTGTTGTTACAAAACTGGTACTTGTATAGCACTATTTGTTATTGTATGGTGAAAAATGTGAAAATTATATTGTTAGTCAAAAAAGATAAAATTGAGTTTAATTGCTTTTGTACATCAAAGACTCATAACACGAAAATGAGTAGCAACAATTCAAATAACTTATATTGAGATAATCTAATAATAATTTAATCAGTATTTGATAGGAAAACCGTTACTTCTTGCTGAACCATCTCAATGACACTCACATCACCTAAACCATCACACTGATTAATAAAGAGTCCTAAATCATCTTTATCAATTTTAAATACCAAATGGTTTATTGCTTGTCAATAAAACATAATTGTTAGCATGTTAGCATAATTGAATTTTTTCACAATGCATTTTTAATGGCTGCATAAACGTAAAGATAATGGATGAAGAATGAAAAAACCATTTCTTGAAGCTGAAGATTATTATTTACAATCAACTTGTAATTTTGTGTTGATGATAATCCACTAAGTAATTACTATTAATAGACCAAGTTGCACGTCATTTTGAATATTGAATTCAGAATCTTTCAGCAGAAATTTTTCACTCCTTTTTGAAGAGACAACAAATCCTTAAAAGATCTCAGAATGAAAATCCAATCCTTTGATAATTAAATTCGTTTGCATAATGAATTAAAAATTCAAATTGGTTTGAAATTATGATGTATTCGTCCGAAAATTGTATATAGTTCACTAATTATGTTAATTATTTTCTTTCCTTCTCTTTAGACTTCTCAGCCAAAGTATTCTCGCAATTATTTTTGAAATATGGTCAGCCAAGTGAGTCAGAATCTTCCGAAAATTCCTATGAAGAAAATCAAAATCATCATCATTCCTTGTCTGGCAATACCAATGATCTTATAAATTTAGAGTTGCCAGTAATTAATCATTTATCCTGTACAAGAGTTGGCTACACAGTTGATTTAGATAAATTGGGCTGGACTCGATTCGTTATTTATCCTAAATCATTGGGTCTTTATCGATGCCAAGGTGGTTGTGATCATCTCATTGACTCTATTTCTTCCGGTCTAGATGGTTTTGGAGATTATGAGCTAACCAAAGCTAAATTAAGTAGACATGCCGCTATTCAAAGTTATATCAATCAACAGCAATCACTTGGAGTTAATCCGGTTTCGTGTGTACCAACAGAATTAGAATCACTTGATATGCTTTATTTTGCCACTGATGGTACAGTAATCCTTCAACAAGTCGATGATATTGTTGCTTCACAGTGCGGATGCCAGTAAAGTCGGACAATCAATGGACATTCTACAGATGAAGGATTTAACTATATGCAAGAACAAGAAAGTTTAAATTCAAACGAAAGTATATCAAGGAAGAAATTTTTAATATTGTTCATCATTCAATGTATAATAAAGTTGAACAACCAAAAATCATTTTGATAGTTTACATAAAATTTTTGTCTTTTACGGTATCATCTTTCGTTCCATCGTTACTAAATAAAATATCAATGTTTCTATTAGATCACAATCAAATTGAAATACAGTTGTTTCAGTATTCAAAATTATTCAAAATTATTCAAAAATTCGCTCTCATCTTCATCAAAGATGCATTAATCTATTTCTTAAATGACTTCTTCCTTTGACTTGATTAACGTTTTCTGCAGAAAAAAAGAGTAGATAGAAAAACAATTAGAAAAAAAACAATTTAAAATAAATTAAAATTTACCTTTTTTGATTCGAAGTTTTCAATTTGGTTGTTGACGATGTTTCCGGAGTTGATTGGTTGGAACGTTTAGCTGAAAGTCGAAGAGCATTACGTTTGTTTTGTGGCCCTTTGGTAGAGCTTACTTCGCCTTTAGAACTTGTATCAGAATTTACTTTGTTTACATTGGGCGTAGAAGATAATTTAACTGATTTAATGGTCACAGTAGGCTTGAGTGTTGGTGATAAAGATGGTGGTGGTGGAGATGGACTCACACGCGATGAAGTACTTTTTACACAAATGTAGTTTGATTCCTCATCCTCAGAGTCTATTAGATTTATGTCTCCACTGAATTCATCCACAGGGATAGGTGAGTCACTATTTACATCTCTAATTTCAGGAACTGGCTCCATATCACGACAGTCTATCAATGCTTCCCCTTCATTGTCACTTAAATCATTTTGCGTAGAAAAGTCGTTGAATGAACCACTCATTTTCCCACTTGATCGATCCCTTATGGAGCTATTAGTTCGATCATTTATAGCACCTGAATGTGACTCATATTGAGAAGATTCGATAGAGCTTTCCTCTCGATTGTCTCTAGCCTCGTCATCGTCATCCTCTCCCATCTCGTGTGCAAATGTCTCAAGATGAAAATCAGCAATGAACGATTTCATTTTCATTTCTGCTTTGTCTAGTTGTTTAGTAAAAATATTTTGAAATCTTTCAATATTGAGCTCAAGCCTCAATAAATCTTGTCTTAAATCTGCACACCTGCTTTCAAAACTGTGAGATGCTGAAGGAAAAAATTTACTCCATTGTTCAGTTTTTCGTCCACTACTTTTAACATAGTGATGCGCTTGATCAAGACTCCTCAACATAGAACCAAGCCATTTAGACACTTGAGGATTGCTAGAATGCTTTTGACTCCAGTGCTCTGAGATATCCAGTGATCCTAGAACTTGATCATCTGATGAACTATTTTGAGGCTGAGAACCATCATCTTCGAGAAAAATAAGACCTTCATTGTTGCGTTCCCCACCAAAGTTAGATGATTGTTGAGGCTGAGGTTGAGCAAGTTTCCTTTTCTTATCTTTGGCTCGTAATTTGTCAAGATGCATGAGAAGCATTTGTTGGCGAATTTTGTGTTGCATTTGAATATGCATTCGGTCTTCCTCCTCTTGTTGTTGACTGTAGTTGGTCTCTTGTTCGTCATTTTGAATAATCATTCCCATTTCAATTAAAACCATAGGATTGACATCAACCACATTTTTGGTTATATCCACAAGGTTGTTATTCATTGAAAAATCCATCTTTCACCAGAGTCGATCTGAGTATTTTAATATGAAGAGAGGCCACCACACTACAATAGAGATAATAAACGTAGAGAGAGATAAAATTAGTTTTATATTAATCACAATTTAATCGTATAATTTTAACATGCTAATTCACAATTTAAAACCAAACAAGAAATCCAGCGATGGCTTAATTTTAAGACCAAATTCATTTTCACTATCATTTCAGTACCGCCATCTTTTGGATTGCTAGAAAGCAATAGCAAATTAGTGGTTAGCTTCAAAGGCTCAAAGATTTGAATTTACTTCTGTGTATTTACCTGGTTAACATATCTATGGTTAAAACAATCAATTGATTAACAGAGAATCACATTCACCAATCGACAGCTAATAAACACATGGAATAAATTAAATTATTCACTGGGGTTGAGAAGTCAGAGATCCTCTTCTTTGAAAAGATGTTGCTGGTGAAGTAGTTCATACCCAACGGAAAAGATATAAAAAGCAATGATTTATATAATTTGATTTGTACTAAATTGTAAATTTGTTGAAAGTGTAACTTGATGAACATAATTAAATAGCTTACTTGTGCGTATAAAAGCACAAAATTAAATAAACTGAATGACTGGTAGATATTTATATTCATGTAAACTTACAATTACCAAGAATATTTTCAATCTCAGGGACCAAGATTTAATTTACACTCCGCAAAACTTGCTGTTAGTCGAAAAAAAATAGAAAAATAAACGCATTTTTGAGTAAAACTTTATTTTAAATATAATACATTACTTAAAAATTGTTAGAAATAATAAATGAAATTTCATGGGAATTAGGGTTAAATTTGGTATTGAAATATTTAAGGTTGCCTTTTTTAGGTTGTCAATGCAAACCGTTTTGGGTAAAAAAATGTACCTTCGAGCAAAATCTACCTTTACATGATTTGAATTGGAATGCCCAGTAACCAATTAAATTAACCAAATATTACCTTTTAAATCTTGTGTTGTAAATAATTTTTAATTAACTGATTGAGTGGTTGGACATGGACGACAAAAGGTAAGTTATGCTTTTAAGCAGTATTTACATTGATTACTTGATCAGATGTTTGTTCAGTCAAAATAATTTTCTAACTCTTCTAGTTTGATAAATTTCAAGTCTGGTTTGGACAATTCGCTTTCAAATTTTTTCAACTCTTCAGCAAAAAATTCACGAAGCTCATCTACATCATCTTTAGTGTATCCTCTACTTTCCAGTGCTTCTTCAATCGGTGGAAATGAATCTGGATCCAAATGGTATGGCATTTTACACCTTCCACCCATATAGTCAGGTACATTATCCAACCCAATAAAATCGTCTATTGTATCCTTGTCAATAAATATGATCTTTTCCCTTGTCTTTTTAGGTAACATGGGAGAAACAAGCTTGAAAAGCCATTTAAGAGAGACTGGAAATTCGTAGAAGGCAACATAAGCATACAAGTCTGGATAATTCAAATCTCTTAGCTTAATCACTTCTCTAAACAGCTCAAAATCCAGCATGGATTTATGGAAAACAAGATTAGAGCAATCGCTTATGAAGCCAAACCGACGTCCATATTGTGATACTTTCCTGGACACTAATTCACCAAAATAAATAACAGAATCCGTGATTAAAGGTTTAAATTTTCTGGGTGGTATAGCACATGGTCTGGAATAGATTGTTGGTGTTCCATTTTTATCTCGGACATAACTGTGGAAGCCTCTGGCCTTAGCAACCTCCTTTGGGATAAACACTGAATACATATTCAACTGGTTAACCCGATTCTCTTTCCGCCATCGTAAGGATTTCCTTAAGGTTTTCAAGGCAGCCTCCAAATGGCCATCATGTTGACTTATAAATCGGAAAATGAAAATGTCATCATTTTCAATTCGCTCAACGTCCTCCAAGGTGATTGATTTTGGATCATTTTTGGCTTCAAATAATATAATCTCTCGAATGGCTGATATCTTGACACGATCATCGGGACCAATTTTATAAAAACACTGCTCTTCGGGAAGAGGTGATGGACTGTGGTTAAAAGATTGAAAAAGGTCTTTAAATTTCATGGTAAACAAACAAATGGATAAAAACACAGGACAGGAAAGGGTAGCAAATACAAGGATACAAGTGATTTCAGTTGACTGATCAATGGATTTCAACCAGAGAAGCTGAAGACTGACCAAACCAGATAAAATGCTAGAGCTTGAATAGATAAAAATTTACATTGTTCACATTTATATGAAAGTTGGTCTTATGCCTTGAAGCAATTTCACAACAACTCAAGTCCTTTTGTACGCTGAATCTTTAATTATAGCTTAATAACAATAGGATTGACGTCTAACCTATCCTGTTTCAATTGCTCTGGTACTAATGATAACGATAATAATGATTAGGAGGCAACAATGTATATAAATTGAACCGAGAAAAGGACGAAGTGGAAAAAAAAGAAACCAGTCTTAGATCTGCCTACCATTAAAAAGGTAATGTTCATCTTTTCCTTTCAATAGTTCATTAATGTGAATACCCATGATTGATGAAAATATGATAAAAAAGAGATTTCCTTCAGCCATCTTCACATTGAAAAATTACCATAAACATTGTGAATAGGAAGATTGAATGAACACGAGACTTAAATGATCACAAATCTAATCACCTTCAGTTGACAACAGCTAACAATGTCAGAGTCTTAATGATTTCAACTTACAAATTAACCAGAATTTCTGAGTCAACTGTTTCGTTAAAAGCCTGATAAAAATTATAATCATTTATTTACTAGAAACATTTCAACTGATTCCAGGTTTGCAATTTGATCACTTTGGTCATTGATACCAACATTAATACCGTTGTCATTAGTAAATTTCAACTCTTCTGTACAGTATCGTTCATTAGTTATATAAGGATCAAATGTTTCAACTAAATTCAGGAGATTAGATTCCTTGGTGGTAAAATAAGGCCATTGGTCAAGTTAACTTCATTGAGTTTTGTTTCACGAAAAAGTCTAAGATTAATCATCTAAGACTGTCATTACATTGATAAATGGTTGAAATCAATTCTGATTAGATATCAAGTGTCAATTAAAAATTTACACTCTTCGAGAATCTGGTCTAAAGGATGGTCGATGTTGAGTTAAAACGCAATCAAAAGCTTAATGGCATTTCAAGCTAACCTTGATCGTTTTATAATTTATTTGATTTCGTTTTAAAATGTTATTTAATAATCAAAGTTAACCTTTCATTGTTACTCCAACCAACAACATTTCAACTTAAAATTTATTCAAGTGTTTCAAAGCTCAATGTTTGGCTTTGAGGAAATACTTGATTTGGCCTCCAAAAATGCTCTTCAAATAGTTGATTGTTTGCCTATTTTATGGTTGGTCAAGTGTATATTGTCTTAAATCAACTTGATTCCCAACCTTCAAAATCAATTACAAAGCGGACAGTTTTGTCCTTCTAGTCCAATCAAGTTACATAGTAAATCACAGGAAAAAAAAACAATATTAAACACTTTCCTCAAATTAATCTTCACCTTCATCAACTTTTTGAATACCTAAATTGTTTGCTCATTGAAAATGTACTTTTCTAGTAAAAACAAAATATTTAATCACGAACATCACAATCAGCTGGAATCAACCGAATACAATTTAATGTCTAATTTCATTGGAATGTCAAAGATGGATCATTAACAATCAACTTTCAGCTCATTAGCCGTTGCTTACATGGTCAATGGAAATGCAATCAATCAATTGTAAATAATAAGAAAGAGATGTCAAATGAATTAATTGTGTTGCCTGAAGAATTAATTATTTCAAGTTAAAATTGAGAATCAGTTCTTTAAGCTGTTGGCAACAAATGACAGCTGATTCTGATGAATCTTTTATTGGTTAAAGTTGTATATTTATTCATGTAAAACTATTATTTCAAGGTTGGCTGAATCTTGTTCATTGGAAATATCTTCATCTTCATCTACATCTTCATCCTGATCACCATCTTCATCATCATATTTTGATATCAACTTGACATTTTCATACCAAGGTTAGATGTACTCTATTGGGAGTGAATATACGACAATTTGGTAAAGAAGCTTAAGATTAAGGCAATGGTTGATAATGATATTATCATGTTAGTTAATAATAATGAACTTCAACTGTCACCAGATAACTAGTTTTGGTCAAAACAAACAAAAACACATTATATAAATTGAGGCCAATCATGAACCAGATCGCAACAGAAACAATCTAATCTGGTGAACATCATAATAAATCCCAAACTCTAGCTCCATCATTATTGACCAGACCAGTTTTGTTTATCATTTTGCTCAATCGATTCGCATTGGTAAAACCAGAAAACTTTGATTGACAGTCACAATTGAAATCATTGTCGGTCCAGTAAATCACATCAAGTCCAGTAAGATGCTGGACAAGGCAAACAGAATCAAAACTTACCTCGATGAATGAAAGATTTTCTTGATTATTTCCATTGTCAATCAGGTTGTTATTAAGTCACTGCAACAGTTGAATTGTTAGTAAACTTGAGAAACAGTATTTTCTTGAAACCAAGAAATTGAGAGTAAATTTTTGCTAATTTACAAAGCAAATTAGCTCGATGAGTGCAAATTAAACACTAATAATAACGATTGTAATTAGAGTCTACAGATGATCGAGATTTGGAGTCAGAGATATACAATGAGGTTGGACGATTTTTCAAATGTTAGACAAAACCGCGTCTCTCATTGTTTTGGTTTTATTCACAGTTTCAGTGGTATTGTCATCAAAACTTGCATCGCTTAGTAAAATGTTATCACTGTGTATTGAACAGTTAATTAACTGTTAATTATTGAATTAAGTTGGTCAACAATTGGTAAACACAAATGGTAAAAATAGAAACGGTTGAAATTGGATTTATTGAGGAGAGTCAAGTTGTTAAGTGTAAAGACTGATGTAAACAAATGAATGGAGCTGATGTCAAATTGATTGTAAATTACAAGTGGAGCCAGTTAATGATACTATCACTGTTGAATGAAAATTGGTATGGATAGAGTTACCACAAACCATGATCATCATGATTATCAACTGAAAATATTGGCTGACATGATCAATGAAGTTTCTCTTACTTCTTGGCTTGTCCTTTTACTATCGTCATCATCGTTATCTTCAGCTTTTTTTACAATCAGCTCTGTTTTTACCAAATTTATTTGTTTTTCAATAATTATCAAGCAATCTTCCAGGCTTCAGATCTTTTCCAGCTCCTCTGATAACTGAACCTTCTTGCTGTTATATAATATAATCAAAGCCGCGGGTGATTCAGATTCAAGCTTCCAACAATTTTGTTTTTAATTTGAGCCTTAATTATTTACAAAATGTTATTATTTATTCTGGGTTTCACTGTTTAAATCAATGATGGAGTGAATTTGTTTCATTAATATCATTTAACACATTCATATGTGCTTATACATCGGCCTTGATTCTGGTACGTGAGCACCTTAAAAGTGATTTTCTGGTTCTCAACACAATTTATTTTTATTAATAAAAGGTATATTAAAGGTTAATTAATCAATAGATTTCGTAATTCAATGCTTTTTACACATGTAAGCTCCAAACCAGAAATTGAATATTGCGCGTAACCGTTTCTTGTCAAAATTATGTTGCCTTTTCGTTTATTTCAGCTTGTTTACCTTAATCGGTTAATTAAATTGAATCGCATTTTTTAATAACTTGAGGTTCAATAAGTATTTCCCCTGATTTTGATTTAATTAGAGATTTGTCGTTAATTTTAAAATTAGCCATTCTACGACTGACAGATGGCTCTTCATCAAGATTTCTTTTGATATTAATGATTGATCCCTTTATTTACTTCATATGGTACATTATTATTGTTTTTACCCGCTAAAATATTATTTTACAACTGATTTATTTTTAATTTTATAAATGGAGGTCACTTTATCTAATGAATCATTTAAATTTTCATTTTAATCGACCAAACTCTGAAGATTATGGCGACTTATTAGATTGTGTTGGATTTGATTGGAAAATGGTTCACCGAAAAGTTATAAGCTTTTACTGTTCACAAGGAGTTCGTTACCAAAAATTGTAAGTACTTTTTTGTAACTTAACTTTGAGTGATTTATTATTATATTTTAGATATTGATGGCTGAATATTACTTATTATCCAGTGAATTTGAATATTAATCACTAGTTGTAACAATAATGATCAATCTTCAATCAAATGTCTTGTGAAATTACCACAGGTATTGTTAATACAGCATGAAAATTAAGCTTTGTCTCATTTCTATTGAAAGCAACTTTATTCCAACGACATACAGTCAGTCATAAAAGATTATGAAAGGTGCCATAAAGTAATAGAGAAGAAAAAAGCTCAGATTGTTGATAATCTTACAATTGTTAGTCAATTGTAATGTCTTTCATAATATTTCATGACTGAATGTATTTCTTGCTTTCAATGAGCAGAGATACCAAAAATTAGGCAAAACTAATTTTCTATGCTGTATTGCTACTCACATTATTAGATTAACACACAACAGTGTGAATTATTAATAGAAACAATCTGTTTAAACAGCTTCAGATTATCTCTTGCCTCATTAAAAATACTATCATGTTGAGGCACGTGCCTAATCAACGTCCTCATGGTTTTGATTGTTAGACTAAATTTACCGTTAAAAACCAGGATAGTTTGCGACATTTTACTAGACTGGAACAGTTGAATCATTAAATCTGACAACGATTCAAACTAGCTTGCTTGAATTGACAAGGCAAGGCACAATCGATTAAAAATCAGGAGAACCGTTAGATCTTTTTTCTTTAAACTGATAATTGTCTGATAATGATGAACTTATCTGTTCGAATTGCTGTCATTTCACAAAAATTATGCGATTTCGCCTAATTTTTAATCGCTTGTGCCTTGATCTGATCACAAATATTTCCTGACCATTGTGAGTACCTTTTGATTTAAAAGTTGACATTTTGTAGGTTTGTAGTGAAACTGAACCCATTCGTCCATACAAGCAAATCAAATCTAAATTAACTCGAAGCTTAGTTTTTATTATTATCCAACAATGAAAAACAATTTACTCAAAAATTTCCTCCAAAGACGATGCTACAAAATACGAATGCTGCGTTTTCCCCTGTCGTGTTTAATGGGAATTTCTCAGTAACCTGAATTCTGATTAACCTCTAGCTTTTTTCGGACTTCTGCTTCAGGCATGGCTTCCAGTTTGTGTAAAAATTAGACTTTTAGCCATAATTGTCACACAAAATTTGATTAATTTACTTCAGATATATTATTTATAGATTATATAATATAATTAAGCATAACTAATATTATTAACCGAGAAACTAATGATCGTTGAAATTATTATGGCCAGTGGGCTACCAATGATGAAAATCATTGCAATAATTATGACGTCTGGGATATTTATGACTCGAAAGTTCAGTACAGAATAACATATTAAAAATACATTACATTAGAATATAATACAATGCTCTTTTCAAGGTTTCGCGATTTTTCAGTGAAAAATGATTGATTTCTAATTGAATCTAATTCAGTTTTAATTGCTTGATTTGCTTTATTTTAATCAAATCTTTTTTCTTTTGTTAAAAATAGATTGGTTGGAGTTATATCATTTTCAATTCAATAATAATGGTAGTAAATTATGGAAAACATTCAATATTCTTGGCATGATTTTCTTGAAACAATGGGAAAAGTACATGAGAAATCAACAAAATGGTGGCTAATTCAACAATTACTCATTACTATATCATTCAAGTTGCCCCTCAATTTTGCTCCATTTGGTGTTAAATTGTGATCAGAGGCTGATTGCATTTATGCTTGTTTTTGTTCAAGCTTGGACTTGATAGCCTTCTTCGTTATAAACTTGGATTCAAACAAAATTCATCACAATGCTATCACTACTTCTGATTATCCTTCTCAGTCAATGTTATTTAAGCGTTTGTTATGAAAAATTAAATTGCAGTAAGTATAACCTTTTTGGTTCTGAAATAAAATTTATAAATTACTGTGATTGATAATTCTTTTACTTTTGTGCTTAGATTGTGGGATCGAAGGTATTGATACAAAAGTTGTTAATGGCAGGGAAGCCATTCCTAACAATTATCGATGGATGGCTGCAATATCCGATCTCAATTTACAAAATGTCTTTTGTGGTGGAACCTTAATCAATAATCGTTACATTATAACAGCTGGTCATTGTTTTACAGAAATTCTTGATAGATCAACCATCAGGATCATCTTGGGTGCTCATGATTTAACAAAAATGGAAAATGTTACTGTTTACAAGGCGGATAAAGTGATTGTCCATGAGAAGTATGAGCCCAATTCATCTCACCAAAGATTTGATATTGCCTTAATTAAATTGAACAAGAATGTCACCTTTACCGATAAGATTGGACCGATTTGCCTGCCTCCACGAAATATGAGACAAAGCTTTGATTCCCTAAAGATAAGTGGTTGGGGCTCACTGGGAGAGGGACTGGAAACATCGACGCGATTGATGGAGGTTGTTGTCAAGGAACGACCTTTAGCCGTTTGCCAGAAACTTCTTGGATCAGAAAGGGTTACAGTTAATCATATTTGTGCCGGTGATTCTAAGTATGATTCATGTTCTGGTGACTCTGGTGGACCTTTGATGACTAAAATTAGAGGTCGAGTTTACTTAGTTGGAATTGTTTCTTGGGGAATTGAATGTGCCCATAAAAATTATCCTGGAGTTTACACCAGAGTCTCATCGTACGGATTGTGGATCTATCAGAACTCACAAGAAGCTCTCTATTGTAACAACAAAATGCCTTTAAATGAAACAGCTGGTTAATTGATTATCTTAAACTCTTTGATCGAGGAAAAAGAAAATTGATAATCTCTGGAAACAACTTTGCCATAAATCAAACTGAAGTGATTTTTCAAAAGCAACTGTACTAATGTAAAGTTAAATAAAAAGACGAGCACGGTCTAATTCATGGTCTCGATTATATAGTTTGCTGTGTATCAATGATTCAAATTCAATTGTGGAATCAGCTTTATTTGATATATCCGTGGTCTTTCAGCTTTAGTAGAATTACAATCGCGCTTCACGTTCTTTAACATCATTCTCTCCAATTATACCAATCACGGAAGTTATTTACTGTTTGATTTTATTTTTGAGTGTGATTTTTACGTGATTGAGGTTGTTTCATCTTTAAATGCAACAATCGTTTAAACTTCACAATTTCAAATTACGCGTCACTTTCCCTTGGTTACATGTGTTGTGGTTTTCAAGAACCTTGTGTTTCAAATTTAGATTGTTTTTAAGTCTCAAGTTTCTGCTGTTTTTTATTTTTGATACTGTTATGATTGGGGCCTGATTATCGTTGTCCTCCCGTTGCTTTACAAATGAAATTTGTTTAAATGTGATTTCCTTTGATGATTCAGCTTTTCAATCTGTTATTTTTATCAAGAAGTGTGTTATATTATTCACTGGTCATTTATCCATGAAAAGAAAATCAGTGTAAAGATTTTAAACCTTATCATGTTCAGATCTATGTTAAACGGTGTTTATGAAATTGTCCATTTGGTATGAATTCATACAATCCATGATATCGTTGACTTAATTTTTCAAAAACTGACAAACTTGTCGTGTTATCACATCAAGGAATCACAGTTAACGGCTTTCTATCTATAGATTGGCGAGAAAACATCTCAAGCTGTTTTATAATCGGTATTAGATGTTTATTGAAACAATTTAAGACTATTTAAACAAATAAACTAAATTAAAGTTATAAACAATGGAGCAAGGATTAATGGTTTCTCTATCTTTATCGAGATACGACTTGGATCACACTCCGTGATTTAGACCTAAAGATTGCTAATTTTAAATTTTCCCTCTCTATTGAATTAGTCATGTTTTGTTTAATTGTTTAACGGCCGATTTCCATTGATTAGCATGGCTAGGATCAAAGATAAGTCGAAAAATGAACTTGCTGAAAGATGAGAAACGATTACATAACATGGAAGTGTAATTGGCAACTAATTTGTTTTCTATTTATCAACAAACACCTACTTTTCCCATGTCATTTTACTCATGGAACATCAACAATTCAGACAATAAAACAACGTTTATCTTTTTCACATTTGAAAGAAAGAAAAAAACGGATTACTTCAATCATGACGGGTTAATAATATAATTGTTTTTACTTTTTTTTCCTTATTTCACTTCTTCCATCGCAACTTAATGTAAGTTAAATCACGGTTCTGACAACTGTACTAACACAATTAAACCATGAAGTTGGTCATTTCATTATTCACTTATCAACTATAATCTTTAAACTGCAACACACCAACCATCAAGATATATACAACATTTAGTAAGCTACACTATCAACAATTTTCACTATCTCTTTCTTTCTCCCTTTCGGTTTGCTCTGCCTTTCTCTCTCTTTTAAACCAGCCACCAGAAACTACTATTTTTTTTACTGAAGCAACTTTTAATTGCTGTCCCTTGCTCTTATTGAATGTATCTTTTAACCATTTAAGTTGAGGTTTACTTTCTCATCTTCATGTTCACCACCATCGATTTATTTATGTGTCAGTAATCCCATTCAGTACCAATCACAACGTTTTTATAAAACTAGTGTAAACCCCGCTTTTCAAGGCCTTAATTCTCAAGTACCAACATTTTGCCTTGTTTTTTTTCTATCTATTGTGATCTTTTTGCCTTTTTTTCCTGTTTTTAATCGCCTTTAAATCTACTGAATTCAGCTTTATATCATGAATTCGTTCTTAAGTAAATTAAATCCACGGAGTGGTAAAAAAAAAGCATCCACATCTCCGATATCCAGTACTGGACGAGCATCTGATATTGGTCAACCTTTTGAAGTTAAACATCACATTCACTGTAATGTAAACCAACAAACTGGTCAAATTGAAGGTTTACCTCCAGCTTGGGTTAAGTTGTTAGAAGCCAGCAATATTACCAATAGTGAACAGCATGAGAACCCCAAAGTTGTAATTGATGTCCTCAAATACTACACCCATTCAATTAAAAAGAAAGCCAACCAAGGAAAATACATAGCAACCCAAGAGACAATTGATGAAGATATAAGAGAAATTGAAAGAGAAGACAGGGAGTGGGGTCCAAGTGGACCTAAAGGTTACCATGGATCATCTGATGGATCTTTCAAGTCAAGCCAAGAAGACCTCATCCAAGACAGTGATAATCAAAAAATAGAAACATCTAATGATGTAAACAAACATGATGTCTCTTACCCTGATGTTGTGGTCACCGATGTAAACAGTGAGAATTCTAATCAAATCAAAAAGGACAATCAACAAATCATTAATGATATTACTAAAGACTTGGATAAAGTTATCGTGCAAGCGGAAGGACTTCTTTCTGATTTTGAAGCTAAACGAAAAGAAGCTGAAAGAGAAAAGGATGCCAAATCGGGTTCCAGTAAGACTGACAAACAGCAAACTCAAGATCAAACGCCACAAATTCAAACTCAACCACAAGGTCATCATTATCAGCAAATTAATCAAAACCATCAACTTCAACACCAACAACTTCACCAGCATAAACAGGTTCAAAAACCTCCAATGCCTCAGTTGAGAAAAAAACGAGGACCCAAGATTGAAATGACCGATGAAGAAGTGATGCAAGCTCTTCGCGCTATAGTCAATCCTGGTGATCCTAAAGAAAGGTATCAACTTCTGAAAAAAATTGGATCCGGTGCATCAGGAACAGTTTACACCGCCAATGACAGAGTTACAAACACAAAAGTTGCAATAAAAACCATGGATTTGACAAAGCAGCAGAAGAAAGAACTTATCATAACAGAAATCAAAGTTATGAGTGAAAATACGTGAGTGAATGATAAAATGATATTTTCACCTTAACAAGCAATGAAAATACTGAAAAAAACTCGTGACTTAATATCTTTTACTTGTTCTGAATCTTCTTTCTCTATCTTTCTCTTTGTATCCATGACACAGGCATCCTAATTTAGTAAATTACTTGGACAGTTATCTAGTCGGTGATGATCTTTGGGTTATTATGGATTATCTCGAGGGTGGGGCACTCACTGATGTTGTCACTGAAACAGAGATGTCGGAAGGACAAATGGCCGCAATTTGTCGTGAAACCCTTCAAGCAGTCGCTTTTCTTCATTCTAAGGTACTCAACTAGTCACTAACAGTTGTTTACATCCGTAAATGTTGATGTCATAACAATGTGAGAATGTTTATTGAGGCGAGGAAATCGGGTGAACAAGAGGTTATCATAATGGTACACACTTTTTGTAGATAAATAGAGAAACATGAGGATAACTTGAATGCTCATTCTTTTTCTTTCTCATTGAGATAATTTATTATCTAACTTGATATAATTTCACCTTTATGTACAATTTACCAGCAATGACACACAACTGATCTACAATTTGTGTCTATGATTCAATGCATCAGGTAGATTCTGATATTCTGATGGATTACCTTTTATGGAGCAATGACAATAATTAACTTTAATGCAAATAACAGTAGTGATTACCTCTATTTTAGAGTGGTTTTTAATCAATGGTGATAATCTGTACAGTTGTATCCTTGTTGTATTCTAATTGATTTGATTTGATTCTCTGATCAAATTAGATAGATGGAAAGAGAGAGGAAAACAATTTAAAATCCTTTTTTAGCTAAATTTTCTACATCAATTTTCTGATTTTGAAATTACCAACTCTTTTTGAAATTGATTTTGCTCTCAGGGAATCATTCACAGGGACATTAAAAGTGATAATGTTTTACTTGGAATGGATGGATCTGTCAAAGTTACCGATTTTGGTTTTTGTGCTCAAGTCTCACCGGATGAAAAACGTCAAACCATGGTTGGTACGCCTTATTGGATGGCTCCTGAAGTAGTCAATCGTAAACAATATGGCAAAAAGATAGACATTTGGAGTTTAGGAATTATGGTCATTGAAATGGTTGAAGGGGAACCACCTTATATCAATGAGAATCCAATTCGTGCCCTTTATTTGATTGCTGTTCATGGTAAACCTGAGATTAGGCATAAAGAAAAATTATCTCCTCAGTTACAAGATTTTCTAGATCGGTTTGTAATTTTATTACTATTAATTCACTAACAGCAACAAAAAAAACTTGTATTAACCTTGAACTAGCTATCAGTTCAAAAATTATAATTTCCTCTGTTCAATTTTCTTTATCTAATTCCAATAGATGTCTAGAGGTGGATATGGATAAGCGAGCTTCCGCTTTGGAACTTTTGAAACATCCTTTTCTGGATAAAGCAGACAACTTGAAAACGCTAGTTCCACTGATTAAAGCAGCGAAAAAGGTTCTAAAAAAATGAAGATACACAAAGACGAAGAAACACAAAAATGTCCAGGCCCAGTGATATTATTATCAACCTAATCGAACTCAAAATCAAAGTTATCACCTGAAAAGAAAAAGAAAACTATTTTTTATTCTTATTTTGACAAAAACTTTTATTGATCAGCATTTTATAACAAAACCTGATACTCTTCACTTCGTGAATATGATGATACCTTAAAAATTGCTGTTGATGAGGATGAAAAAGTTCAAATATGATACCAAAGATGGTTTATTATTACATTATCAAGAATAACTTAATGAAATTATCAATAAGCAGCAAAATTTACGATGAGAAAGTATGGATTTAAAATTAAGATCATTTCCTATGATTTCGTGGTCTTTTAATTAAAATTGCAACGTCTTGGAATTGCAAAAAAATAGAGATTCGCGATTTAGAAAAAGAAGATTAATTAATCAGCATGAAAATCTTTCAATAAAGTCGCTCTCCTCTTCTCTGTAATATCCATTTGATTTTCTAGATCTCCTCGATCTGTTGCTTCAGCTCTTTCCAATTTCCAGGAAAGATTTTCTATTTCAGCTTCCAATTGGGCTTGTTGATACTCGAAAAGTGCTTTCCTTGGTCCTGAGTCCATATAATAGGCATATGGATAAGTGTATTGTAAAGTGTACCGTGACTTGGCCAGTAGTGCAGCTGCATCCAAGAGGTATTGCCAATCGATCCATGTGCCTTTACCAGACATGACTTCTCGATGGATTCTGTCTTTAATTCGAGTTAGAGCTTCTTTTTCAAGTCTCAAGCTTCTGGCATGATTATCCCATCGTTCAAAATAGAATAGATATTTTTTTAAAGCTTCTCTAGCTGCACTGTGTACTGATTGACCATCTTCATTGGTAGCTTCTTTGTACCTAGAGCATTCATAATATTCACTGCCATGTGCTTTCCAATCACCCAAACATATCCAACAGAAATTCGCTTTGCATGTGGTACACTGCATATGATTGCATCCACCATTTTTTTCGATGCAAATATGACAATTGGGACAGTCTTTGGTATGGGCTGATATATAATTGGCGGTCTCAGAATCGTCTTCACATTTAGTTAACCATTTTTTGATTATATTGCAATCAGTAGGAGCATGATAATCACCACTACATTTAAAACAGAAGCTCGTTTTACATATTTTACAAATAACTCTTTTGGACTTGTTTTCGCGTGCTCTTACTACTATATTACAGTTGAGGCCAGGACAGAAACGCAATTCCGGATGAGATGTTACGCATTCAGCAAATGCGAATTTCTTATATTTTTCTTTTAAATCGTCTTGTTGAATATGTTCTAAAGCAAACTCTTCTGGTACCAATTCACTGCATTTTTGGGCCATGCATTCAATACCTATTGTTGCACCAGCAGACACTTGAGTTTCTATATGGCATGTCCAACATTCACTACAGAATAGATGACCACACGTGAGTCCTATACAATCCGAACTTTCTGAACAAAGGCAAATTGGACAAGTTTTGGGGTCTTGTGTTCCTTCAAGTTCTTCGTTAGTACCATTAGAATAAAAGTTGGAATCAGTTTCATTGGTTGTTTCATCATCAGATGCACTATTTGATTTTTTCTCTTTGATTTTTTCCAAGTTCCATCTAAAACGATACAATAACACCTGTAATGAAAGAAATGCAAACAAATTAAAAGCAGCATATTATTTCGAGTCTTACAACTATCGAAAATAACATTTTATCAAGATAAAAGATCATCTTACCTTTGCTTTAGACGGGCTAACTTGGAGAGTTTTACAGATATATTCAACAGTTTCATTCCACAATTGATCCACTTCTTGAATGGGCAAACATTCATATTCAAAAAACTCTGGATCTTTGCATTGAGCACCTCCTTGGAGAAAATCTAGTTCATTTTCTAATTCACTCATACGATAATAGTCATCGTAGTCACAGTTTTCATCATTCTCCTCATTTTCATCATTTTCGTCGTTTTCATCTGTATCTGATGCATATGTTTCCATTTCATCAGACCTTGAAGCGTAGAGTAGAGGCGATGAAACAGTATCCATAATGTAGGAAACAATTAATTTGGTCAAACAATCAAGGAAGCAAATAGTAGAGTCAACAACCAGATGACTTGAAATGACTTATCTTTACAAACAGGCCTTTATTAGATTTATTTTGGTTTACTTTACAATTCCCCCTTATCTAGTCCGCAGTTGTGCAGACTAGATAAGGCGTGTCTTTAGCCATACAAACAAGTTTTACTTGTAAATAGGAAGTTGAGATATTTAAGATGGAGTTATCTATGAGCGTCATGATTCGACAATTCAAATGACCCAGAAGCGTTAGAAAGCTGAACGGAAGAGTTCGAAAATCTCTCATAGAAAGCTATTGTTTCTTTTGTTGTTCTGGGTAAAACAATTTTAAAGGCTTGGTCAAAGTGAATCATTTCAACTTCTTTGGCATTAATATCTTCAGTCAAAGCTAGAAGAGCGGCTTCTTGGCATAATGCAACTATTTCCGCACCAGAATAACCAGCAGTTTTATCCGCAAGAATCTCAATATTTTCAGTAACCTCAAAAGAAACTGCCATTTTACCAGTCCTTATTAAGAAAATTTCTTTACGAGTTGCTTTATCTGGTAATGGAACGTAAATAATTACATCAAGACGACCAGGGCGACGTAATGCTACATCAATTTTATCTGGTCTATTCGTTGCGGCTACGATAGTAACACCATCCAATTCTTCAATTCCATCGATTTCTGTTAACAATTGAGCTAAAACACGATCACCAACTGAACATGAAGCTGATGCATTACTACCACCTCCTCTCTCTGATGCTAAGGCATCTAACTCGTCAAAGAATAAAATTGAAGGAGAAGCTTGTTTGGCTTTTCTGAAAATTTCTCGCACAGCCTTTTCAGATTCACCGACATATTTATCAAAAAGTTCAGGCCCTTTAATTGCAATAAAATTGAGTTGACTTTCAGTGGCTAGTGCTTTTCCAATCATAGTCTTTGAACATCCTGGTGGACCATACATTAGAATGCCTTTCGACTGTTTATAACCAACCCTTGCAAATGCTTCAGCGTGTTTGAGTGGCCATACAACTGCTTGTAGTAACCTGTTTTTGACTTCTTTCATACCACCAATATCAGACCAATAAACTTTAGGTATTTCTAAAGTAATCTCTTTCATTGCACTGGGACGGACTCGGCGAACAGCTTTCTTAAGATCATTCTCATCGATTGTATCAGATTCTCTTGTTAAACAACTATACAATGATTCACGGTAAACACGAGCGAGATCAGCTCCAGTATAACTAAAAGTGTTTTCGCCAGTACTTTTTAAGACCTCTGAAGGTATTGAATGTTTAACTTTGCTGAATATCTTATTTAAAATATCGATACGATGGAGAGATGAAGGAACTGGAAATTCAATCTCTTCTTCCAAGCGACCCGGTCTCCTTAATCCTGGATGCACTGAATCAATTTGGTTGGTAGCAGCAATTAGCACGATGCGTTTAGATCTACGATTGTCATCGAAAAAGCCAGATAAAGTTTTGAAAAAATTAACTTCTTTCTCGGTTTGAGTTTTCTTGCTTGAACAATACAAATGAATATCATCGATAAATATAACACTGGGATAACATTCGATAGCACGTTTAAACAGTCGATCTAATTTTGATTTATATGAAACTTCAACAACTCCTTTAGCTCCTTTATCTGGAGTTTCTTTGGCTTCTTTAGTTGGATTGTCTGATAACATATCACCATAAACATTGAGAAAGTTGATTCTCGGAGTCAATGCTTCTGTTAATGCTTTAATAACCATTGTTTTACCAGTTCCTGGAGGTCCATATAGAAGAATACCATTTGTTAGATCGTCAGCGTGAGGATGAGCTCTATCGAGTAGTGGAAATTCGATTAAATTTTTGAGCTTTTCAATTTGAACCTTCAATCCGCCAATATCGTTTAATCCAATAGTAGAAGACTTTTTTGCATTGCGTCTAGTCACTAAGAAAGATGGATATGAGAAAATATGTCAATGAGTTGTGTACTTGAAATTCAACCGTGAAAAACTTACTTTTGATTTTGAAGAAATAAGATTAATTCTCGGATAATTAATCAAAATAATAAATTAATAAAAATTGAACGATGTCACTGTGTCATGATTTTTTAAATGTAAATATTGTTTACTAAAAATTTGCAGCAACAATTTAAAGACGCCATCTGTGGGGATAAATTTTTGATTAACTAATTAAATGATTGTATTTTAATTAACAACTGCTTTCTTATTTTAAACTGTGATTTGATTGTAAGAATTGTGCTAAAATGAGCCAAAAATTAACGTATTAATTTGAAAATCAATTTTAAATGAATGATGTTTTGAAATATCGCGCTCTCAAAAAAACCCAGGTGATGCTAGAAACGAAAAGCATGCTTTTTGGAAACTCTGGGAAACCCAAATCTTGTGTATTTTGATTACAATATTTACAGTTTAAATACTCTATTATTTGCTTTAAAGTTTTACTAAATTAACTGCCATGAGTAAGTATGATTTTGCTATTACGATTACAATAAATCTCTATTTTGTGCTTGTTTATTAACATTTCAATTGTTTGATTTTCTCAGTTAAAAAACGACAGTTGGAAAAAAAGAAGCAGATCAAAACTGATGATTTGGATGATTACAGTGCTTCTGATGAATCGGATGATCATGGAGAGGAGGAAGAAGAAGAAGAAGAGTTAGAGGAAACTCCAGCTCAGAAAAGACTGAGGCTAGCCAAGCAATACCTGCAAGAATTTTCTACTCAAGAGAATGAGAAGACCTTTAAAGTTATCAAAAAAGTAGCCGATACTTTGACCGGACCGGACCTTGATAACGTAAAGTTTCTTAAAAATGGTCATAAACTGACAGTCACTTGTTTAGCTGTTTCCTCTGATGGAAAATTCATCTATTCAGCCAGTAAAGATTGTTCAATAGTTAAATGGGATGCTCAAACATTCAAACGAGTGAAAACTATTCCTGGTGAAAGAAAAGGAACGGAAAATCACGTTGGTCATACAAATATTATTAATGCCATTGCAATTACTAGTGATTCTAAATTTTTAGCTACGGGATGCAAAAATTCAATCATTAATATATGGAACACGAATGACATGACATTTTTACACAAATTTACTGGCCATCGTGGGGAAGTAACTGGCCTTGTTTTCCGTAGATCGGCTCATACTCTTTATAGCTGTGCCGCAGATAAGCAAGTTAAAGTTTGGAATGTTGACGATTTGTGTTATGTAGAAACTTTATTTGGTCATCAAGATAAAGTGACATCAATTGACTGTGGATTAAGAGAAAAGCCGATCACTTCTGGTGGTATTGATCTCACAGTTCGCATTTGGAAAATCGTAGAAGAGTCTCAATTAGTTTTTCATGGGCATGAAGGGTCAATCGATAATGTGAAATATATCAATGAAGATCATTTCATTTCAATAGGCGATGATGGGTAGGTTCAAATCTATTAAATTTTGTTTCTCTTCTCACTTTCAGTTTAATTTTAATATTTTCCCAGAATGATTTGTCTTTGGGGGAACCACAAGAAAAAACCATTATTCTCCAAAAAACTAGCGCATGGTGAAGAAAATTCCACACCAAATTGGATTGTATCCTTAGCCACAGCTCATAGCACAGATTTATTTGCTACAGGTAAATTCATTTCGTTTAAATTGCGTTAGATTTAACTAACCGTTTTCCACATTTTCAACAGGATCAAAAGATGGGTTTATTCGTGTCTGGAAATGTTTACCAGGTTTCAAAAAATTCGAAGAAATTTTCACCATTCCTGTGGTAAGTTTCAAAATCAAATAAAAATTTATCATCAAATGGCACTATTTTTAAATTTACTTCCCATTTTTCCATGTATTCTTATATTCTATTTCATTATTTCCCACATATTTTCTACCAGAATGGTGTTGTTAATAGTTTACAATTTGTTCAAGATGGAGACTTTTTAGTTGCCGCCATAGGAAGAGAGCATCGACTTGGTCGCTGGTGGAATTTCAAAGAAGTTAAAAACTCGATCATGGTTATACCTATGTTAAAATTAGATAACAATCCTCCTTAATATACAAATAAATTCTTTTGATTGATTCTGTTAATTGTATTCATTATAAATCTCCAGTCAAAATGAATAAAATTTGGCTTTTGATATTAATGCTTCCCGAATTTAAAATTTGAGCTATCTTGATATAAAAATAATCTGAGTTGGCTATGTCCTCGAAATTTTGTCTTATGAATTGAATCTTCTAAATTCCTTACAAATTTTATTGCTCTTATCAACCAAGTTCCCGAATATAGCCACTGAATATAGTTAAAAATTTCGGATAACTTTGAACTAGTTAATATGTCAGTAATGTTCAATAAAAGAGACAATTAACAAAATTGTCACATTTATGCACAAATTTAAACAAACGGGCAAAAACGGGTAAAAATTGATTTCATTCAAATTTAGACTCTGTTGGTTTGTAGGGGAATGAAAACTCTATCCATTTAATCGATTTAAATGTTTCTCTGATCCACAGTTTTCGATAAAATCGAGTTATAACATTGTATTTCTCGAAAACTGTCCATCGGGTCAATTATTTATTAGTATCGCGACTTATGTCCCCACAAACCAGCCTAGTCTCAACTTTTTACTTCAAATGTTCCAGCCTTTGGCAGTACTCTTTGCATTTATTTGGCTGTCAATTGAATATTTAATTGTAAACCAATATGTTAACCATTTTAGAAAACAATTTTAGTTTAACTACAAATGATATTTACTTTCTGAAATCAGTTAATAAAAAAATCTGTTCCTATCAAACAATTAAGTTTCATTTATTCGGGTTCACTATCTTCAATAACAAACAATTCAAATTATTCATAATGTGAAACTAGAAAAAATAAAAACAGTATTGATCTGAAGCTAAAGGGTCCCTAACTAATACTGGGAGTACACTAAAATGTACCAATAACGATTTTAATGAGAATGTTAAAGAAAATTTAGTTAGAAAATAAAAGCTTACCCTTTTCTGATTGATTTAATTTTATAAGTAGACTGAATTTCGTGCATCAGATATGCTAAATAAGGTTACTTGCTACTAGATTTATTTTATTTTATGGCAAACATAATGCATTAATCCAAGCTGGTCACAAACGACATCTCGAATTCGTCAGGAAACACGAAAACTGTTCGCCCCAAGCTCGTTCTATGAGAAATTCAGGTCATTATAATATAAAAATGTATACGTCAAGGAAAGAACTCTAGCTTCTAATTTCTCTGGGTTCAAAAAGTTTGGACAAAAATATACTTTAGGACAAAAGGATAAGAATAAAAGTATTTAGTAACCTGCGTGGATAAATTATGGCACTTAAAACCATACAGATATATTGCAAAAAGTCCCATAATTTATCCACACAGTTTAGTCATTCTGGACTTAGTCCGATGAAAGGTGTACCCTCAGATTTGTGCGACATTGCAAGAAGATGGAGTATTTAGTGTTAAGTGAAGATTGAAAATTATATTTATCGATTAGGCGCTCGATTTGTACATAAAACTTGACTTGGTATTCGTTCCCAGTATGTCTTAGAGACTTTAATAAGTTTGTAGGCTTCCAATTCTGGCTCTGTATCTATAAGTTAGATATATCTATATCTATAAAATACGATTTCTTCTTGAAAAACTTGGTATTTTGTGTTTGTTATAACACTAGAAAGACACAGTTAACACAATTGTCACATTAATGCACAATTTTACACAAATTGAACAAATGCACCAAGAAAAATGTGCATAAAAGGGTAAAAAATAAGCCTATTATAATTTAGACTATGTTAGTCTGTAGGCAAATAAAAACTGAGTCCATCGGTGCTAATAAATAATTGATCCGATATACAGTTTTCAAGATAATCGAGTTCGAAGTTGAAACTTCGATCGATTTTATTACGATTATGGAAGCAGATTTTTGCATGCAACTCATTTACCTGATGTAACTTTTGATGATGAACCAGAAAATGCATCTATTTTGAGGAATAAAACTTTGGGTTTTCTGTAAAACAAATAAGTTCGATTTGGATTTAAACCGACTTTTTTCTGTGACCGTAAGAGTTAGAGGACTAAAACTCACAATTTGTGAGTAAAAATAGTTTGTCCAAACCATGAATCAAATACTTTTTTCAATTTATCAGTAATTCTCTTGATTTTGGCCATTGTTATTGAAACTTTTCGCCTCGATATGTCGAGAATGGCCAAACCTACAGTCATCATTCTTCCACTAATTGACTCCTTTACTAATTAATAATACAATAATAATTAAAAACATTCCATTAGTTCTTTTGGATTATGATATTTGGGCTTTAAATGGTCGTACAACAACTTATTAAACAAAACAAACTCATATTAACCCATTTCTTGGTGAATAAAGCATTTTTCTGGTTTAGGTTTCAAATGAAATGCAAAAGATACTGCGAAAAGCTCGAAAGTTTGAGCTGAGAGTTGAAACTAAGCACGTTTGTAGGGAAATAAAAACTCAGTCTATTGGTACTAATAAATAATTGCTCCGATGGACTGTTTTCGAGATAATCGAGCTCAAATTTGAAACTTCGAA